GTCTCAGTGGCCTCGCCAGTAGCTTCAGCTGTAGCTTCACCAGTAGCCTCAGCTGTAGCTTCGCCAGTCTCAGTGGCCTCGCCAGTAGCCTCAGCGGTCGCCTCCCCAGTCTCAGTGGCCTCTCCAGTGGCCTCGGCCGTAGCTTCGCCAGTCTCAGTGGCCTCGGCTGTAGCTTCGCCAGTAGCCTCCGCGGTAGCCTCGCCAGTCTCAGTGGCCTCGCCGGTAGCCTCAGCTGTAGCTTCGCCAGTAGCCTCAGCGGTGGCCTCGCCAGTCCCAGTGGCCTCGCCGGTAGCCTCAGCTGTAGCTTCGCCAGTAGCCTCAGCGGTAGCCTCGCCAGTAGCCTCAGCGGTAGCCTCGCCAGTCTCAGTGGCCTCAGCGGTAGCCTCTCCAGTAGCCTCAGCGGTAGCCTCTCCAGTAGCCTCTCCAGTAGCATCAGTGGCAGTAGCACTTCCGCCGCCAGGAATGAGGTAACTTGGGATAGACTCGGGAAGGGCGGGAAGGTTGATTTGAGGGCCACTTCCAGGCTCGTTTTGTGCTGCTGTACCCTCTGCAGATGCAGAGGATGATGTAGAGGATGAAGTGGCTGAAGAGGAGTGGGAGCCCGAAGAAGCAGAAGCCGCAGAAGTAGCATCCGCAGAACTAGCAGCCGATGAACCTTTTTCGGAGGTAGTAGCGGCCCCTCCTGTTGCTGATGGTGCACCATTTCCGCTTGTCGCAGCACCACCGGCACTGGATGCTCCCTTGTCCTTATCCTTGTCACTGTCCTTGTCCTTGTCCTTGTCCTTGTCGCCCTTACGCTTCTGGAACATATGCCCAACCTGGGCTACAGCAGCTTCGAGCCTGGGAAGAAGACCATCTTCGCGTCGGACTGGCTCTAAGTCGGTATATTGGGCCGGGGCCGCGAGGACCTGCACGGCAGGCAAAGTTGCCAGAAACAAGATATATGACTTGTCGAGACGCATGGTGGTTGCCTGCTAGCTTCAGCTGCAGTATATGGATGCGATGTAAAAGAAAGAATGAATTGAGTCCAGCTCAAGAAAAGTCTAGATTTCTAAACAAACGATAGACAAAAGCAAATCTATAAAAAAAAACCAAAGAGGGAAGGGGGGAGGATGTAGTAGTGGAGGAGTGTGGAGAGAGTGAGTGAGATGGAACGTTTCGACACTAGCGAGCCATTGCCTTATATGTCCCTTCGAACTTATGGGAAGAAACATATCTGCTCTTCTCGATGATTTGGTCATCTGGTGAATGTGTTGTTCTAGGTCCAATACGTCTACGTATGGGTCAACGATGAGGAGGTAGGACTTCCTCTGGTGCCAGCCTCAACTCTGTTGTTCCAGAGAATTGTCCGATTGGAGAAACGTGGAAGATGGAGCCAAGGCAGTGGAGCTGGCAGGAGGCTTGGAGGAGCATGGCCGTAGTAGGAATCATTTTCGAGAGTTCCGTTTTGGGGGAATATGTGTTGTCGAGGATGCTGTTTGCAAAAGTGTCATCTTGGGGATTAACGGTGGGGCGTATACAAGCAATGTAAGATTTGCGCGGGAGCTAGCCTGGATCGGTGGATCTACACGCAATGAAGATTATACAGCAGGTGTTTCCCTGCTTTGATAGGTCAAGATGTCCGTATGTTTGATGTAGCATTGTAGAATCTTCGTTAGAGTTGAGCATTCTGCATTCGCAAGGCGGTCGGACGCTCCTGGAAAGGAGCGCGAATTTAGGGTGCGAGGCTATCTGGGCGCCCAGTAGACGAACGATGCCTTACCGTTCGGCGCTCCCACGGACGATCCTCGCCGCAAACACACCCGTCAGGCGCTACTCGATCTATTGCTACTGTCAACTGTCCTTGCAAACTTATGGGAGTGTTAATTATTCTGCTACATACAACTGGTTATTCAAGATATAAAAGTCAATTTAGGGAGGAAGTAATACACTGAATATTTGCACGTGCGATAGTGCTGCTCACCTCAACAACCAATAATTCACAGATCTTCTGACGGTCAAATTCCTGCCCATGGCTTCCCGCAGCAAAAAATGGTTTCTGTAGATGTGTTCCTGCATGCAACGAAGTCGCTAGCTAGATTCACTTGAGGCGACCTGTCGAATATGGTGGCGCCATCAAGCGAGGAGGAATATGCAGTCGGTGTATGATCCGCAGTGCTGACCTCGAATTGCTGACTTCGAATCCTTCCAGTCCTGTTTGAGAGCCCACCCACCGTTCTGAGGCTGCCAATCCGTCCTTGACGCAATTTCAATGTCTACAACAGCATGCACTCTCTCGGAAAGGCAATTACGCCTGGTGCCTTGTACAACCTCTAGAAACGACGTCTTGTGTGGAGCTTAACACAGGAATGGACCAGCATGGTACCGACGAGGAGTCTCCGACGATGGCTTTCTTCATGGCTTTAGCCCCAGCAAAGGTGGCATAATTTTGCAGGCTAAGGGAAAATGCACCAAAAAGAATACCAAGCGTAGGCTGAGCATCATGATTTTAATATGACAGAACTACGAGTAATGATCCACTTCGAGTACGATACTGCAGAGGGTTGGCACGTCAGGCTGGCCCCCTACTAGTATTTTATGACCACAACAGCGCCTTTGCAAGGTTCGTCGCGAGCAGTCAAGGTTGTTTACTGACTACAGTACACTCTTACATAGATACTTTAGGTATAGAACATACATGAAGTTAGCAGGTGGCCAGCCCGACGTGCCAACCCTCTGTATCTTCTGTGCCTGAAGTAGGCAGGCATTGTGACGAGTTTCCTAGTGTTGTCAACATCTTACGATAGAGGGCAGAACGACCGTTGTCGGATGAAAACTTCGCCCAGAGGGAGGAGCGAGGGGTGGTCAAGAGAAATGCCTGTCCTTGTGTCCTGCTTTATGCCAATAAACGGTATTGTCTGTCGAGATTGTAGTCGCAGAGTGTCATCCTCTGTCGCGTTGTACGAAAGATATTTATCTCTACGCGGCCCGCTCGACAATTTCCAGGCCTGCTATCGATGAGCATGGGGATATTCCGGTCTGATTCTCCACTACATTTCTCACAATCGCTACATGCATGTGAGCTTTTGGACTCCGACTAAACCATTGCGATAGCAACAGACTATCCATGATTCATGATCCGGGATGAGGCCATCAAGAACGAGGAGTATACGCTTGGATGAGCATTCGGTGATCTTCAGGTTATATCCAACAAATGCATGCGAGACCGAATCGTGTGTTCGTAATCAGTCTGAATATCCCTAGGATGAATTAAGTCACAAGTTGCGTTCGATAGGGCGACAGGTCCTTCCCCGCCCGTGAACGAAATAACGTACGTCCCAGATACGATCACATGGAGATGGATGCAAGTGTCTAAAATATTGCAGGAGCGATGCAGATTGAATGGACTGCCACTCTTGAATGAATCATTGACGTTGGGGCAGTCGACCACCAATACAAATCATCGCACCCTTTCCCAACACCGCAAAGGCAACCAAACACACACAGAACAACTCGCTATCTACTATGTCTACTCGCCCACTACGCTTATTCTTTTGGATTTTGTATAAGAAAGCTGTTAGTAGTCTGGCTCCCCTGGTCACGAGCCAATATTGATAGGAGCAGAGTGACGAAGCGTACCGCAAAACCGCCAACCCAACATATTCAAAAGCAACATTTTCACCATTGGTTCCCAAACCAATACTACGGAACTGGGCGGCCACAGCGCCTATAAAGATAAACCGATTCCCTACAGCTTCTATCCGTAGCAGTCGAGCTTCGTCACTCGGTTGCACATCTCATCTTCATCAAACGACGAGCACAACGCATCGCGAGACAACGCACACACGACTTGCGATCCTGAGAAACGACTTACAATCGCTCAAACATACCCCTAACAATTCTCTGAGCTCAAGACTGGCATCGAAATCCATATCGCCAAGATGCTTTCCACTATCTCCACTCCAAATCATGATCAAGGAGAGGCTGCTCTCCCAGATTCTCTCCCAAATCGGCCTGCCCCCGGTTCCAACGAGTCGTTCGCGTTACTCTTCAAGGAAGTTGCCGACCTCCTGGAAGACATCCGCAACGATCTGACCGAGATGATCGAGAAGACCCCCGACCAAAATGATGACGATTCTTCTGACCAGCACTCGAGAAAAGGCAGGGGCAAGGGAAAGGGAAAGGGCAAAGGCAAACAAGTATGGCTCGCTGAGCAAGACAATCTCGAAGAAGCGGCCATGGAGGCAGCCAGAACGGAACAGGAGACCGTCGATGCACGATTGGCAAGGGGCGAAGCGAAGGCAGAGGCATCGTATAATCGAAAGTACACTCTGGGCTACAAGCATGCCAAGAAATTCGAATCCAAGAACCTTAAGAAGAACAGGGAGGACAAGACTGCCAGGATGTACGCTTACGAAGATTGATATCTCGGTTCTCGAGATAATCAACTTAAATCGATGGGAGGTAATCAACATATGACCACGTCCTGGTTGACACGCATCGCGCATATTTGCAAGGGCGTTTTCGGATTTTGGGATTTTGGGTTTTGAGGTTTTGAGGTTTTGAGGTTTTCATTTTTTATCTTTTGATAGTCTTTGGGTTCATCGTTTGAGAGAGGCGGCGTCTAGGACATGATTAACCAGTGGTCTCTGTACCATTTGTACCAGGGTAGACTTTAACGCTTCACTCAAAGCCATTACTGTTGCACAAGAGGAAACACCATTCTTTGCTACATTATCAATGAAACAGATTGAAAACTAAATGCAAAATGTAAATCATGTATTGAAAGGGTATCTAGACTGACTAAGAGATGAAATAGGCACTGGCCAACTCATGTGGTACCCTTCGCGCCAGCGGGCGCACCCGCTCGGCGTCTCTGTAGACTTTCGCCCATGGCATTGCGCACTATTTTCTGGCTGTGAACAACATTCTGCACCATGTACCTTTTTAGTGCTTGCCGCAACTCGGTCTTGAGCTGTTCATTCTCACGATATGGCATAGACTCCAGCTCCAGCAGCCGATTTGCGTCCAGCGCAGATTCCTGGACAAAGGCTTCAAGTCGATCGACTTGTTTGTGCCGCGCTTCTTCGGAGTCCTCGGTGACTTTGGTTGGTCTCTGAGGATCGTCACGATACAACGGAATCAGAAGTCCGAGGAACTGTGCCGCAGACAGCGCAGCCTTGCGAATAATTGAAGTAGCTTGAAAGGGCAGATAGGCAGGCCGCCAGCCCATGGAGACCACCAAAGGGTTCAGGTATTTTGCGAGAAACGTTGGGTGGTCTGGACGTAGCGCTGTTCGGATCTCGTATGTCGCCATGCCTAGGAGGGCCAGGTATCTCCAGTACGCGCCATCCTTGAAATATCCCAGACTATTCGCACCACCAAGGAATATCAAAAGCGCGCCGTATGTGTAGAGAGTCACTAGAAGGGAATGCGATGTAAATTCGCCGATAGTGAGGCAATGGGTGCAGCCTTTGAATATAGTAGGACCAAATCTATCGTACGCGAAACGCTTTGCCGGGTCGAGGATCGTATCTCTTGCATGTTTCAGGTGGACAAAGAAATCATTCGCCTTTTCGCGATCCACATTCGGTCCAACTTTATCCGGATGAAAGCGTACGGTGAGTTTCCTGAATCGCGATTGTAGTCCACCCTCGTCCACGTTGATCGGGACCCCGAGGTCTGCGTATGCGTTGCCTGCTCGCTGCAGCTCAAAGTCCGCCTCGTAGATCGTAAACACAAAGTATGCAGCGTATATGGCCATGAGAAGCTGTCGCCGGTGCCGAATGAATCGAGGGGAGCCAGGCTGTGGCTTCGGATCGCCCGCGCGAATAAAAATGCTGTATAGAATCGACTGGATCCAGGACGCCGACTGCCTCTTGTTAGTTTGTTATGTTCAGAAGAGTTATAGCGAATACCGACCATGGGAATTAGGAACTGCCACACCACAAATGGGCCTATGGTGTCCCAAGAGATATTCCCCTTGACTGCCATCGTGTAGTTGCACTCTAACAAAAACTTGAGTTGTAAAGAACAATAGCAGCTCATCTCCGGACAAAGGTGGCTTCATTCATAGAGCTCCGATGTTGCTGAGTCATCCTCATCACGTGCCATCGATACAACACAGGGAGGGCGTTTGGGCCATCAAGTCACTCTGTTATAAGGGCAACAGAATTCAAAGTATTAACAATCAGGAAGTTTGAAGAAAATCATGTATGTGATTATTGAATCATTTTTTTCTCTTGTGCTAGGATATCCTCATTACATCGTGATTACTTTTGTGTCTTTACTTCGCTCCATTTACTCCAAAAGTCTTGTCCGGAATTTTCTCCTCCTCATCGAGAAGCACGCCCATAATATCCACTGTCCATTTCTGTGCCTTCTCAGCTGGAGGCAGATACGGCCTTCGGGGGTGGAAAGCTTCAGCTTTGACACCAATCTTCGGGCCAACAAAGTGGCCGGCACCGAATTTTGTAAGAACAACTCCCTTTTTGCAGGCCCACTCGGCATTTGCTACAACGTCCTGGAGGGCTCGTGCCTGTTCCTTCTCCCCAGCTACCCATAGATCATACAATTTGGACGTGGATTTTGGAAAGACGTTGCCGAGAGCAGCAACGCAGCCTGAGCCTCCGGCCTCGAGTGTAGGAAAGAGGAAGTCGGAAGAACCGCCAAACACGGTGAATTGCTCGGGTGTGAATTTGGATGTGACTCGGATAGCTTTACCGACGTTGGCGCAGGTAAGCTTTGTGGCAACGATATTGGGATGTTGAGCAAGGGCGATCAAATCGTCCGATGTAAGATCTTGTCCTGGCGTGACTTGGGGAAACTGCATCATAATCAGTCAGATATTATGATCGCGTGCTCGAAAGATGTAGTAGGCCACTTACATTGTACAAAACAAGAGGTAGAGGAGATTCGTCTGCGACATCTCGGAAAAACTTGTGCAATGCCTCTTCGCTAATGGCTTTGGTCCAGTAGCTGGGAGGGAGAAGTAGGGCAAAGCTTGCTCCTGCTTCCGCGGCATCTTTGGCCAACTCTATGGAGGTGTTTGTGCTCTCCGCGCTGATTCCAGCAACGATAGGGTACTCGGGCACACCAAGATCAGTCACGGCGCGTCGTGCGGTTTTGAGAGCTTGTATTCTCTCTTCTCTTGTGAGAAGCACGGCTTCACCATTTGTGCCTAGACTCCATTAGATGGCAGTCGGTAGATCGAGGGGAAATACCATACCTTGGTACACGAGACCGTGCATTCCACCTCGAACTAGATATTGCGCATGCTTGTACATAGCATCGAGATCGAGCTCTTGTGTTTTCGTAGGTTTGTAGAGAGAAATCACTGGAGTGTATACACCCGGCGGCAGCTTTTGCGCCTTCGGTGGGATGTTTGACTTTGTGATGGCCATATTCTTCAAAGTTTCTATTTGGAACTCGTGGGATCGTGTAAATTTGGAGGATGCCAGCAGGGTGTGTGTTTGCTGATGAAGATGTGAGTGTGTAAGAAAGAAAGCAGCAGCATTCCGACTTTTAGGTCACGACAGATTATCATCGGAATCCTAATCGGCCGCAGGTGACACGCTATTCGGAATAGCAACCGCGGGCAGGGGATTTGTGGGGTTACGTTGGTATGGAGGGTGACGGAGAGAATGCCGCTCTACACAATGGATGACTCGCTGAGGGGTGCGTAGTCTGGAAACACTACTCAGGTCTTCGGGTGGCGGAAGCTTAGGGTGCTTGAATCCCACACAGCGGCCGTCTATTGGATATAGGCTGTGTGGTGCGTTCTGCTGGATATCCATACCATCACACGAGCATTAAAAGGTTTAGACAATTGATGTCTACATGTGAGCTAAGAAACGGATAACATGGCTTGCATGCGTCTACCGCATTCGCAGATATGTCATCTCTCTATTATAAATCTTACTGTGATTGTCAGAGATTCATTTTCACGGTGTCATTTGGGAAAACATTAGAATTTAGATTGGATGGCAAATTGAGTTGATGTTGTGAGACAAATCATCTCACTTAAAAAATACATGTGTCTATAGGATATTGTTTCGTCCAACGTATCAGGACACCGGCCGGATCATGATCGAGAATTTACATCTTAGCACGTGGTCTCCATTGGATGTATGGATGGGCTGAGCTAGTCGCGACCATATGATCGATGTCCTGCGTGTTTATCAAGCCAGGGTGGGCCTGGTTGATATCTGTAAGGCCGCAAAGACGCAGTGATGTCTCGAGCTCATCCTTCAAAACTATAGTACTGTTAGCATCATCACGTCAATCGAACGATGGCAGGCTTACTTTGTGTTATATGTTCGACTCCCTCTTGCCCATATGTCAATGAATACAAGTATGGCCTGCCGATACCAACAGCCGTTGCACCAAGTGCAATGGCTTTCAGTATATCAGAGCCACGTTCAAAACCACCATCGATGTAAATGTCGAGCTTATCAAAGATGTCTGGACAAATTCTGTGCAATTCTAACAACACCAGAATCGAAGGTTGCGCACTGTACCAATGTTAGCAATTGACATGAGAACAGAGCTTCTCCATCACTTACCCATCAAGAGAACGGCCACCATGATTGCTTAGCATAACGCCTGATGCGCCAAACTCGGAGGCAAGTATCGCGTCGGCGGCACTCTGAACACCCTTCAGGACCACTGGTAATCCGGATACATCCTTGATCCATTGGATATCCTTCCAGATCAAACTCTTTTCGACGTACTGGGCCATCAATCTCCCCATCCCTCCACCCTTCTTATCATTACTGGCCACAGCGCCGGAAATTGCACTTGCAACAGCCTCAGCAGCTATCCTTTCATCGGCTTCACGTTTTCCAGGCACTGGTGCATCGACAGTGACGAAGACTCCCTTGATGCCTAGCGCAGCAGCCTTCTTCAGGAGTTCTGCTGTTTTTGATCGATCCGAATTGACGTATAGTTGTAAGAAGAATGGCTGATCTTTCTTCCCCGACTTTACGATGGCAGACAAGGGGTATGATGCATTACTGCTGATACATTGTACAATGCCCTCATTCCCTGATCCGCGTGCGAGCGCACACTCTCCGTCGGGGTGTGCGAGTCTTGCCATCGCAGCGGGCGATATGAAAAATGGGACATCGGAGTCGCAGCCCAAAATCTTACGCTTTGTCGAAACATGTTTGACATCCCGCAATATACGAGGTCTGATCATGACACGGCGTATAAGAGCCTTGTTCTGTGTGTACGTCACAAGGTCTGTGGCAGCACTGGAGTAGAAGGCCCATGCTTTCGGCGTCAACGTGTGCTTCGCAACCTCTCGGAAATCGGCTGCGGATATGAGGGAATGGAGGTGTGGCTTTTCGTAGACATCCGGAACCTGATGAGGAATCTGGATTGGCACTTGCGCCTTCGTTTGGATTCGAGGTGGTGAGTTTTCTGCTTCAACAGCTTCCTCGATTGTGGATGAGGGTGGCACGTCGCTGGAAGGGAGTAAATCGCCAATAAACTTGCCCTCCTCGAGGGTTTCCTCAAGCATGCCAGGGGCATGAATCTCATTGTAAGCTTCCGTTGCATCGCCGCCGGCATATTTGAGAATGACTACAGTAGAAGATTAGATTCGAGGTCTGTGAACGACTTTGGAAATGAAATACCTTCAGAACCTCCTGGGTGTACACTCAGAAAGTCAGTGACATCCCAGACTTTCTCCCCAACCACTATCCAACAGTCTTCAGGACTATTGTGCGCTTTGATATCATCAAGGGATAGTGTCTGCTTAGAATCCATGATGATTTCTTCCTTGTAGACCAATGTGAATTGCTCTCGATGATTAGTTCGATTGAAGAAACTGAAAAGTACGAAGTTCACGAATGCGAAAGTTGAACAACAAAAGAACCTCGGAAGAAATCGATCTGGGTCTAGGGCAAAAGAAAAGGAGCCAAAGCAAAATATGGGGAAATCGGCATATGCTGCTTGTTGCATTACTGTCACCGCTCACCTTTCCGGTGCGCGGAACGTTCTTTTCGGGGTTCTTCGCCTTCTATTGGTTGAGCCCAACTCGCGCCGTTCTGGCCGTAGTGGCAAACAGGGCATCCGGACTTCGCACCGAGACATAGAAAACTACTGAATCGCCGTGCAACTATTCAACCAATTGATTTGTTTGTTTATGCTTGTTTTCATTTCAACTTGAAAGGATTCCTGGGGTTTCGGTCGATCTCCATGGGGTACAAGTGGGTACGGTACATTGATAGCGGTGCAGAAGCTGGGGCCGATCTGGAGTTATGCTTCCTTGAACGAACATTAAAGCGCAGCGTTACTTTGATATATCACTTGGTTCCGGGTTCTCACGGAATAATTTGCATCAAGTGTATAATTTAAAGTGTGTCTGAGGCTTTTGAGTAACTCAATAGCTTTGACTTAACGATGGTGTAAATTTGTAATACATAATATTTTTGTCTTTGAGAACAATTCTCTCCTCCGCTATGAGTGGAACAAAATAGCTCATAGACAGGCACAGTTTTGTATTCGTTTCCCATCTGCGAGAATTGTTGAATACAAGTCAAAATTACCAAAATTTCTTCTGTGAAATGTCCCAGGCCAAACATCTTTGATAGGTGGTTATGCTTAATGCAAGTAGTTCTACTACATACGTAGTAAATACAACAACCTTCCCAATCACGATTGAAAGAATTGGCAGCTTAACCATCTCCGCCGCCGCCACCATGCCCTCCACCACCACTGTCACCGCCGCCAAAGTCACCGCCGCCAAGAGACGTACCAGATGCATCAACTACGGCGCTTGACAATTCGGCACCACCCTTTAAGAACTCCACCAGCATTGCTTTTGGTCCACTCAATTCATCTCTCGGCATTTTCATTCTCGTCTGAATATCACCTGCTTCCCAGTAACTTAACGCTCCCAGATCATGCTTTCTTGCTTCAGCAACACTTGCCGCAAAATCATTAGGGTATTGTGCTTTTTGCGTCCGTAAAGTGTGCTTCTCCCAGTCTTTCAGTATCTGCAAAGTTGCAACAACCATGGGCACATCTACCCTCGAAGACCGAATATGTAATGTTTCGTCAGGCAACGAAAAGCGGGTGAACTGGCATGCCGGCAACACTGACAGATTCGCTCGCCTACAATCATCGCAAACATCGTGACTCTCGCAGACCTTGCATCCCCACCGTGTTCCAATGATGGGCTTCATAGTGCAGCCGCCGCATTCTATACCTGAATGCACATAATCCGGGTTGTTGTAACCATCCCAGTACGCATGATCAGCTACAATCTGCCCAAACAGCGGATCTTGGTTGCCATTGGTAATTGTTGAAACGAAAAGGGCATGTCGTAGAGTATCGTATCTGGATAGATTGAAAGAGTTCACTGGAGCGTGGGTAACCCATTTGTATCGTTTTCCGTCGGGGCCGATGAAATTGAGACTGTCGTAGTTGATCGCATGAACATACGTCGGTAGAAGATCCCGGCCCTTGATAGGAACCAACGTCTCGGTCTTCCTTTTGTTCGTTACAGGGTCTAACCTGAGTTCATATTTGAAAAGCTCTTTGGTCTTATCGGCCTTCTTCTCAGCAATCGGGTTTGTCATCGACCACTGATATCGTGGGGCTCTGAGACTACCGCCTTTCTTCTTGCACGTGAAATAGTAAGTAGGAAGTGACTTTCCTCTACCCTTTTCAGACCTTCGGGCAGTACCCCAAATGACAGCTTCGGGAGACTCTAACCAATCCGCTTTAGGCCCGTAGATGGAATGGCTGTGGAATGTAGCTACCGCTGGTGGGAGGATCCATTGAGGTGGATATGGAACTTGATGATGTGTCTCCAAGTACTGGGATGTGGCAATGTGATCCGATGGTGGAGGCGGTTGATTACTCGGATTTCTCAGCGTACTTGTGTGAACGTGGTGTTGATGTGCAGGTCCTGTCACGACTTCGGGGGCCACATCGCATGGGCTAGTAGGTTGTCTTGGAGTCTGGACAACTTCTGGCGCAAGTTCTGCTGCATTGGCTGTTGGTGATTGCTGTAGTTGAGCAGCTTGTGCATAATGATCTGGACCGTACTTGGACGAAACATGCAATGTGTGCTGTCTTGAGATTGGTGAGTTCAGATGGGTTTCACCGAGCATGGTGGATGTAGCACTCATTGGTATCTGCGATGCACCTTGACTCGTACTACTAGTAGATCTCACACGTGATAATCCTTGTGCTTCTTCTATTTCCATCTGAAGTAGTTTGCGCGCCAGTAGCTCGTCTTCATTCAACTGTTTGGCTGATGTAGAGGTCGGGAGTGCTGGAGGGGCCGGTGCAGCGAGTTCCGGTATTACTGGCGGGCTTGCGACATACGGCTGAACATAGGCCACCGACGATATCGTGGCATTCTGTCTATGTTGCCTAAAACCGTCTGTAGAATGGGTGGAAGTGCGATGATCTCCTGGCTCCGATGATGTTGCGCCTAGCGAAGTATGTGAAGAGGTTTTTACACTAGACCAATGGTCTTGGTTTGGTAAAGACATGGCAGGCAATGTAGAGACCGATAGTGTATTGCATCAACAGACGAAGGTAAGAAAGTTCTCTAGATGAGGAGAAACGAAACCAGGTACACAGAATCCCCAATGCCAATGCCAATGAGGTGTCAGCAGAAACTCAGCCCCTCTGGCCTATAACGTGGGAAGCGCCACAATTTGCAATGACTAAGGTGGGGGCTTAGATGCGAGATGTAACAAGGGATGCATGTACAGCCATCAGTGGATGCAAACACCAACGTTGGTAGGAGATGAAAATGCAAGTTCATTACCAGAACCGTGTATTTGGTCTGGTGCGCCTCAGATCGTCGCAAGGGGGTAAGAGTAGAGTAGCCATCCAGGCGAAGGAGTAACTAAGGGGTTCGCGTGGTGGAGTAAGCTTGCTTGTGAATGACATCATCGTGCAGACAGTTCATGATCTAGGTATTGTCAGGCAACTGTCCATCGAAATAAATGACTGCAATGGACAAAAGCATTCGATTATAATCGTGGAAAGACGGAAGTGTTATGAAAGATGAGCGTCTGGGCTCCCTTTTCTACTGCGGGATATTTCGAGAACAGCACCGAGGACGACTGGACTATCCTCTCGCCTTCGCAGAGAAAACGGAACGCTAGTGATGAAGTTGATTTCAAATGTTATTTGCTCTAGGCCACATTTCTCAATTATTTATCACGAGTGAAAACAGTTAAATGAAGGGAAGAGACGATCTAACTGACTGAAGTCGAATTCGCGGGAATATCTACTTTTGTTATGAACCACGCTATTTCTATGCCTCAAGCCAACCAACCTCAAAGCGGCTGAATCGAATTCTTTGTCGCCAAAAGGTGAAGGCTACATTTACAACATCACCGTCAACAACTATACTTGGATAACTCAGTTCCCTGTTCTCTCGTGTTCGAGAATTGTTCGTCATGCAGAATCCATCGCCTTCTTGTAAAACCTTCGACTTCCAGGTCTCACCTCCGTCCGAACTGATGCCTACGGTCAATTGCTTTCGAGGAACTCCCCAGATAGCTTCCTTGGTCTCTGCAGGTTGATTCGCCCGTTTGTCATCTTCGGGGGTGATATCATCGTAAAGGCCTTCGCGTTTAGATTGGCCTGCCTGGAACTTTGAATCGTTATAGACAATAACTAGGCGACCGTCCGACAACACCTCGAAACAAATGCCCGAATTGGGATTGGGGAGTGCTGTTGGGGTAGGCTCAGACCAGTCTAGGCCGTTCTGCGACCGCGATGTGTATACGTTATCGGCCCACCGCGAGCGATAAAGGGCAATGTATGTGCCATCTGGGAGAGCTTTGATGTTCATGTGTACAGCGCCTGTTGAACGTGGTACCTCCTTCTCGTGCCATGTGCGGCCGTTATCATGAGTGTACTTGATTACAGAAATATCGTCATTGCCAATCCAGCGGAATCCAGCAGGAGTGCGGCAGTACCAAGCTGGAAGAACCCAGGTACCGTCTTTGAGGATGGTAATAGGCTGCCTAATGAAGAGGCCTTCGTCATCGAAAAGGTTTTGGGCTTCACTCCAGGTCTTTCCCTCGTCTTTGGATGTCCGGTAGCGCACAACAGCTTTATCTTGATTTCCAGCCGGCTGAGCTGTGTACATTATCCATAAATCGGAGGTCTCTGGGTTCAGGAATAGCACAGGGTTTTGTTCACTTCTGTTGGCATCATCCGAGACTCGCTGGGGCTCGGACCAGGTGCGAGTACCTTTGCGTAACCGAGAGGTGTGGACCGAGATATCTGAAAGACCCTCTTGCGATCCGCCGAACCAAGCGCAGAGCAGGTCACCATTTGGCAGAAGCAACAGATTTGAAGCATGCACCTGGACCGTTGATGCCGGGATGTAGTTAGCGGCGAAGTATGGTCGGTCTTGTGAGACCTCAAGCTCGCTGTTGAAATTGGCCATATTGGCAAATGGCAAGTGTTTTGGAGAGAAAAAATACTCTTGTCGCTCTCAAGGTAGAGTCAAGCTTCAAGGTAAAGTAAGGTGTTGCCCAAGAAGTGGTGGACAGGATGTCTGAAATGTTTGAATGTTGGAGGTAACGAGCTTCCGAATCTTGTCATGCGTCTTCCCATATAAGCAATCCAAGACCAACCTTGACTCAGACAAGCGTGGCCGCAATTCTTCCCTTCGCGTGGCTTGCCGTCCGAGGTTCTACCCCGCCGATCTTTGTTGGTTCGGAGAAATCCCGATCTTGGAATTACAAACTACGCACTTCTTACCGGCGCTTCGAAATGTGGGGGAAACCTTTGGGGAAGTGCTTAATTTTAGCTTGAAAATCCTGGGGCAAGTTGATAACCTGGGGTCGTGTCTGGGGCTGGGCACTCTCAGATCGATTCTATAAAGGTCTTGAGGCCGTGAAGATTGAATCACCAAGGCCGCCTCTTCCACTGTGGTGATCCTCAACTTCCCCCTTCATTTCTCACGAATCTTATTCCTTCTCCAACGACAAGCCTCAACTGAAAATGGGCGGTGGCACTTCAATTTGGGCGTCCCCTGAGGCGAGGAATGATCCCCGTGAAATTTTCAACGGGCGCCTTGCTTATCTCGCGACCACCATTGCCTTTGCAGGATGTTCCTATGGTTTCGATCAGGGAAACATTGGCGGCGTCCTTACACTCCCTACTTTCAAGCGTGCCTTCGGACTTGATAGATTGAGTGAGGATGCTGCAGACCACCGGGCAGGCAATATCGCCGCACTGAGTTCGTCAACCTCTTTTCAAGAATTTCCAGTCTCAAAATACTGATCAATTTGCTATAGTGGCTGCCGGAGGTGCCGCAGGTGCCCTCATTTCTGCCCCCTTCGCCGATTTTCTGGGCCGAAAGTGGGCCATGATGCTTTACGGCGCGATTTACCTCCTTGGATGTGCCTTTCAAGAGGTTCCCCATCTTCAATTATTCTACGCTGGCCGATTTCTCGCAGGAGTTGCAATCGGCTCTATGTCTGCTGGTGCACCGCAATTCTTGTCTGAGAACTCCCCCAAGTCTATTCGTGGTTCCATGACATGTCTCTACAACTTGATGATCATTACCGCGCTTTCTCTCGCCTTTTGGGTCAACTACGCCGTGTCGAGGTGGAAGAATGTGGATGTCAACGATAACATGCAGTGGCAACTGGCTCTTGGTGTAAGTTCTAAAGACAATCATACCTACCAGTGATAGCATCTAATGGACCATACAGATCCAACTGATTCCCGGTGCTGCCATGTTCTTCATGCTTCCTTTCGTTGTCGAGACTCCCCGTGCCCTCATTGCCAGAGGCAAGCGTGAACAGGGACTCATCAACATGATGAAGCTCCGCGGGCTTCCAGAAGATCACCCTTACCTGCAACAAGAGTACATGGAAGTCTGCGCCCAAGTCGATGCCGAACAGGAAGCATCAGCTGGTCGTAACTACTGGATCGTCGTCAAAGATATTGCTCTCATCCCGAGTAATAGGCGCCGATTTTTCTTGGCTGTCATGCTCTTCCTATTCCATAAGTTTACCGGAACTGATTCACTCAACTACTGTATGTTCAAGGATTTGTACCTATACACTGAGATATACTGACATCATACAGTTGCTCCTGAGATCTTTGAAATGATCGGTGTAAAGGGCGGATCTCAGGCACTTCTTACGACGGGAGTTTATGGTGTTGTCAAGCTCGCTACTACCATCATCTACGTCGCATTCATTGTCGATCGAGTAGGACGTCGTCTTCCGCTTATGATCGGTGCCACGATGCAGGCTACAGCTATGCTTTACATCGCCCTCTACGTCCGATTTGCGAACCCTGATGCTGGCGGTGGAACCGAGGCCGGAGGAATTGTTGGCATCATCTTCATCTACATCTATGCCTTCGGTTGGTCATTTGGACACTCTGTAGCATGCTACGTTGTAGCAGCCGAGATCTTCCCATCTAGGATTCGTTCGTTCTGTATGAGCTGCTGCTTCTTTGTCAACTGGATCGTCGATTTCGGAATCACGAAGGCCACCCCGTTGATGATGACACACATGGGTTGGGGAACCTTCCTTCTCTATGCCTGCCTTACCTACTCAGGCGTCGTGTTCATTTTCTTCTGTCTACCAGAACTCAAAGGCCGATCTATCGAGTCTATGGACGATCTGTTTCAAAACTCGATCTGGTCTATGTGGAAACGGGCGTATCCCACCGAGGACGAGAAAGTACGCCACGACGTTGCGGAAATCACCGGCGGGGACAGGGTTATCAACGAGGAGAAGCCGTCTGGGGCTGTACAGGTCGAGAAGATGTAAGAGAGGAAATTGTTCAGAGAATGTCCGCTGTGGGCAACCAATGTTTGAGGTAGCACGGGGTACAAAATTATCCTACCGCGGTTAACGCATTGTGAGCAATATTATGATCCCACGAAATTCAGCCAACGAAATGCGTGTGCTTTTCTACTTGATTCATGAAGATCAGGATTCTAGCTGTAGAACCTAATCATGTATAATCTTGTCGGTGATTGCATGATAGATGTATCTCTACGCGATGGGAAAGAGCTTACTTGGTTGGTGATGGCAGGGACTGGGTCCTGGGATCCACCTGCACACACACACGGCACTCCGAGATTGTCACAGATATCCTGAATAGCGACCGGGCAGATCTACGGCCATAGTTGATCTGTGCTAACGTTAAAAGCACGCCCACTTATTTGAAACACAAGTCTCCACAGTAATAACAACAGTAAGGGCTCTAGCTATAATGGCAATCTATCTCATAGAACGTCTAGGTTCTAGAAGTCTCGCTGTAGCAACGATGTGACTCCTGTAAATAATGGTAAATATTAGTGGCGGTGGTACTGCTGTCTTCATGAGAATTCACGGGGAGTGGTTGTGAATAACAAGCTCTCTGGCTTATTGTAGGCACACTGGTAGTGTCCTCTTGCCAACCTGCCCCAGTATATCCCTTGCCTCTTACATCTCTGTTCAGCCGACATCATGTTTTGAGCTCATCATTACGCCGCTCTTCATGATAAACCCTCCAAGGTCGTATAGTGTGAGAGAAGCAAGACAGGTTACAGTCCCTGATGCGTCCTGAAAATCATTGGTGACAGGTTTGTGGTTGTCCATGGGTGTTTTGAGGCCAGCAAAGCATTTACTATAAGTATTGTCCGTTATTAGAGCAGGCAAAGTTACAATCAATCACAGATTAACCTGACCTCGTTGTAGATGCTTTTCGAAGACAGATCCACCTAGACTGAAGTGATATCGAAAGGCTCCAAAAGATAACAGAGACACAGCAACAGTCGCAAAGGTACCTGTCATTTTGCTGCAGTCTGAGCAGGAGGCCAGGAGTCGCCGCCTGGAGCAGTTGTGATTGTGTGGCACGGCTGCGTCAATGGCTGCGCTACAATGAAAGTACCGGTGATTGCGATGATGACAATTCACAGCTAGCCATGGACCTGTTCGCAAGGAACACCTCAAAGCCGGAGTGTGGAGTAAATCGGGGCATGGGGGTGCGTCTTGTATGGGGAACCGGTGAGAAAGCCGCAAACGTTCCGAAGCGGATCAGGACCATTCATGTATGGCAGAAAGAGATACATCGGAATATAGTGTGTCCATATTCGCATTCCTATTTTCTTCATAACACTTTTTTTTTCAATTGATTACCACTATTCAATCATGGCCTTGAACGAAAAGACATTCGAGCTGAATACGGGTGCCAAAATCCCCGCAGTAGTATGTGAAATGCTTGAGCAGACAGCCGAATTCTTCCTAACATTTAATAGGGATTCGGAACATGGCAAGCTGCACCAGGAGGTACGCAAAAAAAAAAAAAAAAAAGAATGAACTCTGAAGTTCGGTCACTCACACAAAATAGAGGCTGGGAGAGCTGTACAGACTGCGATTAAATCAGGATATCGGCATTTGGACTGCGCTCCATTATGTGAGTTACTCATCCTCACTGAAGGAAGTAAACTAATCGCTTCTTAGACTGGAACGAGCAGGAAATTGGTCAATCCCTCACCGAAGTCTTGAAAGAAACCTCTATACCACGTTCGGATCTTTTCATCACAACAAAGCTCTGGTCATCGCAGCATTCGCAGGTCGAGACTGCGATTCGGAAATCTTTGACAGACCTCCAATTGGACTATGTTGATTTATACCTTATGCATTGGCCAGTGTCACTGCCACCGAACGATTCTTCGGCAGCGAACTTTGGGAAAGAAGACAGAACCGCGCATGCACAAGATTGGGACTTTACCAAGACATGGGCTCAGATGGAGAAGCTCCTCGATCTAGGCCTGGCACGAGCAATCGGTGTTGCCAATTTCTCGACCGTCAATTTGGAAAAGCTGCTCAAGGTGGCTAAAATTGCCCCAGCAGTCAACCAGACAGAGCTCCATCCCTTGCTGCCGCAAGACAAGCTTAATCAGTTGTGCAGAAAGCATGGGATCCATCAAACAGCTTTTGGGCCCCTTGGTGGGAAAGGCTCAACACTTCATACGCACCCAGTTGTTTTGAAGATCGCCGAGGCGAAAAAGGGCACGTCTGCGCAAGTCTTGCTGTCCTGGGGTGTGAGCCGTGGATGGAGTGTCATTCCGAAAAGTGTCACAGAAGAAAGAATCAAGGCAAATCTACAGATTTTCAGCTTAGACGATGAAGAGGTACAGGCGCTGGATCAACTTGCGAAGACTGAAGGAAGAAGGTTTAATAGGCCGAATTGGGGTACTACAATCTTTCACGATGATGACGAAACTGTAGCATAATGTACCTGAAGCAATAAATAAATGATCCACCCAAACCAACCTGCAGTGAGCATAGCTACATAGCTACATTTTTGGAGTGGTTTTATCGTGAAAGGCGATCGGATAATGGCCGTGGATGCGCAACAGTGATGAACGACACAATTGTTGTAAAAATGAATCTCAACAGGAGTCCTCAAATTCCCGAGCTCGAGAACACGCTACCTCGTACGGTATCGGGGTGTCTGCGCTAAGTCACATGGCCACCTAATTTCTTTTCCCCAGAAATGGCACGACACCCCTTGCTTGCCCGTACCTCGACACGAAGAACTGCGTCTCACAGTCTTACTACGAGTACGATTGTTGCCACCAGGGGAGAAGTAGTTACTGGAAACCAAAGGAGCACGTAGTCATTGTAGCACGTGCGGCAAAGGCCTGCCTGATCCTCGGAGTTGCTTCCAATCTTGCCCCCATCATCAGCAGCTGCAGTTGATCACACGCGAAAACCGGCTTCATCCAATCGAACAAGTATTTACTTTGGACGACTTCCTGGCCAATTAAGATTCCAGCATTTCCCATCGCTCGAACGTTCTCCACAAACGACGCCAGCCGTCCCCGCTTTCTTAGAGAGCGACACCAGTATCGGCCCGAATAGGTTCCTAGTCATGACAAATCTCGATCCGTAGAGAACACCGCAAAATTGCCCTTCATTGTTGTATATTCAACTTCATCAGGGGTTCAATTCCGCAATGCCAAAGCGAACGTGGTCGCAATCCAACGAGAATGGGCCAGGCACGTCGCTGTCGCCAACGGCGCGACCGAAGCCGCCAGAGCAGCCCAACGACATGCCTGCACCTTCTTCAATTACCATCTCACGGAAAGTGAAAGCTTGCTCGACCTGCCGTCGCCAAAAATTATGTACCCCGAAGAAGTCCGATGTGACTGTCAATGATTAACATTCAGACTAGATTAAGTGTATTATGGACGATAGCGGCCCACCTTGCAAGAGATGCGCAGAGCGAAATCTGTCCTGCGTACTGAACAAAAGTCTCCAAACCTTAATAGAGGAACGGTCACAGTATGTTACTATTTTGCATATCGATTGCTGTACTGTTTCATTGCTGGTGCGATAATGCTTCGAAAGAAGTCATCTTCCTTACGCGCATTGCGCCGTCAGTCCATGCATGCCATTAGCCGTGTCGGAGACTTCAGCGGTTTCTTTGAAAATCCAATCCGGATTCAGTGATCGCTGTTCATGTTGATCAATCATTCCTGCATGATTCCATCACTAACGCACCATAGGTGGAAAACGACCGTCACCACTGATCTGGATCATATTCATGCAGCACTTCAAGAAGTTCTAGGAAGGTTGTCATTGCCGCCCCTGCCGCCCCTGCAGACTACAGGAGGTGCTGATTATGTACCGTCACCACATGATGATGGTCTCGAACGGGAGGACCCGGGGCCTTCTTGTGACAATTCTCCTCGGGTTTCCCCTCGAGATGATGCCCTTCCACATGTCCCTATCGAATCATTATATCAAATTACACGACTACGAGCGCTCCGTTCAGATGATACGCCCGATGAATCGCAACCCACATCAACACGGACGCCCAACCATCCAATAAGCGACTTCATTTCACAAGGCCTCGTCAGTATTGAAGATGCGGAACGCCTTGTCAACTTTTACCTCAACCGAATTGATCACTTCATGTATATGGTCGGAAGTGGGAGATACCGTGATCTCGAGAGCCTTCGTCGATCGTCTCCTATACTGACTGCGGTTATATGTACCGTCGCCGCACTTCACGACCCCAACAGCAACCATCTGTACGGCATCTGTAGTCGGGAGTTCCGGCGCCAGATGGGAGCGGCGATGTTTGACCGCCGGATAGATCGAGATCACATCCGGGCTATGTGCATTGGCTCATACTGGTTACATGATGTTTCTTGGACACTCTCAGGCTACGCAATACGGAGAGCTACTGAAGTCAATCTGAGTGGCATGTTTCAGCGTGCACTCGAAAACAACGAAGAAGCGATGGACTGTATGCGGATCTGGTATACTCTGTACATTTGCGATCATCATCTCTCCATTCTTTACGGACGCCCTTCCATCGTCCGGGAAGATGCTGCCATCTCTGGCTGGGAAGAACTGATGACCAGATCGGTGTTCACTGAATCCGATAAACGTTTGGTCAGTCAGATGGCTTTGCTGATCATCATGAGCAATGTTCGAGAACTTTTCGGCCCTGATACGGGTGAACCAGTACCTCGCGCATTTGCGCCACAATTGACCAACTACAGCCGACAAATAGACCAATGGATGGGCTATTGGACGACAGAGTTGATGAGTAAGGTATTTCTTTCTTCTGCATGGATTTAAACTGACGAGTATAGAATTACACCAATTCATTGGCGAATTCCCGACCAAGGGCGTCATCTTGCACCACCACCTCGCCAAGCTACATCTCCACTCACATGTTTTTCGTGGGCTCAAAGGCGCACCTGTACCGACATACTTTCAAGACAGTGCTATTGCGGCAGTCGCTGCTGCAACTTCGATCGTCGAAATGTTGCTAACAGATTTCGACATTAGAGAAGCCCTTGTAGGCATCCCTCACTACATTCACTCCATGATTGCATTTGCCTGTGTCTTCCTCCTCAAAATCGCAGCACAGCATTCCGGGCAGTACATTGAGGACGCCAGAGTGTTGGACATGTCCAACAAAGTCGTGCAGCAATTTCGATCAACTGCAGTCGGGAAGTGGCATCTAGTCCATCTAATGGCTGACGGGTTGGAGAAGATGACACTATCAAAGATCAAAAGCCCGCCGGTATTTCACAACCCGCCTGTTTCCAATGGAATGGACCAAACAGGAATGCAATATGTCAATGAGCCGTCCACTACGATGTCCTCAATGGCTAATGGCAATGGAACGGGTATCTTCAACGGAGGCATGATTGCAAACCCCTTCGAGGAAGACCTCAACCTATCCACCACACCCTTCCTACATTTTGATTCTGGGAACTACGATTTCAACTTCTCTGGATTTTGAATCTAAATTATTGTTCTATTCTTTAATAACTATCTATGCCTTCAAACTTCTGGCAAAATTCTGGACTTCTTCGGTCAGGGGAATATCCTCAGCCATACCCAAACCCCTAGCAACGGTGATATCAAATCGAGCGGGCCAACTGGCTACAATAGCTTCGACCTTAGGATCATGCTTCTCTTCTACCAAGTCCAGGGCTTTTTGACCCCCCACCGCTTTCAGTGCATCAAGTATCTGGCTCACCTTGACCGTCTGTCCCGGCAGGTTTACTACTCTTCCCTGGTTCTTTCCAAACTTCTCTTTTGGCACGTCTTTTATCGCGACAAGGTTCTTCACCACCGTTTTTGGAGACGCAACCCACATTTCCAAATCACGACTAACTGGAAGTGCGCTCTTCTCCCCCTTGAGTGGTTCTCTCACTATCCCTGAAGCGAAGCTCGATGCGGCTGCTGACGGGGCACCTGGTCGAACAATGACTGTCGGTAGTCGGGTGACACGACCGTCGATCAATCCTCGTCTCGAGAAGTCGTTGACGAGTGTCTCGATAATCAATTTCTCTGCACCATAACTCGACTGCGGGATCGGGATTGTTTTCTCGCTCACGACGTCTCCCAGCTTCTCTGGAGGGCCATATATGGCGAGGGACGATGGGAAGACAACGATTACGCCTGGTTGGTTCTTTCTCAGGTAATCGAGGACAAAGCGATGCGAGTCCAAGTTCACAGCGAGACCGAGGTCGAGATTTGCTTCGGCGCCTCCAGACATGATGCCATGGAGGAGGTAGGTTGCGTGCCATTGCTGGCTGGAGAGTAATGAATCGACGGCGGAGGAGCTTGTGAGGTCGGCTTTCTCTGATCTGACGCGAGAGGACGAGTTCTGGGGCGAGGGTGGTTCGAAAACGTCGGCAAGGACGAGTTGATGATTTGAATCCGATTCGAGGAGTGCAGCAGCAAGTTCCTGGCCAATGAAGCCACCTGCACCGGTGATGAGAATGTATTTTGCGGACATCTTTGTGTCAACTTGGAAGGATGATGGGAGTAAATTGGTAGTACGAATGTTTTTCGATACCAGCAAAGGCAATTGACGGAGAAAAGCCTGGAATGAATGAATTAGCGAGTAGGAAGCCCAAATCGAGTATTGGACCACCAATGTATATATCCCATGAACAAATGCCGATACGCGCTGCAATCCGCCTGACGCGCCGTAATGATTTCTACCAATGACGTTTAATTTTCTCCGACATGACTCTTTTCCTCATGGAATTGTGTGTCTTAGGAGCACCAAAGTGGATTTCGGGGTGCACGGTGAGAACCCCGATCGTTTTCCCAACACTAAAACCCCACTTGCCTCGGTCTGCATTCCGAAAATCGCGACCTTGATTCCGAGGACGCGGCATTGCGCGATTTGGTATGGATATTGGTATAGTGTACAGTTGGCTACCGTGATTTACCTTCAGGACTGAACATACGAGACAATTTACCTCTTACACGAGATATTTTTGAGTCTCCATCGGTTTGATTGCGAAAGCATACATTGAGTGACCATCGATTTGCCAACGTACTACGAGGATCGAAAGTCTAAACCAACAGCACCATTACAAGACCGCTATTAACATCATTTGCGAACTTCGGATACTACATTCGACAAAACACAACATGACAACACAAGCCGGAAGCGAGCCGAATGCTTCTTTCCCTAAGATGCAATATGCTCGACTGGGAACTTCAGGGCTGAAAACATCCCGTATAATCCTCGGATGCATGGCTTTTGGCAATCCAAAGTGGGAAGGGTCACCATGGACACTCTCGGAGGATGAAAGCATGAACGTGATCAAGCGCGCATGGGATCTTGGTATCAACACCTGGGACACGGCGAACACGTACTCGAATGGCGAGAGCGAGCGGATCCTCGGTCGCGCGATGAAGAAATTCAACATACCACGTAGCAAAGTCGTCATCTTGTCGAAGCTTTACTACCCAGTCATGGACGACGATTCGAGGCCTCAACCGCCGGATTCATACTCGCAGGAATTAGTTAATCAGATGGGACTGAGTAGGAAGCACATTTTCGATGCCGTAGACGCAAGCCTGGAGCGGCTTGGGACGAATTATATCGACGTTTTGCAATTGCACCGACTGGATCGAGATACGCCACCCGAAGAGATCATGCGTGCTCTTCATGATCTGGTGACGATGGGTAAAGTAAGGTATATTGGCGGTTCGTCAATGTACACATGGGAATTTGCGCGGTTACAATACACGGCAAAGTTGAACGGTTGGACTCCATTCACAAGCATGCAGCCTTTCTATAACTTGCTTTATAGAGAGGAAGAGAGGGAGATGATACCGTTCTGCAAGTCTCAGGGCATTGGCGTCATTCCTTGGTCGCCGCTCGCAAGAGGCTTATTGGGGAGGCCAGTGAACACACAGACAGAGAGGTCGGAGGCAGATGCTAAAACAAAGAAATGGTTCGACGATGCTAATCCGGAGATCATCAAAAAGGTGGAAGAGCTCGCTGGTAAGAAGGGTTGCAGCATGGCCAGCGTGGCAACTGCATGGGTTTTGAAGAAGGGGTGCGCACCGATTGTAGGTTTGACTAGCGTGCGCCGTGTGGAGCAGATATTTGAGTCTTTGACGGTCGAGTTATCGGACGAGGAATGTCAGTTCTTGGAGCAAGAATATCGTCCACGTGCCGTCCAGGCAATGTGAGGATGCCTTGCTTTCATGCATATCAAGTAGATATTATATCACAATTTTCGATGATATCTTAGGCTTAGCATATGCAATAATTGATGCTGTGATAGTTCGACAGTTCAGCTGTATAGTGTTATTACATTCACAGTGGCTTTTTACTCTTTCTTTTAAAATGGTTGAGACAATGTTACGTTTGCTCTCCTTTCAAGTACTATTAAAATAGTATAGAGAGATTTCGGATAATTTAAGCCCTTTTCTATAGATTCATAACAGCTCAGTAGTTAAGTGTTCAAATTCCAATAAGGTTAGGTTTTTAAGACGAAGTGACCTTTGTATCCACATGACCCTTCGATGGCACTCCGCCATCAACTTGCTCCGGCAACGACCCACTATCCGTATCATCACCATCCGACGTATGCGACGGATCGATTGCCTTGGAATCCTTCCTGTTCTTCAGATACAGGTTCAAGAGATGAGCTCCGACAATCAAAGACGTAGACATTGAAAGAGAGAAGGCATAACCTCTGGGGAATCGCGGCGCTTGGACTGTCGGGTATGCTAACAGCCCAGTCCAAGCGGTGGATGATTGCGCTATGATGTTTATGAATACTAGCGTAAACGAACGCATTTCTGGAGAATCGCGGAGCATGTTGTTGACCCAGCCATGTAGGACGCTGGAGAGAGCGAACGACCAGCCGTAGTTACAGTAAGCGAACCATTTCGCGGATTCGGGGACATGCCATATGGTCTGTATATCGGAGAAACCCAAAGTTAGTTCCCAAGTATGTTATATGGTTTCGTGATGTTGAAGAGAGACGTACTAAGATTAGATTTGTGATTGTGTTCATGCCGCTTGCGAACGTGATGGCCCACACAGGTCCCCACAGCAGATCGGACGAGAAGTTCGCAAATAATGTGAAAAAGATTCCAGCTGCTGGAGGAATTGTGCCGTATTCGTTCACAGTCGCCGAGTCGTACCTCTTCAAGCTCTTGAGCCATAGCAGAAACGCGCCCGAATTAATGCCAGCATTCCAGAACAACACGTCGACAAAGACGACAATCCAGAAGTGTTTGCTAGACATGATCTTCTTGATGTGATGAAACTTGAGTTTTCCCTGTACCTTGTGGCCGTTTTTACCAAGGCGCTGGCGCGCAATAGCTAAGTCGTTGTCGTTAAGAACGTATCTGTTTGGCTTGTCGATAGTGCCAGGGATTACAAAGTAGCCGACAATTCCAACGGGTATGGTAATGATAGCGCAGATGATGTACATCCATCTGAATTTGCGTCAGTGGTTGCTTCTAGCTCCTAGAACAGATCATAACGTACCTCCACCCAGAGAGGCCATGAACACCCTCAAGACCCCTGGTGGCACCGGCCTGAACAAGTCCTGCCGTTAGGGTACCTATGGGTAGTCCAGTGTACCATACTCCTCCACGACGACTGATCTCGTGACCACGATACCAAGAGCCTATGGTTTTGTCAATGACCGGTTCCAATGCGAAGTGGCATTGCTAACTCACCAAGAAGATAATGTACTGCTGGGAAGTAGGCAGCCTGTGGCACTGTTAGCCAGAATAATGTGGTGGGAAGAAGCAGTGGAGTACCTCAAACCATCCCACCAAGAAACGATATGCAGCCATTTCCGCGAACGATTGGGCCCTGAACTGCAGCAGCGTGGCAACGCCCCAGAGAATATCCATTCCGGGAATCAGCCAGTACATTGGTAGATATGTGAAGATGAATAGGAACGGTATCTGCCCCAAAACCGCTCCGATGATATACATCGTTTGTAACCGGATGAGTTCATTGCCGTAGAACCCAAGTTCTTCTTTCATACCGCCAACATAGGCATTGTCTAAAGGGAAAATCAGAATCTCAGAATTGTAGATTAAGCAATCTCAAGATTTCCTGAACTTACTGAGGTTGTTCTGGTCCAAGTTCTTGACCCAGTAAGAGACCAAAATGTATGGCACCAAGACCAGATCAAGCTTTGTGATGAACTTTTTCTCCTCGGGTGTATCATCAATTGAGAACCATTGAATCTTCCACCATTTCCGCCGCGGCACACCGGAGTGAGATGCCATTGCCATTGCTTGGTCGGTATGCTCGGTATGAACTTGGCCTAAGAATGCCAGGAAGCTTGACAAGAGAGCGGTGCAGTACTATTCATTCATGGCGACGTCGAAGCCTTTTGTACGGTACTTGCGAGGCATTGCTTGGGTGGTTTGGAAGGGCAACCCCTGGTCACTAGTTGCAAGCACGATATTCGCTAAGGCATACATGGTGCACATTGTGTAAATCTAGGTCAGATGGTGTGCTCTTCAGGGTTCGGCTAGTAATATGGCATTAATCTGCACGGTCAATGAAGCACGCAATAAATATCCTGTTGATGGAATGCATGATAAGAACGCGCATATCGCAACTTCGATTGGTGAGCATGTAGGTTGATTCAACGACCGCGCTAAAAACGGGTATGAATACTAACCCACGCGGCGGTAGCGAAGCTCGCGACATCATCGGTTACCATGTGCCTAAGGTAACTTACGAACTACCTGGAATACGCTTGGCTGTATTTAAGTACGCCACTCTTGTTTTCCTTATCGATTTACTCAAGTTTATTTCCGGTGCACATCGGAGATACATCTGGGGTGCACCAGAAAGGAAGATATAGCCCTAGAACGCCACGCACGACTGAAAAGCTATGCTTTGTAAGACTATTGATTCTCTATCAAACCCGAAGGCCCCGTTCCTTTAGCAATGGTAGAATCTTTTCTCCAAAATGCTTCAGATCGGGAAGGAAATCATAGAAGCATAGCTGAATTCCATCAATGCCAATTTTGTGGAGCGCCTCAATCTGGTCAGCCACCTGTTCCGGACTCCCAATGATCTCTATGTTTCCTCCGATGTTTAGGCCTTGCTTGTGGCTAGCGTCCTTTCTTCCTTTCCAAGCCTGGGCATCACTGTCGTAATGCTTGTTTTGCCCAAATGATTGAATGTTCTCTTGTCCTGGTTTACCCTTCCAGATAGCAGTGGCATAAGCATCCGCTTCTTCCGTCGTATCTCTACTTACAACGATGGGGTTAATAAGCGTCTTGATATCCCTCCCCTTCTGGCGTGCAATGTCTTTGATATTCGCAATATGTGCCGGTAGCGTCTCTAGGGCACTGTCGATGTGTGCGCCACCGGGAGAAGTAATGAATATGATATCGGATTGATCCGTGGCAAATTCGATCCCAGCAGGCGAACCAGTTGCATTGACTATCACTGGTCGCCCGTAGAGCGGTTTCGGAGATACCCAAGCATTGTTGAGCCGCCAGGTATTCCCATTACCTTTCTCAGTGGCGTCGTAGCTGATGTTCTCGTCCTCGGCCCAGAGCGACTTCACAACGTCTAGAAGCTCGGAAGACCTGGAGTATCGCTGGTCATGCTCGATTCTGCCACCAGGTGGTGCGCCAAACATCTCATGCTCGACGACGCGATGCCCAGTCACGATGTTAAGTCCCCACCGTCCTTTGGAAATGTGGTCCAGTGTAGCACCCCATTTTGCAAGATGCAGGGGATGTAGAGGTCCATAAAGTACATGGAGAGTTGATATGAGATGAATCGTCTTTGTCGCACTCGCCATTGCGCCCAAAGCTATGAAGGCGTCCAGAGATGCTTCTCCATCGTAACCACCCTTAGGCAGCCATTGCATGCGCGAAAACGCCAGCTCGAAACCCTGGCGCTCGGCCTCCTGGACACAGGCCAGATTGTAGTCATAAGTCCAGGAATTAGTTGTGGGTTGCGACGATACGTGGATATCCTGAAGGTTGAGAAAAACGCCGAGGAGTAGGGGTTGCGTGGAAATGGCTTGACTTAGTGGACTGTCTGCGAAATCTAGTGGGGACTTGATAGATGGACCGCCAGGTCGAACCGAATGAGTGGCCATATTATGTTTCCTATGATAGAATAGGATCTGTCTTGATTGGAGACTGATCTGACTCGAAGTTGCGGGTTATCTGGACTCATGTTATATGCGCTCTTGAAAGCCATGAAACTCTGATGCAGTAGGCCTGATAATGTTGCCATTATTGTTATACTGAGGAGATCAATGAATCGTCGACGCTGATTTGTTTCGAGGCTGGTGTTATCCGCATGATTCATAACCTTGTATGTTGAGGCGTGTGACGCAATTGGGCGGAACGGTGTCGCCATTGCTCCTGGATGTTAATGGGTGCATACCATGCAATCCAGCTGGCGTGCTCGGTACCTTCAAAAGCGCGATGAGAACATGGGACATCGGAAAGGGCTATTGATTGTTATATAGATGGCTGTAAGCATCCGTTACTGTTGACTTGAATAAGACTTCTCTTCCTCGTTCCGTTAAAATTACCTGGGAAGGTATAGCAGCCCGTCGTGAATATTGACAGTCGATCAGGTATGACTGAAGTAGACATCTGTATTTTGAATTTCTAGATATTCATACGAATTCCGATGAAATACTGTAGTCAATCTGACAACTCTACAGATTTGATCGATGATGCATTGATTTCAAGCTCCATTAAACTCCTTTCAACTCCCTGGCCAATCACGCTGATGGGCTGTCATCGCACTCTAATTGGCCAGGAAGTTCGAGGGAGTTTGAATATTGAAGGGTTTCAAAGAGCACATTAAATAGAATCAGAAGACATCTGGACTCGTTGTAAACATTGCCAAGATCTTACACATGACTGTACGCCGATTTTCCGTTTTAAAGGTTGTTGAGGGGGAGCTCCACATCGAATCATCGATCCTATCATCCACCTCCGCCTCCGCCTCCACCTCCACACGTCAACAGCAAGCCTTAGGCCAGTATGCGGGTATCGTTTGTCCACAGCAAGGCCAGCGCCCAGCGATCCGACAGCGAAAGTCGGGTAAAACACCAAATATTGCCCAATGGCAACAATTGAATCTGGAGCTGATAGGCCATACATATTCATATGACCCTTCCAGCCGTTAGCTAAAACTACCACTGGAATGGATCTGGCTTGTACGGAGTGTAGCCACGGGAAATTTCAATAAAAAAAAAGGAAATAAGGGCGGCATCACAAGGCCATACGACACGCAAATTAATTGCTGATCAGATGTGAGCAACAGATTTCAATGATCAAGTTTCGAACAGCTGTGCTCGCCAAATAGGACTTGATCCCTTCGCTTTTCGCCGGAAAATGAACTATTCAGCACCAGGTAATCGGCTATGAGGTGGTTAGCTTACGACTCGGGCAGAAGTGCGGAGAGGGAGTACCGCCGATTCCCCGGAAGCGTTCTGGTCACAAACACAAGCTGCCCCATCTTCGCTAACTCAATCCAGGAAGCCGTCGCAATGATGCGTCAATTGATATAACATAAGTACCAACGACGTAGGCGCGCAACGTGCGCAGACATTGATAAGTTTTCAAAGTGAAATTGTCAAACTCCACCATGTCGTCCCCAACCCCCTTACCCTTAAAATCCACCCTTGCATCACTTCCCCCTCTGTCGAAATCCTCAGACGACTTGCGGGCCCAGACAAGGCGGGAGATCCAGTCGAATCCCAGCATCCCAATCCTCGTGGCTCTTGACGACGACCCGACAGGCACGCAGACATGTCATGACATCCCAGTGCTCACCACCTGGTCCACATCCGTTTTGACCGAGGAGTTCCGGAACACTAAGCCCGGAAGCGGGTTCTTCATCCTCACAAATTCCCGGGCCTTGCATCCTCCAGAAGCCAAAGCGCTCACGGTTGAAATATGTCAAAACCTCAAGGCTGCGGCTGCGGCTGCCGGAAAGACGTTCGAAGTGGTGCTTAGAGGGGATTCTACGCTGCGGGGCCATTTCCCGGTAGAACCTCAGGCTGTGGAGGAAGCGCTAGGACAGAGCGATGCTTGGATTCTTGCGCCGTTCTTCTTGCAGGGTGGGAGGTATACGATTGACAACGTGCACTATGTCTCGGAAGGTGACACCCTCGTCCCAGCGGGCGAGACGCCGTTCGCAAAAGACGCCACGTTTGGTTACAAGAGCAGTGACCTACGAGACTGGGTGGTGGAGAAGTCGAAGGGCGCGATCGCTCGCGAGAGGGTGCAGGGCTTGAGTCTGCAAGATATTCGCACGGGTGGTCCTGATAAAATTGCCGAGATCTTGACTACGGTTCCCAAAGGCACAGTTCTGATCGCTAATTCTGCTGCTGAAGAAGATATGGACGTCATTATTCTCGGAATTCTCAAGGCATCCGTGCAGGGGAGGAAGTTCCTCTTCCGATCGGGCGCTGCCTTCGTTTCTGCGCGCCTTGGAATATCGCCCATTCCTCCTATCTCAGCGAAGCAATTGAGCCTAGATCCTAGCCGCGGTGGGCTTATAATTGCTGGTTCATATGTCCCCAAAACCACGGCGCAACTCAAGGCACTGCGGGAAAAGTCAGGAGATCGATTGACGACAGTAGAACTTGACGTCAACAAGCTCCTCGAATCACCAGAGAGCAGTGAAAAGGAATTGCAAAATGCATTGTCCATTGCGGAATCCGAACTTCTCAAACCCCAGGATGTGCTGATAATGACATCTCGCAAATTGATTGTTGGAGCGGATGAAGCGAAATCATTGGACATTGGTTCCATCGTTGCCGCGGCGCTCGTCTCGTTCCTTACAAGGTTACAGACCAAGCCCCGTTATGTCATCGCAAAGGGTGGCATCACCTCTTCAGACATGGCCACGAAAGGCTTGAGAATGAAGAAAGCCACGATTGTGGGTCAAGCCGCTGCTGGAGTGCCACTTTGGAGGTGTGACGAGCCGACCAGCAAACACCCAGGTCTGCCATATGTGGTGTTCCCAGGCAATGTAGGCGGCGATGAGACATTGTTTGAAGTGGTAGACAGATGGAGGGTATAGATTTGAGATCATTAGCATGCAGTATAATACATCATCCATGACAAATGAAGCCAGGATCAATTTCCAACTTTTACTCCCTCTTCAATCCTACGTTTCCGGCTTTCCTCAACCCAAAGACAGCGATAGCACCACAAGCCATCATCGCAGCAAACATAGTCCAGAAACTGGCTCGATATCCGCGCAACGTATCTCCCTTACTAACATTCTCGAATGCGTCTCCCTCACCACCGTGTCCACCCCCGCCTTTTGCGCTTCCCATCACTCCAAGCGCCACGACCTGACAAAGGCCAATCCCTAGACTCATACCAAACTGAGAAACTGTATTGAAGATGGCTCCAGCAAGCGCCTGCGTTTTCTCAGGGAAGTTCTCGCTAACAATGATAAGGCCAACGGTGAACATAATATCCCCAGAGAATGGCGCAAAGATCTGAGCCCAAAACTCCATGTACCAGTACGACCAATTTGGATCCACAACAGCCATGAAAAGGGGTGCAAGAGCACAGATGAAAGACGAAACGACCACGAGCCAGCGGGCGGGTAATCTATCGACGAAGAGACCCATGGATAGATTCAGAACAACACCTACCATCAAGTTGGGGAGTAAGTTGAGCGAGGCTGAAAGGGCAGAACGTTCTTGAACTTCTTGGAAGTACAGACTGGAGAAAAGCTCCATGGAGTTCATGACTCCATAGGAGATGACGACCATAATGCATGTGCTGGCGAATGGGATGTTCTTCCAGAGAACATTGGGGACCAAGGCGGGCTTTCCATTGCGTGTACGGTAGCTCATCCAGAAGGGGAAGGCGATCAGGAGGGCAATGCTAAGTGCGAGTAAAGATGCTGTGGTAGGGGTGCTGATGGTTGATAAATCTGCACTTAGAATGCTAGAATGAAATATTAGTAGAAGTCGACTTCTCAGTTATTTGGTATATGAGATATACATACGCAAGGACATAAGCCAGGATTGCCAACCCTCCACTTGCAATAACACCACCCACCCAATCAATGTCTGTCCAAACCTTCCGTAAGAGCTGAATACCCTTCTCCGGATGCTCATCGCTCTTCACCTTCGGCAATGACCAAATTGCAATAATGGAGGCGACCAACATTGCACCACCAGAAAGATAAAATCCAGACCTCCAACCAGCCGTTTCAACAAGCACACCACTAACCACGAGCCCAACTGAGAAGCCTAGCGGCTGGCTCAGGCCCAAGCATGCGAAGCCGATGTTCCTTGCCCTCCCTTGCGGAACGGCGTTGGCAACAAGAGCGACACTTGCGGGCAGATGCATTGCCGTTGCGATTCCTTGCAGCGCACGGAAAACCACCAATTGAATACCCGTCGTTGCAAGACCGCATGCTAGAGTGAAGCAGCCTAGGAGAAAAATTCCAAGAAGTTCGACTAGTCGAGCTCCCACAATGTCAGCAATGGAACCTGCGATAAGCAGCATGGCTCCAGCCGTCAAGCCGTAGACTGAAGATGGCCATAGGTACAACGCACGCGGTAGCGAGACAGAGCGCGCAATCGCCGGGAGCCCTACGGTGATGATGCCATTCGTAAAGCTGCTCAGAAAATTTACGAAAGAAGGTTGGAAAATGATGATGACGGTTCGGAGCAAAGATGTTGGTTTGGGTTCCGCTAGAATAGGAGCCATAGGTTCTTCATTGATGGCATTGTTTGATGATATGAAGCCATTGGCATTTCCGACAAGGCCTGAGCGGGATGAGTCGAAGGACCCCTTAGCATTCTGTGCATGAAGGAATGAAGCGCGACGGATCGAGTGTTCGGCTTTGACCGTTGATTGTAACTCAATCGTCTCTGTCTCGACTGTGGTACTCATCGTAGCACGATGCGATAAACCAATGTTGGGTATATTTTCGGAACATTTCTATCAAAGGATTGCTCATTTTTATATATTCCGATGATGAGACGTAGGATTCCTTGGTGGAGAAGCTAATTAGTCACTTCTGGAGCCAGTTAACAAATCCTTTCATTCTAGTGCTCCGCCCTGTAGTTGACACTTCTGACACAAAACTCCCGTTGTAGTTTAGGTCTGACGGGAATGCGCTCGCTAGATCCCAGGTAGGACTAGTGTATTCCCATTCGGGTTTTATTCAAGTAAAATCTGTACGATGTCATGATGTGAGCATTCGGGTAGTCAAGCTCTTGGGCGTTTCTTGCATTGTGTTCGTATTGTTGCGTATGCGACATCGGATCGGAGGGTATTATATAATTTGTTATGTATTCTTCTCAGCTCTTGTATGTTTGAATGATGATTGAGGTATACTTGAATATCGTCAATGCCGATAAGAGGAACATAAACCCTAAGTATTGTAATCTCTTCGGAATGAAAAGTGCTATTGGTTTTCATGACGAAGCAATATTTTGGTGGAATATAAACAGCACACATGTGTTATTCGGGTTCGATTTGGATCTACCGTGCAAAAGAGAGCCCTCCTTGAGAATGCGTTACTAGCGATAAAGTTGCGTGCATTAGCATTCCGTGCATTGTTTAGCTCAAATGTACCGCATCATCTGGTCGTGACTTAGTATGGTAGGCCCAAATGAGCGCACCTCTCGTCCAGTTAAATCAACAGAAGTAGGGTTTTGGCTTTAGACTTCGCGTCCAAATCTTCATTGTGAGCGACTTCTGGGGTTTATATGGAGACCCAGCAAACAGCGATAAGCCTGCTCAAGGCGAGCTTATTAACTTGTGGGCTGCGCGAACTGAGAAGCAACAGCTGCTCAATGCAATTGAAGCTGCTTCCAAGGTCCCTAGCCTATTCTGAACATTGAGTCGTCAGTCTTCACAATCACTCCACCATATTTCATTCAGCGGCGCCAAGTTTCCGAAGCCGTGACAGTAATTCAGCGCACAATCTCTGTGGCCGAACAGACCTACAAGACGCCCAAGATTCGGATCCACACTTTCAGTAATGGCGGCTCTAATACAGCCACCCAAGTCATTCGCGTATTCAAGGAGAAGACCGGCCAAAAGATCCCACTTCAAGTGGTATCATCTGCGATTCCGGACCTGCCAAGGGCGAATACTGGAAGTCGTACCGTAGCATTATACTGTCGCTGCCACAAACGTTCATAACTCCCATTGTGGGCCCTTTCATCGCGCACGCAATCCCTGTCGAATCTCGGAGTGGAGCGGCTTTGGGATTTTATCCTCTTTTTGAGGACCTCATCCGCAATACTTTGCTGAACGATGAGACTACGACACAGAGGGAAGGTGCACAAAGAAGGATCACACATGTGTGGAGCAAAACCGACAAGATGGTAGACTGGAAGGACGTGATCGAACACAGCGAGATTGCGCAAAGAAAGGGATGGCAGGCTAAGAGCGTCGAGTTCTTGCAGAGCGAGCACTGTGGACATCTAAGAGTTGATAGTGAAAAGTATGACCGGACTATTAAAGAGATGTGGTATAATTAAATACTTATACTAACTATTGTTTATTACGGGTATATGTATTGACGCAGGATGCTAGAGAGGTCTGAAACGTGTGTGTATCCACTACAAGGTGTATAGGAGCACTAGGATAGGTAACGCAAGGACAGGTCTCTATTCCTATAGGTCTTGTACAAAGGATACTTCAAAACTATCAAATCTACGTGTAGGGGTAGGTCTCGCTATAGTCTGTGCTGAGCATGTAGGAGTACAGACCCGAGTCGGATAGTTCTTGGGACGCGTACAAGGGTCAGTTCTCACATAGTCGATATGTAAGGATATTAGAGCTTTGATCCTTTCTCTCCTGCCCTCTGAAACGAGAGAAGACTAGGACGAAGCAAAGAGGCCAACTGTGCGATCAGCCTTCCCTTTTTGACCGACAATCTTCTTCGAAGGTACATTAGGCCCTAACTGAGGCTTGCTCCAGTCGACTCTGTGTTTTGCAGCAGGGTCAGTATCCATTGCATGTAAAATTGTGGTAAAACCTACGATTGAGTTCTGGCCCTGATAAAATCCTGAAACAGGTGTCTCTCTTTAATTCTCCATTCGTCTCCTCTCTTCTCGAAGTAATCAAAGTATCTTCCATTGACTTCTTGATCCATATCACCATCTTCTGTTGGCATTCTCCCCAGGGAAGTGAAATACGTCTCCACCTTGGCTTCGGTGGGTGAAACGAATTGTATCAGACTCTGGTGGATTTGATGCTGTCCTGGGCCGAGACGAGAGAGAAGAGGGGTGATGAATCCAACGAATTCTTCGATAGCCTTTGGTTCTCCGTAGTCGATGATACCTCCCGGCCATACGCTCTTCAACAAAAGTTCTCCATCAATTCTGTCAAGCCCTCGCGAGTACCTGAGGTAAAAGCTTGTTAGCAGACAAGAACAGTATCAAGAACCACTTAGAAGACTCAACAGGTTCAGGGCATTTCTGATCTTGTCAGAATCGCTGATTTCGGGCAAAGACATTTGTGAGTTGATGGCCTTGACGAAATGGCTAGGTGGAGATGGTGCAAAGTGGAGGAGAGAGAGAAAGTTGGATACAAAATCTACTAAATACGCGTCATTTTGCCAAACCCATATGGATTATGCACCCCTCGGGTCAACAAAAGGGAAAGTCACCGAGATCGCTGATAAATCAGCGACGTCATTGGGGGGTTAACGAGCGGAGGAACGTACTTTATGTTTGTACTCACTTCATAATTGCGCAATTGTATTGATCAACTTACCAACACTAGAGTGATACGCAGTAGCTAATTCTGCATACCAGGACAGCTTCCTTTTCTAAAATTACAGTCGTGTTGTCTTTCTGGTTTCCATTTTGCACATTGCAGCTAGTCGTGCCAGAACGCCGACCTCAGGTACCACAGCCCTGGTAGCATACCTGCGAGGTTTTACGTCCGTCCAGACTTCGTACACTCATGTCAAAGTGCAACCAGCATTTCAGAACAATGTTATACCAGCTGTGGCGGCCACGTGGCGCTGATCTTCGCGCTGTTGCCTCGTTCACTGGTACCTCTTTGATTTTGACTTTGACTTTAATTCCTACGCCCTTCCAGACCGTGTTGGTCTATGTGGGGATCTAGCGGTCTACTACTATTTGTCACGGTCGATGTTGATTGCTGGTACGGAGTACATGTGGAGGGTCTGCAGACACTGCACTAGGGTTCTGTTCTAGAGTGACACTCCTCTTGCTGCCGGCAGAGAGTCGAAATTACCTTTGCAGATCCCTGCACCTATACTTCTAATTTGTAGTCCTTGCATCCAGTCTCCCTATGTCCTTTACATATGAAATAGCCTCTCGTACGGTCTGCATGGTCGGCCGCCATTTCTCAATAGGTCCATCTAACTTCTCGGATGAGTATGCGCCACACATTCTGGTCACTGTGAGCTTTTCAAGTTCTTCTCGTTTCCGTCGTCGTTTTCTATGTGCATCCCATCTTGGGCACTCTAGCAGAAAGTGCTCGACCGTCTCTTTGTTACCGTACTCGCATAGTTCGCTGTCGACCTGCCCAATCTTGAACAGGTAAGCATTCAACCTGCAGTACCCTCCTCGTAGCTGGTTTAGTATTGCTGAATCCATTCGATTCAGTCCATCATAGAGTTTGCGGACATGCCGCCCCGGAAGTGCTGTCTAGCCCTCTCAGGTGTCTCGCCACATTTAAAGACAGGAAATGTGCATGCTTCAGGTCTTGGCAATATTTCTCCAACTTTCGGCTTTCTTTTAACGTGAATTTCTTGTTTGTCGGGATGCGCCCAATTCGGTGGCCGAGTGTGCTAAATCGTGTGCTATTTCATTGCCTAAGACACCTGAATGGCTCGGAACCCAGCTGAACTGGATTCTGAGCTGCTGTTGCCCTGCTATCTTGAGTAGACCATAGACTTGTCGTAGTGTTTCGGTTTTGTGCCTGCCTGGTCTTTGAAGAATGTGTAGTGCCCTCTCGCTGTCTGTCATGATATGGTAGGAGATCGGCCCATGTCGTATCCCATAGATCGAATCTTCGACAATGGTCCGCACGGCTAATCGGATTGCTTCGAGTTCGACCTGTGTCGGATCCGCATGTGGGCCCCAATCTATTGTGGGCAAGACCTAGAAGCTAAACAGCAGTAGAGGATAGACTCCCAAGCCAGCAAGGCCATATCCGACCGAACCGTCAGTGTAGAAAATTATCGAGTAGTGATCAGCGGCCACCTTCTGCACCCATTCTTTTGCTTCGTCCTCACTCTGTATCAGGGGTTTTGGGCCTGCTTGCCACGGCGGCTTGACGAAGGCTGGGATGCTATCGATGTCCCGTTGGTCCATGACCCCGTACATCGTTGCTGTCACTTCTAGCGGTGACCGAAACCTTGCGGTTTGCTCCAGTCGTTCAATAAGGTGCCAGCTAACGTGATGTTGCGGCTTATATTGAAGGCGAAGCCAGTCTCTTCGTACTTGCTGGTGGAGCCTGTCGTGTGATAACTCCAGGCCCGCTTCGACCATCGCCGCAGCTATAGCCTGCTGGTTTGAACATTTCAGTGATGGCAACTGCTCCAATTTTCATAGCCCGGTTGATGCGACTCGGAAGCAATCGTCATCAAACACATCAGAGCCATTTCCGTCATCAGAAGACCCGGCAAAGTGAGTGTAGAGAGCTGGACCCAGGGGTTCGTTAGCGAAGCAAGCTGGCCAGCTCGCTCACGCAAGACGCCTTCGACAGCGTCAGGCAGATTGTGGATGCTGTCTGGCAGGGCATGCACTGCACTTTCAAGACTACCAGCCACGAATTGTTGAATCAACATATATTCAGCGTGACTAACTTTCTCTGTATAACCGCTATCAGTCACAGAATGCAAAACTCTAGATATGGCTGCTAGTAACGTGACGCAGGGCTATATTTTTGAGGTCTGCGGGCATGGTCTCGCGTTGAAAGCTGAGGTGAGGCTTCCTAACGTGTTGCTGTGATTTTTGGTCGATAGGGAAAAGTTAGGATTGGAGAGTTTCCTGGTAAATATTTACCTACTGTGTGCAAAAGTATGATTTGTAATCTCCTTCCTCAGTGCAACTTTGCAACCTTGGAACTCAATCTGCACTTTGCCCCTCACATGTTCGGCCGAACCAATCACCTTTCAGCGGCCACAAGTATTCCATTTTTTACGTCCGTTTCCGTCTAATCTATGTACCACAAATCGCACTCTTAGGTCCATAACATGGTGGTCCCAGACAAAATGTGACAAGAGTCGACAGGAAACGGATGATCTTATATAAAAGGCCTATCTCAACGTCTTGAAATCAAACAAGCCACTTCGAAGTACAAGCCTGATACGGTGCTTTCTCAACATGGCCTATCCTTCAACCTATTCTGCCTGGCGCCGTAGCGGCCTCAAAGGCTCTAAAGAGAGCCCTTTAACCATCAGCCGTTCTGACAATGAGGAACTTCCCTCGACTCTCGGCCCCAACGATGTCATCATCAGAATCCACGCCGTCTCCCTCAATTACCGCGAAATTGCCATGCTAAACGGCACTTACCCTGTAGATATCCAGGATAAAGGAATACCCTGCTCAGATGCCGCAGCTGAGGTGGTCGCCACTGGATCCGCGGTGTCGCGGTTTTCCTTTGGAGACCGCGTTTCCCCAAACACCAGTATAGGGAAGACATATGAGGGCGGGAATGATGGACATGGTGTTGGAGTGGGGACGAATTCACCGGGTGTGCTGAGAGAGTATGCGGTGTTCAATGAAGAGCATTTGGTTAAGCTGCCAAAGCATATGTCTTGGGAAGAGGTAAGTTATGCCCGAATGCTTGATCTTGGAAGTCTTTTTGACTCTGTAAAGGCCTCCACGCTCGCCTGTGCAGGCGTCACGGCGTGGAATTCGCTCAATGGACTCAGAAATGTTCCGCAAGGCGCATACGCCCTGCTTCAAGGTAAAGTCCACTAGTCAATTCGTGCAAGGTCTTTCCTCAAATCTTGCAGGTACCGGCGGCGTCAGCATGTTCTCGCTGATTTTGTGCTTGTCTGCTGGAATCCGGCCAATTATTACCTCCTCGTCGGATGAGAAAATCGCTGCGATCAAAAAACTTAGTCCGGAGATCCAAGGTCTGAACTACAAGTCTGTCGCTGATCAAGGAGCCGAGATCAAGCGCCTCACGAATGGAAGGGGTGTCCACTTTGTTGTCAACAATACTGGACCTGCATCTCTAATGGAAGATATCAGCTTCTTGTGCGAGAGGGGTGGTACAGTATCGCTGGTCGGCTTCTTGGCTGGCTTCGATGCTGATTGGGCGCCCGGTCGGATTATGGCTTTGATGCATAAGATGGCGACGCTGAAGCAGGTATCCTGTATCCCGTTTGCCTGAGTATCGCTAATGTTTTCAGGGGTATTGCCATGGGTACCCGAGACGACTTTGAGGAGATGAACCGCTATCTGGAAGAGAAAAAGGTCCATGTCGACTCGTTGTTAAACGATGAGCCATTCGCTTTCGCAAACGCGAAGAATGCCTATGAGCACCTAGAGTCTGGGAACTTCCATGGAAAGGTCATTATCAGAATATGAAAGATAAAGTACTTAATGGTATATTACACCTAGTGTCGCCTTATAAGGTATTGCTAAGAACGAGGTTTCGTGCTAGTCCCGGCAGATATGCCGCATTGGATTATACCTATAGAGGGTAGGCGCGTCGGGCTGGCCGCCTGCTAATGTTTATAGCTTATACAAGGTACAACTCGTGCATTTACAGCCTCTGATATGTTGTAGTAGAGCTGCTTAAGGTTAAAAGATACATGATACTAGCAGGTGGCCAGCTGCAGCGTTGAAGCTCCCATTTCTTGCAACTAATGCTGCAACTGCGGGACGTGGTACTGAGTCTAGCCCATGTCTCTTATGTGGAAAATTTACACAGGAAATCCTGTCAATCCCAGCTGCTGCACGTTGCAGTCTAGCCCTTCAGATCCCCCTTCTACTATCGCTAAGGCGGGTACTCAGGCAATTATATCAAGATACCCAGGTTTACTCACTAATTGCTTGCTTCCAGGTAGAAACGAGGGAAACGCCGGGCATCATCTCCTACCTGCCATGATATGGCTACCTGTTTTGCACGCTTTGCAGGAGCGCCATTCCCCGCAGGGTACTCCTCAATCATCTTCAACGACATTACGGCATCAGCAGCAGCCTATCCACAACTATACTTTGCCGATACGAACATCTTCCTGTAGCGCAGGAAGACTCGGATATCATTTCACTTCCCAATGACAGCCGTGTCTTGTCGTTCCTAGCGGCTCCTGTCCAGGGTTTCAGCTGCCCACATATTGCATCTAGCTCACGATACATTGGGGCGAATTTCGAAAGCATCTTAGGTTCAACGCCTGCAGGCAGCTTGAAACCCGCCCTAGGCTTTCGTATCTGCAGCTACCCGAGATGCCAATCTCCTTTCTCAGTCAGAATTGACACCGTATGAATGATGATAAAAGCTGCATTGCGTTGGCTAGATATCCACATACTCATGCTCCTCCTTGCCACCATCAGTCGCTCCAACATTTAGTACGGATCCTGCGAGCCCATACCATATATCAACACCCAAACCAGACATTACACTTGGGCTTGATCATAATGGCTTTGAGCTACATCAGCAACAGCGTCTCGTTTATCATCAGGCGTTTGGATCGATACTTAGTGACCCACATGCTGCTGAAATGGGTATACGGTTTCCATTCCTAATTGGAGAAGCGAAAGAATTGAGCCAGAATGGCAACTTGGTGAGTGCGCAGAATCAAGCTAGCGTTGCTGGAGCATCTATGCTTGCAATCTTGAACGACCTTCGCGACCAAGCCCAATGGAACACACACTTGGCGGCTGACAATAAGTCAGCTTTCAAAGAGATGCCAGTGCTTGTTTTTTTTTATCGTTACTGAAGGCGCAATACACGAAATGTGGGTACATTTTGAGTATCAAAGCGCTTATCACGCGCACTGCTCTCGATCATTTCGGGCAACTCATTTTCATGATACAAAGCAATTTGTTCTCTTCATTTCTCGAATTGTGGAGTGGGGTGCTGGGGCATATCGGGATGGCATCATGAAGAAGCTGGATCAGGTGCCACGCGTTTTGACGACTGAATAGCTGCTAGATTATGACAATTTATGATAGCGTCTACGTGTCTTTAATCCTTTTAGTGTCTGTAGAGTAAGGAAGTGGCTTATATACGAACTTTATTTTTATTTGACAAAGGTTTAGACAAGAAAGTTGGTTACTAAGAAGGTATCATTCCTGGGACCACTCCCTTACGTGCTGTTTAAAGCAGTCTCTAAGTGCATCCTGAGCCTCAGGTCCTGACCAAGAATTGTCGCATATCTTGCACCTTGTCTTTGTAGATTAGAATTCTATCACAAGTGTTGTGGAGAGAGAATTACCTTTCTAAAGTTGTATATATGTGATATAGGGGCCGATGCACAAAAGGCGATACATTTAGAAGTTTCGCACAGGAGGTAGTACGTCGCGCAAGAGAACGCTTGCCAGTAGCGGGGCAAAGCTACCGATGTGACCGGGGTGACTGAAGTGACTGAAGTAAAGCTGCTTAGGATCACCTGCGTGTGCGCTTGTTTGGCGCTCATATCCTTAGCGACTTGCGTAGCATGAGCCTAGGATATGAATTGCCCCACAACGGCCTTTGCAGGAGAGATTTACATGACATCAGAAATTGACTGAGCCCCGAAAGCAACAGCGGCGGGCCGCTTAAGCCAAATGTTTCCTTGTCTGAGCCCCCAAAGCTGCAGATTCAGTGCGTTTGGGCGGGAACTTGCGATTTACACAGGTTATAAGAGGCTATGCTGTAGTGCAACTCTGAGGCCGCTTCGCGCTTGATAGGTGAGCTTTCGGTGCTAATTCACATTGTAATCTCTTCGAAATGAAAAGTCCTAACTATTGATTTTCATGACAAAGCAATATTTTAGTGGAATATAAACAGCACACGTGTGTTAGTCGGGTTCGATTTACATTTGGTGTATCGTTGTTGTATGGCCCATTTTATGTATACTCATCTAGGTTACAATTTGAATCACGGCCAGCATTGCCTCCATCATATTTTACAAACCTCGACGCAATGTTATATCACTCTTGGGACATGACTTGGTACATAAAACGCTTTATAGGGATACTGGGTGCAAACTATCTAAAAAAAAAAAATAGGCAGATACTCCAGCAAAACTTACTCCTATCATGATACTTTCGGCAAGAGAAGAAGTAATAAAAGCATCCTGTATGGCCCTACAACTACGCCTCAATTGATGGTTCAATCCCCTATATATGAGGTCTTCTCACTTCCTCTTCTCCTCAGTAACCTACAAAAGCACAAAACAGTCAACGCTAGAAAGATCGACCCCACCAACGCCCCGATCACAACCCCAACGATAGTCCCAGCACCTAACCTTGCGGGTTGGGATTGCTTAGCATGGGATATCTCAGATATCCTCGGCCCGGGTGGTGTAGATGGCTCAGTCCACGGTGTCTCACAGTCTGGTACACATGTCTTTCCATCCTCTATGGCGTATTGTGCAAACACCGGGCTTGCGAACAATACATCATTGCTGGGATTGAAAGTTGCAGTGGCGTCTGAGCGTGTGCTCGAAGCAGACTCGACAACCGTGAGAGTCCAGGGCGGAGCGCCCGAGAAACCGAGTTTCGTAGCAACGCAGCTGAAATCAGATCGCGGCCTGTCCACGGAATCAGTCGTGGTTGGTTGGTAGGGAGTTTGAAAGGTGAAACTGTGGATTCTGGTTTTCTGTTAGAACGAAAGTAGACATGGATTTTCTAAGGTTGGACAGGCTTCCTTACTCTGGACAGCAGACTATGGATCGATAAGTCGTCCCAGCTGTGGTGTATTCTCCAATGGAAGCATCGGTGTATGACACTGGGCATTGCGAATTGGGATGCAATATCCGATCTGGAATGCAGTCTCCATCACCTTCAGCGCGGGGGTTGCCAAGATGGTAATAGCTGCACTCCGACTCTGGTCGTCCGCATTGGGCTGTGACTCTCCAAATGCTCGCTAGGCACCTGGAACTTGGTGTGAACTGTGGAATAGGTGGTACAGTTGTTCTAGCATCGTAAGAACTGGCTGAAATTATTGACATAGTAGAGCTTTAGTCTAAACACTTTCTTAGATCAGTCGTGAAAGTGGGACGAAGGCTTCCTATTGAAGCCCGATGTTCTCTTTGAAATGTTCCTCACAATCCTTCGGATCCTCCCAAGAGCGAATTTAACCGGTCCGTTCACATGTTCGATAACCAACCTATCGATATGAACACGACGAGGAACAATATAAATAGATGCTCATCCTGTGATCTCATATGCCTTTAATACCGTTGCGCAGATCCTCGTATCACGCAAGAAATCGAATAAAGTAGAGAACGCCACAGACCACTCATTCACTTTTTTGGACATGATTTAGTGTTCGTCGACGAGTGGTGCGGTAACAGGATTGATCTTTAGATGATTAAAAATCCATATTATTTCCTAACATTTTATTCACGACTCCAAATTAGGATGCATCCGTTGGTAAACCTTGGATTTTCTTACCCTCATTGAAATCTCCAATCCGCCCTTCTTGGTCCCATAATGCTGCCAGCACTGTCCTCTTTCCTATCCACGGGCGTCTTGAATGCATAACAGCACAGTTCTATCACAGTTAGTATACCAATTCCAAAGAAAAACCATGCGCAACTGAAGTTTACAACTTACATCAATCAGAACGATGTCGCCTCGCTCCCACTGAACGTCAACTTGCATTTCCTCGGCAATGTTAAGAGCCAGCTCTAGGAACTCTGTTTCGATGATAGTTCCGTCTCCGTATAGAGGTGGTGGATGATACGAGTCATCGTCTCCACGATATGGAGGTTGTGTGGCACCATGGTGACGAGCTCTTCCATAAGCGCTGGTCAGGTTGCCAAACCAGGTCGTCAGACCGGTCTCTGTATGCTTTCGGATAACTGAAGATGATGTCAACAGAGAAGTTCAAGTGGTTTGGTCGGTGCCAACAGAATAGGAGATCTTACTCGGGACAACATGCGTTACACTCAAGCTGCCATCGTCATGCCATTCAAAACGATTGCTGTGTCTCCGAACCTCAGCCTCTATTTTCGTTCGAATTGTCTCATCGTCATCGCCAGCCTCGACATGCTGTCCGTAGGCGGCAAAAATACTGGCGCCAGTATTTGATTTTACTTGTTCACGACCGTATCGATAGACGTATTTGACTCCCTTCTGCAGCAGATTCTGATAAAATTCTGGTGCTCGCTCTCGTAAAGCATTTGCAAGGCCGATGCTTGAGATGATGGGAGTGGCACCACCTGACTCTGGCAATTCTAGAGCGCAGAAGGTGAGCCATTCGGGATGTATTGTCGACCAACCATATTCATTGTGAGGCCAAATGGGCAGTTCTGGCGGCCTAAGTAGTTTATTATCAGTAAGGGTAATCCCAAAGCCATCTGTAACTTGTACAACGTACCCTTCATTTGCAGTCTTTACATTCGGTGCCAACACTGTCCGGATAGGTGGTCTCCCAACCTCTTCATGTGCGGCGAATCCAAAGGCATGAGCTACTTTGCTGTAGTCATCTGGAGTGTTGATAGGAAATCCTCGGAACAGCACAGCACCGCCATGCTTCCGAACAATCTCAAAGAGTTGGCCAGATCTTCGCAATTCAGCGATGGCCGAGATCGCTTCCTCTAATGAAGGCTTGAACCCCTCCTGAGTCTTGAGAGCCAAAGGGAAAGCATGATTTTCTGGGAATCCAAATGAAGCAGTTGGTTGCTGGCCCTCAAAGGTGAACTCTTCGAAATGTGGTAGTGCAGCAACCATGATTGTGCGTTGATTGTTTATGCAATTGATGTCTACAATTATGGTCAGATCTCTTGAAATCACAACACGAAGCACGGAAATGCATAGACTATAGGTATACACTCAACACAGCCGAATGACTCAAGTATTCTTTGATAGACAAATCAGTGCGTGTCAGATATCCTATCTATCGACGTTGGTGATTGGTTCGGCGTGATGCTGGCAGAGGCGCCGGAATCGGACGACATATTTTTTAACTTATTTCCGGATATGTGGTGCACAATTGTATGCGACATTCGAGTTCAAATGGCATCGCAATCCAAGGTTTCGATTGCGCGATTGGGATAGTGGAGACTATGCTGATACAAGCCTTTTCCTTTACTCGTGTAGGAAAGGCTGGCGGCTTCGGAACCTCGGAAATCGGGTCGGAACCCATTAGCGACGACTACCAAGACCCCTTGGGGCGCCAGCTTGATTGCCTGATATAATGTTTCCCGGAAAACATTATTGTAACCAGTCATTAGTGTCGTCGATTATGGACGTGTCAGCTACTCGCTATAATATTGACTCTTGGAAGACATGATTTAGTGTTCGCCAAAGAAAGACCTAGCTTTGCCGACATCTGCATCAGAGAATCATGGCGTTCGAGCACGCAATGAACAAGTTTTCAGGAGGTCTGAGTGGAGACATGGAACCAGCAACATGGTAGCCGGAATGTCAGAATATAAGGACCCACGTTAGTCTGCGCAGATCACATCCCCGACATCTCAGCAACGCTTATTGCATTTCTTCTTTTTGGTTCCCTTCTAAGGTGCCTTCTTTCCGAGCACCATTGAACGCACAGCATGGCGGACCAGATCAAACGTCTTGATGTTGGCGAGACAGAAGGTTCTTCAGATGGCGACAATGTCCTTCCCCAAGAGCGATACAACTGGCTTCGTGGTGTCTTCTTCCAGGCCACCGTCGTTGGATTATGTGCATTCGCGGCGCCTGGACTGTGGAATGCCATGAGCTCCGTTGGAGCAGGAGGTCAACAAACCCCATACTTGGTCATGTAGGTTACTGGTATCTATGTACTGTCAACATGACTAACGCGCTGAGATAGGGCCGGTAATGCCGTTCTGTTTTCCCTGATGACCTTCACTTGTCTGACGGGTTCGGTCCTTGCAAATCAGATCGGCTTGAAGTACCTTATGATCCTCGGTACCACTGGATACGTACTCTATTCTGCAGCTCTTTACCAAAACAACCGATATGGCACAGTTTGGTTCATTTATGTTGGTTCAGCAGCCTGCGGCATTACAGCCGGTTGGTTCTGGGCTGCCGAGGGTGCCATTATGCTGAGCTACCCACCACCTGAAAGCCGGGGGAAGTATCTAGCTTACTGGCTTGCATATCGGAACAGCGGTGCCATCCTTGGTGGAGCTATCAATTTGGGCTTCAATGCTAGTGGAAAGCGACTTGGAAAGCTGGACTGGAGAACCTATATTGTGTTTGTCGTTCTTCGTAAGTCAATTCTCGTGCTCTGCTGTTCTTGGCTAACATGAATGAAAGAATGCCTTGGTCCCGCAGTCGCGATGCTTCTTTCGCCACCCGAGAAGGTGCAAAGAAGGAATGGTACTAAAGTTAAACTCCTTCCACATGTACCTGCTGGTGAAGAGATCAGAGAGACGTTGAAGTTGATGCTGCGAAAGGAATTCTTTCTCCTGTAAGTTTAATAGACTGGAAGTGTCATCGTCTCAGAATGGCAATCTAATAACGTTCAGTGTGCCCTACTTCCTTTACGTCACCTGGTCTCTCCCATATATCGGATCATACATGACGACGTACTTCAGCGTCCGCTCCCGAGCACTTGCCTCCCTCGTAACAGCCCTCGCGCAAGTTCTCGCAACAGGAATCATGGGTACGTTCCTCGACTGGAAACGGCTTTCCCTCAACAAGCGAGCGATATTCGGTTTTCTCGGAATGATGACGATAAGCTGTGGAACGTGGGTCTGGGCTCTCGTCATCCAGCACAAATACCAACTCAATAAACCGGCACTAGACTGGGCGGACTCTGCATTCGGCGAGGGTTGGGCCTTGTATGTATTCCAGCAAGTGGAATTTGCCTTGACATATAACTACGGCTACTGGGTCTTGGGTTTCCTTGCAAAGCGCCCGGCGGAGGTTGTTCGGTATAGCTCTGTCGCTCGTGGTGTTGAGGCTGCAGGCCAATGCATTGCATCGGGTATCAGCTCCACAAAGAGCCCAGTATGTCTCCCTATTTCAGAATTGTTGAAGCTTGCTAACATAATCGAAGTTGATCATCTCTGCCGGACTGATTATGGCTTGGTGGGGTATTGCATTGATTCCTGGATTCCTCGTTGTGAGACAGATTGGCATCGAGCACGTGGGAGCCGAGGGCTATGTGCCAGAGCTGAAGTCAACCGATAGCAATGCGGATGAACAATCCCAGACTGGAACGAAAGTATAACAACGCCCTTTTCAATGGTTCCACGGATAAACAAAGATCTAGAAATAGGAAATAATTTCACAAGCAATCAAATTTGACTTGCAGATCGAATAAGAACTTCTTTCGTATCAGACTGTGCCGTCTCTCGAGTTGAAACAGAGTTATAGGAAGCGAATGGTGGACTTCATCCAGCGAAGGCGCGCAAGCGAAAGAGTGCAAAGACACCAAGATTCATCAAATGCAGGGCTTAAATTTGGCGTCTTGGCCGCCCTACATAAATCCAACGTCGATATGTATTGTTTATTTCGCATCGTTCATTCTTTCACAGACTACCATAATGCCTTTGTTAAAACTAATCTGGATCTCACGATAATAGGCATTCACGCATTCCCAGAAACCATGCGACGGATTTCACGCGTTTTGGAATGCGTAACGCGTCGCACCCGTAGCACTGGGCACCCAAGGTCTTGCGTTACCAACACTCGGCACGGTGGTATGGTCTACAGCTCCAATAGCCGATATGTACGTCCGATCTCTTTGAAGTTCGGGATATCTGTACTTATCCAGGCCAGGATGTTACAGATAGTATGCGGGAAAGCAATCGTAGATTAACCTGCATATCTAGCGGATGAATTGCCAGATATGGTACCGGGAGTGGTTTGTTCATTGCAGCCTCTGCAAAGGCGATTTATCCTTGGATTTGACGGCTCTGTCGATTGAAAGATTGTTTTCATGTAGTACCACGTTACTCATTCAAGATTTCCTTTGCCCCGCAGCTGTGGTCCAGGCACGTTCAATCAGTCTTAACCTGGGCGCGCAACTCTTCCAGATACCCATGTCTCACGCTTGAGTCAGGGTAAACACCATTTTCAAGTACGACTTGTCGAGGCAGTCTACGAAATAATGAGTCTCAATGTTAATCTAACTTTGGTGTCGGGAATGTGCCCGGATATTTCTTCATAACACCGGAACCATTACTTTCGCAACGATGAGTTTAAAGTGGTGGCTTTCACACATACACATCCCGTTCAAGCTGCCAGTACTGTCGCGCGGCACGAGGCCAGTCCGTGATCGTGTCAATCACATCCAGATTGGAGGCATTGCCGGGGTGCGATATCACCATCCCCGCTTCGACTGCCAGCAAGTTGCAGCTGATAAGAGCGATTTTACAGGCTGTTGCAGCTTTACACCGGCATAAGATGGCATGGGCGCGCACTTTTGATTTCTTCCCAAACATCTTGCTTTGGAAATAGAAACTACTACTCCTTACTACCAACGCCATGGCCAGCGAGGCCAAAGAATTCGACACGCCGATTGAGGTACGCAAGCTTTCCACGCAGCACGAAAATGCCGAAGAAGTGCGAGAAGCCATCGAAGTCGAACACACCCTCACATTCTGGCAAGCCGTGAAATTCTACCCAAAAGCTATAGGATGGTCTATGTACTTCAGCTTAGGGGTGATCATGTTGTGTAAGCTCCATAGACCGACCCCGCATCGTCTATTACGAATAACGCCGTTCTGATCTCCGCATGTTATAGCATTTGATCCCCAACTTCTTGGCAATCTCTACGCAATGCCTGCCTTTCAGAAAGATTTCGGCTACGTGTATGAGGGCGAATACATTATCTCCGCAGCTTGGCAGACAGGCCTTGGTATGGGTAATCCAATCGGACAGGTGCTGGGTGCTTTGGCTGCTGGCTATCCTATGGAATGGTATGGCCGAAAGAAGACATTCAATGCCTGTGTGATTGCAGTCGCTGGCCTGGTTTTTATTCAGTTTTTCGCTAGGTCTTTGAAAGTGCTTCTTGCGGGGGAGCTACTTGCCGGCCTCGTGTTGGGCGCATTCGTCGTTATCGCGCCATCTTATGCCTCTGAGGTTACGCCTTTGGCCATGCGAAGTGTGTCCACGTCTTATGTCAACCTATGCTTTGTCACTGGCCAACTTTTGGGAAATGGGGTAACCGCTGCGACAAAAGACATTAATAGTCACTGGGCCTACTCCATTCCATTCGCACTCCAATGGGTCTGGATTCTCATTATCATTCCCGGCATGTTCTTTGCACCGGAAAGCCCATGGTGGCTAGCTCGGCAAGGCCGATTTGAGGAAGCAGAACACTCCCTACACCGACTTTCCAGCAAACACGTCAACGTCCGCGCAGTTCTCGCCCAGATCATCGAGACAGACAAACTTGAAACGCAAATGGAGGCTGGAAGTACCTACAGAGATGTCTTCCGCAAAGTCAATTGGCGCCGCACTGAGGTTGCAATTGGAGTGTACACAACGCAGGTTCTGTGCGGTTGCTATCTCATCAACTACGGCACTTACTTCTTCAATCTCGCTGGACTCAACGTTGGCCAGGCCTATAATATGGGCATTGGGTTCATGGCCGTGGGCTGGGTCAGCGTCATACTGTCTTGGTACTTGATGCAGAAGTTTGGCCGACGGCCGCTGTACAACCTAGGGCTCTTGATTTTGACGATTGATATGTTTCTGATTGGTATCCTCGACGTTGTCCCAGCGAAAGGGGCACTTTGGGGACAATCTGCATTGTGAGTCCCTACGGTATTAGCTTGCTATATAATCTAATTGGACCTAGGCTTCTATTCTGGAATTTCACATTTGACTGGAGGTAAGTTACAAAGACATTAGCAAGAAGACTCTTTTCTAACCGCCAACCAGCGTTGGACCCGTGGCCTACGCCATTTTCTGCGAAGTTTCCGCCACCCGCGTCCGCTCGAAAACAATCGCCGTAGCCACCGCGGTCCAAGCCACCGTGGGCATCATTATGACCGTCGCCATACCCTATCTTATCAACCCTGATGCCGCCAATCTTCGCGGAAAGCTTGGGTTCTTCTTCGGTGGACTCTCGGTGCCGTGCTTGGTATGGTGTCACTATAGGGTCCCGGAGATGAAGGATAGGACGTATGAAGAGCTTGACATCATGTTTGAGCGAAATGTGCCGACTAGAGAGTTTGCAAAGTATAAGATTTAAGGCTGGGGGCGCGATTCTATTTCCAAGCACTCAAATGAAATGTAGCATAATATGGCAGAGACTAAAGGCGCGGAAACAAGGCCTTTCGCTAGCTGGTATACATTGCTCCCTAAGTTTATCTTGACAACATCTCGTCTTGTGTATCACCAACTACAAATGCAACCATAACATTGCCTTAAACCTCGAAATCGCATTTTTCGACTACTGAATATCCGCAATATACGTACAGCACCAGCTAACTGGCCGGAGTATGATGGTTTCCATGTCACGGAAGTCACTTGAGAGGAAAGAATTCATCTGTTGTCATGATTCGTGTTGTGTATCACCATGTAGAAACATGGAATTCGGAAATCGTCCAAATATCAGGGTCTTTGGAGTGTTTGAACATCTTTACTCATTTGCTGTTGCACTTCATACCATCTAGTGGCAGTAAAGAAATTGGCCTGACTTCTATGTTGAATTGTGTAGCGAAGTTTGTTGTGGTGCTGATTATCACTTTGAAGGTGAAGTTGGCGGCGGACCACCGCCGCCCACATAAATAAAGCTACAAGCCCTCAACCTTCCTTTCCCTTTCCTCCCACAAACATCACAAAACATCCGCTTTTTCTTTCGGACGCTTGAAGAAAGATACTGACGGAGGTTGCAGGCCAATATATACACCCTCGCCGTACTTCAAAGAGGCTTGACACAATACAAGTTCACTCACTACGACACGATCGTTGTTGGTCCATTTTCGGTCAGTTTCATCAGATAAAAGTAAAGTCAGTGATCCATTCAGCTAAGCTTCTCATAAGAAACATCCATGTCTGATCAGGGTACCCCAAAGAACGCGGAGGCAGTCGGCCCAGTCTTCAACCACCTGCCGTTCCGCCCCGCCAATTTCGACCAGTACAAGAGGATGATCACGAAGACGCACAAGTTCAAGGCTCACTTCGTCTCGGCCACCATCTCGCTTCACTCTTGCTGCTATCTCCTTCGGAAACACACCATCCAGCTCGATAAGCTTCTTCGAGGGCAAGCACTCGCCACCGCCACCTTCTGCATCAACGATCCGCGCCATCTCGAGCTTAAGACCGACGTCTTTTTCCGTTCAGCCCTAGTGGAGGTTCACGAGAAAAGGCTCCCCATAATCCGAAGCGATGTCAGGGAACTCTTCGAGGTGCTCTACAATCACTACTTGAAGCTTGCAGATGTCGTGTACATCCCCGACATTGTCGAAGTCCACTTGGAGAATGCCATGTCCGAGGCGATGGTAATCATCGACAGAATCGACGCAGCCACGATGATATACATCAGATTGATTACGGCCTACCTGGCACCTGTCATTGGCCTAGAGAAGGTTGATAGACTAGTCGATCACTGTGCAAGGAAGTTCGGCGAGTACATGATTGTTGAAGATTTGGACATCTAGGACAATCATGGGTACATCCTTGGACCATTGGATGACTATCGACACCTGACATATGTACTCCTGAGTATCAGTTCGTTTAAATAGAGGATATCGCTCGGTGCATCGCTCGAGGTTGGATCCAAGATACTGTAGCCAGTCTTCCTCTATAGGTGGCACACCGCGTAGGGATTTGGGGCAAGTCACTGGAGAATTGGCTCGGAACTTTATAGCCTTGGGAGAATTACAATACTTTGACAAAATCAAGATGCACACGTTGACTAATAGCAGTGATGAATGATTGTATTCAAACGCACTATGTGGATATACAACGGACGCTGAAAAAGATCAAGATACTCGTTCTCGGAGAAAATTACCGCATTCCAAAATCGCGAGGCCCCATAATGTCCTACTCCTTAGCCACTTCGACAGGGCTATTTAAGGTCCCATAGAATAACTAAGAGCGCGGCGAGGAAAACATTTGACATCGTGACTGTCATAATTGTACCCGAGGACTTACCAGGAGACACATAACCCTCAGGAGCGGTAGGAGGCTGCAATTTTCCTTGCTTGTCAAACTTTTCGGCTTTGGGTGGGAGCTTGTAGTCGTTGGCTTGCGCGAGGAAAACACTCCCGTCTTTCTCGGCATATAGATAGGTAGCCTGGAAGAACGGCCTTCCTAGAATGACTTTACTGTTCTCTCCGTCATTGCTCGAGACTTGACATCGAGTCTCATTCGCAATCAGGTAGTCGGAAATATGAATTGAGGAGGCCGAATTGCTGTCGAGCGAACTAATATGTAGATCCGTACAGTTGTGACCTTTCGGCAACGTGATCGCTGGGCTGTTGAAGTCGATGAGGATAGTTGTTGCATTTGTCTCGATGACTTTCTTGCCATTCATGCTATGCACATTGGCAGTGACATTCAGCGTCCCTCTTTCAAGGAATGATTTTTGCAAGCCGAGGTTGATCCAGGATGTAGAGTTGATACGGTTCGCGTCGTAATTTCCATTCAACGAAATCGAGCCATTGAAGACATCTTTGCGACCGATATTGAGACCAAATGGAACGGTAGTTACGTTCACGGGATCTGATTCGTTATATCCTAGTGAAGCGACGGCGGTCAAATTCGCGTTCAACCCCAATGTGACGATGAACTCATCAGCAACCGTGACAAGATACAAAGGTCGCTTGGAAGCATCTACAATGGCTCGCTGGAAGGCAGGGGTCTTTTTGGACGGTGTTGTATCGTTGATAAAGATACGAAACATGTCCAAGCTGCTGGATCGGTCTGGTATCCCTATTCCAGATATCGCGGGAATCTCTGGTAGCGAGGAATTTTCATCAGAGGGACCATACACTGGAATAACGAATGGATAAAGTGGTGGAACGGTAAGACCCTCCTGTGAACACACGAGAGGGCATACTGCAGACAACAACAGAAATAAATGGACAGGAGAATGCATGATTTGTGCGATCTAGATGGGAAGCGTTTGACTGCAGAGAGGCAAATGAGAGTCTCTTATGTCCAAAGATTTGAGAAGGGCTAGGGAGAGGAAGAAGTAGTTCAGCGTCCATCCGAGGGCTGGCTCACTGTATTAGATATAGAGGCGAGGAACATCTCCTCGCCCCCGGGACATTAATTGCACTTCGCATTGTAGCCGCGCGACAGGAGCATCTCTAAGCGATGAGCAGAAATATACACACTGAGTCCGTCAGGCAAATGGTGAAGGGCATAATGAGATCTGTGCCGGCGCCAAAGGGTGGGGTTTTGTTTCATATCGCCTGTGCCTCATCCGCCGCATACATGGGCATAACTCAGCCTCACCATGATTGCTCGCTTAGCCACCAATGCTCCGTCCTCTTTTCACCATTTCGCCCTCACTGCTCTTTTGTAGTTGAAATAAAGCATAATTTAGTATGCGGCTATCGCGTTTGCCCACAAGCTAGTGTGTTAGCTTTGTAATATGCTCCACAACCTTCACTGAATGTACATCCATGATCTAAGGGCAGTGGGAGGCCGATGCCATATGCTTCTATTGCGGAGAGTGAGATAGAAGACTTGGCGCAATATGAACTGATGCCATCACAACTCCTTGTGCAGAGTTAAGACACGACATCCACGGAATGACTGCCTTGAACCGTCATCCTTGATGTGGTGCGGTCGAAACCTTCGCGACACAACCTCGTAAAACTGCAAGGTCCTTACGGACAATTCTCACGGACAATATCATCTACAGAAGCAGTTGTGCCGCCAATTTCCAGTGGTCAGACAAGCCCTTCAATGGCAACGGATGCTGCTGGAAAGAGTGACTGCTCCACATGTGCCGGAGAGGTGCTTAATGGACGAAGTGTACCACGCCGTATCGTTTCAAACATTTTCGGTTCCAATCTAATCAAAATGGAACTCTTCAAGTGGAACATGATATGGTTGAAGCGTCAAATCCGGGTCTATAATCTGTTCATTTTCTATTTAACTGAACGAAGGCTTTGCAGAGAAACCCAGCTCGATCACATCAGTTCGGAACTTCCTTCGATCCTCTCTTACTCGAATCTCCTCCCTTACTTCTATCTTTGTATCTTAGTCTCCTATCTTATTTTCTGAGAACGGTGATCTTTAGAGTTATGAAAACGTTGAGTCTTTGGCTGTTGTTACCGACATTCTGTCATTCGGCCACTGTGCCAATTTCAAAACAGATACAACAGTCTGGTGTTGAAATCAGAAATTTTTCTTTAGCTTTGCGAGACTCCAAAAGCGAGTACTTCAATCGCGACGAGCAACCACAGTTTACCAAGCACGGAGACTGGGCGAACCATGATTGCCATGACTTTCGAAAAGAATTGCACGGTCTAGACATGTGGACAACCGCCAATGGTTCCGGTGAGCTTGATCTTAGTTCTTACCTACTATACATCATGCTGAGGACTATACAGGTGCATTCGAAGATTTGATCAAAGCATGGCACATGCCAGACCGCTTGACGATGTACAATAGTGTTGGTTTCACGTCTTTTGTATGGACGGTTTTCCAACAACAAACGAATCTTCTCGTAGATTGCGGAAAGGTATCCCTTGGAAGTGTCTGCCAAACGCCAGTACCATGTGGAGGCCAATCTTCTTTGCTTCCGATGTCACCTGCCGGTACTGCAATCATCAACTCTTTTGTTGGTCTCTATCAAGTAGGTGTTGGTAACTCTTATGCATTGGTGTCTACAGCTAAAGAATAGCAGATATTCATGGCACGTGAGGCGGTGTTGGTAGAAACAGCATCCTTCATTGAAAATTCACTTGCGTCGGTCGTCTCAAAATTCACACCTGCAGATGACAGAGACGATGTCACCAAGGGAAAGGTCGCCATGGCCTTCATCACCGCAGGCATGAGTCTAGTCTCTGCTGGAAGCATAACCTCAGGTTCGACTACTGAATCCCGAGGTCTTTACCAATTGCTAATGTCCTAAAGTATACTCATCATTCCAAGCTCTCAACAAACTTGGAGATGCCGCGAAAGCAGTCAGAGATTTCGTAACGGTTGGCACCAATTTTGGCACTGCTGGTCTTGAATTTGTTCAGAGCCGGCCTCCGTAAGACAATTATCCAAATCCACGTGTATCTATACTGATCAGTCCAGGCCAAAAACAAATGACGAATACAAGTCCCTATTAAAAGATATCCTGGGAGCTTATACAGACAGTCTGAAAAATGCCAATTCTTGGATCCTTGGAAATATGACCCTGGGAGATCCAAAATCCATCGACCTCCTCATCCCTCTTTTCAATACCGGTCTACTGCTCGAGTTCCTTTCATCAGCGGAGAACAAAGACAATGAAGGTGACAAGTACAATAAATTCATGAAAATCGCCACGGATGCTGGCCAAAGCCTGCTTTGGGGTTCGATGCTAAAGTCGGCTTGGTCAGTTTCGCCAAGAAACATTCGACCATTGATATTGTACGTCATAGGCACTTCTGTAAATGTTCACAAAGCTTACAGTTATAGTTTTATTGACGCCAAAGAACACAAATGCGATGGATCCGTCCCAAAATCCCTGGAGGCGTTCATCCACCCCGATACCGCAAAGAAGAGTGTGTGGTGTGACGCAAAGTTAGTAGCATAGATTACAGTGAACTATTGATCCGAAAAGCTAATGGGTGTTCAGTGGAAACTCGTGGTACTTCCTTCATGGGCATCGCAAGACCGGCATGCCAAACAATCCTGACTACAGCTACGTTCTCCAGCCTATCGATGGTGCCAATGCCGAAGTACTCGACGGGAAAGATGGAAAGATGGGCGGGCTGAAATATTCGTCAGTGCCTGTTCACTCCCTCATGTCAACCAGCTAACATCTATTTTTTCAGTGATATTTTTATCAGTGCATTCACTGGGTTTAAGCAAAACGGAAACATGAATGGCTATGTACGGGCTCACACAATCTTTGAATGATGGACACACTGACAACATGCAGGTAATGCATTATAAATCTGGCCTCATCGGCAAGGAAGATATGAGCATTGAAGATACAGGAGGCTTGCCCATGATAGGCGGACTGAGAACTCCTGGTGAGTGGCCGTCGCCGCAGTTATGATCCATGAAACCTTTTGGAACTGAGTATAACTGGGAACAGGCTTCTTCGATTATCCGATCTGTTTTGATATGAAGGAGGTCTTAGAAACCCTTCGGAATGACAAAAGTGGGAAAGCGCCATTATGCGGCCCCAAGCCTAGATATCCAGAAACCATTGGTGGTGGCTTCGAAGCCAACGGTTATGCGCCGGGTATTTGCAAGGTATTCGTTAAACAGTAAGTACATACAGGCATGTTATCCTCAGGATTTCTAGTAGATTAACACAGCGACCTAGATGGGCGAAAGACAAAAAGTCCGACAATAAGCTCGACGAATACCAGACCGAGATTAAGATATACGACGCCAATGGCGATGAAGCCGGCTCTGCAGCCAAAGACGCAGGCGACGACCCACGAGTGGTAGTGAACAGTCTACTACCCTACGACCTCATCGTCAACACATGGGGCAACGGAGAAAAGGGTGACAACCAAGCGATGATCGAGTTCTGGTACTCGGATCAGTGGTGGCTGTCCATCGACCAGGAGCACAAGTGCGACTTTGGCAAGTGGAAGGGCCGCGAGAGATCTGGAAATTGCTTCTTCAATTGCCCGCGACCTGTCGAGGGTGAGGATCCGCTGCCTTCTGCAATCGCGAATAAGGTTCCTGCTGAGCCGCTCGAGACGGCAATTCCTGGAACTGTTACATATGCTCCAGGACCTTTACCAACACCAGCACCAGCACCCTCCTCAGATGTGTTCAAGAAGGGATGGTGCACCATGCATGTCATTCATCATCAAAAGGTCGATGGTCATGATTTCGAGATTGAAGTTTTTCTTTTCGATGCTGAAGAGAGGGTGGTCGGATACACAGGACGGGCCTTTGCGCAGCCTTACAAACCTATCCCAGTGAAGCCCGTTGTTGGCGAGACACCGTATGCTACCGATCTCGTCGTGTGGGTAGGTGACGTTGATAAGGATCCGATCTCATTCAAGTACAAGGAGAAGGTGTTCAACAGTGCGGATGGGACGTGTAAAGAGGGGAAGTATGATCACAATGAGAGGAGGATGGACTGCGGGTTTACGTGCGATTGAGCGCTCCTTTGTTGCAAAGATACCACTGATGAAGTTTTGGGATAATGCGTTTTTCACGCCCTTTAGATCTTTGGCTCGTTTCTCATTTAGATTTTGACAATCCTATCACTGGGCTCGCTGTTATGAACCTCGCGTTGCTAGGCGCCGGCAGAGTTGCTTTCTTGTATTACACGAACTTACTTCTTTTTATCTATTCTGATCTCTAAAGTATCTTGTAGTCCTGAAAAAACACTTAAATGCATCTACTGGGCCTATGTCTTTCACCATCACTATACAACTGACATCCAACTCTCCTTCATAACAGTCAGATCCCTCTTATTGACTAAAGCCACAGTGTTCCATGTCCATACTATCTCAGTGACTTGTAGCACCAACAGACTTACTTCAATCCACCCTATCTACCTTCACGGCCCAGCTCTCAGGAACGCCGCTCTCTACGGCATAGACACCTCCTAAACACCCGTAAATGAACCACATGCTCACATGACCATCTACTCCATCATCTCCGTGAATCGTGCCATATCCACAGATCCCAGTTCTCCAACGTCGACAAGCATTCCCCCAACTCCCACACGCCGCGAACATAATCATCATGCCGTAGACACACCTCACATCACAAACCACCACCCATATCCGCATACACGGCGGCATGCACACCAAACGTCAAATCAGCCTCACCCCAATAGCACACGCGTATACATACCCTAAGCTATACAGACCCACCCCCATCCAATACAAGCTTCTCACCTTCCCCTCTCAGCACCGTGTTAAGCGCCCACAACCCCTACCCATCTTCGTCCCTCCCCTCCGTCCCTCGCGATGGTAACCCAGACGAACCCCCTCTGCTCGATCTACAGAGGGCAGGCACGTCAGGCTAGCCACTTGCTAGTACCATGTATCGTTGAACTTTAGGCAGCTCTACTATAACGTATCCGAAGCTGTCAATACGAATTATTCCTACCCTTTGTACAATGGCACACCACACACCACACTCCGCGTGCAGGACAAGGGCAAGGTAGGGTGCGGTACATGCTACGCCGCACCCGCCGCACAGGACCGCATACCTCGACTCTCGTACCTTGCCGCAAAAGGGGAATAAGAGCGCAGCAATGCAGAGACGATCTCAGCAACCCCCCTCTCCTCTCTCTCAACACATGCAAACGTACGAAGAGAACTACGCCGCACGCTCACCGATGGAAAAACAAAAACACCTCACCGATGAACCACCGACGTATATGAACCTCGTAAACTTAATGGACACCCTGCCTGCCTGCTAACGCAGCATGGGACGGAAGAAGTATAGCTTTCCGCTCCTTTTCCTTTTCTTTGTTATTTCGTGTTTACTTCGCTTGTGAAGACGCGTACTGCTGATTGCGAACTTTACTGTCACGACGGGGTAGGATGTAGGAGGTAGGATGTGAAGGGTGGGGAGGCGGGAAATGTAGCGATGCGGCGATGTGGCACAGCAACGACCCCTACCGTACCCTACACCCCAACCACGGTCGATTTCTGGGTTTTGGCTCCGCGTAAGGACCGAGGCGGAATTTCCCCGTGAGGGAGTGCGTGAAGTGAAGTGAAGTGAAGTTGCAGTGAAGTGTTACTGGGTGAAGTGAAGTGAAGTGCAAATAAAGTGAAGCGAAGTGGAGTGAAGTGAAGCGAAGTGGAGTGAAGTGAAGCGAAGTGAAGTGAAGTGCAAGTGAAGTGAAGTGTGAGGTGAAGTGTGAGGTGAAGTGTGAGGTGAAGTGAAGTGTGAAGTGAAGTGAAGTGTGAAGTGAAGTGAAGTAATAGCAGGAACAGTGTTAGGGCAATAACGACGCAATATGAAGGGTGGTAATTTAGATGTACTATTGGACGACTGCTTTGTCAACGATAGTCAACGCTGGAGGTCGTCGTGTTTTATCGTTTTACTTGCACGGTAGCTGGCTGGGTTCTTGTGCAGTGTGTCCTGGTGAATGTAAATGTGCTATTTCAACCAAAGTTAGCAAGAAAAGTGTGTTCAACAACAGAGCGAACGGCATGGCATGGCATGAATGTATGCAAAAATGCGCATTTTGGTATTCCTCACGGTTCGGTGAACACATGCCTTTCGCGTCTCTATATGCCTCATCTCTCTCCACTAATCATTTTTCTTCTTCCATCGTTGTTATCTATCATAGACAGACAGATGTAGATCGTCAACCCGTTCCCCTCCCTCAAAACGGCCACCACCACCTCTTCTCCTTCTTCTCAAACTGCTCCAACAAACCCGGCCTAATCCCCTCGACCTCCACCCTCTCCTTGCCCTTCCCCTTGGCCGGAATCTCAGAATCCTCATCGAAAAACACAACAATGACCGTCGTGTCGTCGACGGCATTTCGCACCCAGGGGGCATCGCGCTGCACGAGCCCGTGGAACAGATTCTTGCGCGTCCCGCCCAGCGCGTTGCGCGCAAGACACACGGCCGCGTTCTCGTCCTCGACGGAGAAGTAAGCGGGCTCGGCGCGCCACTGGACTTCGCCGTCCGTGACGGTGACGCCGGATTCGAGGACGTCGGGGATGGGGTATTGCGGGGGAGAAGGGGCGGACGGGTTGTCGCGGACGAAGCCGGCGCCCTGGGAGCGCGCGGTCAGCCAGGAGGAGACGAGGGCGACGGCGTCGGCGGAGGAGATGCGGTCCCAGAGGCCGTCCGAGGCGAGGATCATGAAGTCGGAGCGGGGGGTGTGGGCTGGGGACGCGGAGGACTGCGAGGACGCGGGGTGTCGGATGATGTCGGTCTCTGTGATGACGGGTTCGGCGGTGAGGTAGGGTGGCGTGCGGCTTTTGGGTCGAGGCGCGGTGCCGAAGTGGTTGGTTTGGGCTTTTGTGACGAGGTCGTTGGGCCATTTCCAGCGGTGGTCGCCGAAGGCTCGCGTCACGGCGAGGCCGAGGAGGCGGCCGGAGTCCGGGTCGAGGATGTCGTCTTCTTCCGGGTGCTCGGCCTGGATGCGCGAGACTTCGTCCTTGTTGAAGCCGGTCTGGTCGGTGGAGAGGGGCATGCAGACGTATTTCTGCTCGACGGGGTCCCAGCGGCCGAGCACGGCGCGGGAGTCTCCCACGCAGGCCACGCGCAGTTTGGAGGTCTGCGGGTCGAACATGGACAATAGGGCACAGCTTCCGGCCATGGCGTTTTCGACATCTCGACAGCCGATGGGAGAGGCGGGAGGGCTCCAGGAGACGGCCTTCTTAGCTTGCGACCTGTAAGATAGTTAGCGATGTATCAAACGAACAATGTCCAGACGAAAGAGTCAACCTACATCAGATAATCATCCGCATTAAGGAAAGTCTGCGAAATGTTCTTCGTGATGGCATCAGGACCACTAAGCTCATCGAGATAGCAAAGCGAGAGCGAAACGTGTGGTATCAACGTCTTCTGCAGCCAGAACGACGTCTGTGAACCTCTGTAAACAACTACCGTCAGCAATCAACTCCTCGACAAGAGATCCAAGAGGATACACATACGCATGCCCGTCGTAAACCCCCCAATAGTTCCACGGTTTCCCCCCGACACCAGGAGACGTCCCAAACGCGAAGTAATCCTCCTACCACATATCGTCAGTTCAGTTCACATCACTCCACCTTCCCCTCTCCCAACACCACTCCACAACCGAGAGAGGAACGAAAACCAAAAAAAAAACTCACACAAGGATCATTACTCCTCCACCGACACCCATGCGTCTCAGGTAACCCGCTCTCCTCCCTCTCCCCCCTCCCCTTCTCCCACCAACTCCCCTCCCCCACCTTCCCACCCTTCTTCCCACCAACCTCAACAACCACCCTCTCCCCCCCCTCCACCGCCCTCTCAAGCGCCAGCGTATCCTCCCTCAACCCCCTACTCCCAACGGACCAACCCCCAGCGAGAAACGGAAAAGCCAGGTCCGCAACCTCCTGGAACCTCGGCTGCCTCACCATCTCCGCCTCCGCCAGCTGCGCCTGCACGTACTGAGCGACCTGCGCCGGGGAGTCGAACATCCACACGGGGGCGGACCCCTGGTTCTCGGGAAAGGCGACGTGCACGCGCTCTTCCCAGTGGGGCGCGACGTCGATTTCGAAGACGCCGAAGGCCCAGAGGGCGACGGGGAGGGCGAGGATCGCGAGGAGCGTTTTTCCCCAGGGGAAGCGGGATTGCAGGATGTGTGGGGGGAGGGATGGTGCTGGGTCGTCGTTGGGGCGGCGGGGAGTGTGGAGGTGGCGGCGGGGGGTGAAGAGGAGGATGTGGTTGATGTCTCTTCTTCTTCTTCTCGAGCCGTGGGTCCAATGGCTTGATGTCCATGTCGATGTCGATGTCGACGATGTTGATATCTCACGTGACGACTCTGTCCTCCTGCACCGCGCCTGGGCCTGGATGATATCTCTTAAACTGCTGCATCGCGGTGCTCGCAGTAGCGCTCTGCTGGTCGGGGAGACGGCAGCTGCGGCAGCGCACCTCCATCTTGCGGCCAGCATGATGTGTATCTTGTTAGATTTGGGGGATATTCTACTAACAAGCGGACTTTGATGTTGTTATATTTTGTTGGATGTCGGAGAAGCTATGGCGCACGGACCAGCGTTACACCAGAGGCTAGCAGGGGTGATGGAGCGGAGGAACCTCCGGTCACGTGGAGGGTTAGTTCACTCCTGGTGCCGAATTGGTCGTCTACGGTATTAGGTATGCACGCGAGTCTGGATGACTTAGGCACAGAATCGTAATTATCACTCCAAAAGCATGTTAATGGCATCATATCGTAATCGTGTGTGAAAGTTCCTTATCTACAACTACTCTCACGCAGTTGAAGCGCTACCTACTTCCTCCCTATGCACGCGTCCACATCTTCAGTATTCCGTACGCTCCATCCCGCCTTATTACCATGCCAGCCGGATCCTCCCATACCAATCCCATATCATATCAGACAATAGAGGAGAAAGAGAGGAGAGTGGTTTGGCATACCCACGCGTATCCCTATTGTTGTCGTCCTAGGACTAGCCGAAAATGTAAATGCCGAAAAGGGACCAGTGAAATCAAAACTTAGAACCCCAGTGTTATGCAAATCGAGAAAAGGGGACTGAAAAAGGGGATATTGGATATTGGATATCGGAAATAGTGAGCTCCCCATGATTGAGCGGCGTGTGCAGAGTTATAATGCGATAGTAGATAATTCACTCCTGCCTACCACTTGCATGGCTAATCGTTGCTGCTGCTTGAGGAAAGACAGAGGCTGAATGAGATTGATGTTCGTTGCTCGCTTGCTATGTTAGGACGTCCCTTCGAACGTTGATAAAAGCTCCAGGGCCACCGTCTTCGGCCAGCTCATTCACTAAGGCCTCTGTCTGTTGTGTAAGACGTTCCAATGTTGCTCGGGAGTTTTTGCCGAGAGAAACTGGGACGATCATGTTAGTGCCAATATATGTGTGAGGGAGATGTAGTTGACTTTGCGGGATGGGGAGGCCTGGCGTTCAAACTTACCAAGAATGGCGCTGTTCAGCTCCTCCGCTACAGGGACCCGACCACTCACATCCAGCAACGGAGCCAACGCCGACTCTGCCGCATTTTCGTAGGCGATCAGTGCGAAGGTATCCTCCAGAGCTCTCTTAACTTCTCTTCTCGGATCGTTGTGGAATTCCTGGCGAAGTTCCATGCCGTAGGCGATAGCCCTGCTCGTTAGCTCGCGCAATTTCTGTTGGTGGACCTCTGGATCTTCGTCATCGTCGTCATCCACGTTCATGTTCTCTGCCCCGATGTTCCATGAGCCATTGTGGACGCCGAGCTGCTCGTCGAGCTCCATCTCGAAGTCATACTCGTCGTTGTGTCCGTTGGATGCGGTTGAACGCTTGGAAGGGGGTGTAGGAATGATTTGGTTTCGTTTCGAGGCAAGGTCATTAGTGACTCTGATCATCTCGATGAATTTCCGGCATCGTAGTTTGAAATATATGTTCTCGTTGTTTTGGAGAACTGACGGATAGTAGGCATTGGTGTGCTTCAGCGCCTTATCGATGTCACCTTCCAATATTGCGGCGCGGATCTCTGTTCGGGCCTATTAGAATGCAAACTCCAAGGGTGCGTAGTCACGATTCAGACAACTCACTTTGCCGGTTTATCGCGTCGACATCCTCCTCTACCTCAATGTAGGAAAGATCGGCGTCCTCGTTGGCCAATGCCTGCGATTCTTCTGCAACCTCTTCTTGAAAGGCGCGTGCGGTTTCCACATAACCATCATGTGCAAGGTATTGGCTGACAAGACTGTGGATGAATGCGGTCTCGTCAAAAGGCGATTTGTCCTTCTCTGTCCGCGGGGGTGCTTTGACAGCTGCAATCTCCCTCTGTATTTCTGCCTTCTCGGCCTGCTGCGTGTCAACTACTACTTTCGAAGAGTATCGGAACAGTCTTGCTTACCTGGACCATCTTGTCAATGTCGAAGAGGAACGGTTCCTGTCCGAAATTCACCCTCAGCGTTTCCCCATTCTTCTTCATGCCCACGGTCGGATACCATGAAAGGTTTGGTTTGATGTCTTTGAAGGGTTCACCTAGATATTGTGAGCGACTTGCATGCAGGTTTGCCGTCTTGACCTACCCAAGAAATGGCCATTCCTTGTGAAGAACGCAGTGCCCTTCCGGAAATTGACACCACATCCAATCACATCAAGCGTCCCGAACTTGGGTCCAAATGGCTTTCCCGAGGTGGTGTTGCTGTAAGAATACCCGTCGTCGCCGTGGTACGCGAAAGAGTCGGGCTCCCAGCCTGGTATCCTGCTAAGAACGACCTTTGGTCCAGTAAATCCGATGCCAATCATTCTACTCAAAGGTGGTCAGCGTGTAGTGCGTTGCGTGTGGTGGATCATTCTTACCCATCTTTACCCTTGGCGACGATGGTCACTTCGTAGTAATAGATTCCGCCTTGCCGTGGCATGGGATGGTCTGCCCGGATCGAACCAGCTTCATCGTTGCTCTTGGGTGTAGGACCAGTAAACTTGGTCTGTAGTCCACCTTCATCCACGTCCAGCGTCGGGTACATGTCCGCCTCGTTCCACTTCGTAGGCCATGATGTTACTTGATCATCTACGTAGACGGGCGCGCGTTCTATTATCTCATGGCTCAACCCCCGATGGGATGGTACCATCTTGTGGAGATTGACGCTGCTGGAACTTGTTGAGAGCGATCCGGCGTTCGACGATTGTGTTGATCTGAGCTCCCTCTGTGCGGCAACCTTCGCTTTATATGCATCCTCGACCCTCTCTGCGTACTTCGATCCTCTCAAGTATGACGGCACGAAAAAGGGAGGCAGTGGCCCATCCTGGCCTGTCGGGCCCGATCCGTGCAGGTATCCAAAATGGCTCGAGTAAGAGGGTAATGGGCCTCCGCGTCCCCATGATGTAGACATGTTGGTGTTGTATCCATCCGTATCCAGCGAGCGCGAGAGGTGACGAGACGACTGGGCGGTCGCTTGTGTAGGATAGGAGCCGGAGCTGGAGTTATTGTTGGCGAGATGCGAGAATGCGCCGGAGCGAGTTGGGGCAGAGCCTTGCGGTTGGCCGCTGTTGCCTGCAGCAACTGAAGCGTACGAGGACCTTCGAAACATGGTGGCGGAGAGGTAGGTAAGAAAGATGTTGAGCGATGAGGTAGATGCAAGAACCACCTGGGTGTCTGCGGCTTCGGCAGGGGGGACCGGCGTGAGGTTCCTACGCGGAGGATCTATGGAGTTTCAAGCGCTCGTCCGTATGAATGAATGAAGGCAGATCTGGGTAGGTGCTAGTAGGGCTCTCAAGAAAACAACCTACAAGACGGTTGGCGAACGTGTATGGTGACGTGCTGTCCGGCGCTCGGCTGCTCGATCGTTCGTCGGCCACGGCGACGGCAACGATAGGAAGATCCTTAATCAACGACTGTGGCACGCGATTCCTGGTGCCGTGGACGCAAATGCATTCATTGTTCACGCAAAATAATCAGGTTGTGGTGGGTGGTTGTTGGTGATTGTGGTAAGTAGAGGTGTAGATGCAGTCTAGAAGCTACGGACGAGGTGCTCCATGCCGAAGCGGCGGTCTCTCCCCGCATTTGGCCGTGCGAGCTCGCGATAACGACATGCACCCCAGCAACACCAAATGTTGCAAAACTGACATGACTCTAGAAATTTTTTATTTCTTATCAAAGACCTTTACTCGTGTCTCGCAGAATTTTGGAATACAGATATGATATGCTTTCTTTTTCCAATGACGCAGCCTGCATTACCAATGCAGCTGGTTGCTGGTCAGGCCTCTCTTCGCAAATCCTACTGTCACGCGCCCCTACGCGCTTGACTATCGATCAAAAACCCAGGCGCCATGCTTGGGAATATCCCAATGATCCCGCCCGTATCCTGTCCCTCTAACGCCCGATATGCTTGGTAATTGAAAAACTAGAAACACAAGGTTGGAGAAAAGAAAATTTCCGAAGTAGACAGCCTCCCCATGGCACATGCCCATTGAAGATGAAGAAAAGAGAAAGGAACATATGCCGCCTCTGACGTTCGAACAACCATATGCAATGCGAAGTTCAGGCTGGCAATGAGATAAACGAATGCTATTACGTATAATATAACTGGGGCGGGTCAGTATTTGTGATGGGAGAGCCAGATGTCGTGGATGCATTGTGGGGATAGGCGCTCATCGCATTGAGCGACAACTGACGGGCATATGGTGAGACTGACTTGAAAGACGGGCAGTGGGTGGGGTGCTGATCATTCAGGATGCAGCAGCAACGGGAGCCGGAGAGCTGGTGATGCCATTGGGAAGCGGAGGTACCGGAGTGCCAGCATCACCGGGGAGGCCGCTGTTGTCGCTGATGGCGCTCGTCTCGTCCTTGACCTTCGTGTCACTTGAGCCCGGGCTATCACTCTTGACGTCCTCAGAGAAAGCAGCGATCTTCTTGGGTGCTCGCCAGGTCGGGACGTCCCAGCTGACACCGGTGAAACTACGCAGCTGGAATCCCTTCTTCTCCCATTTGCGCGTGGGCTTGCCAGTGCGATCAAGCGCGCGAAGACCCGCATTGATGGCGCCCTGGTTGGCCTTGGGGCCGAGTTTCTGGATGGGATTGGGGATCGCGAATGGGCCTTTGTTGTTGGGGTCATTGATCATATCGCCGCTGGGATGATGTTAGTATCTAGCCATGAGGTAACAGGGCGAAAAGATCGGTGCAGTGTAGTGATGATAATAGGGTAGGCATGAGAAAAGGAAACATGGGTAGCGGCGGCGTGGCACAATGGAGCAATCGCAGCGGCAATTGTGCTTTGTGTAATGGGTGATGCGTAATGTGTGCTGAGGTGCTGGGCACGACGTCCTGGTACTTACAGTTTCTGCTTCTTCTTTGGACCTGGCTTGCCCCTTGGCTTGGGTAACCCATCTGGCGTACTGGCAGAGGGAGTTTTCTTGCCAGCCGACTTGAGGCCAGGGGCGCCCTTGCGCTTTTGTCCTGCGACCGGCGGTGCCAGACTACTTGACGGTGTGCTTGCGCCATTCATAGCAGCAGGTGTTGAGGCCGAATCGGCGGCAGTGTCGGAAGGCGCTGGTTCGACGATGGGAGGCACGGGCGCATCGGAGGGCGATGGCGAGGATGACGAAGATGATGAAGATTGTTTGGCGGATGAGGTCGGGGTGTGAGGAAACTTGGAGAGTTGGTCGGGGGACAATTTGAGGATGGCGATCCTTGACTTGGCCTGCTTGGACGCCATGGTCGCCGAACCAAAGCTGGTTTGGAGGTGGAGCGTAGTGTGTATGTAGTGCGCGTAGTGCGAAGGGTTGGAAGTTGTTGGAGCGACAAGGACGTGACAAGGACGTGCGACAGCGAGGTGGTGTTGTCAAATGTAAAAGTTTCTGACGACGAGGGTTTGTTGGTGGTGAGGAGATGAAGGTGGTGATGGAAGTGGATGGAGGAGTGAGAGGGGGCGTGGTCGAGACGAAGGGGTTTTGAGTTGTTGCGTGTCTTTTGGGTCTTAGGGTTTCCTTGTGGCTGGGTTGGTTGTGTGCGGGTGAAGGCCAAACACGGTGCGCAGGTGAGTTCAGTCAGTAACCGTGGTAGTAGTAGTAGTGGTACCTATTTGAGGTCGGGTGGTGTTTCGCAGTTGACGGCGGTGATGATGTGAAGTGAGGTATGATGGATGATGAAGGGGGATGAGGATGGAAGTGGAAGTGGATGGTTGAGGGGATGGTTGAGGGCCATCGGGGTTGAGAGAGTTTAGATGGGCCTGGCTGAGGCCCGGGTGGTGGGAGTGTGGTTCGCATTGAGGGCGTCGGTTCATCTCTCTCTCGCACTCTCACTGCTCTGGCTCTGGCTTTGCTGCGACGGGGACGACGGGTCTCCTAACGAGCGGAGGAGTGTAGTTACGAGTAGCGACTGGTAGGGGTACAGACCCGGTCACGTGATAGACCAGCATCGCTTAACCTCTGGACACTAACCCTAATCCGGCCCCGACCTGTCCTCACCTTCTCTCTCTCCTACACTTTGGGTATCTCGATACACTCGGGATACCCTCTTACTCCTGTCGGCATCTCATCTCATCTCATCTCATTCCCGTATCTATTGAATTATTGTTTTCATCATCTGTATGTTTCCATCATTGTTCATGCTCTGTCAAGAACTCAATCAATCATGTCCCAACTTCCACCTCGGCCGGCGGCTGGTGTCTGGTGAGTTACCAACCCAACTAATCAACCTAATCCCTAGTCATTCCACAAGCTTCCTTCCTACCATCATCAACTAACAATCATGGTTTGTTCTTCCTTTCCTCCATCTGGCACCATAGCATAGCCTTAGTCCTTAGTATTCATCTCATAAGACAATTACTTGGAATTCGTATCTCCGAGCAATTAATACCTAGCATCGAGTAACGATAATGCTCACTCAGATGACGATGATGAAGGTGACGCCTCATTAGCCATCATCGCCAGGGCTTCCACCTATTGTTCCAGCTCTCCATGACCCTCATTCCTCGTCCCTGCTTCTCTGATACTCTCTCTCCATTATCCGACCCACCGCAACAAAGCCGCGCACCCCATCCATCATCCATCATCCCTTACCGACTCTTCGCCACAGGAAAATCAAAAATACCAACCAGCCATCTTCATCTCTCTGCTCCCGCTATCTGCACATCCATGCACACACACACACACACACACATGTTTCCGTGCCCCCCAATCCGCCTCGTCTCGTCTCATCACAATCACAGGCACGACAACAAACAAAGCCTCCCCCCGTCCTTTGTCCCTGTCTTTCTTCCCCTTACATCCCATCCTCTCAACCTTCAACCTCCAAGCACAACACTCCGTACCATAACAAACAACCCCAACCAAATTCCCAGTTATCCTCTGGCCCCTACCTTAATAAAGAAACAGACAAAGACAGACAAAACTCCCAATCACCGCATAGATGAATAGAGTAGATGAACACACACCAATCAATCCCCCGACATCTTCCCTTTTCCTCTCCCGTATGCACTCCGTGTTTTCTCTTTTTTTTTTAACTCCTCTGGGCCGCTGGGGGCGAAGGCGAGCGAGATCTCGATTTCAAACCCCCCCCAAAAAAAAAACGCGCCACACACACACCTGCTACGCTGCGCGCGCGACACCAAATGAACATGGACGTGAGCGTGGAAAAGCAATTACTGTTCCTAAAGTAGACTAGCGTGAGGGAGAATGCTGTTGCGTATGGCACGTGATATGAGTGTTTCACGTGACTGTTTGAAGGATAGGTAGTGAGGGGATTTGGAGATGTAAGCGTGATTTTGCGTATTGTGGTTTGGTTTGGTTTTTCCTTCTGGATCAAGTGGATGTTTTTGGTGGGTTGAATGGTGTTGGATTAGGTGCCTGGGTGCCTACCTGGGTGGGTGAGATGATGGAGAGGAGAAGAGGAGTGGGGGTGTGGGCAGAACTGAACCACCAGTACGACTCGCATGTGCCCATTTTCACGGGATATTGCAAAGTGATTTGTGGTCTTGTCAAGTGGGAAATGTACTTGGAACGTTAGAGGCAACACAGTGCTTTCAGTCGGGCACATTTGGTGTAGAAGATGTGGTAGTAATGTAGGCGATGTATCTTGATCTACCTATGTATGTACCTATAGATAGGTACCTTAGGTTTGAATGCTAACAGCCACTCCAGCCGACTCTCGTATCTTTGTCATTCTAGCCTCATTCTCTCCGTATCTCTCTTATCCCCTCCCCGTCCGTCATGCATGTGGAGGATGGGAATTGAATCCCGACACCTCCAGCAAGCGGATAACAAAAAAAAGAAAAGGTAATAACAATCTTTGCAGGAGATCCTCCCTCGCTATCTGATGTAACATAACAAAGAATCGATTTAGATCGGCCGCCCAATGATTCGCATCGTCTTAATAACGAGGAATTAACAAAACAAGAAAGGTAAAGCAGAAATCCACACACGCGAGTACGCCAAAGAGGGAGAATAGCAACTTAGTCGGGGAGACTGGGGAATCTGGAGCGAGAAAAAGGAACTTATTGTTGGTGGTCATGTCGTTGGAGTCGTGTCTGAGCAGGGTATGTTTGGTTGAAAGGAGAAAGCCGCCGGTGAGGTACAAGGAAAGATTAGAGAGTGTGTGTACGTCTATGAGTCGTTGGACTTGACTGAAGAGAGTATAGAAAGAAAAGGTAGTGAGAGGTGGAAGGTATGATTCGGTCAGAGGGTGAAGAGAGGTAAAACAGCTTTTGGGTGGTGCAAGGAGGTCGGTAGGATGGAGGGCGACATTCGATGTTCGTTTTTCACATCTCAGTCCAGTGCATCGTCTCGATACGCTCCATTTCTGGGTGTTCTCGCCGTCGGCGTTGGGCCCTCTTCTCGGTGCCGGAGCCCTTTCGCTTCAGCATCGACTTGAAACCCTTTGCAATCTTGCCAAAGGGTGCGATGCCCGAGGACGTGTCGCTTGACCTCGTCTTCTCCTCGTTCTTCTCGTCCGAGGACTCTTCTTCCATTGTCGAGTCCTCCTTGTGGTAGTAAACGGGCATAGGCAGCACGGGATGAGATGAGAGTGAGGCACTGGGCGTGATCTCTCTGGCCACTAGGTGAAGCGATTTGGTGCTTTCCTTCCTGGCATGCTGGACAGGAACTGGTGAAGGGGTACGGCTCGGTCTTCGCAGTGATGCCGCTCTCGCAGCCCACTCAGACTCTGATGTCGCCGAGGGCCCTGGCGACAGCAACACTATAGTTGAGCCATCCCAACCCCAACCTGCCCGCGGTGAGTAGGCAGGCGTAGATGGTGTTGAGTCTATGAATGTCTCGATAGACCTGGCGGACATTGGTGGAGGAGACATCATGGACAGTGACATCGGGGTAGACGGCCGAGAGCTTGCTAGGAGATTGATGGGCGGGGGAATGGAAGAGAATCGGTGGGGGCCATCACGAGCCTTCGGCAGCCCGTGAGGAGACAAAGGCGTGAAGAGCCTACTCTTCGTCGTGTCCATGGATGAGTCGGATCTTGGCGATAGAGATCGGGGAGAGAGCATGGTGGAGTCCATTGTATTCCTTGGTCTGTCCTATCAAGGTAGACTGGATTCCTAATCTTGAATCGAGGAAGGAGAAAGGAGCAAGGCTGTGTGCAATGCTCTCAAGGCTACGAAGTGTATAAGAACGCTCTGAGCGAGGCGAGCAAGGCAGAAGGAAGTAAGAAGTACCGTAAGCAAATGCAAACAAAACAAGAAACTGCGCCTCCAGGAAACAGATTGGAACTGGGGAGAAAGGCAGAGAGGTGTGTGTGTGTCACCAGGCATACATTGACGCCTGCAGCCGACATCTCGATATATGACCCGCGTGCTGTGCCTCAAGATGAGCCAGAAGGTGTGTACGCCCAGTACCGACAGTCTGGATAGTGCAAACGGGTACTAATGAACCAACAAAGACGTGGAGCTCTGACAGGTCTAGTGAGAGGAAGCAGTATGGCGCCGACGTGTTGTCTCATTCGCCGTACATGCACGTAAAAGTAGTGCATTTGCCTACTTCATAGTAGGCAGGTAGGGCTGGAGGGCCAAAGGGAGATGGTGAAGCCTGTGAGGATGGAGTGCTGGGGTTGTGTGATATACGTGCTAACCCATTTCATGTCGAGGCGCTTAAACATCGACCTCTGATTTGCGAGTATAAACAGCCGCTCGCCATATTTTGCTGATCTCAGTTCATCCGGCCCGCAGCGGCTGGACGTTTGAAGGACGTGGCCGTTTGTCACTATTGTTAACCCACCTAGCGACTAAATACTTCCCTTTGTGAGGGGGGCATGCTATAGTTGGACGTAATCGGTGTAGCTACGATGGCGTGGTTGAGATTATCGGGGGAATCGCCCATTGGTCGCAGCGCTTGAGATCATCACGCCAATTGACAGGCAATCTTGCTGAGAGCATAAGTTAGCCGTGTGGTGTGCGGAGCACTTTGTATGCGTTCAGCAGGCACAGTCCTAGCAAGAGGGAGAGGGCATGAGAGTGGGTGCTGAGCTGAGATCAACAGGCGTAGGTTGACTACGAATGTTTCCCCCCAAAGCTGACTTCGCCTTGACCTCGCTCCACCAGTTCTTTGGCCCCAGTGCACGAACCAATTCGAGAGACGCCCAGTCAGTGGTTCATCATCTGTCCCCTCGATGAGAACTTCTCTTCAGGTATAACAAACAGAAAAGAACTCCTTGACTTGTGGGAGATGCACAGCAGCATGGATGGGACGGTCAACCAGGTCATTTCTCCCTCCCCAAGGCCCTAAACTCGTCCAGGTCGAGCAAAGTGGACAGTCATATGCATCACGACCATCTTTACCAGCCCTGGATCATCTGCGCCGTGGAATAGCATGATTTAAGCGCTGTTCTGCAGACGCACGGCGAAGCCATCCACCATGCCCACGTTATTCCTCATGCAGTCTAGTCGATGGCACGAAGCAGAACGACAAACGAGCGGTGGTCTGTACTGTGAGAAGTGGCAAGGTAAGTCAAACACTACCAGGCGCGGAAGAGAGCCGATGCTGGCAGGTTGCAAAAAGAGAAAACAGTACTTTGGCCGTGAGGTAGGGTACCTAACATCGTACTGTACGCGGTATGTTGTGGAGACGCGACTTGCAGCCACAACCGCTTGAACAACAAGACAGCGCGTTAAGCAAGGCTACGCCTAATGACCTAGCATTAGATATGCTAAGACTTCGCGGCGAATTGGGTACGATAACCAAGAACTCAGTCGTCATGTGTGTGGTCGTGCACATCCTCGGAGAAGATGTGTTGGACGGAGGAGGGTGGGAGGTATTCATTGAGAAAAGAGCGCTAGTCCAGTAATGGCAAGGCGATGGTTAAGCCTCAGAACGGGAGTTCAACGTCCAACGTGATCCCAGAGATATCGTAACAGTTCAAACAAACAGACACATCATTCGTACTCCAATCTGTTGGTTTCGAATATATCCTCATCTTGTTGACCTCTAAAGAAGCGATTCGAATCCATGTGCTCGATTTAGCTATTCATTGCCAGGGAAACAACGTCCTCTTGTATCATGCCTTGAGAGGACCACTTCTGAAGACTATCAACGATGCTACCTTGCCAATCTGTGTTGGAAGTTCTCCGAAGATGCATTGTAGCATTCCTTTTCCTATGCGGGGCTGTGGTCATAAGAAATGAGCGCTAATGTTTGGTCGTCATCGGATCGCTAGGAGCATTCCACGAGACGAACGAAACAACAACCCTTCACGACCCAAGCCAGGTGCAACAGCCTCGTCTCGAAATTAGAAGCTCACGGGGTTGACTAGATTTAGAAAAAGCCTGAAATGGCTTCTATAGTTGCGTGCAAGAACCATCCAATTCTTGGTTTGGCTATTAGAACTCGCTCAATGTGTTCTAGCTCGTCAGTCCAATATCGAGAGCTTTTCATTCCTCCAAACCCCTTGCAATATGCCACATAGGCTCGTACAAGCACACGCATGTGGTGTTGTGCTCATTCCTGTGCTTTGGGGTGTTGTGGGTTGGACAGAGAATCAACGCTAGATCACTGAAATCCGAGCTATATTAAATGCCTTTCACCCTAAGTCGAACATGTCCCAACAGCCGCTCCTTCTATCACGTTCTTTCTTGCATTACTGTCTCTCCTTAAAGATGAGGATCACGGTGGCCTTCGTCCTCTCCCTCATTGGCGCCGGCAGCGCCTCGAACATTGTCGCTCGGGGTGGCTACGATGGCTGGAAGCCTAAAACCAAAGAGCCACATTTCTTCCAGCTGAAGGTTGACGAGTATGAGTATTGCTCCACTTACAGCCTTGACTCTGCTGCTGCTGAAATCGATCTCACTTCTGCTTCCTCTTCTCTTGCTGAACAGGCTGCTGCCGCTGCCGCCGCCGCCGCCGCCGCCGCTCCTGTACTTCCAGCTATTGAAAACATAGCTGCATCCGTGCTTCCAGCTGTTGCGCCTGTAGCTTCCGTAGTTGCTTCAGTTGCCGCTCCGATTGTTGGCACACCCGCTGCGGCGGCTCCTCCAGCTAGCACTCCTGTGACGCCGGCTGCCGGTGTTGGAGCCCTCCCAGCCCCACCGACGAAGCGCCAGTTCCAAGCAAACGGTTTGACGAATACCAATACCTACTTCTGCTTCAAGAACTATGCCATTAGGCTGAACAAGGGGGTGGTAATCGCCACACCTTACAGCAAATTCTGGGATCCCCCATTGGCAACCTTCTTCGTCGATGACGATACCCAGCTGTACACTGTAAGATTATCCTGATTACCCAAATTGATGATGCTGATTATCATTCTAGGTCAGCAAGAAACCTCTCCAGCTGTACGTGGATGCTGTTACAGGGCAATTGAAATACACGAGAGTCGGATGGTTGCCACCAAATTCCATCTCAATCAGCTTCTACCACACTGGTGACAACCCACTTAGCATAGTCAATGGCAACAGTCCATCTCTCTTGACATGGCCAAGCACACCTGGCATTGCTATTGACGATGGAACCTGGCAGCTCTGCCCTGACGGAAGCACCGGCCAATTCACTGTTTACGTCAACAAATATAATTTCGAGTCCCAAGGTACCACCAAGACAGGATGCTTCGAAAGGAAGCTGGCAGCTGTCAATGCCAATCCGTGGAAGAAGAAGAGCCACCATGACTATGGTCATCGCAAGTACAATGATGGTTATGAAGAGAAGGATTACGGATATGACAGCGGTTACGACAATGAGTACGGCGACAAGTATGATAAGGACTACTAGTAAACTAACCCAACTGTGTTCGACATCCCTCTCGCCGGGGATCATGCATAGAGGGCGCAGGTCTTTTCACATACACACTTTGGCACTTGCTGGTTTGGCTTACTCGTAATCACTCCCTGTCTTCTCTACAATCTTACCGAGTCTTGTATCTTAGCTTCAAATTGAATACTGGTCTCTTTGATATACTCGGTCTATTGTATTTGATACTTAAATCTTCATATTGTCTCACAGTTATTCCTGTAACCTAACCACTGACCAGGTCGGTCAGTTGATTGGCTGGTTGGTTGTAATGAAGGTGAAGGAGACGCGCAATGACATTTTTTTCCTCTTCGCGTCTTCACATCCAGTTCTCTATCCCATCCTTCACTAGCCCTCTCTTTACCACCTGCCTCTCCGCCTCTTCTTCTTCTTCTACTGTTCTCATCCACGCTGCAAAGTTGATTCACGGAGAGCCCGTCAACTCATATCCAAAATGCCTCTCAAATTATCGCCACGCCACATACGAGAGCAATCCTTCCATGTCACCTATTCCGATAGGGAAGTCTCTCAGTTGGCCCAAGAAATCTATGACCAAACCGTCGCAGACGTACACTTTTCCCTCTTCAGCTTCTGGGTGTGCGAATCCACCCAGCATTATGACAAAGCCAAGCAACACATTCGTGAGTTGGCGCTCGATCAGGTAGGATAATTCGGGAATCGAAACCATACCCATAAGCTCGCTCACAGATTTATTCTCACTTTAGGGATACGAGATGAGTCGTATCGGAAATATCTACCTGCGGCATCTGCTGGCAGACACATTCAAACTTAGGCCAAGGCAAGTATCTAATGATGTAATTGTCTGCCACTTCCCCCATGCCTTCCTAATCACCATCCTAAACGGCCTCTGGCTTCTTAATTGACACGACGTAGCGCGCCCTACTTCACCTCTAACGCAGCACCTCATGGAGTCCTTCAGACTCATAACTTACGCCCTGCCGGTTCACGTATACAGGGCTCTTCATGGCAGCAACGTTCAGTATCACAACCTTCTACTCTTCGTGTTGAATTCCCGGCATGGAGCCGGGTTGGCCCTATCACTGGTCCTCCCCCAAATACACCGGATCGCCCAGCGCCGTTGAAAATCAGGTCACGCGGCGAGAGTACAGTCAAAAATGCGGTCAATCAAACGCCTAAGACAGCGCTCGCCCGCTCCGTCTCCTCGCCTGTGCAGACAGAACCCACGACCCAGACCAGAAAGCCGCCTTCGCCAATACTTGAGCCAATTCTCGAAGTGACATCAAGTTTGGCAGCAACGTCCTTGGCTACAAACGACAGTGAAAACATTAGCGAATCTGAATATTCGCAGGACGACGGATTCTCAGCCACGTACGAGAGCAACGAACGGCTCTCTATCACATGCGAAGATTCCCCACACCGCTGGACCGGACAGCTCTTGACTACGCAAGATCGCACAAGTGAAGGTTTCCTACAAGACAACAACGAACAGCTCTATACCACGCAAGATTATACGAACGAACATATCCTACACCGTTGCAACGAACAACTCTCCACCACACGAGATCACCCGAACGAAGGTGAGCACACCCCGCGCCACTGCAACGAACAGAGCTCTATCACGCAAGATCATACAAATATAAGTGAAACTTCCTTACACCGCTGGAACGAAAAGCTCTCTATCACGCAAGATCACTCGAGTGGAAGTGAAGCTTCCCCACCCCGCTGCAACGAAACTCTTGAAACAGAGCTTAGGAGGTTGGAAGAGAGATCAAATCACTCCGAGGCCGACACCGAGGCCGCCTCAGTTCCAGACTCCGAACGCACAGCAGACACGATCAGCCTATTCGGACGAAGCACGCTCGACAACATTACCTCGACAGAGAATCCACTTGACGCAAGTCACCATTCGACTTCCTCCAGCCAAGATACTACGACCTTTGGACGCCGTGTCCCAGCTCTCAACAGCTCTTCACAAACCGCTACCCGACGACCATCTCAATCCCAGTTCGCGCACTCCCGCTCCCAGCTCTTCAACTTCACAGTCTCAACACGGGACCTCCGCAACCCATCCACCCACCACCAGCGCTATATCCAACAGAGCCCTCCTTCCTTCTCCCGCAATACCCACGCAGGAGCCACAGACCGCTGCCTCCCACTCCGAAGATACGAGACCCCGTCATCAAACGCGATCTCTAGCAGCAGCTTCGACCTCCTCTCCCGCAGTGCCAGCGCCCTCCCCCGCCCAACCATCCAAGCCCGCCGCAAAGCCAGCTTCCTCCAGAAGTCCAAGCCTCTTCACCAGCAACCCGACAGAGGACAGACAGAACTCTTAATGCGCGCTGGCCCCAGCTTTCTCAATTTCTCCGCCACACCGACACGCCCGCTAGCATCTCGGATCTTCTCTCCAATGCAATCGAATCGAGCTCAGGCTGGCACGGCGGCGTCCGATGCAGCAGCCAACAACAGCCAGGTAGCGAGGCTGGAGTCCATGTTCCGCAGCACGATGCGCATGTACGTCGAGTCGCTGCTTAAGCGTACCCGGGCTCGCGGCGCGCAGCTTGAGGAGGTCGATCGTGTGACGCTTAGTGCTGAGGATGCTGCTTGGTACGACGCGAATGGCGAGTTTCTGCAGATTGTGTTTGGGAGGAAGTTTGTGCGCCTTGAGGGTGAAGATAAGGCGACTTTTGAGGATATCGCCACGCAGTTGAGGGGAGAGTCGTCTAGTCAGTGGGTTCGCGACTTGTTTGCCCAATCTGGGCTGTGAGGTTGGCCGTGAATTAGCCAACTGATAATGCAGATCTACTGAAGGTAGAAACATAGCCGGTGGAAGGGATCGATGAAGAGCTTATTAATAGGTTTTTTTTCGGCGTCCACTGATTCCCAAGGGTACTCCCGAAACTTGCGTACTGTAGAGTGACGCATCGAGGAGTACGCGTCGGGATGCTGTACGATATTACAATGCTCATGGGCATTAACTTCAGCCAATCCAATTCATCTTTGATAGATCTACTTCTTTGTGCATTCGTGTCAATTCCGAATTTAAACGCAACTATTACGCTGTGAATCCTAATTTAAAATTCTTCTTCAAAAGTGTATCAGGATACTGACTGTTTTAATCTTACTCATTCTTCATTAATACCAACTTCTAAAACTTCTAAAAAAAATAAAACCACCCAACAAAACCTCTTCCAGAAGGTTATCATAGCATGATTGATATGGTTTCACTGAGAATCAGAATAAAATATATAAAAACCAGAAACCACGTGCCTTACGTTGCATAGCACTGCAGTCGTAGCTCCTGTGACAGTCCGTCAACAAAGCGAAAAACCCTACGAGCTATATTCACACTAGTTCTTTTGATTGGTATCATCTACCATTTCTATATGACACAAGCAATCAATTCTAGCAGGTAGATTTCTTCAACTACAGCAAATAATGGGAGTTCATTCAATGCCATTGACTTTCTCTTCTTGGTTGAGGACATCGGGACACAAGGCGGTACGCGTGGCACTTGTGTAGAAGATAGACTCTGGTTCACAAGTACGAATGTTTCATTCATGTTCAGGTAGAACTATACATTGAATGCATGCGTCAAGAGGTTAAATAAGGGGTAGTGATTTCATATTCCATCTTTGAATTAGAAGTTCAGATTTGTTGGATCGTTGAATTGTTGTATCTACCACTTCACAGAACGTCACGATACTGGCTACTGAATACAAGAAGCCACATGACAGTTTCATATCAACGTAATGGACATTGGCGGAGGATATACAGTTGCTAATATAAATCGTCCAGTCGTCATTGTGTGAAGGTTCTGTTCTGTCTATCAATCGTAATGATGGTGTTTTTTTTTTTTGAGTTTTCCACGCAAGACGAGCGCGAGGGTGATGCAGAACAGCACGTTCTTTCAGCGAGAAGGCTCGTCTCAGCTCACCTTGTTTATATTCGTATTCTAGTGTCGTCGAGAATTGCAGATAGCACGCTTGGTGTACAGCCAGTCTAAGTCTACATACGTATCGATGACCACCTTCGGGACTTTCGCCCCCATATCTAGGATCGAGAGCAAAACATGACACAGGGGACACTTTATTATGTAAATCAAAATGGGTGATATGCCTCCGGAGCGCGCAAGGGCGTGGCTGTGGCATTCCAACCTACATCCCCATAAGGCAAAATGTCCTCGATGTTTCCACGAGGATCTGGATACATCGCAAGTATTCGAATTTTTCGAGTGAGGGGAATAGGTGAATCATTCGAACGAACACAGGCAGGCATGGATGATTTTGTTACATCGATAACGACGAGGTCGCAGGCGTGGCGTCGCATGCTGGACTGCGATTCGCGCGGAGAACTGAGACATGTAAGACACGGGCAATATAACGACAACTGCCGGGACGCACAGAACATTGGTTCGCGGTCGGGACCTCGCCTCCGAGAGGGAGCACATGCCAGACCAGAGAGTTTATTATGAGACACTTGGGACGACGATGGCTTTCTTGAGAGTGCGTGGAAAGAGGGAGGAGGTAGCGAGAGGTGTGAATGTGGAGGAGAGTGCGAGAATGCTGTGCCCCTTGCGTGCTCCAGTGTCTCGCCATGTGGTTGGCGATGATGCGCGAGCAAGACACACTGTGTGTCCTTGCACGCACGCCCATGAAGGACCATCCATCGACCTCGTGCAAGGAGAAAATGCTTCGGGTTGGTATTTCAGTCACACCAAAGAGACTTCGCACTAGGTTCAGATGTAATACAATTCCCGCACTCCCCTCCCTCACTAAAGAGAAACCCCATACCTCCCGACTCACGTTGATGCCATTCTCCCTTCTTCCACTCAAGTGAGGACAAAACCCTGCTCCCTTACTTTCCATGTCTGCTCTCATAATGTCTCGATGTCAACTCAGTCTCCCCATTCTAGAGGAAGTCCGCATCCTCGTCGACGAAATGCACCAGATACGAGCCTATGTGGAAACAACAAGTACGCGCATTCAATATCTCGAAGAATTTCTCGAGCCATGTGCGTCAGATCAAATATCAAGTATCAAACGAGGATTGAGAGATGTACATCGAGGTCTCGAGCGCTTGAGTAAGAGTTTCCGGTCACGAGGCGTGGATGAGATCACGAAAGAGGTATGGCAGAGCTACAGAAGATTGAGAGCCATGGAAGAGAAAGTCAGACAGGATCGGAAGAGATTGACAATCCATGAGATGGATGAATATAGCGATGGGGCCATAAGCGAAGGGAAATCCATCGAAGTGATTGATAGTACCCAGTCGCCGCTCGGTCTGGTCGGGCCTCTCTATTGGAACAACGACGAGGTCAACGAGAAGTTTGAGTTCATCGACCAATTATCATCACAGCAGTACAGGCCAATCGAGAGCGACGCACCAAGTTGTATAGTAGCCAAGGCATTACCAGTGATTCGAGGGCAGGGGCCTGTCTTGTTGGAACATTATACACCTCGTAGACGACAACATGAACGTGGAACCAACGAGCATGACGAGGACAGTCTGAGCGGGAGAGGTATAAAAGGTCAAGACGATGAAAGCATGGGAGAGCCCATCCCTATCACCAAGGCGAGCCCGCCTGCAGTTCAACCGCCAGATACAGCATCAGAAGGACTTGTAGATGGCCCGGTCAATGTGACTGTGGTTGAATTGAAGAAAGGGGAAAAGCTCATTGCAGAAGAGTGTGGATCGTCCATGGTGATGCCTTCGAAAGCAGCGAAGATAACCAATGGAGTGTTCATTCCAAACGGCGCGGGGCGTTCGGCCGACACAATGATCAGTGTTGATGTTATGATTGAGGACCGCCAGCCTGAAATACCGTCGAAAAGTTCGAGAGAGGTCCGCTATAGCATTATCGAGGAAGAGGGTATGGAGGGCGTCGAGCTCTTCGACCCGCATCATAGGCGGCAGGGAAGCGCAAGCGGACAGGAAGTCACGTCCATGATCATGACCGGAAGGAAAGACAAAAATCTATTCCTACCGAATCTGCTATACATCAAAATACACGAAGTCCGTGTTTTGAAAAAGTGGCTGGCCAACCAGAAGTATCTGCACAAGGCGGCAAACATAACGCGCATGGAGAAAATGTTACATCTCCTGACACTCCTGCAGATGGGCTGCCGCTTCGAGTCTGTCGCAGTGTTCTTCTCGCGCACACCCAAGGAGGTCCAAGAATCCTGTTTAGAGGTCTTTGAAGGCCTACTCGAGATGCACAGCGAGACGATGCTTCCAGGGCCGGACTGTGCTCGTCGCTTCGCATACGAGCACTGCTGGAATATCACCAAGAAGTACGAATACTATGGGGGGAAAGAATACTTTACATGGAGCTACATCGAGGTACTCAACGTGTTAGTAACGCTCAATATCTTCATCGGCCGATATCGACAGTATGGAGAATTGAGGCTAATAGGGAGCATACTGCCCTGGGGTGATTGGGTGCGACTAACTGGGGAGTGAACTGGACTGAAAACTCCGATCAGAAGCTGGACTTTGCGGAACAAGACCGCCACAAATGAAAACAAGTAGTGGCGCACGCCATTGCGAAAGCGGATAATACTGCGGCAGAACGCGAACTGCTCTTAGGTTATACGGACTGTAATCCCCGCAACCAGAGACAGTCTGGACAGCGTGCTTATAACCTCCCAAGATCAAACAAAGTTTGGAAGAAGTGTTCAAGCGATCGATTCAGGGTTATCGCCTGAAAGACAGCCTCAAAATCTGAGGAGCGATGACGCACTAGAGATCTTTGATTTTCGGTGATTGTCTCTGGGGTTTGGTTTTGTTCGCGAAAGGAAAAAGGGCGACGGAGATGGCCAAATCTCACTAGGAGCCGAAACAGGAAGGCCTCGGATAGGCCCTGTTTCAGGTCAGAAGCTTGTTCGTATCGCCTGCGCCTATCGCAAGCCGGAGCCGTGTACCTGCATATTGTCAGGCTACGGTTGTGTCAAGCTTGATGGACGGCATTGAGGAGGGGCTTACCTACGTGAGGGCTTCACGCAGTAGTGATGATTACACAAGGTGAGAAGGAGTAGAACTTGTGATACGTACACAAGGGAGAACGGGGCATAGAGAGGTTCGATTGGGGAGAGATGAGAGTTCTCTAATTATGAAGATGAAGATGAAGATGGAAGGAGGATGGATCGTCGTGTTTGTTCTCTCTGGGGGGTTAGACAGAGCAGTGATTGACCAATAGAAATGGAGGATACACAAACGACACCCTACCAAGATCAACAAACCCACATGCCACAACCTCCTGAATCATTTAAATCGTAAATAACGACTTGCCACTGTAGGTAACATTAATCGACCAGAATTATTAGTGGACGGGAGTTGTGTATTCACTTATTGTAGCATAGACTTAAGGTTATTCCTAATTCACAATCCTAAAACGCAGCCTTACCCTGCAGGTTTTCCACCCCCGTCCTTTCCTTCTCCTCCTTATCTTTCCTTTCACTCCTCTTTCTCTCCACGAAAGTCCACTCTTTTTGACATCAGTCTTCCAAACAATCCTTTTGCGATCGTCAACAAGTGCGTCTGGTCTACGCGCGTCCACACTCTTTCTAGTCTACCTATAATACACACTCCTTCACAGCAAACCGTAACCATGCGTTCTTTCATTATCGCGGCCGCCGCGGCCGCCTCCGCCTTCCTCCCTACTACCGTGCTGGCGCAGACTTTCACCAAATGCAATGCCCTCAATGAGACAGGATGCCCCAACATGCCGGCTCTCGGCGGCAATGCCACCTTCAACTTCAACGATACCTTGTACAACAAGATCTGGACTAAGCAGAACCAAGGAAAGGTCGACTGGAGCGAGAAGGGAGCAAGATTCACTATCGAGCGCCGCGGCGACTCGCCCATGATCCAATCCAAGTTCTACATGCTCTTCGGCCGTCTGGAGGTCGTCATGAAGGCCGCTCCCGGCCAGGGAATCGTTTCCAGTGCCATTCTTCAATCCGAGGTTCTTGACGAGATCGACTGGGAGTTCCTTGGATCGAACAACACCCACGTACTGACCAACTACTTTGGCAAGGGCAACACCACCGACTACACTCGCGGCAAGGACTACAAGATGGCACCTCCGCAGGAGGAATTCCACAACTACACCATTGATTGGACTAAGGAGCGCATTCAGTGGTGGGTTGACGGCAACATGTTGCGCGAACTTAAGCCCGAAGAGGCCCTCAATGGATTCAACTACCCCCAAACCCCAATGAACATTCGTCTGGGAGCCTGGAGCGGTGGTGATGTCGAGAACAACCACATCGAGACAGTGGTATGTAGCACATCTTACATTTTAATCTCGGACAGCCCGGGCTAACAAATAGTTCTAGAAATGGGCTGGTGGTGAGACCGACTTTAGCAAGGCTCCTTTCACCATGACTGTGCAGACCGTTTACGCCCACGATTACACTACCGCAAAGGAGTACTCTTGGGAAAACATGGACGCCAGTGGCAGCTGGGAGAAGGTCAAGGTCATTGAGTACGTATTTCCTGCACTTGTGCGCTATCAGTACACAGAATTAACAGAGCACCAGGGGTAAATCCGAACTCCTCCAAGAGTACCAGAAGCCCTCTGGCGTTCGCAACCGCTGGGCAGCTCTCTCCAAGGGTGCCCAGATCGCCATCATTGCCTCCATCATTGGTTTCGTCGTGATTGTCGCCGCCATTGTCCTATTCTACTTCATCAAGCAACGTCGCGCAGGTGCACGCGAGTACAAGGCCCATTTGGCCGAGGCAGACAAGGAGGCGGCCGAGAACCTCCAGTACAAGCAGTACCAGCAACAAACCCCAGGCGGCAAGTTCGGCTACAACAGGTTGTAAGGGGTTTGACTTCAGCATGGAAGGTGTTTCCATGTACGAGGTCGACCGATGAGGGAAGAGATGACCGGGCGTCCATGTTTCAGAGCCTCCGCTAAGCGCCTTGCTCGACTTTTTAAGCATAACGATCCTGACCATCCTTCGGGAGCAATAAGATGTGGAGGTTAATAGTCGACAGATTGTGGGGGACCTTCCGCACTGGGGACAGCCTGCTGCTTCAACTGATGCCATGATTTTCAATATACCCGCTCGAGAGCGGCAATACCCTGTGTTTAGTGTTTTTAATCGCGACTGGCTTGAAGCCAGTCGCTGTATATGGACATGATTTCCTTTTCGTTATCAGATTCTTTTTCAATCATCTCAAGTAAACCTCGCGTGCAACATTCGCTCAGTCTGTCGTGTTCGTGCCCATCAGCTACGGAGAAGTCGCAAGATGGGGCGATAGCCATGCGCCGCCATTCCATCGTTACCTTCGTTAAACCATTGAATAGTGAGTTCCTATCTGTTCTCGCCTGGATTGCTCTAGACATAAACTGAGTGTAAGGTGACTGATGCCTCGTGATCGCTGGATCGTCTTCGCGCCTTGGCAGTCAGAACAGTCAGACGTCACTCGACGATCACGCATCTCCGCCAGACCCATCACAACATGTGAGATCACAGAACATTCTCCACGACTCGTGATATATCCCCATAAGAGCGTCTGGAAATCCACACCTAGAATGCAAACCCCGCTGAATCGCTTACTCACCCAGATCTACTTTCCATACCTCCCACCTTAAACCCCACACTACTCGGAAGCTTTGAGCTCCCTCTACAACCTTGTTCATATACTCACCAAAGAGGGCTTAACACAGTCCCAGGCCAACAATGGCGGATAATATTACTTCAAATGGCGAAGGAATTCTTACACCACCAGCATCTTCCGTCACAACATCCCACCACCCCTCGCCATTACCTCAACCGCGCCGACATCCTCTCAAGCCTGGTGGTAACAAAGAAGGAGAAGTGATCGGCTACCTCGACCGCGGCCTCAATGATGTACAGAAACGCGTCGACAACAGAACCAAAGAATGGAACCAGAGTTCCGGACGTAGCTCGGACCTACGCGGATACAGTAGTTTCACAGGCGTCGAGAAGGATCTCGAAGGTCTGATAGATGTTGTTTGGGTTACGGGATCACGTATGTTCTTGATTCTCCACACTCTTACAATTCCAAATATGCTGACAATTGAACGCAAGCGAAACTCCAATTCACATATCTCCTCAATATCACCGGCCTCATCTCAGACACCCTTCCGCTCTTCCCCTCCGCACCGCACGCTACCTTTCGCCTGCTCGAGAAACTTGACGCGGCTTTCTCTTCTCTCCTGCTAGGTCATGACCCCGAAACAAATGAACCCTTGCCTGGATTCGACAAGGGCTTTGCGGTGTCGACGACGGATAAAGTCCGCCTGAAGGGTGTTGTGGAAAGGACGAGACTTATAGTCGCGAGGAAGATTGGGCGACATACTGGTGAACCAGGAGACGAAGATACACCGGTGGATACTGAAGATGAAGATATGACCGATGCAGACGAGGGGCTGGTGAAGTTTGAGGGATTCGATACGAACGATGAAGATGAGGACGAGTGGGAAGAGACACACGTTGGTAGCGTTTTTGAAAAGACGATTGCTGAATTGGGCGATGTCCTTGGCGGACCCCCAATTGGAATTATCACGGAAGATTGGAGTGATCAAAAGATGTGTGGTTAAGGGAAGTTTGCTTTTAATTGAAAATATACAGAGTGTGTTGGCCGTTGTTCGATACAACCTCCATCCTACGTTACGATAACTTTGACAACCGCACATACGAAAGCTTCCTTCAATACTTGTCATCCTTGTGATCAAACATGTATTCGTAGATTTCTCAACTCTCTCCTTGCCGTTCCTTTTGATTCTCTGGCTAATCCGGATCGTGCATCCTAACTAGCGCGGCGAGAAGCCGCACACTCAAGAGCGGAATGACTTGCAAGAGTTCAACGTGTATCTCAGAGAAGTGAAGGCGAAGAGGAGACATCATCATACTAAGCAATCTGGGGGGCCAATTGGCTCACGATACCACGAGTTTGACGCGTGCAATTTACGGTTCGCGCGCCTTCCTCATGGAAACATCCGCGATGCTTGCTCGACGTCAGATGCCGCCATCCCACAAACTCCTTTATAAACATCAAATTTACCTATCTCTATCCTACCTTACCTATTTCCTACCGGCGCCATGTTGCTACGTATTCTTTAAACACTCGCAGCTCATCACACTAATACGACTATTCGATTATAGGCCTGCTACGACGGAGACTCGCCGCCGTTGTTATTCTCACCAACTATGCCGAAATACAACGCCGTGGGGATCAATCTTCGCCTGAGCACATGCTCTCTCGCAGAATCCATCACTCCGGATGGCGAACTGCGCTCACGAAAGAAGGACGCCGCCGTCAACAGTGAGATCGTAGAAAAGCGTCTGCAGGAGAGCACCTTCCTTGACGAGGAAAACGTGCCTTTCCCCGGAGATGCGTTCAATTTCGGCCTCAACTTCATCAAAAACGTACCTTTTATGCAGGTTGAGACTGGTCTGCCGCCCTCCGATTCCAGTGACTCCGATGTCCCCGCGAAGGCGCTTGTCCTCCATGTTATCCTTTCCGAGGCTACGTTCCTGCCCTCTTTCGATACCGGAAAGCCGCAGCATCTCATGATCGATGTTTTCTTCAATGGAGATCTTGCTTCTAGCGTGCTCATCCATATTCGAGAGATCGTCTATGGCGTCAAGTCTTTCGATCTCATTTTTGCCGGCACACGGAACAGCTTCCTCACTGAACGACCATGGATTATCCTACCCTCCGATACTGGCCACGGCGGAACCGACGAGTCTATAGACCCATTAGATTTTGTGGGTGCGCATGAGCGTTGGAAGCTAATTTCTCGGGCTCTTCTGGAGGAAGCAGATGGTCGTGGACATAGAGGGAACGAAAGACCACCGAGCGGAGCATACCTAGAGAGTCTGGCAACAATGGAAATGCCGCAGCGTGTAGAAAGCATGCAGAAGAAGGGCGGGAAGACTTTTGGAGTCGTGGACGTTATAGTCACTGCCGGTAGTGGAAAGAAGACAATGGCAGATTATCTCAAAGGGCCGACACGAATGGTCGACGATCGATACAAGAAGAAGAAAAAGAGCAAGTGCGTGGAGACGAATGCAACAGCTGACCAAAACCCAGGAAAATTACACAATGAAGAGGAGCATGGTCTCAATGATCAGAACGGACTGCCGTATGTTCAAGCACCTATGGAGACTCTGGATTCCAATCATGCGCTCACATCAGAGTCGCTGCCGCCGCCACTGTCTTTGCCGGCACCATGGAGGATTCTACCATCCTCCCCAGCGTTCATCAATCCCAAAGCTCTGACCATAGACCCTTCCTGCGATTTATCACACGATGGAGCCCATATCACCCCTCATCGTGCCCCTTTGTATAACGGACTTCCGACCCCATTCTCCATGGCCAATTCAGCTCCGCACAACAGTATAAATGCTCTACCATTTCCACCTTTCCTTGGGTGGCATAATGCAGCTGTAAATAGCGGTAAAAGCAATGGTCTGCCACTACTACCGCCGCTATCACGGCCGTTGGGGTTCCCTTACATTGGCCCAATGCCGCCGTTACAAGGTCCACCACCCGCCATTGGACTCTTCTCACTTCCTCCGCTCCCAAAGCCCACTGATCCTGGACTCATTGATCCAGAATTGCCGCGTTCGAGTTTTCTGCTCTCGCATCTTCGCATCACAGGAAAGCGCGGACGCTCCTTGGTGGATTATCATTGGCCTGTTCCTCAGAGAGTGGCTATCCGTCATCAAAAGCGTGCGCGGCGATCCTCGAGTCCGAGTAAAACATCGAAGAGAAATCGTCGCTCATCTCCTGGTTTGGACGATTACGATGGTCTTTCACACTATCACAAGAATACTTTGACGAAGAAAATCGGTCGTCATGATAAGGATATTGCGTCGGCCTTGCTAGAGTTGGCTGATCCGTCCCGCGACAATGATCCATCCACGCAATTTCCCGTGCTACCTCCAAACCGAGGACGCCAGGATGAGAAACCTTCAATGTTTGCTTTGGATGGTCCTGCTTCAGACAACGATGTGTACGGAGAGCATCGTGGGTCAGGCGCTCGCGGTGTGCCTATTACTATGAGGGCCGTCAAGGCTAGCCTCGACGCCCCTGATCAGGGACCGACATCCAGGTCTGTCGGTCGTCTTCGGGATCGAGCGTCGGACCACTTCATTATGACAGATCCGGAGCAACTCCTACGTCGCCCAGGTAAAGCAAGACGACCCAAGCCCAGCCACGAGGCGGTTTTGGCAGGTGCTACTTTCACCAACCCCAAAGACGCATCTTCCAACGACGTTGCGGATGTCTATGATATCGGAACTGGAGTCATACCGAGCGTAGAAGACACGCTTGAGCGCCACCTGCCAGTGAAAGCCCCTCAACCTGAGAACAAGGGGACAACACCAGACCGCATATTGGTTGCTCCCAAGATGTCTGATGATCAATCACAAGAAAAGGTTCCTCCTCAACAATACTGGCCTCCTCCATTGGTGTCTCCAGAATCAACACATGACAGCCACGCGCGCGGTGGTGGAGCACCAACCGAGGTTGAACACAACGACTCTTCTAACGACAACTGCGTCATCCGCTTCGCGGAACACGATGATTCTCCCGCTGGGCAGATGCGGCAGGTCAAGAGCGAGCGACAGGGCATCTTCAAGGAAGACATGGTCGTCATGGGATGCAGGTTCTTCGTACGCGGATGAAACACACAACATCACGATCTAACGCCTACGTGGCGAAACATCAAGCACCGAGATGGAGGTGAATGTGGCGGAGATGTAAGATATTATGTATGATTTGCGTCGACTTTATTGGAGAATCGAAAAGGGGGGAACATGGAATATGCACAACTGAGAACAACATCAATTAACTTTATCGAATGTATGAATAGTATCAGTGAAAAGCGGGCGGTCTTTCAAGAAGACATCATATCTGCAGGAGACACAAGTCGAAGGACAAAAGAAAATCGAGGCAGGTGGTGGTGTGTCGGAATGTAAGACATATCTTCAGGTAGCCACCAACAGATCCAACACCAAAACCCTTCAACTATCTACCTCGTGTCATGAGAGTGTCTGAATCACAGTCTGAAGATAAGAAAGTGAAAAGTAAAACTCACACGTCCAATTAATTAGGTATAAACTTCTTCATTGCACCCATGATTCACACCCCTCCCAGTTGAGATAGACACAAAGCGCTGGAATGTGAGTGAGCATCCGTGACGCGGCGCCGAGTATCCGCAAGGGAGCTGATTGATATTCATTCCAATAAATCTTGATTCCAAACGAAGGTTTTCTGGAAGTCCAGACACGGGGGGGAGAGTGGGAGTCATTTATCAATATCGACCTTTGTTGGATTTGATAGCTTGCTTAGTGGATATAATTTATATCTATATAATTATCTCATTGGACTATCCGAAAAGGAGGAGGGGTTATAGGCATAATCATAGGAGAGATAAAAGAAAGAGTTGGACGCGCGCCCGTCCGAGTAACGCCCGCTTACTCCGTACCGTAGTCGGGTTGAACAATAGTTAAGAGGAGATGCCGAGGGGTGGTAATCGTGAGAAAACAACAAACGAACGCCATGTTTCCGAAATGCGTGTAAGATTCTCTACGTCACTCCTTCTCTCACTCCTACTTCGGAGTGGCTATGATGATAAGGTGTGGACGAGAGGGGAAGGGGGTAGGTAAGATTTCATAGGTACACTTTCTTGGCGTCTCTGGAATGGGATTCGTTGGGACAGTAGGGGCACTTGAATCTCGTGCCTTTGCTGATCTTCTCGAGGGATTCTTGCGCAATGACGTGGCCGCACGGCATCATCATAGGGGGATTCTCGTCGGTGGATTGTTCCTTTGAAACAGGACAAACGAAGATGGAGTGAAAGTGATAGGATGGTGGGAGGGGTATTTCGACCTACTTCGATGTTAGTATCGATGAAATGGAAGAGAGTGCGTGTATAAGGTGAATCTTACAGGAAGCTCATTCTGAGTTGTCCATTCCGTTCGTTTTTCTTTCATGATGTTTTGTAGTTTGAGAAGCGTTGGTAGGGCTATCGCACCAGCAGTTGTCGCGATATATAGTGGAGAATCCGATGATAGACCCAGCAAAGAGCAAAATTCCTTGGTGAATGAGGAGGCAACCTCTTCCCACGCAGAATCATTGTAAAAGTGCCGTCGATATGGCGAATCGGCTATGTTGGGTGCGAAGGCCATGGCTCCCATCATTGATTGTACTTCCCTCGCATATCGTTTTTGAAAGGGGCCGAACTCGCTTCTTGCATATGCCCAAGCCCGAAGCGGTCCATCTGTGGGATTATCTGAAGTAGGGAATCCCTCCATGTCTTGACCGACGAACAAGCAGATGAACTGTAACCGACAGAGTTCAAATTCTAGGTTGCTACCTCTAGCCTCGAGCACCTCTGTTCGTGTTCTTGCCCATTCGATCGCGGGCGACAGGTTTCGGTTCGTCCGCAGCTCGTGTAAGATATTATACATCTCGGCAAACTGTTCTTGCAGCTTTGTCGAGTTGAATGTTCCATTAGCTATATCCTTTTCCCATGATTCGGAGAGATATGGATTGGGCGTTCCCGCGGTGGGTTCAGGGTGCGGTGGATGCTGCCTGGCTTCCTCGATGAAAGTGGCTGCCACGTTGAATTGGCCTTCGCGGAGGAGATGCATGGCTATTGCGCGGTTGATGAGAGAAGGGTGTGAAGACAGGGCATCGTTCTCGGCGGTTGGGAGGGGTTTGTCCTTGAATTTCTACGCAATGTTAGCAAATCCTCAACCGCAAGAGGTGGAGAGGGTGTGAATTACCTTGTCCAGGGCTTTGCCATACTTGTTCAAGGCTTTGTTTGCTGGCCCAAGATTTTCATGAGCCTTCTTCATGACATCTTTGAAGGGGGATTGCAGTTTTGCGAGTGTCATAGGTGCTAGCTGAGGGTCTGATGTTCACATGATTAGCTATGGAGGGAGTTACATTCCAACGCGATAAGGCTACAGACCTCTGGAAATCTTGGCCCTGGCAGCAACAAGCATGTCAATCGCTCTCTGAACATCGTCGATGGTATTGGCAAGATTTGCATTGCTCTCGAGGAGCTCTACTTGCTCCTTGAGGTCGTCCATGGCAGGCTGGTGGCGCACCGTGGGGAGCTCCGCAGTACACAGGTTCGCTATGATCGGGACGTGGGAATGTTGCTGGTTATTGGGTACGAAGGTTTCCTTGTGCAATAATAGGCGCTTTTGTTCATGCAGGTCGTGGCCATCGCAGTGAGGGCATGCGTATGTGTTGTATTGAAGAGCTGTGGAGCTGGTCAGTCATGATGAATGGCCGTGCTAGACAAGTAGGTAGTCGGGTAGGTTGGGACGATGAAGTGATCGGCTGCAGGGATGGCCCGACCAAGGATGACGTGTGGGGAAAGGAGCCGCGTCTTCCTCTGTCAACGGCGCAGGGCAGGTGCCCTGACTACAGCATAGCTATAGTAGCACCTTTTCCTGCATCTACTGCATCCATTTCCACACATGCGCCTCTGCTCCATACGTTGGATGAGGTCTCTATTACCCACAGCAACTGCTATCGATCTCTCACACTGATCTTGCGCCGTACAAAGCCACCCTTCCACCGTCCACCGGGACTAACCATTGTGCCTCTTGTCGGGGTCGAATCGTCAATATGCGACAGACGCCCGAACCGTCCCTACAGATCACCTACGCCTATATCCGAAGCTAAAGCCTCTTGATACATTACACACACCGCTACCATGGATTACCATCTCCATATGGGTGCTGCTGCTGCACGGGTAGGCTCGGAAAGGGAGCTCCGGAAGCGCATGCCACGTCTTCAAACATCAACGACGAACAATAAGAGCAACAGTTTTGCCGACCCGCTTACGCCCGCTATAGCAACTGCAGCAGCGACAGAATTCAACATGCGAGCTCCTGTCGCAGCTGGTCATCAACGTTTTGTCCTTACCGATCATGTCGCCTTCCGCTATCTCGAAGAAGATCCCTCCACCACCGTCCTTGCCCGCCGCCAGAAGCTTGAAGGCTACGAAGTTTACCTCGTCGAACAATGGGCCTGCTCACGGATACATCCGACCTTCGTCATAACAACCTATACCGGCGACCCTAAAGACTCTGTCTACGCCAGCGTGCTCAGCGTTCCAACAGACGAGTCGTCATGGTCTCCTCAATTGCGGATATACTTCAAAGCTGTGACCGATGTTCACGCTCGACCAAAAGAAACTCATCTGGGGACCCTGATGATCACGAATTTAAGTTCTTTTCCTTCCAGTTTAACCATTATACCTGTGCCCGATGGTGATATGAAGAAGCATCGTGAGCTATTCTTTGTGAACGAGGATCTCAAACGGCTTGGTTGCTCTGGACGTCTGGGTATCAAGTTGGCCCCACCAAGCAGTGCCACCCAGGCAAAATTCCATCAGCTCTATCGAACAAGCGATAAAATACCTCTGAACAGTGCCGTAATCGAGCTCGTCAAGTTTTGCCAGGTAGCACTGGTTATGTTTGGAAAACTCGAACCCGAGTATGCTGATGGACTTCTCTGCGATGTCACGGAAAAGGCTGTCAGTGATTGGTGGGTCGAGTTCGGTCAGGAGTACTTCACCGTCGAGCCGCACGATGGCATCCTCGGACCGACCACGGTGGCCGCACTCTTGGGGTTGTTCATGGGAGCGAGGAATCGATTAAGCGCTTACAATGCACCGGTTGCCAAAGATGTGTTTGACATCGAGAGTACAAAACGTGGCATTGCGTATTTCCAAAAGGCGAATCGTTTGCCAAAGACACGCCGACTTGATCGCCAGACTCTTGAGAAACTTCGCCGGGCAACTGCAAAAGCAGCTAGCAAAGAAGGATGGGCAGTACCTCGAGCTTTCAAGTCAACGGTAGCTGAATTGGGCGGCAAGGGAGGTGAAATGGTTATGGGCATCGTAGGAGCAGGAGAGAAAGCTGGTATTGCAGATATTGAGACAGTGGACATCGACCGGTTCGTGGATTTGGTGCAAGGCGAACGAGCCAAATGGCTTTGGTACGGCAAACCAAGAAAGACCCACACCGGCGACATGTTCAGTCGACTTCCTGGAGAGGATGGCGCTCTTTCCCCGGAAGCCCCAACTAGTGCCACCGCCAGGCTCTTAAAGAGAGAGTCTACATTAGATGGCGGGCCATTGTCGAAGCGAGACACAGCTGAGGACGAATTCGGCAAAAACTCTCCAGTTCTAGGTGGGAAGCTAGATGAGACAGAGAAAGAAGCAAATTCTAAAAGCGCTGCTATCAAGCGAGCCAAAGGGAAAATCGAATCAGGCAGTGGATTCACGCGCATCAAGGACGTCGTTGGTCGGCGGACGCATCAAACGAAGTCCTCGATGGACGTCAACGACCGGATGCACCTCCAACAGCCCAAATCCAATCCTGGATCCATACACGAATCAGACGGATTGACCACCCCGTTCGGTGAAAGGCGAGACCAAATTGGCTCGCCTCTGTCTGCTGTCTCAACGAACCGCCCGCTTGCTGAGACTGACACTAGCTTCACAAGAGTACTGACTGAAACGCCACGAGAAACTTCTACTACACTTTCTATGGCGTTGGATGGTACCACACAAGCACAGTCCTCTACGCAAGCTTCAGAAAAGGCATCCGAACAGGGAGATGCCGATGCAAACCCTTTACTAGATACTGGCTCCATCACAGGATCTGTATTCGCCAAAAAGCTTCCATTCACCCCCGCGTTTACGGATGTTCCTCCAATCCTTCGCCACACTCAATCTTCCGAACACCTACCCACATACCATTCACTAAGTCGTGACGCAGCCTGGTGGCCCCGAAGTCTCTCATTCAGCCTCGCCGAGGACAGCGTCCTCACATGGGTATCCCCATCATCCCTCGACAACGGCTCCGACTCCGAAGCCCCACCCCGCGATCTCCTCCAGCAACTCCAACAGCAAGAAGCCACGTCCGAACTCTACAAACACCTCCGCCGGCGCCTAGCAATCATCTCCTCCCTCGACGCGAAATGGACCGAAGAAAGCATAACAATCGTCCACGAGCTCGACGCCCAAGCCGACGCCGATATCGAGCAGCTCGAAGAGATGTACTACCCCCGCCTCGACGAGTACCAATCTCTCCGCGAAGATGCCCACGAAATCGTCTCGCGCGAGAGGCTGCAGCTCCAGGAAGCAGTGCGCGACTTAGAGACTATGGGCGCGAAACTAGAATACGAAATACATACCCTCAGGGGTAAGGTCGATGACGTGGAAGACGGGGTCCAGGAGCTCGAACGGCAGATCGACACTGTGGAGGAGAGGTGCGGCGAGTTGGAGGATATGGTGGGGAGTAAGGAGGGCATGCTGCACTTCGTCTTCAGGATCCTCACGGGGGTCGGGAGAGTTCCGTGGTGAGATTCATCATCATAAAGAAGATGGACCTCATACTCTGCGATGTGTTTGATCAAGGCGGGCGTTTTCAGGTCGTTTACTTAGATACCTTTTCAGCATTTCACATCTACTCGAGCATGTGAACATTACATGGAAGTTGCCATATGTATTTTCTCGCTATAGACGACAGGTGTATGTAGTACTAGACATGGATGTGCTCTTCAAAAATAATATATATTTCATGTACAGTACGACTAGAGAAAAAGTCGTGGGTATCATATCATTTCATATTTATACCGCCAAATGTGACACCATTTACCACCCATCCCCTCGATTGAGACAAAACAAAATTAAGGAATTCTTCTGAACTTAAATGAAGCGACGCCGCCGCTAATTCTCTGCGACGCTGCTTGCCCCGGCCATCTTCCTGCGATGCTCCTCCTCGAGCATGGACTGCTTCTTGACGTACTCCATGACGATTTCCTCCTCGGTCATCTGCCGCTGGAGTTCGTTCCTGCGGTCATTCTCTTCTTTCTCGCTCGCGATGAGAACCTTTCGCATCTCTTCCTCGAGTGCCGCGTCGGTAAAAGTGTCTGATGAACTCTGGCCACCTCCACCACTGCTGCCGCCAACGACCCCGCTGTCCTGCTGCTGCTCGCTGGGCGGGACGTGTTGTCTGTAGTCGACCGGGTGGTTGTGCTGCAGATCGGCGAGCTCTTTGCTCTCGGCGATGATGCGTTTGTAGTCCTCGTCATCCTCGGTGTCGATATCATCCTCCTCGTCGCTGTCGTCCCATTCCGAATCGCTGCTCCTGACCCTCCTACCCCGGCGCGCCTGTCGGCCCGCCGCACCGCTGTCGAGCATGCTCTGCCGGAGCGTCTCCTCGATCATCTCCTGCTCCTCACGGCTGGCGCCCGACTTGGACGCTTCTTCGATGCTGGCGTTGATGGCGCGCTGCAGTGCCTCTTCGTTGTCTTCAGACGCCGGGGCGGGTCTCTGGAGCTCGGCGACCGAGGCACGGATCGCGCGCGCGAGGAGCTCCTCGTCCGAGGTGTTGTGGTTGGGGTCGTGGTTGTTATGTGCGTTCGTCTCGGCGACCGAGGCGGCGATTGCGGCTTCCAGTTCTGCGGCCTCGGCGGCTTCTTCCTCGGCGGTAAGGGGCGTTTCGTTGTATTCGTAGCCGGCAGAAGAGCCTCGTGGGGGTTCCGTGTAGCGGCGCGAATAGGCATTTGCGTGTTGCTGGCGGCTGTCGCTCGAGTCTTGCGTGGTTGGCGCATGGGGAGCGGCGAGTTCGTTGTAGCTTGTGAAGGGCTGTAATTCTGGTCGGAATCTGGATCGCGAGTCCGGGCGGCTGTTGTTGTTATTGTTGCCAGTGAGCTTGCGGGCCCAGACTTGTCGTCTTTCGCGCTTTTGCTGTATCAGGGTCTGCAGGGCTTCGATCTGATCTTCGCCCACGTTCTTCTTGCGCTTGACGTTCTTCTTGATGTGTTGCCATCTTTCGACGATTTCAGCTCGCTCGTTGCGGGGAATCGTGGTTGCTTCTTCGTAGCCTTGTGAGATGCGCGCGGCGATGATATAATTTTGCACCATGGCACCTTTGCTCTTCAATGCCTCTTGATAGAGACCTTTCATGGCGTAGCCCGGGAACGCGAAGACTCCGCCCATGAAGCGAAGAGGAACGCCCGCAATACCACGACCTACACCTTTTACGAACCCCACGCCCCCCTCTTTCTTCGCCCCCTTATATGGGTCGGTAACGAGACCAGCAATTGAACCATACATTCCCATGCCCAGTTCCTATTCAATCATTAGTAAAGCTTAATCAAATCGCTTCAGAAGCACCTCACCTTGAACGCCGTCTTGACCCCACTCTGGAGATCAGTGACCTTATCTACTTGTCGAACTTCACCTCCATATAGCTTCGGCACATTGTTGAAGCCTTTAGCAACATTGAGGGAGAAGTCCATGGGCGATTTGAATCCAGCGCCGACGATTCGTCCAAGCCCTTTACCAGTGCTGATTGCAGCGTCGGGGTTCATAGCTTGGAGCCGTTCCGAGAAAGTGAATGTCGAGGTTCCAGATTCGGATCTGGGTGGTGGTGGTCGGCATCTTGATTGAGAAGTAGTGGGCGATGAGGTACCATCTACAGGCGTACTTTGTCCCTGTCGCTCCCGGGATGATGAACGTGAGACTTGGCTCGAAGCTGCCATAGCCTGTGCCATGAAATTAGATCTGTGTGCTGGGGAGCCTGGTGCATTGGGGCTGGTAAGAGGACTTCCATGTCGAGGATCCGACACGGTTGGACTTCCAGGCAGATTTTCAGTGACTGAGCTAGTTGGGGTTAGGTCTCCTGGAAGGTTTGTTGTACTACTGGGGCGCGATGCACGCGTATTGGAACTGCTACTTGCAGCTGCAGAAGGGCCCGGCTGAGCAGCATCTCCTGCACTAGAGGAAGCATCTGTATTCTTCGCCTTTCGCGTGTCAGGATGTATGTTGAGAAGCTTCAAAGTTTCGATGGGGAAATCGGCCACGCCCATCATCATAGTCGTGGCGCTGCCGATAATGGCAGTCGCGCCACCGGAAATTGGGTCCCAAGGGCCTTCATCGGGCTCGTATTCGCGCGGTCGGAATAGCTTCAGCTCACTGAAGTTCAACTCTCCCTCCTGTGCAAGAACTGTTGCGGCAGCTGCGCTCAACCTTACTTGCGTTCGCTTCAGCCTCCAGACAGCAGGTCGCCTTGGGGAAATAGCACATCGCAGATCGTCGTAGCGCAACATCTGATGAAAGAATTGGGCACCATTTTGGCTTCCCTGCTCTTTGCTGATCTTATTAGCAAGCTCTTTCGCCCTCTCCAATGATTCAGGTTTCAGGGCTTCATTGATAGCATCAGCTAACTTGTCCGCTGTGAGGTCTTTGTAGGGAATAGGCATGGGACCGGCGCCGGCCTTCGCAGTCATCGCACCCCAGAAAGGTTGGTCGCCAAAGAATGGTACAACGACGGTAGGTTTGCCAGCTGAAATGCCAGCAGCAGTCGTTCCTGCACCTCCATGATGGACGACAGCGGACACATGTTTGAAAAGCCAGTCGTGAGGACAATTACCAAGCATGAATACTCCTTCAGGAACGCCCAATTCGTCTGCGCCCAATCCTCCCCAACCTTTCGAAACAAGAGCTCGTCGTCCAGTTTTCTTGACAGCCTCAAAGATCATAGTCGTCATGGCGTTCGGGTCATCCACCACGATCGAGCCGAATCCGATATAAACAGGGGGTTCACCTGCCGCAAGGAATTCTGCTAAATCTGGGGCTGGGGTATAGTTCGAGGCGAGAGAAAGGAAGTAGAAGCCAGAGATTGAGATATGGTTAGCCCAATCTTTGGGTTTGGGAATAAGAGCAGGAGACCTACACAATGTTAGTATTCTCAACATACGGCGCGTTACGGAGGGGCCTACCAGCAATATGTGTGTGGGATCTTGAGCCTGTTCAGCATGCCTGGCGCCCAGATCATGCTAACAGGATCCAGTCCGAGACTGTCCTTGCGGAATTTATTTATTAGATCACCGAGACCTTGCCAGGTCAACATCTCAACTAATGTATAGGAGATATAATTTGTTAAGCTTGCATCGGCATTTGAATCAGTGATGTTTGCCAATGGATGTGGAAACTGCTGCGTTGGAGACCATGGCATACTATTTGAATATGTTAGCATGGTATCCCGACAATGGTAATAGTGAACCTACGTGAACATTATATGTAGCGGTATTCCAAGTTTCTCGGCACAATGTATGTGACCGAAACTCGGTGGGTTCGCAATGATCACATCCGCAACGAACGGCTTCTTCATCTCTTCTGGCAAATCCTCTTCGACGCCCATCCACTCTTCTACGCTCTGTTTCAGGGGGTCGACACCCATACCATTACCTGATTCAATGCACGACCGCCAGGTACCACGCAAGATCTCTGCGATGCCTCTCCTTCTCTTGCCAACATCGCCGCTGCGCAAGGTGTCAAAGCCGGGCATAAGGCCGGGATTCTTGACCATGAATGCCATGAGCTCTGCAGGGTCTCCGCCGATACTGAAGAATTCCAAACCGTTCTCCGTCACAAAGTCCTTAAAGGTAGGATGGGTAGCTAACCGCACGCGATGTCCGTATGTCTCTTTTAGCACCTTTCCTAGCGCAACGAATGGTTGTACGTCTCCTCTGCTACCGACCACGTGTATGACTACATTCATTTGTGGGGGAGGTTCCTGCGTAGGGCTGCCACCGAGAGATTCGGGGATGTATGCGGGGGGAGGCGCTGCCTCATTTTGTACCTGCGTCAATTGTCGTTGAAGTTGTGGTGCGAATATCTGGGTCAGTCGACGCGACTTTTGACAGATTCGAATATTGACACGACCATCGTCGGTAACAACAGCATTGGTGCCGAGTTCATTGTTATCTTCTGAGATCTGTCCGGGGAGTTCGGTGTAGGCGGGCGGAGGCTGATCATCTGTCTCTTCTGCGGAAGGTACTTCGTCTCGTGGGTTTTGACTAGAATGAATGTGCACATTATTTCTTTCCATGAATATCAGCTCAGTTCACTATATCGTTGTGGCAGATTGCATACCCTGAAGGCGTCGTGACTGTGGGCATTGGCGGGCGCCTTTGGCCGTCTGTAGACGAGTCTGTGGCAGCTGTTCGCCCCGCTGGCAATGTCTCGGACTGGTTCTGCTGTTCTCTCATATTTGAGGGTGTGATAGAATCTGGACGGTCGCCAGGGAGCTCTGCAGCTCCTCTGGTGGAGGACATGGACGGGCGGGGTGCATTATCGAGGTTCGCGTCATTCCCCTCCTGTGGCGGTTGAGGAGGGTTCGTCATCGTGTTGTAGTGGCGCACTGGGGTATCATGGGTAAGAAAACGCAAACAAATGGAGGGAGACTGGGGTTTCGCAAGAGTGTGTAAATGCAAATATTGAAGTTATCGAAGAAGCGAAGAAATCAAGGCTGTAGGCTAAGAAATGTTAATTGTTTTGGGGGGCAGGCTGTCTTTTTGGGTGTTTGTTCAGAATAGGTACAATTGCAGGCCAGAATCGAGGGGACCGGTTGATGCGCCATGACATGCGCTCAGGCCGACAGGGATCTCTGTTCGCGCTAAGGTCAATTACAGACCTCTGATTGGTTCAATGCGATCTCGAAACTTGAACTCTAAACCAACTACGATATCTGCGTCATCAACCTAAGCAACACCAGCCGATTACTTTTGCTTAGAGGCGGACGTATCCATTCTGTCTGTCTATGGCTAACCAGTATCATACACACGCCATGGGCTGGGCTTTTCTACGCATCATCATCTCGTAGATTTTGCAACTCTCCCCCGAGTGTAGCTGCGGGATGCTAGACCAGGTACCTGCCGGTAGAACGCGAGGTACGCACCGGTTTGACCCGCCCCTCACGGATCCATTCTCGTCAGCAGACCCCATCTCTTCCAATCGTATTGTTGTTCATTTGCAAGTATGTTGAACGTACTCGTATAGTATACGCACCAGGGTCCATCAAGTTCGCGTAACTTGAATTAGGACCCGGGGTGCTTTGAGGCTGTTGAGTAGCTGCGCCACAGGTGCTTGCGAATACCTAGCCTACCAAATTCCTGACTACCAACAAATGTTGATCAAAAGTGATTGGTACCTGTTATTAGAGTCTGTGACCTTGTGCGGATCCCAGGGATTGAATATCTCCATCCATTAAGGCGGCTGCGAAGCGCGATGAACATCTTTACGTCCAATGAGCAAATGTCACCATAACCTGGCTACTGCTCGCTTTGATGTCGCAAAGCCACGATTCTCATGCAACTAAGATTGTTCCGCATGTCGGAATTGCATTTGAGAAAAAGCTGAAACAATCGCACTTAGTCAGGGCGTCTGGCTAATCTTGCTTTGAGCACTGAATTCATATCTGCTCAGGGTGAGCACATAATTTCACAGGAAGCCATTATGACGGAATCTCGTGCCTTGAAGGTTGATAATTAACATCGGGATACAGCACAGCAGGCATGATGCCCTGATCGAAGAACTAAGTAAAAGATGTTGACTCTACCAATCGATCCTTGCCGTTGTCTTCTCGGTGCTATTCGCAATGGTCCTATCGTTAAGATTGAAGATTTACATGGTTTTTTGCAACGCCAAATACACGTTTGGCTTTACCATAAAAGTCCTAAATGAGAATTTTAGGACATGGCATCTACAAACTACAGATAGCTGTCCAAACGATAGACCTAGCCAACCCTTGTTTGATGAGCGTTCGATTTCTAACATAACAAAGTTGATCATTCGCATGCCGATTTGTAGGCGACTTTCTCACCCCTGTTCATGCAGCCTTGCTCATAGAATTAGGTATTGGTTTTCACGATCCAGAAATGTGATAGAGCAAGAATATCACAACATACCGTTCGCTAATTCGAGCAAGCATATAAACCACCACACCTTTCTCGGATTTGACAGTCCAGAAATGGCAACTTTAGTCTAGATGGAAATCTAGATGGCATGAATGAATCCCAGACGGGACTGGCCTTCACGGAGCTATACCGTATTTGGTCAGCCCTAGCCCCTGGCTGGCTGAGTTGCCGCCCGCAACCCCAGCTGCCTCCAGCTGCATTCGAAAACATAACAATCCAGACCCATCAGGAGCCGACACGAATTGTTTAAATATTGAGAACCTGCACTACAGGTCTTTTCTCATAGGTATATCTTTTTAAACCCCTTTTCCGCTGCCGTTTCTGTCGTTGGCATAATCGACGTGCTGCCCTAGTAGTCCTAGAACCACCTACTGTGCTCTTCAGCTATAAAAATATATCATTCATAGAACCCATAACGAAATGAACTTCCGGCATCTAACATCGATAAGTCTATTCTTGGGCATTTCGTCAGGATGGAACACCGACGGTACGATAGTCGCAATTGTGATTCACCACGTGACTAATAACCTCCAGTGCATAATCAAATCGGATTCATGGCCGAGGAGTTCCTGAGTCCTTACACAGCTTCTATTCTCGGACAGATCCTCGAGCCTCAATACAATGGCTCGATAGGGCGAGCAGCAGCGTGGGCAGACGCATACGCGCATACACAAGAGGGCAGATTTTCCTACCAATGGCACTGGATCGACGTCCACGACAACCCACCATCATCATGCAACCTCAACTTCACACGAGACTGCGCCCCAGGAGGCTGCGTTGTATCCGCGATAGCAAACCAGACCAATATCCTGCGAGAATGCATTGCGGACGTTGAGAGTGGAGCTCTAACGGGGGGCACCAATCTGACGTGTTCGTATGCGTTGAAGTGGGTTTCGCATTTCTTTGGAGACATTGCGCAGCCTCTGCATGCGTCGGAACGTGCTATTGGGGGGAACTTGTTCAATGTGACTTTTGGTGGGAAGATTGCGAGGCTTCATGCGGTATGCGAAACTTGATTCTCTCGATCGAATCGTACTCGAGACTAACGCGATGGAAAGGTTTGGGACAAATGGATACCCTACACCGACGCCAACGTGACCGCATTCTCGACTCAATCCATTGACCCCTTCTTCACAGCGCTCGTCGCCCGAATCCGGGCAGACAAGTTCTTCGAGGCTCCTTATATGTGGCTGGCGTGCAGCGACCCAACAACCCCGACAGAATGTGCTACGCAGTGGGCACGCGAGAGCAACAAATGGACATGTGATTACGTCTACGGTAAGGTCGATCAAGAATCGGATCTTGCTACGAACGGATACACGGTCGGAGCATTTCCTATTGTCGAACTTCAGATCAGCAAGGCGGCTCTGCGACTAGGGACATGGTTGAACAAGCTTGTGGGGACGCCAGAAACTTTTAAACATGAAAAACAAATTGTGCTGGGGTCCACTACAGAATAGGGAACCCATGATTGATCATTGAATCGCGTTTTTCTTAGCCATAGTATCTCATGAGGTGTTACCAAATTCTGTGCATTCGGTGTCAACTATATCATAAATTGCATTGCACGCCTGTTGCATACACCTACCACATTTCCCCGCAAAACCATATACGGGCAATATAAGCGCAGGACATCAAACCCCAGCACCTGCATGTACATGCATCATGTATCCTGAACATCAGTTGTACTTCATCGAACCTCACAAACGACTTAAGAACACACAATACCTGCCTGAAAGTTTTTCCAAGTCAAAATCGTGAGGATCTCCTCAGCCCTGATCTACCGACCCCAACTCCCTTAGAAGCCCCCGTCCGCCGCGCCGCGCCAGCCACAGCATCGGTGCCGGCGGAACCCCACATGGCAACGAAATCCCATCGGCACTGTGCATCACTGTTTGCAAAAGCATGGCAGTAAGGGACGACAAAAATGGGAGGGGAGTGGGAGCTCCCCACATGCGAGTATATTATCTAGTGTATAACTGCCTACGCGTGATTTTAATCAGATCAAAGACACAATAATCTTCCCCAACAGCTTTGCGCGTCTTGTCTCATCCATTTGCACCTTCTTTGAGACTTTGTGATTGCCCATATCGTTCGCTGTTAGTACACACACTATGGTGTTCGACGAATTGAAGGAGAAAGTAACACCGAAGGTACGTAACTATGCAAATGCCCCACATACCGCCACCATTCCCCATCACAAAAGCCTTCTCCAATCTCCAATTCCCCCAAAACATGCACCACGTGAACCCCAACTCCTCCGAATCCTCAGAAAGAATTACCCAAAAATATCAAGTTAAAAAAAATGAAATCTAGGACCCATCCCGCGAGACCTCACCAAATCGCGGGACATCTCTCCCACAAAACGATGCCATACCCGCGGATCGCAAAGGGCTGCGCGAGTGGCAGGCGGAAGTCAATATCGACCGCGATGCGCAGATCAGGCTCACGAGGGTAGCGCATATGCGGTATCAACATCCTGATTTGGAGGAGATTACTACGTTTTTGAAAGGTGTGTTGAGTTAGTTTCTAAGTACCCCTTTCGATGACCATTTCTATTTTCTATCATGAATGGGTTGGGAAAGGAGAGGAAGGGGTTCATTGTATTGATTTATACACCATGATTGTGTGGTAACATAACACGCAAAAAACAATTTCCGACTAGGGGAGACTCGATATCAATTGTATTTAAAAAGCTGTCCGGCTGACTTGATCTTCAAATCAGATTTCGGCATGACAGTTGCGAAGAAGACAGACACGCAACGCTGGTTCAAGGGCTACGGCACAGATCCATACGTTTATTACGCCCAGAAGGGGGAGAAGGAGTTCCTCGGCGGCACATTCGAAGTCGAAAGCCATGCTGAACTTGAAAAGTATGTGTTTCCTACCTCTTACCTACACCCACCCATGACATGAAAGGTCCACAAAAGGGACAATCTAACACGCCAAACAGAGCCACAAAACTCGCCGGCGCGTCTCCAATCCTCGACCTGGCCTCCCCGTCCTCAGGCGCCAGCGCGCCGGGAGGAGGCTCGATGGTAACCTTGACCGACCCAGAAGGCTTCCCGATAAACCTCATCCACGGCCAGACGAAGAGCGCCGGAGGTCCCTTCCCAGAGGTCCTGACGACAAACTATGAGACGCAGAAGCCACGTGTCGCACGCTTCCAGCGCTTCAAGCCGGGACCTGCAGCAGTGCATAAATTAGGGCACTACGGGCTCTGCGTGAAGGATTTCCCTACGCAGCTGGATTGGTATGTGAGGACGTTCAATCTTGCGCCTACAGATTTCTTGTACGTGGAGGATGGCGATGGGGCGGACGATCCGGGAAGGAGGAAGGATGTAGCGGTGTTCTGCCATATTGATATTGGTGAAGAGTATACAGACCATCATACTTTCTTCATGTCTGGGAACCCGACGGCGCATGTTCACCATTGTTCATTCGAGGTGCATGATTTTGATACGCAGAATTTGGGACACGAGTGGTTGGCTGGGAAGGGGTATACGTCTGTATGGGGGGTTGGGAGACATATTCTGGGGAGTCAGTTGTTCGACTATTGGTGGGACACTACCGGGAACATGGTGGAGCATTATGCGGATGGGGACCTGGTAAATGAGGATACACCGGTTGGGTGGGGAAAGGCTGGCGATGAGAGTTTGGCGGTCTGGGGTCCTGAGGTACCAAGTTGGTTCTTGAATTAGAGAACAAGAGAACAGAGTCCGAACAATCTGTCGAAGCCAGCGTAGATGACGATACTATAAAGAAGTGAAAAGTAATGCCATGAAGCATGATCGACCGACGAGGGCGCTTCTAGACCACGAATCATATATCATTTTCGGGCAGGATCTGCTCAGACACCATCAATACATACCTAGATGTACATATGGGGTGCTATTCTTGTCAGTTGACATTTACCAAGATCTGAAAAGCGAATAAGATGAAGTCCAATTGAAGAGATAAATCGAATTGTCGATCTGTGGGAGGGGTAATGATAATTGCACACCAAGGAATGGACATCTGGAATCATTTGATGAAAATACCAACCATGTGGTTCCTGTTCTGCAAGAACTGGGATATGTCATGATACACCTCGTCCAATCCAAGGTCGAAGGGGGTGCAGCAAATGTGCTACGAGTAGATTGGCTCTTGTCATAAGCGTTCTCTTAATTCCAATAATGCGTGAATTGGACTCAATTTAGACTGCTCAAGGAGTTCGGTTTGCTCCGCACCTGGCGGATTTGTATTAACGTACAGAAATTATTGGTCATTAGATCGTGGGAATTCACGATCTAGCGCTTCGAGGCAACCCTACTTGGTTAGGGCAGGGTACCACGCGGGAGGTGTCCAAACAGGAGGTCAGATAATAGTCCACAGCAGTCAAGGGAACCAGGCCCTGATATCTGGAACCCATGGGACTGATTTTCGGGCCTTGCCGATATAATTGGGGTGTCAGACCCATTCAAATATATCGCGCCTCTTACCGAGGCTTTAAACTCGCGGGGGTCCATCCAGTGGTGCGTGGTGAGTGGTGACCGAGCGGTAAAATCTCCAGAAAATAGATCTCAAAAAATCGGAGCTGACTATGATTGATTTCCTATTTCACATGCTTGCATTGCGTTGTAAGAAACCGCATATCAATAACACGAAAGGATTACCTTGGTTGCAGATAAAGGTATCCAAGACCAGTTAGATGTCAGATAAGTCATGGTGGACGGACAGGCATCCCGCGAATTGCCCAGGATGTTGTCAGGCGAAATCCGCGAATGAAATCGGGCATTTATCCAAATATGCCAGTCCAAGATAAGAATGTTGCAGAACCCTGGGCAACGAGCACATGCGCCTGGTGGATGTTTTGCACGATAGTCCCAGGGGTACAACATGAGAGTGCCGCCAACCTGGATGTTGGGGAGTAACAACGAAGTTGCGCCCAGTAGATTGTACAAGTAGAACGGGCTCGATTTGGTACCCACAAGTGATAAGCAGCCAGACAGGTTTGGAAAGACGGCGAGACAGCATCTCCACAAACTGTGGTGACTGGTGAGACGGACTGACAGAAGCCGTGCGCCGTGGATGCGGAGAAGATCAAAGAGCAGGGAAACGCGATTGGAGGGGCCGTCGCTGGTCGATCCCCATGGTCACGAGCACTTACAGATGGATCTTGAACTGGACTGGCAGGACCTTCAAGCGAACATTTGAAATAACACACAAATACGAAATTGACACCGAGTAAAATTTCTTCAGCTCGATGATTCTACCCCCGTTTGGTGCAACACGAGCAGCGCATAGTTTGATCCTTTTCTGCGGCCTTCATCATGGCATACGAGAGACGAAAGATAAGTGACAATCTTACGGCGCTCGGACGTGTTGGCAGTACAGTATTGTAGTCCGTAGATAGGTCAATAGTGCGCAGACAGAGGGTTGAAGTGATACTCTGGGTTGCTCTTAGCTCGGGGTGCACGAGGATTAGCCGAAACTGGACAAAGCTACGGGAGTGTGTTTTGCTTCCAGAACGCCACGCGAATCCTCAAATGGAGCCTCAACCGACGCTCCCCGCAATTTTTGCCGCCACCCAGATACGATTGAAAAGTGTGATTGGCCTGAGAGGTTGTAGGCCCACGGTGCCCGTGATAAGGCCGGGAAGATACACAATGCCGAGAGAGGGCGAGCACAAGATGGGTGACCCTGATTTTCTGGTAAATTTTTGCGCAATGGAAAAAGTACGATGTACGATCGTTGCCCCCTCGCCGCACGACGAGGGATGACAAGAAGGACGAATGCACAAACAAGAGAGAGGCTGGCGAAAATGATTCGAGCGCTGGAGATGATCCTCGAGATAATCGACCACAAGGCGTTCCCCTAGACATGATTGAGCAGGCGGGAGCAGGTGTAACAACTGGCGGAGATGACCGGAGACCAATCATGTCGAACTTGACTCTGATGCCGCCAGACGAAACAGGCAGTTGCCAAGGTAGCGCCACGCACTATCACCGACTGGCTATCCTATTTTCCCAGAGGCAAGGGAAAAGGATTGTTTGCCTGCGCTGTAGTTGGTAGGTGTTCCCACCCAAATGTGTTGACAAGGATGAGCTACACCGTAGCCAACCCTAACGCCCGTTGATGCTGGTACTGGACTGGGACTGGACTGGAACTGGCACACGACTTGGGCTCGGTCTTTCGTCCTTTGGCCGTAGCGTGAATTCCCACTTGCAAAATATAACTGTCCGTTGCGACCGCGCTGGTGGGCTGTAACAATTCCTCGACTTCGTTCCAACCCACCTAGGGAATTGTCCTCGTGTCAATCTTCAACAATGGCCGACTCAGTGACGCGTGAGCAGCATAACAGCTCTCCAATGCCCGGTGTCGCTCGCAACCCGGACCCTGCCTTGGATATCTCCAAGGAGCACCACCACGAGCATCTGCACCACGGTCCCGGTGCCGAGAAGGGTCATATTCACGATCATGACCATGTGGCATACACTGTCGGCACCACACACAACGAGCCACCAGTGATCCCTCCTGCGGATCCAAATGACGGCTCGCTCCACCGTCGCCATCAACCCGTCCACGACATCGAGAAGACGGGCGGCCTCGAGTATGAAGAGAAGTCCAGCTTCAACAAGACCAACTCTCCGTCCGAGGGAGAAGAGTCGGACCCCAAAAGCCACCGCTTCCGTAGATACTACATGAAGTTCAGGCTGCCTATCCACCTCTTGATCGCAGCTTTGTTCACCGGGTAAGCTTTCGTGCCTACGGTAGCAGTTGGCTCGAAATCTTGCGACTAATATCTTGTGTAGTTGGTGGATTGCCAGTCTCGTGCTGCACCGTCACAACAAGAACTGGGTCATTCCATTCTTGTTCTGGCTATGCATAATGCTCCGAATTATCTTCCTCCACGTCCCCATCACCATTGTCACCAAGCCAATGCACTTTGTGTGGAACAACACTGGAGTCAGGGTCGTGAGCATGATTCCAGAAAAGATGCGCATCCCGTTGGGTGCCGCCGTCGCCATTGCTACCATCATCGTCGGCTCCTTTGCTAGCGAGGAAAGCCGTGACAACACTCGTGTGAACCGTGTCGTCAGTTTGTCGGGTTTACTTATCCTGTTGGCTGGCTTTTACGCCTCCTCAAGGAACCGCAAGATGATCAACTGGCACACTGTGATCATGGGCATGTTGATGCAATTCATCATTGCTCTCTTCGTCTTGAGGACCAAGGCTGGTTACGATATCTTCGAGTTCATTTCCACCCTTGCCCGCAGCTTGCTCGGATTCGCCAACGAGGGTGTGATTTTCTTGACCGATGATAAGGTTCCCCAGCTACCCTGGTTCTTCACCGGTGTCATTCCCGCCATCATTTTCTTCGTCGCATTCGTGCAGCTCTTGTACTACTGGGGACTCCTCCAGTGGTTCATTGGTAAATTTGCCGTCTTCTTCTTCTGGGCTATGCGCGTTTCCGGTGCCGAGGCTGTTGTCGCTTCTGCCTCTCCATTCATTGGACAGGGAGAATCTGCTATGTTGATCAGGCCTTTTGTCGCACATTTGACCAAAGCCGAACTTCATCAAGTCATGACTTCCGGTTTCGCTACCATCGCTGGTAGTGTTTTGGTCGCTTATATTCACATGGGAGTTAACGCTCAGGCCCTTATCTCGTCTTGTGTCATGAGTATCCCGGCCTCTCTCGCTATCAGTAAATTGCGCTACCCTGAGGAGGAAGAATCACTCACCGCCGGTCGCGTCGTTATCCCAGACGATGATGAGCACAAGGCTGCAAACGGTCTCCATGCTTTTGCCAACGGCGCTTGGCTTGGATTGAAGATCGCTGGTATGATTGTAACCACCCTCCTCTGTATCATTGCGCTTCTCGGTCTTGTCGACGGTCTGTTGACCTGGTGGGGACGCTACATCAACTTGGACGGTGACTACGACCTCACTCTCGAGCTCATTGTCGGATACGTCTGCTACCCAATCGCCGCCTTGCTCGGTGTTTCTCGCGAAGGCAACGATCTCCTCTTGGTTGGTCGTTTGATCGGTATGAAGGTGATGATCAACGAGTTCTACGCCTACAACAACCTTCAGAGCACAAAGGAGGATTCTCCTTGTAAGTTATTTCAGCAAGACACTCGTGATTCCCAAACTAACTCTTCATGTAGACAAGGATCTTTCTCCTCGCTCCCGTTTGATCGCAACCTACGCTCTTTGCGGTTTCGGAAACATCGGCAGTCTTGGAACCCAGATCGGTGTGCTCAGCCAAATCAGCCCTGGCCGTAGCGGTGACGTTTCTCGTCTTGCCATCAGTGCTTTGGTCTCTGGTGTTTTCTCCACTCTGTCCAGTGCTGCTATCGCCGGTCTCCTTGTCACTGACCAGGCTGCTTTCTTGAACCCCAACCCTTCATAGGCGTCGAGCTCAAGCTCTCATCTGCTGAGGAGAACACTCCCGATATGTCAGCAATGATTTCCAAAACCCTATCCGCTTTATAGTCTAAACATACCCCAATAATGAAATAGGATCTGACATGATCCTACATATTTTCCGGCAGCTTATGCCGAAGTTTGCAATCACTTTTGTTCTTGCTTTCTTTCTATGTGATTGTGTACGACTGCAACGAATTTATCGAAGGCGATGAGTTTGAAGTCGAGAGATGCGAGCCATATAAAGCTCAAACCAGCACCAATGCGAAATTCATAGATGAAAGCACGTGCTTGCGCCCTTCTCATGTCAATGACTCCCACTTGCCATTCCGGGCTAGTATAGACATCTCCTCCGCCCTTCTTCGTTGATTTCATTAATACTTCACCTGCGAATTGACATTGGCCTTCTTTATGAATGCGTTAGTTTCAATGCATTATGTAGTGGAGCAGCAGTGCTTGTGTACAATATCTCGTTCGCGCAACCCTGTCCGCGACATCAGCTCGGCCACTACCCCACAAGTTGCAAGCATCAAGGATTCAACGTTCGGACGAACGTGCATAAAAGACCATATCGGATATGCGAGGGTGTCTTTTCTGGGAACGTAATGGCCGTTGTCCTAAAGAGACGCGTCTGGTACTTGTAGAGGGAATCCAGGACAACCGAGATGTATCGGCATCAACTAGCAGACACAATTGAAAATGAAAGAATCGGGCTCGTAGGATTGAGTTGAAAATTCGAGTATGTTTTGAATACGATTGATGAAGTTGAAATAGAGTTCAGGTTGAGTCAGTCACGCGTGATTGTGCCAAGTCTACTGTGAGGAAGGCGCAAACTGATGAGTACGCCAACGCCCTCAATTCTACCTGCACTAGGTGGCTAGATCATTAGGTACATATAGTTATGCTAGTTGCACTAAATACTCGAGTATCAAGTATCAATAATAAACAACATTCAACAAATACTGGACACCCATCACGATCCTCGAGCCTCGGTGAGGCTGGGTCGCGTCAAGTCCTTCCTGTGTAACTGGGTCGACAGATTGCCACCGTTGGGTCTTTCTACTATCTTAACTACCATTATGTTCTCTGTCAACGTTTACAGGCGCTGATATGTGCGACGATAACAAATGTGCATGGAACGTTCCAGGCTGCTTCACAGCGCACGAAACTTTTATTAAAGATGTGTCGGTATGGCACATGTGAATAAAAGGCTTTCACATTTCCTATCACATTATGTACCCCGTTGCAGATCAGCCACTGTAACATTTTCCCGAGACGGGTACCCCCACAAGAGCGGCAGCCCACATTGGCACATTGCTACCTCGCAGACTGCAATGTGCCAAATTGTCAACGCTGCCAACGATGAAAGAACAGCACGATATTACCTAGAAACCCTTTGTTTTCTTAGCTGGCGGCGTTGGCTATGAAGGGCATTCTTCCTATCTGGAAGTGTGATCCCATCCCATTATCAACTCGACAGTGTATGGGATGCAGGCCTTCCCATCCCACTACTGGGCGTTCAGCCTTCGAAGATAAGGCATCCTTACTGACCAATCAGGCGCTCGTAATCTGTGCGAAACACCCGCTTAGAACTACTGGGGAGTGCTTATGAGACAACACCTTGACCAAACATCAATTTTACGTGGAGATGCCCTCCTTTGCCTCAGCCAAACAACTATCCGGAGACTTTGTTCACCGTGTCAATTGCGCCTCACGTCTTGTCTGGCGTTCTGCCCCCATGGCACATGGCATGGCCAGAACACATCTACGATTCTGAGGCGGCGCGGCTGCTCCATATCTCTCTCGGCAAGCACATAATGAAGTTCACAAGTTCAGATCCATTGATACATAATTGCCTCGTGATACAAACTGAAGCGTACTGATTGGTACATGTTTCTTCGAGGTGACTAAAATCGGCCGCTCAGAAAATCCCATCTTATCGGAGCTCAGCATTGCGAATCGGGTCCTTATCAAGACGGAGACTGGGGTGTTAGACGAGATGCGCCCATCATCGACCCAGGCAACATGGCACTCGTGCAGTTTCCCCACGAGACACCCGCACTCCATGATTTGGCCAATTGAACGTTTTCTTCGGCGTTTTTACTCGCGGCTATCATGGCTACCAGTTCGACTTTCTCACTACTTTCAAATGCCTGTAGATCCACAGGCCTAACGAACTATAAGTTCCTTTTTCCATTAAGCTTTTCCTATCATGTCTTGTGGAGACGGCCGTCCATCGAGGTCTAAGGTATCTGGACGCTGGCCAGTTTATCAGCTCAACACTATATAACTAGATGGCCCCGCTGCTCCACTCCTACTCATTTAAGAGTGCTGAAATCAATTCTTGGACCTAAGCCAAGGAGACTATTGTTGACTACCTGTTGCTAAGTAGCTCGCCAAATCTCTTGTTTGAACATCCACAATGCTCGCGACTCCACCGCTCGGCCAGAGCGTTGGGTATGGCATTGTCGTCGGCTTGGGGTTTGCCTTCGCGTGAGTAGAGCATTCTGGATATAGAAGTTTCTTTCGTTGACTTTGATATAGCTTTGGCATGATTCTCACAACTTTTGTGCTTAAGAGGTAAGATTCATTCAATTGTGCAATATGCGCTGCATCTGTTGTTCATAAGTAGTACGCTACACTTTGTCTGGCCGCTCTTCTGTCCGCGATTGAGTTACATGTCACGGTGCACATTACGATTTTATATGCTTTCTTACTCTTGGTGGAGGCCGTCTGACAGTATTGCGTCCCGAACAGATACAACTATGAATTGCAAACTTCGGAAATGTTCAGCACAGCTGGACGAACTGTCAAATCAGGCCTTGTTGCTTCTGCGGTCGTCTCCTCTTGGACTTGGGCGGCCACTCTTCTTCAATCGAGCGCCGTTGCCTATAACTACGGAGTATCCGGACCCTTCTGGTATGCTTCTGGCGCGACAGTGCAGATCATTCTTTTTGCGACTATCGCCATCGAACTGAAGCGCCGGGCACCAAATGCACATACATTCTTGGAAGTCATTCGAGCACGATATGGAGCTGTGACACATATTGTTTTCATGGTTTTCGGCTTGTTTACCAACATCTTGGTTACTTCTATGTTGCTCACTGGAGGCTCTGCTGTCGTAACATCGGTATGCTAGCCCACATCTTGCTCTGAAAGCTGAGCTAACACACAAACAGCTCACTGGAGTTCCAACAGCTGCCGCTTGTTTCCTCTTGCCGGTCGGTGTCGTCTTGTACACCATGTTCGGTGGTATCAAAGCTACCTTTTTGACCGATTACGCACACACAGTCGTAATTCTTATCATCCTCTTAATGTTTGCTTTCACAACATATGCTACCAATGAACATCTTGGATCTCCTGGGAAAGTCTTCGGTAAGTTTGAAATTCACAGATCAGAGGTGTCGTGTCTAATATCCGTATTTAGACCTTCTTCATGAAGCAGCAAAGAAACACCCGGTGGAAGGCAACGCCGGCGGCTCATATCTCACCATGCGATCTAAGGAGGGCGCCATCTTTTTCGTGATCAACATTGTAGGGAACTTCGGAACCGTGTTCTGCGACAACGGTTACTACAACAAGGCTATCGGTACGTCTATGCTATTGTATAGTTTATGACTTGAGAAATACTTACAATCGACAGCCGCTTCACCAGTGGATGCTCTGCCAGGTTACATCATGGGAGGATTGTCATGGTTTGCCATCCCTTGGCTCGCTGCTACGACCATGGGTCTTGCTGCTCTTGCATTGGAGAGTAATCCAGTGTTTCCCACTTTTCCGGATCGCATGAACCCTGCAGATGTCTCTGCTGGGCTTGTTCTTCCAACTGCTGCCGTTGCTCTGCTTGGAAAAGGCGGTGCAGCTGCTACTTTGCTGCTAGTATTCATGGCTGTGACAAGCGCGATGTCTGCAGAGCTCATTGCCGTGTCTTCTATCTTCGTAAGTGAATACAGGTACCATCCACAGATAACATGACGCTAACAGTAGATTCTTCTTAGACATATGACTTTTATCAAACTTACTTCAATCCCACGGCTACCGGTAAACAACTCATTTACATGTCTCACGTCATGGTTGTTGGTTTCGCCATCGCCATGGCCGCTTGGTCTACCGGCCTCTACTACATTGGCATTTCAATGGGATATTTGTACCTTCTCATGGGTGTCATCATCTCGTCTGCCGTGCTTCCAGCCACTCTCACACTGATGTGGTCCAAGCAGAATTGGTGGGCCGCAACTTTAACACCGCCTCTTGGATTTGCCTGTTCTCTTATTGCCTGGCTCGTCACAGCGAAGAAGGAAGGCGGAGAACTCACAGTAGGAACCACAGGAGCCAACAACCCCATGCTTGCTGGAAACGTCGTGGCTCTTCTATCGCCGCTCATATTCGTCCCCGTTCTCACCTATAGTTTCGGCCCACAGAACTACGACTGGGTCTCCATGAAGCAGATCCGTAGAGGTGACGACCACGATCTCGCAGCTGCCGCACATGTAGACCTGGAACTTGTCCCAGGTGAACATCGTAGCGCGACAGATGACGAGGAAGAGCAGGCCAAGCTATACAAAGCGTCGCGCATTGCCCGATGGATGACCGCAGGCATGACGCTCGCCTTCCTCATCCTGTGGCCCATGCCCATGTACGGGTCTGGATACATTTTCAGCAAAAAGTTCTTCACGGGCTGGGTCGTCGTCGGGATCATGTGGATGTTTTGCTCCGCATTCTGCGTTGGTCTCTACCCGCTTTGGGAGGGCCGGAAGACGAGTGTCAAGACGTTCAAGTCTATCTACCTGGACATCACCGGGAAGAAGAAGCCGCCCAAGGGCCCAGTTGTTACAGATGGTGAAGAGGGATCTTCTACTCCGACAGAAGCACTCACTGAGAAAGCTGCTATCAAGGAATAGACGCGTTGCGCTGTCTATTTTTCTAGTGATACTATCTTTAAATAAGCAGTATCGGATCATTCAACGCTCTCTTGATAAATCGTCATAAACACTGTCGCTTGCCGCATCAAGTTCCGAATCTATAACCTATAATAAAAATCACTTAATTGCATCATCTCGAATTTCTCAATTCGTTCCTCAGAACTTGGCCAGAGTTATCGTCCTGTGTGAAGCTACGCTAACCATTTTCGACAGCCGACACGTTCAATCTCCGTATTTTATATAATCAACGAGGAACTCGACTTGGAGGTTGGTTGTACTAATCACACATTGTCCCCAGAAGATTGTTGTGATACTATGTGACGACTATTGAACGGGGATGTCCACCAACATTAGCAACTCTGTGTTATGCTACTAATCACCAATACAATGTAATCTCACGAGTAACACGAGCCCTCTAACGCGTGCACGGCGAGCGAGACACGCCACCAACACCGTATCGCAAAATCAAACTTTTAAGGATGGATTCTTTTCGACGATTTTACTTAGTCACACAAGCCGAGAAGATCTTCGTTCCTTCTTGCCAGATGTTACGTTCCACGGACTTGGTGCACCGCCTGTGATGCACATCATGACGCGCCGCATCTGTTTCAGCTACAAGGGATCGGATTTAACCTCCAATACCGGCAATTTACGATCTTTCTGGAACGTCGCTTCCGAAGAGCCTCTCCCCCGTCGTTCCACACAAAGATCATGCATCACATTGATCCTTCTCAATTTCCCCAGAAATTTCCAGAAAATCCATGGTTCGACCTCTTCAGCCGGGTCCAAAGCTCCATTTTCCCCAAGGTATTAGGCGGTTTGCCAGCGCAAATTCCCAATATGGCGGACTGTGGAATCAATGGTTTTCCACGATCACTTGCTCTGATTGGTTGTCGCACGTTGGCAGAATGCACGATGTATGCGGATGCTCAATTCTCCTGATACATGGGTCGTTTGGCGGGAATATCTTCGCAAAGCTTGGAGGGGGACAATCAACCACAAGATTCGAGACTTGTGCTACCAGCGTTCACACCTGCTCAGATTGCTCTTCCCAAGGTTCACCTTGCCTCGCTTTGCTTTACATCATTGCACCAGGTCTATGTGGTTCTCCAGTATGCCGCTCCCCTTCCCTCCAGGTTGCTTCTCAGACTTCTCACATTCCTTTGCTTAATCACATTTTGGGTTTGCTTTCTCGACTCTCGTTCAATGATACTTCCAGCTCGCGATGATATGTGATTCAAGAACAGTAGTCCGGCTGTGCTGGACTTTTATTTTGCTTCTCCCGTTGGTGCAGTGTCAGTTAGGTGATAGCAAGTTTGGCGGAGGTGGCTTTGGCGGTGATCAGTTTTCTCCGGAGTCTGGCTTCGGGGTGGGGAAGCCCTTTCCGAACAACGGATTTGGGGGCGGAGGCGGAGGTGGTGGTGGTTTCAAGAAAGGCAACGGCTTTGCACAGGTGAGTTGCGCGACCAAAAAGTTGAAGGCTTCCCTCTTGAGCTTCCGAGTGGATATGTGGGATGAGTGTGTCGAAGGGCATCACTGACGATTTTACAGAACTTTCAACCATCATTTGACAAGCAAAGAGGAAGCCAATTCGGAGGCCAAGGGCGGGGCTCGTTCAAAGACAACAACAATGATGTGAAAACGCTGCTTCTTGATGATGAAGCATCTTCGTCCCGGGCCGTAGCAATGCCTCGGACATCCCGGTCGATCTCTGCGGCGCCTGCGACAAAGACACCAGTTTCTAACATGCCTATGGATAGTGAAGACGAAGAAAAACAAGCCGCTGCACCACCTGAAGAGAATGAGTCCCTTCCTCCAACTTCTTCATTCCTTAGGCCCGTGGTTCCTACACCAGAGGCAGCATCGTCTGCAATATCTACAGCAATCGTCCCGGAGACACAGATTCTACAAGGACCTTCATCATCTAGTTTCGCAGCACCTTCGTTCTTATCAGCAATCGTTCCTACACCCTCTTCGACAACGGTCATTACAGTCTCCGAAACTGTCGTCGTGACCCCCACTCCCTTTGCTCCAGTGCCAGCAGCATCCGCACTACCAGACGCGGAGCAGTCACAATCAGCAGCTAGCAGTCCACCATCCCCAACATCTGACCAAAGTCTTGCTGCACAGTCTACGTCATCAACAGAAATGAGTGCATCTGCTCGAGCGGGTGTAGGCGTAGGCGTTACTCTTGGCATTATAGGCATCGCATCCGTCACTGGTCTCTATCTCTACAGGCGCCGGAAGAACAGACTGTCAACCCGCAAAGGAGGTGAAATATCTTCATCGCAGCATCGTCGGTGGGGCGGGGGCTTTGGTTTCAAACGATACTTCATGTTGTCTCGGGGCAAAAACACCCCCAAGGATACAGAATGGTCCATCGAGTCAGCGGCACATGTTGAGATCGTCCGTGGGGCCAACGCCCGAACAATATCCCGCAGTGACTCCAACAGCAACAGCAACCGAGATGATACTCCACCTCCTCCGACTCGCGAAGAAGGCGTGCTCAAAGTGGGCATGACGGTTCCCATCGTAGAGCGATATTACAAGAACCCAGCGCTCACCAGCAATCCGCCCAGCCTGCCAAACGACAGCCCGCTAAGCCCAAGTGCATTCCCAAAACCACCCCGCACGTACGGCAATAATATCAATACTAAGCACCGAAACGATAAGACAGGGAGTTGGCCTCTTCCGGATTGACTAGATGATTGGCGCTTATGGGAGAGAAGGATGGGACGCAATAGCAGTGCCAGGGATTCATTACGATATTTGCGCTACTGACGCGGTTTCTTCCATTTCTCCGTTCACGCTCTGTTCCCGCTAATGCGGTGACAGCGGCAGCGGTGTGCGTGTGCTTTGATGACATTGTATGATGGGGGAACGTGTGCGTTGCGTTGATTCTATCTATTCTAGAAGTGGAGAAAAGATGCAAGTTTGAGTCGAGGGATTAGTATGGTCGCTCGAGTCAAGCAAGTCGATTGGATGCTCGCAATCTCGCTTGAAAGCCCTACTTGTTCGTCAATCCTGGGAATATCGGTGATCATATAAGATCAGGGAAAAGATGCACCCTGGGGGTGCCAAACGTTAAACCTCTTTTCGATACCACGTTTCCTATCTCTTTGCCTTCTTTCCTTCTTTCATCCCTCTTGTCGAGCCCAATCGCTGCTCGTTTGGTTGACATGACTCCTGAACGAGAAGTCCCCCTGCGTGCACGGCTAGATGCTGATACCAGCCCGCAATTTTCACGTAATGGCTCACTGTGATCGGGGTAATTCATCGCGGAACAATATAGCTAAAAATCAATTTTCCCTCAATCCATCCATGCCAACCCGAATTGATCTTTATACATTCACACAAATGCCCAACCGTCAGCCCTGAGTGTTCTTCGATACTGTGATCAATGCGTTCGGCCGGGTGAGTGCCCCGGTATGTCGTCGTCCCGCGATACTCGGCCGGCCCTATTCTCCCCCAAGCTTGTCCGTACACGGAAAGGTCCAAACTTTAACTCACCAGCAAAGGGTAAAGCACTGATTCTTGTCGTGACAGCTGCAGCTATGTGGGGTGCCGTTTCACCCGCCTCGTGTTGATCACGATGGATTATCGCATTCGGCATATGTAGGTAGAAGGCATGTGTGATGGCAAGGCAAGAGGGTGAAAGCTCGCACTCGAGGGAGAGTGAGGCTTCTGCGATGCAATATGTATGTGTGCCTGAAATGGGCTGTATTCGATATGTGATGAAAGAGAACGGATCGGCAAACGGCTGGGGGAAAGTGCGCCGTGGCGTCGTGGCGTAGTGATCACAACACCATATGCTTTGCATTAAGCAGGAGGCGTTTCGGGAGATGATTCTAAAGGCTGGGTATTTCGATAGCATTCTTCGTGCGGAGCTTTTTACGTAGATCATGGATGCCCACTGCCCCAGTAATGATGCGTAGCTAAACGTTGAACGATGGAAGAAAGAAAATCATTAAGCTATTTCGTGCTCAGAAATCCAAAAACCGATGGGTATTACACAGATTTTCATACAAGTCATTCCAACTCTGAGAACGCAAACCTATGCAGGCGCCTAAAAACGCCATGATAACACAGAGACCTCGCCAACACTGGAGTAAGCCGTTTACAGACCCAACCCAGACATGCCATTCACCAACTGAAACTCCTCGATCAACGTCTCCTTGATCTTCTCCAAGAAATCCACAACGACATCCTCGGTCCAGTAGTTGTCGTTCCAGCAGCAGCTGTATACAATCTGACCGTCCCACATCCAGCTGTGCACCATCTTCCTCCTCGTCAGCGTCTCGCCGCCGAACCAGAAGTCCGTCACGCGCACTGCGTTCTTGACGTCCTTGCGGAGCTGGTGGTCGATCATGCCGAGGGGCCCGAAGCGCGGCTGTGGGTCGCTGTCGGGAGGGTGTGCTGCGCCTGCGGTCTTGCTCTTGCTGTAGTGGGTCTGGATTAGCTTCTCGTGGTAGCAAGCGGTGGATTCGAGGTAAGGCCCGTATCCAGTAGCGTACACCGGGGCGAGCTGTGAGTAGTACGACTTGAAGTCGGTCTGGGGTGAGACTTCGACTTCGGTGGTCAGCACGCTGGTGCAGCTTGTGGGCGCCGTCCTGGTGGAGACGGGCTTGCGGATGAGGAAGCGTAGATCGCAGTGGAAGGATGCCATGAAGCTCTGGACTTCGGTAGGCGGGCAGACTTTGGTCACAGCTGTGATGAGGGCAGCGTGGAGTGCGGTGGTGAGGTCCATAGAGCTCGAACTGCAGCCTTTGATGACGGCTCGGGACTCTTTGATGGAGAGTTTTATGAAGTTGCGTCGGGTCACGCCAGGCAGGCGGGACTTGGGAGTGTCCTTCATGAATAGGGGTGGATGTCGGGGCTTGAGTGTTGCCAAACGCTTCTCTGCTGCTTGCTCGATCCGTGGTGTGGCCTGCAGGGGGATGTCTAGGGCGTCGTCGATGCTGGGGGATAGGTTCTTCGCACAACCGCCGAAGACGAGAACGGGATCAAGATTCGACAGAGACTCCACAAGGTAATCCAGGCAGAAGATGGCTCCTCGCCCGTCAAGACGGTAGTGTGGAGACCGAATCAGGACCTCTGAAGAATCAGGAAGCCAGTAAAGGCCCATTTGCTCGTTACGGGGAATGTGGCCGAGCAAGTGATCAACGGTAGTGTTGGGGCAAGTCGAAAACGTTGCAGACACCCATAGAGCCACTTGGTCTGGGTTGCCGATTCTGTACATGTATGTGTCCTGGTAGGGGAATGCGGCGATTTCTGGGTAGTTGTAACGAACTTGCTTCCATGCTATCCGCAGTGCTGTCTCTGGGTCTCCAATAGAGGGATCGAAAGTCAGCTTTGCAGCTGCTGTCTTTGCCCATTGATCACGGTCGAGAGCCTTATCCACATTACGGTTTACTAGGTTGATCTTCTCCAAACTGGAGAGAGGACGTTCCCAACGCCCAGGTCGGGTTTCCTTCCAAGTCATAGGCATGTTGGCTAGAAACTCTGTTGAGAGAAGTGCGAGGTTCTAGAGACGTCTTGGTAATAGATTGAAAGGAAATAGAGGATAGAAAACCAACAACGGGGTAAAAGGTTGCAACAACAGCACGGGTCTGGGGGATGGCAGGCTTTTAACTCTCCGAATCATGAATCCTGCAGGCTTCATGGAATGTCCAGGGGATCCGCGGAAGCGGTACAGACACAGGGCACGGCAAGCTGAAGCGTACTCTGTGCAAGCGTTCCCTGGAGAGGTCATTGGGTACACGAGTACGAAGGATGTTCTGGACTTTCTAGTTAAGGTTTAGGTCCGCCTCGGCCATGATATACCCAAAAGTACTTAGATTCATAAATACGGTTGACAGGATAAGACTTGGATGATCCCTGGCAGAAATGCATGTCAATCCTACAGGGGTTCTGATATAAGGTTCTGATGCAAATCATGCCGTGTTAATGTAGATCTACACAGAAGATGCTCGAGCACATGTATGAGACTGGTCGACGGCCGGCAAAGAGGGTGGAATCTGTCCAAGTGCCGGACAAGAAGCAAGAGGGTACAACGCAGACACGGCCATAGCACCAGAAGAATCTAGTACATGATGTCAAGAGCAAAGGATTAAACTGGATCCTGAGTCACGCCGCGGCAACCGCCAAGTGTCTACTCAATTGTGAACTCAAGAGCGAGGTGGATTCCAGTTAGATGAAACCTGAACGCGAAGGCCGCGCGCTCGAGAATCCTTCTTAGCTCCTAGCCGCAGGGACTTTGATGTGCTCCAGACTTGGTGTCCCGGAGGATAGGATTAGGCAGGTCGCGGGGCACAACGAACTCGAGCTGGAGCTGTGTTAGTGGAGCAGAAAGTGTTGGTGGAATCGATAGCCGTTGTTAGACTTGGAGGAGGCTTGAAAGTAAGAACTAAACTCTGTTGAAGGATCGTAGGAATAAGTGTAAGTATGTTCCAGGGGGATGGATGTGGGGAATGTTAGATGACTCCTGGGAACCCAGACCCTCGCTTATCAATAGTGTGGCTTGAACTGTCGTTAGCCCATCGGAAGGCAGGATTCCACAGAGACGAATGACAATCTCCTCTAACGCTCTAGTTTGCACATGGTTCAACAGTTTGACGGCCAGTTGAGCGTTTGTGGAAAGGTGGGGGGAAACAATAGCCGGGTAAAACTGTGCACGGCGTCCTTCCAGTGCAGCTGAGTTCAGATCTCGCCAATCGATAATGATGGGGGTTGCATCCATTGAGGCATTCCTGCCCGCCCGGAGAATGGGAGGATGCGGACGAGATCTCCTTTGCCTCTTGATTCCTTGAACTGCTTTCTCTCGTACCGGTACCTATTCCGCAGCCGCAACACAAGGCAGGGGTAAGTACGAGTGATGGACGTAGGGGTTGGTACCTGACTAGGACTTTGTACCTGGTTCCTCGTCATTGATTCTCCCGTCAGTAAGCATCGAATAAGTACATGATCATCACTTCTTTGTTTTCTTTTTGGTCTCCCTTCTACCTCGGACGGTGCGCTCAACGTTAACCGCGTTGAGTATGTTGTCCTTTTATCGCCCAAATGCTCAACTTTCCGTAATTGGTTGACTATCTAAAATGATTAGTAGTCTAAAAAGAAAATACGCAGTAGTGGTTGGTCGTTGGGTTTACGCCGATGTTCTGCGAGTTGTACACTACAGCATAAGTACCGCAGCTGAAGTCTCCATAGGGCCCATGCACCCGGCGACTACGACATCTCTGGCCCTCATGGTTCTGTCTAAGTCTGTGTATGTTTGAACGCAGGGGCCACGTGGATCTCCCAGAATTGAGTTTTGGCTATTCTTGTGACTAAGAAGGGCCATCTTGGGTGGTCACTATTCTAGCCACCCAACTATCTGATAGAGGGACGCGAATACATCCGCGTCCTTCCAGAATTTCACAACCTCTTCTTCCTTTTCGTATATGTCTATTTGCATTCGAGTACAGTTAATTGCGAGTCTCCTATGCCTCCGTTTCCTCAGTCTACTTCTCAGTTGGACCCTTCTGGTCTGCTGCATTCCCTTTGTCCCCTTTCTTAGTGACACAAAGATGTGCAGCAATGCTTGGAAGTAATAGCTTGACACTCGGCAGCATGCATGCTCGATCTCCTATGCACATTGGAGAATCTGGATAAGCCATTGGCTATCAAAATTTACCATTAGTGTCAACAAATACTCGAAAAGGTGAGCCATGGCTTGCTAAGCAGAAGTTTATACGACTCGACAGCCACAGAGGCCAGCAAACTCCAGGCACAACGAAATACGAGCGCGTCCATCTACTTGATCGCAGTCCACATTCCCAACACGAGACAATAAAATCCATTGAGTCCCGTGATGGAGCGAATAAACCCTTAAGGCCATCGCCACGGATACGCGGCTAAGGCGTCTGGCGATCATCGGCCAAATGATATTTTCCTGAAGATCATTTGCATCTCTGAAAGGGTACGATCGACCGTGTACCTGCGTGGGCATCCATGCGCCACGATGCCGATGCTCGGCACGAGACAAGGCCGTGTCCACCCACGTGCAACATTCTGCATAGCAATCAAAGAATTAAACTTTCCAAAAGGGTGAACCCCAATCGTGAATGAACTCTTTCAGAAATCACACACTGGTTGACTTCCCTTCCTGGCACAACCACTTCACCCTATTTTTCAGTTTCACGAGATATCCTTTAGGTTCGGCCGATCGGCACCATGGTAGCTTAGGCTCTACGGGCCGTACCTCACGCAGCCATCCTTTTCAGCAAATCATGAACAAGTCTCATTTTCAGAGTATTTAGTCAGTCTAAGCAACATGTATCAATATCTCCAATGTCGAATTCTATTGGCAATACTTCGAGTACGGAAGATGCTCGACAGAATGCCCGTTTTCTATCAAACTCGCCCAGGTTCCAATAAACACAACACTGGGACGACACGGACCAACACGACCTCGTACCCGTCCCAAATGATGAACGACGAATTGCTTGGTTCGGCAAGACATCGAGGTCATCACTATTGATCGGCGGCTCTCTTGCTGTACTCGCCATCCTCGACAGCCTCGTGCCACTCCGTCTTGCCGACCGTGACCACAAAATGGGAGAGCAGGCTTCCCTCGTCCGCACCGTGCCAGTGCGTGGTGCCAGGTGCAGCCCAAATCGTGTCTCCCGTCTTGATCCTTCGTGCCTCTCCCCCCTTGTCGCATATCCAGCCGTTGCCTGCCACCACGCGGATCACCTGTCCGCCGGAGTGAGTGTGCCAGTGCGTGCGTGCGCATGGCGTGAAGGTGACATTGGCAGAGGTCACGTTTTCGCCTTTGAAGATGGACTCGGCGAAAACGGTTCCTGTGAATGTTGCTGTTGGTTGGGCAATGGTCGATTCCTCATTTCGAGAACCTTGGATAATTGTCGAAGGCATTTTTGAGACTTGTGATGAACACCTTTTGTATGTAGATGTCGAGAAGTTGCTGTATTCGGCTAGCTGATTGCCTAGTTGGGTAGTTGATTTTCCCAATGAGAGATGACGGTGTAGGACTGATTTGATGGTGTTTGAAAACACCAATGTATTTGAATTAATATAAATTTGGGCGTTTGTTTCGATTGATGATAACTTAGAGTAGGTTTGAGAGTTTGAATTCTCGAAAACCCCGCTTCATATACAAGATGTTCTATCACGTCAAGTCAGCTTGTAGCACGTTATTGCGAGATCGCACAGTAGTACGAAAAGAAAAGGCACATGAACACTGTAAGGTCTTTGGTAACAATGAAATTAATATTTTCCTGTTTCTAAAATTTAAATGGTTATAAATGGCTATAAACGGTTTTAAAGCCGGCAAGTCCGTCGCGATTAAAATATACAAAAAATAACACCTTGTCAGGGCAACATGGGTGCAAGAACCTTCTTCAGCGCTAGAATCAGCCTCTCGTCGGCGGCATCCCAGTTTGTCTCAGTACCGACCATCTCCATGTATTTTTTTACATCGAGAGCCCTGAGGTGGGGAATCTCTTTAAACATTCGAACCCAAAAAGCATCCAAACTGCCCCCATGAAACCAAGTGTATGCCATACAATACATTGGCGACTGGAGAGTATAGCACGCGTCGCCAGGTTCGCCCGTGGCTTTAGTGAGAGCTTCAGCCATAGCCTGTGCATAAATGTTCCGATATTGGTCAAGTTCCCAGGGCATGTGGATTAAATCGTCCATCTTGAAGTCGGCGTCCCAGTCGGCTCGAAGCCAGATGGGTACAGCTGAGAATCCAACGCATCGGGGCACTGTCCTCGTCATATCCCAATCAATGATACCCGTGATTGTACCATCATTCTCGTCGACCAAGATATTATGCATGTCCAGATCGGGATGGCGGAGCACGAAAGTCTCAGCTCCCTGTCCATCCTCGTTCCCGGACCATTTGAGAGGGTAGGTTTTGAGCGCATATCGCATGGTGTTATGCCATCCATACGAGGCGTCGTCCATGTCTTCCTTGCCATTTTTGAGAGCCGCATTTTTGAGGTCCGCTTCAAATTCCTGTAACTGGGATTCCCAGAAGTCGTTGCTGGAGTTATAAGCCTGGACCTCGTCGAGGGTGCCATCATTATTTTCACCATAGTAAGGTCCAACTGTTGGGTTTAATCGGTCCTCATCAAAATTCAACATCCCAATAGCGGGAAAGGAGAAACGATGTAGCTCAGACATCATAGTTGCAAGTGACTTGAGAAAGTTGTGGCGCCATTCTTCAGTTTTGGGGGTCGATTTATTCTCAGGGACATACTGTGGTTTCCAATGTTTGGATGCTTTAACGCCAGGAATGGCACGCATGAGAATGTAAGGAGCCGAAATGGAGTTGTCGAGGGTGTCATCCCATTTATACACTTCAGCTATGGGAATCGATGTATGCTGACGAAGATATTCTTGGGTTTGTGCTTCACTCCTTAGATTATGCGCGTCACCTTGGGTCCAGACCTCTTTTGTGCCGGTGAAAGGGACTTTGATAGCATATTCACCCTTATCCTTCACTGACACAATGATACAATGGTTGTATGTACCTGACATCCGACTTTGGACGCGATAGTCCTCCGGCGAGATCTCTTCCTCGGGATCCAAATATTGCCTGAGAAGCTCCAAAAAGGCTTCATCTGTAATGGACTTGATGGCTTCAAGATCGCGACGATCTGTTTCTTCCGACGTGGCTTCAAGATCGTGACGATCTGTTCCGGCCGACTTGGCTTTCCGGCGAAGCTTGTCGCGGATTAAAATCAGAAGGACCTTTTTGAGAGGAGCGAGCTTTGACGTATGGTCAAGCTCGCCAGCAGCCTGACCTGTCCGCTGAGGGAAGAACCTGCGCGCTCGGAACATGTTCGATGTGGAGAAGTCTGTGGAAGGTTCTTTGGATGAGTATATAGAAGGTTGTGTACCGGTGGGCTTGCGCAGATATATTGGAGAGGATGAAATCTCGAGTCCTGGGGAAAATCAGCTCTTTTATCGTTAGGTAGTCAGCCCTGAGTGTGTATGAACAATGCTTGCGCTTTGTTCCATTGTAAAGATTATTTACAGCACGGGCTGAAAGAAGCTTTCACTGATTGTTGGTTCGTCCCTACAGAGCCTGCCTTCTATATTCACTTGGGGTTCTTTCAACGCAATCTTTACACATTGTTAATTCAGAGCTAATTATAGTACTACTATACCATGGATGGGGTAGACAAGTAACATACAACGTGACCCCTCCCTTCAGTGAACATTGTTAATTCCAGTCCGTACGGTAAAGGGAATTTCCTTATACAGGCCCAGTAGCAGTGAATCTGCCCAGAACGCATGTACTGTCTAGAAACTATTCTAACATTGGCATATTCACTGTGATCCAACATGTCTCATTTCAGGTAAGTATATAAAGTCCATAGAAAAGAGATATCAGTTCAACACCAACTGCAAACCGATTACTCCTGAGCACAACTTCTACACTAGAATCAACCCTTTATTACAAGAAATGTCACACTCATTTGACATCCAGAGCATATACGATGCTAAGTTTGGAAAGGGTGTGTTCTCAAGAACCATCGACCCCTTCACGAAGAATCTTCGTACAGAGTCTATCATGGCTCGGAAGCATCATTGCACCTTATGCGGTGACAAGGCCCCTACTGCGAGGTGCTATCAGGCGGACAAGCTGCATTACGCCTTCTGCATCGCCGAAGATGCGACTGGCGTCGCATGTGGCGAACGCTTCCAAGTTGAGTCTCCTAAGGGTTGTGGCACTCATCACTACAGTCATGGATATAATGAGTGTTTCAAGATAGCCTACAAGTCTCTTCGGTCGGGGCATTCGCTTAACGGATCTGTGAGTTCTGGAGAGAACGATGATTGTTCAGATATAACGAATAATGAAGTCATTGAACATCATGATTATACTTACTACGAAACGACAAAACGCCAAAGGACTTGGGAAGCAAAAGACACCAAGACGGGACGGGAGAAGACTCGCAAAACGAAGAAGCTTCAGCCTGCTCCGACTATCAGCTCTTACACGAAAAAGCTACTTCGTAGGTAAATTTCAACGGCAACATCTCTTTGTTGTTCGTGCTTTACTATAGAGCGTCGGTGGGATAAAATGGGAGGCAGCATACATGTTATCAGCGAGGCGTTCTTGGCCTGGGTCTTGGGAGGTCATCTCCAGAATACATCAATGACTAGAGAAAAGATGGATCAAACTAGTCTAGAATTGATATCAATAAACTAATATACTTACTCAAAACTCATCTACGTAATCGCTCTCCCTGTTATAAGATTCAACGTTCAACACCATCCAACCATCAACAAAACTAATAAATTCGATAATATGCAAGCCCAGAGCGCCACACCACACCAATACGCATCTTCTATGCAGGTATTAATTCCACGTGCCAGTAATTATTAGCTAAGCCATGTATAGAAAACCAATCATGACCCCAACCTGCATGAACCTGCAGTTCGCTGCCCTGCTGACTTCGTGCGTTGTCGAGCCTCTCGAAAACGCACAATCACCCCATACCTCATCAACAGAACATGGGAATGATAAGCGAATCGTTCGTCCTCCAAACCTCCCAGCCACATATTTGATCCCTTGGAATGGTCGTTCTACTTTCCTGGAAAGAAAAGCGGTGTCGACCATTTCATTCTATTTTCATCTCAGCCTTGCCCATGCATGGTACATATCCCTCCAAGCATGACCTCAGGTTAGCATCCGCCCCAACGACTGCCGTACGGCGCAGTCCACCGATTTCCATAGAACATGTTTTCTTGGACAGGATGTTTCAAATCATCAGCCGCGTGGGAGCCCGCGCCGATACGCCCTATTCCTCTTGTTCCGCCGTCTATATCGAGCCGGCCAATCAGTGACTGGCACATCGATCGCCACGACCGTGAAGCGCTGGCTGCGACCATTATACCGTGTATGACTCTTCCTCTTGAAGACAAGCATAATCTCCAGAGCATAACAAAGAAACATCCTTGGATCAAGGAATTCATACAATCAGAGACCGCAACCGCGCAAGACAATCACATCGATGAGTTCAGGAACACTAAGGCAGCATTCTGTGAGAAGCCATCTAGAGTAAGCGCAGACTTGCTTAAGATCGCCCGAATACTGTTCTACATACTTGTCCGTTACACCTACCTCACGCGCTTCGAGATTGCTGAGAATGGACGGGAAGCATCTCAAGCCGTGCTTGAGCTGGACGATCTGGCGACGGATAGACACGATACCTGCTACTTCTCGGGACTCGATCCAGACGACGCAGACCGTCTTATACATCGGAAAAGATATGGCGCAGGCTTCTACAGAGCCAGATATAGGGACACAATCAGGTGCATGCCATGGGAAACCTTCTGCATCAATGTTCGGAAGTTCTGCCAATCCCTCGAACTGAATCCCTCCACCGACGATCCGGAGGTCAATATCAAAGACATCCAGCAGAATCTGACCTCGATTCTATTACACCGAAAGATCCAGAGCGACATTTCCAGCAACTCCGAACGCATACGCGCGATGGGCCGCGAACTGGAGAAGCTGGACGAGCAATCCCGCGACGAGATGAAGAAGAACATCGGGGAGATAAACCGCCAGCTGGAAGAAACACAGACCCGCTTCGACTCTGACCTTTCACGGAGAGAGACCGACATGGCCCTCGGATTCGAGGAATCGCGGGCGACATTGAGAAACAGGCTAGATACCATAGCTAGCAGCGTCACGCGAATCGAGGGCAATTCGAAGCAGCTTGAACACAAGATGCAGAACGAAGTCGCAGAATCGCGGGCGACATTTGGAAGCAGGCTAGATACCGTATCCAGCAGCATCACGCGGATCGAGGGCAATTCGAAGCAGCTTGAACACAAGCTGCAGAACGAACTCGCGGACGTCCGCAAGAGTCTCGACGACATGCGCATAATGCATGTCCAGTATGCGAAAGCGCACAAAGTGGACTTATGTCGCTGGCTCATGGAGAACTTACCTTACATAACGCGAAACGGCCCCAAGAACGCAAATGAACGATGGCGGTTGTTCTGGTCTGTGAACTGGAATGCATGCAGGAGGAAGCAGCTTAAGAAGCATCCGCTTTGGGCTCTGATCCATGACCAGAAGTATGATAAGGTTGGCAAGGATCTTTTCACTACGATGAATGGGAAGATACATGGGTACGGAACGGATATTGGAAATCCTTTGTCAGTGGAAGTGCAGAAGGTGATTGATGCCATCATGCCGGCAGACTACATGAGCAAGGCGCCCAACATCAACTCAGAAAAAAAGAGATGGAAGATTTGAGAACGAATTAGATTGCCTCGATAATTTGTCCCTTAGCCTTTAGATCTCCTTCATTTCACTATACACGGGGATATTTAGAGCTGGTCAGTTTTAGAGTTGCATAGACTTTTTTTTCTCACGACCTATATAGACTCTTCATGCCAATTAGACTATAGATATTTCCTTCCATCCAGCTTTGCCCATCCATGTAGCTATCATCTAGGCAACAGCGAAACGTACATTTCCAATACATATAACCAATCTCATGGAATGTTACACGACTCAAGTGCAAGATATTGCATGCCGAATATCAGGCAACAACTTAACAGCACAGAATTGAGTTTATCGTCGAACATATCATTTCATTTATTACATACATAGATTTCCGTTAATATACATGACTACACTGCCCCACTGAAACAGAAATGATTCGTAACACTCTGCGTTACTTTCTGACCAAGTGCTACGAGGTTAACAAGAATCCGGGGCAATTTACCGCTTATCACCCCAGTAAAACAGCTGCGTGTACCCGCCAACGGTGCCCGCATGAGGCACTGCAGCATTAAAACCCAAGGCGCACCCCATTTCCATGGTTACCTCGAGGACGACGCCGTTATTGATGGCGCATTCGACCAGACGATGGAAGTGACATTGGAGCTCGGTCGCGAATTCTATCCAGAACGTCATCTTATCGACGCCCGTCGACGGGAAGGTGATGTTATCCAGTGAACCGGCAGTCCCAGTTGCACTTGACATGCCGACGATGACGCCGATTTTGCCAGGAACAGTCGGTATGATGATCGACCCTCCGAGGACGGGAATTTCTTTTAGCAGAGCGCCTCCAAGGGCACCAAATAGAGCGCCTTCGACAACAATTTGGTCGACCCCTTCCAAGCTGCTTTGGCTGCTACCTATTTTCACCTGCCTCGTTGCATTGCGAGCATAGGTTGGAAGAGCAGCGGGTGGAATGCTCTTAGCTATGTTTCGTCTCGGCCCTTTCTTCGGAATGACATGATGGCGGAGTCTAAACATGGTGTGATTTCGTTCTTTTGCATCGAGGCCTTGGATTAGGAAAATATCTTCGAGTCTGCAAGTCTGTACGTCGGTACCTCCACTTGCAGTGTTTGTTTGTATAGCCTTGAATATTGGTTGCATAACAGTTTCGACGTATGTCATAAAGGTCTTCCGATAATGTTGCTGAATTAGGTATCGATTGATCGAAAAGATCTGGCAGTCGCCATTTGTCTGGTTGCTGACAAGTCTCGTCATGACGGAGCCGAGAACACCTGTTGTGGTCGTGCCGGCAGCAAATCCTATTGCCCCTATGGGCATCAGGGCGGCAATTGCTGGGGCTGCAACAAAAACAATTACTCCCCCTACAAGGGAAGAACAGACTATTGCAGGCCAGTTTCTCTGTCTAGAGATGAGCGGGGTGTTCGTGTTTGCGACTGCGGTATTCGCTTGAGCCATACTGTGGATATGGGTTCTTCACAAGATTGAGACTGAAGAAGAGTATCGAGGACTTTGAGCTTTGATAGATACGATTTTGGTCACAGGCGTGATGATCGAAGTCGACTGAGAGGCAATTTCCCTTGGTCATTTATACATCTTCATCTCTAGCCTTGAGAGAAGAGTCGGTGTGCTTCAAGCGTTCTAGATGCCTCACAGTCGGCTTCGTGTTGGTCAACAATTGGTCACCAGTGAAGATATGGTGCCATAAAGCATGATTTTTGATTGATCAATTATGAGCAGCCTTGTCATGCTCTGCAAAGAGAAGTCGATCTACTTCAAGCATTTTGGATAGAGCGGTGATGACGCTACTCTCCAATCAGTGATTGTTTTCCGGTGAAGCGATGATGTTACACAGCCTTGCATCTGCACTCTTGCATGTGAAGGCAACTCAGGTGGTCAATCTCGTCTATCGGTTGACTCAAATAAGCCAATCATTCTCACCAGAGGCGTTAACTATACATGATGACTGCATTCTTCGATAAGAATCTGTTCGCTTGTATAGAGAAGCAGTGTAGGCTATAGGCTATTGCTTAGATCGGCCGTACGGGATTGAACGATTCCGAGAAGTGCTCTGTCAGGTAAAGCAGGGGCCCTATTAGGCATGCCCGCGGGTTTCCAAATTCGAAATGGATACGACTGAACGGACATATGCGAGCAGAAGATGAATCCAAAGCATGAAGCATGAAGTGCTCGTAGAAAAATACTCGTGTACCACTGTTTAGCGGTGCCAAACGGGCTTTCCACAACTACGACAGATTAAATCAACACAGCATCCATAGTTCTTGCATTCGGGAAAACGTATCAGCTCAATCCAAGGTCACCAGCATCGACCAGACCCAACATACGTAGAAATTATTTTTCATTCTTCATTTCACTTCTCTGCTCGCTCTCGCTCTCTCTCTCTCCATGATATCTGTCTCTCTGCATGCAATTAAAGAAAAGTTTGTATTGTATAGTACACATCTCCGGAAATTTTTGTTTCTCGATCTCCATCCATCCATGGGACAAGATTTCTTTCCTTTCCCGTGAATTTTCCCCCCTTCCACCCCGACCGCCACTGAAAAATGACTTGACTGGGTTTCCTGTCGAACGACGACAACGACGACAGCCAGTCCAATCCACCCCCCGTGAACCCGAGATACCAAAACACACTAGAAGAAAACCAAAAACAAACACGGGGTGGAAGTCATGTACTCGATAGACAAGGGTTGATTGAAAAAGAAAAGAGAGGAAAGGGAAGTTTGGGGGAATGGTGTGGGTAAAAGTGGACAATGAAACAGATCGATTGACGATGGGGAGAAGAAAAAAAAAGACAAGGGACAAATTTGAACACCGTGCTATGCAGGTAGATGGGGAAAACTCCGTGTGGGATCAACTCCAGTAAAAGGGACAAGGACAAAGGGGAACAAAGGGTAAGGCAGATACGGTCAAGGGCAAGGTGCCGACCGAACAAAAAGAGGAGGGCCAACAGACGTTCTCTGTTGGACATGTCGAAAGAAAATGATCAAGTTTGTTTGTTGTACACGGAAACGAACTCCTCGGCAATCTCAGGGGTCCTGAGGGCAAAGAAGATCTGCTCGATCTTGGCGTCTTCTCCAGTTCTGACAGCGCAGACCTGTTTGCCGGAGCCGCCAACAGTCTTGGCCGAGATGCTAGCAAGAATATAGTAGTTCACGTCAACGTTGCCGTTCTTATTGCGGATTCGGACAATGGCCTTCTGGGTTTCCTTGTTCTTGAGAATCCACAATTGGCCGCGTCCACAGTTCTTCCACTCTTTGGTTTTGGTTTTTTCGTCTTCGCCCTTCTCCACTACGTGCTTAGCAATGGTCGAGTCGGTATGGAAGAGGACATCATGGGCTGAACGCTCTTCTTCGGTGAGGTCAGATAGATCGTGTGTAGGTCCTTTGTTGCCGTCCTCGTCTTGCTCGTTGTCGGTAGCGTCCGAAGAAGGTGTGACCGCACGCGATGAGAAGACAGATGAAGTTACCGAAGCGGGTGCCGATTGGCCGGCGGAAGCGCTAAGGAATGCAAATGGGTTGCTCGGCTTGTTGGCAGGTTCAGCGGGGGTTGGAGAGGCAGACTGAAAGGTGAAGCTCGGGACAGCAGCCTTGGTGTTGGTAGAAGAACTAAACTTAATTTGGTCTCCAGGCTTGAACGTCTGATCACCACCAAAAGTGGATGGCTTTGGTGCAGTCTGAGCACCAGCTTGTTGGAAGTCGAAGTAACCAAACCTTGGCTGGGGAGTTGATACACCATTGGCCTTTGGTGTCGTGCTGCCATCCGCATCGGCAGCCTCGACCCGGGCGTTGATGTCTGTAGAGGTGACTTGTGATCCATCAATGTTGGTCATGCGGGAGAGAAGGCTAGGCTTTGGAGTGCCCGCTTGTCTCTTGCGTGCCATGGTTTCTTCCAGGCTCTCCTCAGACTCAGACTCGGATCCGAAAGGGTTCCTTCGTGGCGTGGAGACTGTAGAATCGCCTACATCGCTTTCCTCTTCAGCTTGAGAGCCGTTAGTCTGTGCGGCATGCTCCTCCTCATCATCCGAATCGTCCTGGTTGTTGGACGAAGGACCAGATGAAAGATGGCCGAAAATATTAGCACCGGGTGAAGGAGCCGCGCTGGGTGCGTCGAACACCGAACCACTGGCGGAAGGCGTCGGGCTTGCGACCCTTGAGCTGAACACAGAAGATGCACCCGTTGCGGGCTTGGAGATTGTGAAGGGAGACTTGGACGTTGTACCGGCGTCGGTCGTAGCTGTGAAAGAAGCAGCGGTCTTCAAGCCCTGCTTCTCCTTCTCTATGCGAGCAGCATCATCGCGATCCCACTGAAGGGACCATTCCTTCTTGCGTGTCTTGACTTCCTCCTCAACGTCTGAATCGTCGGTATCAAAGTCAAACTCCTCGGGCATGGCCTTTTCCTTGCGCTCCCTAGTGAGCTGCTTGAGGGTCTTAGCGGAGCCAGCAAACTGTGCAGCAAAGCTCTTTGAACCGCCTGAAGAGCTACCGAAAGAGGGTACCTGAAATCCACCTTGGGACTTCTCGCCACCCGACGCGGCGCTGCCAAAGGCGGGTACCTGGAATCCACCCTGGGACTTCTCACCACCCGACGCTGCGCTGCCAAAGGCGGGGACCTGGAAACCCGACTTGGGCGCATCACCCTTTGGCGTGGTTGATCCAAAGGCTGGTGCCTTGGGAGTTGCGTTGTTATCTGCAGATGGTTTCTTTGCAAATATGGATGAGCTAAAGAGCGTGGAAGGCTTCTCCGGCGTGCTCACTGGTGCTGAGCTGGAAGGCTTGCCAAGTACACTACCAAACAGGCCAGACGTCTGTGATAGGTCTTTAGCAGCCGGGGCAGACGCAGACGGCTGTGAAAACAGACCACCGTTTACAGATGAAGTTGAGGGTCCAGCGGGTCGCGCCTTCTTCGAGGGGGTACCGTATGCGCTCTCGGTGGGGGCATCGTCGCTACCCTTTCGCTTCGTGGACAGAACGGATTCATTTCCAGTGATACCCATGGCTGCGGCACGCTGCTTCTTGATTGCTATGACTTTCTTGGCTATCTCCGAGGATTGTTGGAAGTGCCACTTCGATAACGCTGTCCAGTCGGCCATTGGTGGGAGACTGATAATCTTCTGCCTATATCGCTCATTCAAAGTACCAAGCTCTGCAGAGAGATCTACCAACTTCTTGTTCACATCATCCCCGGACGCGTTGCTCGAGCTGGGGGCCGCGGAGAATTGCTTCCACTGCTGTGGGACATGAGCCTTTGGCACGTCTGGAAGATTCGCGGTCTTTGCTTTAACCGATTCCTGAGTGGTCTCGGTCGCAGTCGGAGGTGCCGCCGCGGGAGCGGGTGTCGTGGCTGGGGGTTGTGTTTTCTCTGGCATTGGTGACTGAGAGAATGGTGTGAAGGAGCTGGCGGCCTGTGGCTGGAAAGCTGGCAGCGCGGGGGAAGCCGCAGGTGTTTGCTTTGCGAACATTCCGAAGCTTGGTGTGCTTTGTGCTAGACTCTTCTCCTTCTCAAGGGTAGTGGAGGTGGCAATCCCGCTGAAAGGGTTTGCCTTAGGAGCGGAGGCGGATTCAGGTGCAGAAACTCCGGAATCAGCAGGCTTGGGAGTAGACATGAAAGAAAATGGCTGCTTAGGAGTGTCTGCCTTATCATTAGATGCCTGGGCTTTTGCGGGGGTTGCTGAGCTTCCAAAGCCTGAGAAAAGGCTGCTTCCACTGGGTTTGGGTGTCTCTGCTGGCTTGGATGGCTCCTTCGCAAGAGATGCTCCAAAATTGAACGCAGCTGGAGTCGTGCTTGGTGCTTCGGGTTTTGGGGTGCTCTGGGCTGGTTTGAACAGTGATGAACTCTGTTCTGTCGAGGTCGATGTGCTAAGACCCCCGAATGGATTGCTGGGAGCTGCAGGCGTGGCCGAGAAGAGGGATGGAGATGGCGCAGCGCTTGGAGTTCCGGAAAGCACACCAGCGAAGGGGTTATTAGGCGGCTGTGTTGATGTAGTGGTGTTATTGAATAGGTTGCTGGGCGCTGCCGTCGTGGCTGTATCCGGCGTAGGGATCTTAGCAAAGGGGTTGCTGCCCGAGCTGAAGATGCTGTTCGAAGATGGTGCAGTTGTACCGAACAAGTTCCCTCCTGCCGGTGCTGAAGTCGTAGTTGTGCCATTCTGGGCAGTCGAGTTCAAGCCGGCAAAAGGATTTGGTGCAGACGAAATCGCAGGTGACGCGCTGTTCGATGTCGCAGAGATGTTTCCAAACATGCTGCTCGAACTGGTCGTTGCTGGCGCACTTGCACCAAACATATTTGACGTTGATGACGTATCATTCGGCTTATTCGAAGCACCCAAGCCGCCAAAGGGATTTGACGAGGCAGCGGTGCTCTGGCCAAACATGCTGTTCGAGGTATTCGTATTGGAGCCGGTATTGAACCCTCCAAAGGGGTTGCTCTGGGGAGCGGTGCTCGTAAATGGTGTGTTGTTCGGCGCGGCCGTGTTGTTCGCATTCTGAGACTGAGCGCCGCCAAAGTTGAAGATGGAACCCGAGAAAGCTGTTGAACTACCACCATTCGCGGTCGGGTTACCGAAGGGATTGCTGGATGAGGCGCTGAAGTTGAAATCCGTACTGCTTGGGGGCTGTGGGTTGAAGCCAGACCCTCCATTGCTATTGTTGCCTCCAAACGCCGGGAACGAGGAGCTGGAGAACGCGTTGCTCGGTGCTGACGACTGAGCTGGTGGGAAGCTGGTTGATGCGCTACCCCCGAACGGCCCGGCGCTCTGTGCAGGCTGTTGGTTGATGGATGCGAATGGGTTCGACGCGCCGTTTCCACCAGGCGCCGGTGCGGAGGCTCCGAAGCCGAAAGAGGGTTGACCCGATGGTCCGCCGAAGGAAGAAGATGGCTGTGAAAGACCCTAAAACGATGATAAATATGTCAGTGATGTCCTCTGAGTGTGGTTTAGAAACGATAGTCACCTCGGCGAACAATGAAGTCACAGGCTGAGGTGCAATCGGTAATCCGCCGAATTGACCAGTCCCCCCCGCGAACGTAGGTCCCATTTGAGGTTCCATCACAGGTTGTATTGTTTGGGGAGTCCAAGACTCTAGCGGTAGTATTGACATCGTGTTGTTGTTCGTTGAAGGGTTTGCACACTCGTGTGCTCCGATCATCATGGGGGATGATGATGTATCGACAAAGGGGATAGGAAGAAGACTGGAGCTACTCACGCTGTTGGCTCCGCGTCGCATAGGTTTGGCAGACTTGATCCTATTAGAGAGACATGGTTAGCATCTTGACACCTTCGTAGACGCGATGTTGGAATCGCGCGAAGTAATGGGGGTATGCGACGTACTTGCGCGCTGCCATCTGCGCGGCCGTCGCACGCTGAGGAGTTTCGCCCGGTGCATCGCGATCCTCATACGGGTTCTCCGGTTTGCCCTGAGCGAAAGGGCCGAGTCGTTTCGACATGATGCCGGTGTTGACACGGGTTCGTCGATGGGGTGGGTGACGACGTGCGGTTGGGGTTGATAGAAAAAGTTCCCCAGCGTTGTTGATGGACTCTGTTATTCTTTCTGCCAAGACCGTGCGGGATCCTGGCCTGTGCTCACTTAACTCCGGGGTGTGGCAACCAGAGTCACCATCAAGAACACCAACACAAGCAACTAGGAGCAGAAATTTGTGGATTTTACCAGACTTTGCATGAGACTGATTTGTTGAGAGGCGGTATCACCAGTAATGCTATTTTGATTGCAGCATTGGAAGGAGGTTGCATATAGTGGAGCTCTGTACGAGGCCGTTGCTAGGGAAAAACACAGGTGAAGTAAAAGAGAGTAATGACACAGAAGCCACCTTGGAACTTTAATATGAACTATTCAAAGAATCGGATGTACTTCACAAGACTTCGCAGGATTTGAGATTGCATTTGCATTGATTTTTATGCGTCGTCATCCTATATCTTTCACATATGTGTGAACTAAATGACCATAAATGTCGACGAGTAACTAGAGGAATCGTTCTCTGAGTCAAAGGAAATTCCAACTAAATGTACCACCAAGATGTTTTCCAGCTGGATACCAGCTATAGCCAAACTTCCATGTTGAAATACCCTACGCGATATAAAAAGAGTCGTCCATAAATGCAGCCATATCAAAGTCCCATATCCATCCACACGCTATCCTACGAAGCTATCCCCAACTTCTATATTAAAAAACCCATCTAGTCCATCATAGAAATACATTTCCAAGGAACCAAAATTCAAGACATACATCTCACCATGTCTATCGGAAAATCCTCTCCATCAAAAAAACCCCATGTCCTCAACCAAATTGTTCCAATCCAATCCACCTTCACCCACCATACTTACCTCCTAGGTAACTACAATGATACCACTACAATTCAAATAAACAGACATCAACCCAGCACCATCACCTACAACTCAAATCTTTCCCCCGTTCCCATCATCTCACCATACCCCCTTCCCAAGAAAAACTAAATCATAAAAACAAACCAACGTAAAACCCCACCCCCTTCCATCGATCCATCACTGCTATAAAACCACGTGACGACACACATTCATGGCATTTGCACTCTTCTTTCGATGTCACATGAGTTATACTTACCTACCTACTTGCTCCACACAAAAGCCCTAATCAAACAGCATATAGGTAATCAGTCACCCAAGTAAACATACGCCCCAACACTCCCTTGCACTCTAAAGCCCAAAGAGAACCACCCTACAAAACAACCCCCGTCTCTCCTTGACGTAAAGATCTTTAAACGTCCAACGGCTACAACCGGCTCCCAACCCTCCAAAACCCCATTATCCCGCAGCAGCGGCGGTATGCGCTGCGTACACGATGACGATGAGCCAAACACCGCCAAGGACACTACCGCACCGCCTCATTCACCACGTGCTCGTGCCAGCCGCATGGGGAGACTAGGCTGGGATGGGGTTAGTGTGCTGCTAGTTTGGGGGGGGGGGGGGGGATGGGGATTACGCCATCGCACTGCCACAGGATGGGTCTGGGCGTGAGTGGTTGGGTGGAGAGTTTGATATTTCAGCTGTGGAAGATGTAGAGAATGAGTTGGTGGAGTGTTGCTGTGGTTAGATGGCTGTGTGTTGTGTTCATGGTGACTGGCTACGTGCGTCGTAGTGGTATGTATGAATGTCTAGCAAAACCGCGTTGATTGAAGGAGACCGAAAAGATGTGGCGACGGGCATGTGCGAGGCTGTGGGTGAAGACGAATGTGAGTGAGCTCAGCCTGTGCCGCCAAGTTTGTCTTTCGTCTTCCAACGACACGACGATATGTTCGCAATCGGGTTCGGCGTGAGCGTGAGCGTGGGCATGGACGTGGGTATAGTCAGGGATGTTCTATCTGCCCTACCCTACCCAACGACGCAGATAGTCAGTTACTGGGGCATGTCCTGGCATGGGGGTCTAGGCTCTGACACGACCACTCTAACTAGTCCTGGGGTCCCGGGCTGAGGGGGGTTCGTCCTGGGTGGGATCTGGGATGGGGATCTGATCGGGGCCTGGGATGCGGCCGGCGTTCCACGTTGTTTGTTTGCAGTGTGGCCATCCTGTTCTCTTTTTGCGGAGGTGGGTGGTTTGTCGGGGTTTGGGGGTGCTGCGCTGGCCTTGTTTGCGGGGAACGGTAACGGAGTGATGAAGGAACAGGAGGAGGGAGAGGGATGGGGTGTAGACTGTTGCGCGCACGTGTTATGATTGAATGCCCGCGACGGATCATTTGTGGTTGATATATTGCTTGATTGGTATCATCTTGAGTTGCGCGCAAAGTGTTGGTTGGATTATAGAGTACGGAGTGCCTTGAGTGGTGGTTGAGAAAGCATTAAATTCTCACGAGGCAAAAGATGATACGGGCCAATCTATCGGATTCCAATCTAGACACATACCGTGGTAATGATAGATACTGTACTCCGTACGCGCAACGTGCTGAATGAATGAATGAACGATTGGTTCTGTAGTTTCTGGTTGGTGGGATGTATATGGACCGGTCAGTCAGGATGCTGGGCGGCTCTATCTAACGACCGGGGCGGAGGGGCCTGCGTATGGAATATACACGGGACCGGGTAACTCGTAGGATGGCTGTTGTTGCAGATACGTTGTTCGGTGCAAGCAATGCACGGCAATGCGAAATCACGATACTGCGTTTCAGAGGCAAATAAGTTTGATCCAGTAATGCTATCATCTACGGAGTACTGTACGGAGTACTCCGCATTGATGATGGGCATAGGTGTGTCTGTTTGCAGCAGCAGTAGCAGCCGGAAGTGGATGCGCATCGTGGGTTGGTTCAGCAGATGCCGAGAGAAGGCAAAGAGGAATGAATGCGAGATGCTGTGCCACCTTTTTGCTTGCGTGGATTGCATGGCGGCTGCATACTCTGTACATTCAGACACCATCCGCGTGCCCACGGAGCGATGGCGGAGTAGGGTATAGTCACATCGTAATCGAGACTCAACGAGGCTTTTCAGCTTTGCTATGCTGGGCATGTTCCAGATGCCGGAAGCAATCTAGAGGCGGTGGGGATTGTCTACGATACCGTACATTGTACAGTAAGAGGATAACTAATATAGTCAAGGACAAGGTTGAATCCATACCACCAGTGTCATTCTCAGCAGTCTTGATTAGGGTAATCGTATTTGTGTTGGCACATGATCAAAATAGGAAGCATCAATGTGAATGGGAAGCACATCCGATGGAGAGGCTGCGATGCGACGACGTTGTAAGCTGAGTAGAGAACTAACTTGGTGGGAGGAGAGTGGGAAGAGAGTGGGAGGATGAGGAGGAGTGAGGAGGGGTTCCGCTCCGTCTGGTCCGAATCGGCTCGCCCAGCGCCGCATTCGCATTCCACAGGTTACAATCAGACTAGTTACTCCGTATAGGTAGGACGATAATGATGATAACTTCGATGATTGTGGTGGTGGTGGGAACTGGAGGTGTTGGATATGCCCCGTACGGATAGGCAATGTACCTGTAGGTAACTAGGTAATTATCCCATACTCACCCAGCACTGTCACTCACACCAGTTGGTTGGCCACAAGCTGCATAATCATCATTGTATGTTTCATAGTCATCATATCCATATACAAATTCAAGTTCATGTTCCAGGTAGAATGATGACATAGTTGCTACCTTTATATGCCCAGCTCCAATCCCCTCTTGAGTCTTTAACAGTACTGAGTACACTGTAATTAATGCTTGAGCTCCCCCTCATTATGGATCATGATCATGACTTGGATACCTAGGTACTCCGTAGTTACTTGGATATATGTGGGCCGTGATCCGGAAACCCCGTAACCCGCGTTGCGTGCCTTACCAACAACCTGTTTTGCTGCTAAACATTACCGCTACCGTCCATCATCTATACTCTATAGTTGCTCTGTAGTTACTCCATACTTTTGGAGTGGACGAAGAGAGAGTGGGATAAGACTTGGAGAAGAGATAAAGCCTGCGCCACTGCCGGCTTTCCTGCTTGTGCCGCGCCGCCGTCCCTTCAACCCCCCAGCCGCCGTCCCTTCAACCCCCCAGCCGATCCTCCGTCCATTACATCCATTACGCTGCCATTACGAGTGGTCGTTCTTGTCGTCCTTGTCTTGCTCGTCGTCCTTCGCCCGGAGTCGCAGAACCATTCGTCCACCTACCTAAGCTGGTAAAGTCGACAGCTCTTTAAGAATAGAAGCGCATACTCCTGGACTCCATACATACAATAGTGACATCAACAACCGCCGTCAATTCCGTCGCGTGGTTTGCCGCCCGCCTGCGCCATTATCAGCGTTAGCATCAGCATTAGCATTGGTACCCTTAGTTACCCTTTAGTACTATTCACACCACCATCGCCATCGCCATTGACATCGACATCGACATCGACATCCAACAAGCACCTGAGTAGAAGTAATCAGGTAATTCCTGTGTAAGCAACGCAAGCACCGGACCTGACTGCCGCCCGCAACCGAGCCGCCCATTCCTCATCATTCTACGAGTACATACTCCATACTCCTCCTCACATACCGTTACTTACACAATCACCCACATACGAGTAACTACTATTGCCGCCATTCTGTTGCACTACTTCTTACATCTCACATCTTCCTGTTCCAAGGTTGGTTACAAGAGTCTCGCCTGTCCTAGACCTCTCTCTGAGCCAATCCGATTACTAGTCACCGTCACTTGTCAGTCACAGACTCACGGTAACTAATTACTTGTACGAGCAACCATAACCATCACCCGCTGCTCTACCTAGTTACCTACCATTAGTTACTGCTGCACTGCACAGAGGACTGTTCCTGTTGTTCCACCTAGCGCGCTTCCCTCCCGCCCATCCAACTTAGGTACTCCTCTCTCACCGACCCTTCTCGACTTCAACAAGAATCTTTCTCTTCTCCTCTTTGCTCTGCCTCCGTCTTCCTCATTCTTCCTCCACACACACACCTCTCTTCCCTCTCCTCAGTTACCCCGAGAATCCAACCCATTCTACCCGCCGATCCGCCTCCCCCAGCCGCGCTATCTGGCTGCGCAATCCGTTCTCGGTAGCCGTGCACCAGCCAACGACGACCTAGGCTCTCGCTCTCGGATTACCCTTTAGACCGTGAAGCTACGGGGACTCTTGAGCTATCGAGCTATTTGAGCTACTCACCACTGCATTATTGAGGCTGATCGCACTCTTGGAGTCTTTCCTCTCTCCGTGTCTCCCTCACCGTGACTCTCGCCCTGTCTGGCTTTCAGCTTCAATCTTTCCGCATCCTCCGCTGTTGTTTGTTGTTGTCGTCGTAGCCATCTTCGCCGCAGCAGCACACCGCCAGCACCAGCAACGCGTGGGTCTCTGCTCTCATTTCCCCAGACCGCCCACCTGTGCAAGGAATAGTTACCCGCAGCCGCCATGTTGGCTCGGTGATGGAAGTCGACTGTGTTACTTTGTGCAACATCTGACGATCCCCGCGCCGGCGTCCCTTTTCTCTTAGAAGTTAGGAGGTGGTGCGACTGAACTGCTGTATACACGGACTCTTTTCCTCTATTTACTCTCTGGCATGCCATCACGCCTCTGAGCCTCCAGGATTCTCCTCATCCCCATCTCGCAAGCAGCGCAGCGCAGCGCAACGCAACGCAGCGAAACGCATCGGCGGATATACGGACTCCCATCTTCCTCCCCATCCTCGTCCTCCTCGTCCTCCGCCTCCGCCTCCTGCTCATCCCCCTTGCAACGCCATGGCTATCTCCAGGCCCCATCAGCCTTCCGGCCGCCTTCATAAGCGCGGCAGCTCGGCCTCTTCCATTACGAGTCCCTCCATGCTCAGCCCTCTTTCCGACAACCAGGCCTTTGTTTTTAACCGTTCCGAGACCCCAAAGGTTACCTACGAAGAACCCTGGAATGAAGTCAAGCGACCCTTGCCCATGACCCATACATCCTCATCACATCAGCTTAAGATTAAGCCCTACCTGCGCAAATTCTCGTCAAAGGATACCAATGCGCTCGACCTCTCCAGGCCCGCCGCGGAGAACGAGGGCCTCGCTGGCCTGGGTATATCCGACTATAGCAACAACAGCACCATCGATGGATACTCACGCTCTGTCGCCGATGTCAATTTCACCTCTGTGAATCCTCGCAACCGCCATGCCCGAACCACGTCGAATACCTCCCAGTTCTCCACATCCTCCAGCCTACACCGTCCGGCCGCCCCCTATATGCCACCCATCCGCCAGACCCCTCGACCCTACACACCACCAATCTCCAACTCGACACCCGCATCCCTCTTCGATAGGAACGAGAGCGAGGCCTACGACGTCATGTCTGACGAGGAAGTTCGCCTGAAGCAAAACACAGTCGACCCCGCCCGACGATCGGGTTCGCTATCTTCCAGTGCTCCAGGCATCACCCCGGCCCTTCGCATCCACACCAACAGCTCTACCACCCGTCTCGGAGGAAGCTACTCTCCGTCGTCCGTCTCCCTCACCTCTCCCATCGCGCAGTCACGATCCCGTGGCGATACGCTCAATTCTCTAGAGAAGGCCACTTCTCCCAGCTCGCGAACCTCGTTCGATAAAGCCTTTGGATTCATTCGCAATGGACGGGAATCCCCTGTCGATCCCGCCTCGCGTGCGGCTTCCATTCAGGCTGCACGAGCCGCTTTCCAAGAGAAGGAGCAGGCAAAGGAGTTGAAGCACAACCGGGATGTTATGAAGCAGGTGGAGCGGGATACGAAGAAGCAGATCAGAAAGGAGGAACGCCAGCGACGGAAGTCGGATGCCCGGGAGAGCAAGGAACATCAGCGCAAACGAAGCACTTCCGACCAGAACGAGAGATCTTCCAGGCCCTCAATCGGCGGGCGCCCTTCCATTGGGGGTAGGCAATATTCAGATCACCGGCAGGCGCATACCCTTTCTCTCCCGGCCTACGTTCCAGCCGTCGATAACGAGAAATTCGCTACACCCCAGCACTACTCTGCGACCGTGACCAAGTCTAAGGCCGCGAAGGGGCGCTGGCAGAAATTCATCGCCTGGTTCCGAACCAGGATCTTGAGAATGTCCTCGGGTTTGCAAAAGCCCTGAGTCGGTTCGGCGAATCAACCGGTTAACATCTTGCTTTTGCCACGTGCAGCTGCATGCTGTCGATCATTTACGGATGACTTGCATTCACGATCATCTTTCGCTCCACGACAAATTAAGAAGCAACCCACCACTTTTAACATCAACACCTATCACGTTCACGCATCTACGTTTTTCACATCCGGTTAGCATGCATATCAGCTGCCGTTCATCCAATACCCCAATATGTTACCCACTTTTTTGCTCTTTCTTGTTCATCTTTTTTTTTATTTATCTAGCATTGGCGTTTTCTATCCTGGGATTCACGAATCCTGGTTGATCGATCTCTTCCCCCATGCGATCAATGACTTTTACGGCTTTTTTCTCATCGATCGTTATTAACGTTTGCATACATCAATCACGGCGGGAGCATAAGACTCCTAGGAGCACACCTACAGGTATAGGTCATCTTTTCTAGTCACGGGGAGTAAAGAGGAAGACCAAACCGGTTTTCCTCATACTCACCAGGGGGGCGCAATCATCGGGAGGATACTTTTTCTTTTTCTTTTATTTGCTGCATTGGATTTATGGATTTTCTGAACATGGTTGGACTCCTTTATTGAGAGGGGCTCGGGAAACTGCATCTGCTCTTCTTATTCAACGAAACTTTGGAAAGGTAGCCTAGAAAGCTTTATGCTCCTTCACAATTACTTATGACTCTCTGCATGGGGAAAGAGAGAAAGAGAGAGGGGAGAGAGAATGCATATGTGCGTGTGAGAAGCATGGATCGGTGGTCTCTTGATGAGATACATATGATCCTTCTCTACTGCACACATACATGCACCTCTGGGCGAAAACACTCAAATATCAATACATTATACCTCTCTCCCTATATCTCTTCCCCACCGCTCTGGCCTTACGCCATCGAGCCCCTTCTCAAAAATGCATTTTATCTTTATCCCCATCCAGAAACTCAGAAGAAAAAGTATCACGCCATGTGCTGTTGTCCGCTGCCAATAATGCAACCGCCCATAGGACCTATATCGTTATCTCGAATAAGCAGATCTAGACTCCCTCTTCCCTGCATACCCAGCCAAATCCCCCAGAAATCGAACGAGAACGACATGCTCGATTGAGGAAAGCCCTTCCCAGTAACCGGCGGCGCGCAGGCAAGACAGTTCCCTCGGGCCAAACATCCAACGAAACGAAATGCGCGACTGGGACTGGCTGGGCTGGTATCCGGGTGGTCCATGCGCGCCTTGTTTCCGAAGATAGCCCCGCTCCAATTGACTTGCGTTACATTTTTGTGAATGTCCAAAGCTCTACTACCTCCCAAGATACCACTAACCACCGTTAAGTTAATAAACCCGTACGAGGGACGAAACGAACTACGAGAAACGCCCTACGATCCATCGCTCGGTTTCTTCCCGCATTCTCCTTGACACTATTTTCTCAACAATTCGTCGTTGCTGTTGCTTGAAAAGGCCTTTCTCGTTCGCTTCCTTCTTACGCAGCATGCGATGATCGCCAGTACGGTAGCTTAAGACACAACGACGACGATACCCGCACGAACGTACACACACACGCACAGCACAGCACATGGCAGCATCACGGAGCGCCGCGGCGCGAGCCTCGCTGCCCTTCTCTTCGACGTCATACTCCTCCACTTCTCACATCTTCCGAAGAACACCAACAAGATGCATCGCGCAGCCGCAGAGACGATGGGCGAGCAACGAAAGCGGCGAGAAAAAGGACGTGCCGTTCAATTTCCAGATCTACGAGAGCGTGTCGAAGAGGATTGAGAAGGAGAAGGAGGAGCAATTGCGGCAGGCGCAGTTCCAGACCAGGACGGGACGGGGCAGCTTCTTCGCTACGGTCTTTGGTAAATACATGACTTCCTCCCAGCACTCCTCCCCAAGGTCCTCCCTCTCACTTTTGGGTGGGTGTATGACTTGAAGGGGGAGAGGTCGATATTTGAAGAGAAGAGAAACGTTTGGCTAATTGGAGTGAACGAACAGTATGTCTCACGTCGGCCGCCCTGGGATACTACTTCGGACAGAGCGGCATCAAGACCTTACCCACGGGCTCCACGGTCCCACTGGAGGCGTCAATCGCACCGAAACACAACATCTCGGACGCGAACATGGAGGCGGCATGGACCGACTTCCGCGACATCGTCGGCAAGGAGAACATCACGGTCGAGAAGTCCGAACTCGAATCGCACGCCGGGTCGTCCTGGTCGTCGCACCCCGCCGCACCAGGCGACGTGCCCTTCTGCGTCGTGAAGCCCGGCAACACGGCGGAAGTCAGCGCCATCATGAAGATCTGCCACGAGCGCAAGATCCCCGTGACTGCGTACTCCGGGGGCACGAGTCTGGAGGGCCACTTCGCGGCGACGCGGGGCGGCATCTGCGTTGACTTCTCGCGCATGGACAAGATCCTGCAGCTCAACGCGCAGGACCTCGACGTCGTGGTGCAGCCCGCCGTCGGCTGGGAGCTCCTGAACGAAGAGCTCGCCAAATCCAACCTCTTCTTCCCCCCCGACCCGGGCCCCGGCGCCATGATCGGCGGCATGGTGGGAACCGGGTGCTCGGGCACCAACGCGTACCGGTACGGCACGATGAAGGACTGGGTGCTCTCGCTGACGGTCGTGCTCGCCGACGGCACCGTCATCAAGACCCGCCAGCGGCCCCGCAAGTCGTCCGCGGGTTACGACCTCACACGCATGTTCGTGGGCAGCGAGGGCACGCTGGGGTTGGTCACGGAAGCGACGCTCAAGGTGACGGTGAAGCCGCAGCACACGAGCGTCGCGGTGTGCGCGTTCAACAGCGTGCGCGCGGCCGCCGACTGCGTGTTCAAGGTGGTGGGCGCGGGAGTCCCCATCGCAGCGATCGAGATCCTCGACGACGTGCAGATGAAGTGCATCAACGACGCGGGGATGACGAGCAAGACGTGGAAGAACGCGCCGACGCTGTTCTTCAAGTTCGCGGGCACGCCGTCCAGCGTCAAGGAGCAGATCGGCCAGGTGCAGACGCTGGCGAAGAAGTCCGGGTCCACGAGCTTCGAGTTCGCAAAGAGCGAGCAGGAGAAGGAGGACCTGTGGCAGGCGAGGAAGGAGGCCCTCTGGAGCGTCATGGCGCAGGGCCAGGGCGACGACGACATGTCCGTCTGGACCACCGACGTCGCGGTGCCCATCTCCCGCCTCCCGGACATCATCGAGGAGACGAAGGACGAGATCGCGAAGAGCGGGCTCCTGGGATCCATAGTCGGCCACGTCGGCGACGGCAATTTCCACTGTATGTTCTCTCGTTCATGTTGCCCCTTTCCATACCCCTAACTAACACCCGCGTTTAGCAATCATCCTCTACAACAAGAAAACCCAGCACGCCCTCGCCTCGCACCTCGTGCACAACATGGTGAAGCGCGCCATCGAGATGGAGGGCACCGCGACGGGCGAGCACGGCGTCGGCCTCGTCAAGCGCGACTACCTGCCCCACGAGCTGGGCGCCGACACCGTCGCCGCCATGCGCAGGCTCAAGCTCGCTTTCGACCCCCAGTGCCTGCTCAACTGCGACAAGATTGTGCGGGTGCAGCCGCCGCGGCAGGGGGAGGTAGAGGAGTGGTAGTGTAGCGTAGCGTAGCGTAGCGGGGATGGGAAGATAATGAATATTAGTAAGGCTCAGCAAGAAGGTCTTCGAGGAAATATTACATTGTCATGTACATGAATACATACACACGTACATACACCATACAATTCCATTCAACTCACCCCCTCCCCCCTCACCTCCTCCTTCAAAGTGAAAACCTCCCCTCACCGATAAATAACCTGCACATCGCCCACGCCCCTAATCTTCCTCTCCACCACCTTCTCGCTGAGCCCCAGTTCCATGCAAATCTCGTCGAACGCGTGCATCCCGTCCAGGAACCTCATGAGCGGCAGCCCGCCCGAGCCGCCCCCCGTCGCCGTGTTCTCGCTGCTTCCCCGCGCGGCTGCGACGGTGGATGCGACGGCGGCTGCGGCGTGGGCGTGCGCTTGGGCTTCGCTGACGATGCTGTCGAGGCGGGTTAGGGGGTCTGATTGCTGTGGGGGTTCTGATGCTGGTGGTTGTGGTGGAAGTTGTGGAGGCTCTCGAGTTGCGGCGCCGGTGGTGGAGGGTCGGTGGTGGTGGTGGTGGTGGGCGAGGAGGGTGGTGTGGAGTTGGGAGGGGGAGACGTGGGCTCTTATTGTCGAGGCGTCGGAGTCGCGGTGCGAGGCGGCGAGGGAGTTGGATGCCGTGCTGTTGTGGGAGGGGGTCGTCGCGTGGGAGGAGTGCGGGTGGGACTGGAGGGATGTAGGGGGTGCCGGGGGCGGTGGGTTGCTGTGGAGGTGTTGGTGGTGTTGGTGGTGCGTGGAGGTCGTGATGGCGTACTTGTGCACGCGGTAGAGGAAGCCCTTGATGATGCCGAAGGTGATGAAGCGCCGGATGTCGATGTTCGGGAGGAGGTCGATGTTGTCGAGGACCCATTGGCGGAGGGTGAGACCCTGTCGGAGGCGGGTGTAGAGCGTTATGAGGGTTTCGGGCGTGATGTCTGGGTTCTCGAGGTCGACGTCCTTGGAGGTTTCCCTTCGGATCTGGTTGGATTCGGAGATGGATGGCGTGGTTGGAGATGCCATTTCGCTCCTGGCTGTGGCATCGGACGATATCGATGCTCGCTCGTCTCTGTGTCTCTCGCCGTCGCCGCCCATCAAGGTTCCCCGTCTTTCTAATCTCGCCTTCGGCACGCGGACGTACCGAGCGCATTCTTCTTGTAGACTCCGCTCGAGGACAAATCCGCTGATCTCAGCTGTTGGTGCGTAGATGGCACCGAAGCTGAACACATCGAGCAGCACCAAACATCCGTAGTATATAAGATGCTGCAAAGCCTTTCGCGTTAGTGACAGATCGGTATCCGCAAGCTGTGCGATATGTGCAACGGAGTTGATACCGTTGATGAAGGGAATGATCCTCATGAGGGTGAGATCGGAAGAGATTGGCGCCGTGAGAGACTGAAGCGAAATGGTAAGAAGCGGCACTTGGTTAAGAAATACTGGGGGCGGCGGCGGATGTGTTGGAAATAGTTTGAGGTTGATGGTATTGGTCTCGTCTGGCATCAAACGTTAGCCTACTATTTCTTAAGCACCCCGAGAACGTACCGATGGGAATCATGCACTCAGCATAATTGTTTAAATCTTCCATGATCATTTCGCAAAGGGCATGAACTCTACTACCGCCAGTCTTCCAAACCTCCTGCGGCATTCCATCATTACTCGCGCTGACTCTCACATTCGCACTCTTGCTGCCATGTTCACCTTCGCTCTCACTTTCGCCCCCGAATCCGTTGCCAACATCAACTCCATACATCGAGTACATCCCTCCTCCAGCCTGGCTCCCATCCTCGCCATGTCCGTCCTCGCCGTCACTATTCTCCCCCCAAACGCCCCACTCGTCTTCTTCTCTACTCAAGAACCCACCCTGCTCTTCTAATATCCGCAGCAAAGTGCCCATCTTCCTCACCACCTCGCCATATGCCTGCCAGTCGCCGACCGATTCCTCGACGACGACCGCGAAATTGAATATGAATTCATTACGAGAGTACTTGCCCTCGCGAATGCAGATGGGGTATCCGATTACGCGGTGCCGCGAGTTGCAGAACGTGACGAGGCGGTCGGAGAACTCTTGGGTAGGGATCAAATAGGTAGTGCAGGAGGAGAAGTCGATTAAAGGCTGTGAGAGGGCGGAGGGGGAGTTCGAGGGTGTTATACTGCCCGAGGGGACTTGGTGTAGGACATGCGAGCCTAGAAATCGTACCAGGTTAGCCAGCGGCGCGTAGAATCAATTGCGGTATTTTACCTCTCAGGTGGTGAAATCGTGTGAAGAAAATCGCTTTTATTGCGCGCGTAGGCATTTGGACTGAAGGGCGCAGTAACGTGAATTGAAGGTTACATGATGTTGCTGGAGGGTTGGAGGTCTACGGGTGGGGCAGTGGGAGCTTTGACGCGAACTCTCCGCGATTACAGTATTTCGTTTAAGCTTAAATTAAGGTTTACGAACTGTGCCTCATTTGCCCTAGACCCATCAATCTCACGAAGCACGCCTGTGAACCCAGTTTGTTACCAAAATGATGTTTTGAAATTGCGGCTAACACTTTGCTATCATTAAATCTTAGCATCATCTCAATCTTTCGTCACGTTCATCTAACGGAGAAATGGGAGGAGAATCTGTGAGGCCAGTCACAGAATGTCTAATCCCTCCTTTCTCCGCCTCATCTTCCTTCCCAGCTTCATCATATGTCCTTCCTGTACTCTGTCTGGATGGTCCATGATGTCTCTGGCCCCCCAATACACTACCTATTATTGGATGCTTGACATCTGTAATGTCCACTGCCGCCAATGCCTCACCAGGTAGCGTCACTGGCACAGCATCTGTCGCCTTCGACCACGTGCCGGAATGTGCTACTTCGTGCGCCATACGATGCAGTTGAAGTGTAGAGTTCGCTTTCCATTCGAGGCGGGAGTAGTTGTGACGAACATTCTTCCGCTGGAAGTAATCGAGCAACAGTTCGAGGAACATATCGAGTAGGATGATAATGCCCCCAATGCCTACGATGAGCGAAATACCTAAGACGCTGAAGGACGCGTACCGGGTGCTCATGATACGCTGAATTCTGTTAGCTATAGTCTCTCATGGCATGAGTCTTGGTAAAACTTACTTGGCTTTGGCAGACCTTTCGCGCATGATCACTCGTAGGGGCAATGACAACACTATCTGGAAGCTGCTTCCTCGAACCCATGGCCGTCTCTACGAACTGAGCCTGCAAGCTTGTGCTAGCTGCACCCGCCCATCGAAGGACTTCATTTTCCCACTGGTCATCTGGAAGTGGCCCTGTTACTTCGAAGCCGGCGTTGAAGCGCGCCGACAGGGACGAAATGCCAGCTTTACTGATGATCGAGTTGGCGAAAAGATAGCGACTGTAGAATATTCGTTGAATCCAGGCAAGCATTTCTTGCTCTGCTGTGCCATTGGCCCACAACGCAGGGAATTTTTGTAATGTGCCACTGGCGATACCGGCAAGTGGGAGACATCGATCTTTCTCTGGTGCGTTGGGGTTGCAGACCTGGGCCTGATGGATACAGCCCAACGCACTGGCCGGTTCATCTTGACCGTACAGCGTGATATTAGATCCCGTTACAGTTCTGAAGATCTTAGGTGTGTGTGCCGAGTACCATGCGTCATCGACAGGTTTCACGTAGTTGATTCCAGGCGCCGACAAGAAGTATATCGAAGTGTCTGCGTCCGTACGCTGTAGCTCAGGGATCAACTCAATCGCATTTGTGTTTCGGACAGCATCGGTTACTCGAGCAAGGTAGCGTTGTACACTTTGTTACAGTCAGCGTCATGTTAAATAGTGGCAGTCTGGCTCTTACCCAAGTTGATAATCTTCTTTCGGGTTACGATTTACGTCGAACTGGTCAAATTTTCTCGACGAGAAGTTTGTAGCTACTTGGTAGATGTAATCTAACGTGCCGTTGGACTTCTTCGCAGTACCATAGTGATAACGTGCTACGGGGATATCTGGGAAGGAAGTCTGGTTGTGGATGGAACGATATCCCTGAGACACGAGCGGTGCACATTGATCGACAATCCTGATTTGGAACTCCGATTTTGGACCCAGATTGATTCCGAGATCGTGGTTACTGCTAAGGAATCCAGTGTCGATAGTTAGAGAGCCAACCTTGCACATCTTGCTATCGAACGGACAGGATGGATCCCGGGTGACCTTTAGGGGGAGTTTAGGTTTCACATATTGCTGACAGTCCTCTGAATTCTCGGCCTAGTTTTGCGAGTTAAAAGAGATGACAATACAAGCAGAGAGGGAGTCGCCTACGTTGGTATAGCACTGCTGTGCATAATTGAGGTATGCCGTAGCTCTCGAACTAAGCCAAGGCTGAGTGACGATACCCCATTCCACCACACTCATGTTATCAGGCGCGTTGATAATATTGCAATCTTTTCCCGTGAGGAGAACCTCATTCGCCGTCTGCGTTGTCACACGAGAGGAAAAGATACCTGCAATACTAAAAGCTCCCCAGATGACGGCTGCCAGAAGGAATATTCCACTGTTGCTTAGAAATGGACGTCCGCCACGGCCCTTCCAGGCATGGGTGATCATGATCAACTGCAGCAAAGCAGCCGGTGGAGTCTCAGTATTTCGAAGGACCAGCTGTCTCTGGTGGTGCACGCCGTCCTTCATCTCCGCGGACGAGAAGTAACGATGAAGGAGCAGGCACAAAACGCGCCAAAGACCTTTACCAGTGGCGCCGATGAAGATGGCCAGGAAGGCGATGAGAAGACCTCCGCTTTCCTGTGTCATCGTCACCGTTGCACCTCGAACCTTGTCATATTTCCAGTTGGTCCAGAAACCGAGGTGGATGTCGTAGTATTCAGCGCCTGATCTGGTAACGCCGCTCATGGTGACAGGTATTCGATTTAACACTTGATGGTCAAAGTACCTGATCTAAGGCAGGATGTGCAGAGTCTAAATCGAAGATATCAAGGACGGTCGCACGCTTGTCTCAGTGGATTGAGAGGCGTAAAACAAAAAAGACCATAACCTTTTTGAGGAGATTATTGATCTCGCCAGACCTGGGGGATTGATTCAAAGCAAGGAAGGCAACCACAGATATACCAACCCAACTAGTCTCTTCACAATATCCAGAAAATGATATTGCGCACCACCAGCAGGAACCCTGGGGCTGAAGCACCATGCAGTGAACCCATGTTCGGGGATATATGGGCGTATCTCGTTCGACGTTGATACATGCACAATATACAGCTGACGGGAGCACAAAACCCAAATACTCCTATCAAGATGCTTAGCCGTTGTATCGGATTGCATGCCATGCCCTTGGGGTTGGGGGCCGTAATATGAAACCCCCGGTCATCGTCCAATCAGAGCACAGCTTAAGTTTAGAAACAGCATCGCGATGCTGTATGTAGTACAACGATATACGAATGGGGCTGAGTGGCAATCATCAAACGGCCCGTTGGTCGAACTTTCTGATGGTACTACAGGGATTGGTCGAAGATCTCCATGGAGAATTCAGGGCACAAAGACTGGATGTGTTCAATGCCCTGCAGACGCTCGATGGGGGCTGACGGTTTCGCATGTAAGCACGGCAATTTATCTTCCAGTTTAAATCCAATCAGAAGAGACGCAGACGTTGTGATGGGATCGCAGAGTCAGAACCATGGTCAGATTTAATGCTCAAGCTCATGCCCATATTCCAAATGTATAGTTCTGGTACGCTCAACTGGTGATCCAGTCGTTGGTGATTATTTGCCGCCATGTGAAAATCCAGACAGTACAGAATGAGAACATGTTTGACCTCGATGACAGCATCTATTTGGATGTGACACCTGAGTCTACATCTATATACATCATTTGTTCCAGTTTACCATCTAGAGGGCCTCGTCCAAATATCACCCTTTCGCTGTGCTCCGCGAGATGCTCTGTTTCTCTGGTGGCCATTCCAATCAAAAATCAAGACGCTTACCGTTCCTTTGACAAACAGCCAGTAATCTCGATTTGATGGCCATGCCATTGGTAAAGTCGACGCCCATTTACTATAATTGTAATCTTGAACCGGCCGGGTATCACGCATATGCGCTGCCCCCCCTCGCACGTAAAACCAGTTGAAGAGAAATCACGTTGCGTCGACAGGACCTGAACTATCGCTTTACAAAGACGCCCTTCAAAACAAAAGAACGGACATCATTTGCTAATTACATGATCTAGCTTAACATTGTTCAGTCTTGTAAAACAAACTTGATGAAAAAAATGCACTCTAAAAATTGCACGCTAGTCGTATCTATATGCTATTAAAAACAGGCTTTTGAGCCAAACAGTAAGAATTGCCTGCAACCTGTCCCCGGATTATGCCTCATTACATCCTCCGCCTTCATCAAAATGAAAACCTTTCAATGCTTTGTCGGTGTTTTACTAACACTTACACTTCTTCTGTGCAACCATCAGCGCATTCACCTTCGACGGCATGCTGGCTTTCCGGGTGTAGTCAGTGTTGGGAACGTTCTTCTCTTTGAACACCACGGTTGAGGATTCGCCACATTCAAAGTAATCTTGGTAGTTGAGCTCATCGCCAGCGTTAGGTGATCCCTTATTGGCGAGCGGGTTGGGGAAATGTGAGCTTTCGCAGGTCATTGTGGGAGGGGCGGGAACAGCGGTCCTGGGAAGGAGTTCGGGTTCAGTGGGAGGGGCGGCTGCATTGGCTGGCTTTGGAACTGCTGCAGCAAGGCTGCTGGCAGCGAAGAGAGCGACAAGGAGAGGCTGGAAGAATTGCATGTTTGGATGTTGTTTTTGGTGTGGGTGATGAATTGCTTTGATGGGCAGATTTGGAGTGGGGATTTGTTGGTAGATCGTAGAGGAGGTTTGCTATAATGAGCGTAGTGTGATATTATCTTAAAAGAGTGTAAAGAGTGTGATAAGGACTGTGTCGATTGACTGTAGTGTAGTGTTCCTTTGAAGCAGGAATGAAGACTCCTTTTATATGCGTCGCTCCTACCCTTCTCCTCCTAGAGAATTGGATATGAGACGGTCCGACGTTAATCTCTATAGTTTAAAGATACTCCAAACTGCGGAGTATGGCAAAACTGCGCTGCAATTGTCTCCGGCCTGCAGATCTCGCACGTTGGAAAAGACGATCAGATCGGAGTTAATGCCAAGTTCAGCACAAATCCAAGTCCGCCCACATAAGTGACCCAAATATTTTTTTAATAGAGACGTTATTGATGATAACAGAGCAACTATACTTTTTCAGTTATCTTTATCACTATTCAATTTCTCACTCCACAGTCCGTAAGACAAGTTTGATTGAGACACAAAATGCAGTCAATTGTTTCGCGCGCTAAATGAATCTACCCTCTATAAAAAAACCCAAGCTCAGAACCCAAAAACAATAAAGTGCCACTACCAAGTTGCCAACGCCCTTGCTTTATAAACTAGATTATCCTGTTCAATATATCCCGGGTTTGCACCTCGTGACATCCCCATCCCCTCACTCCTCCTCAAATTGAAAACGACCATTGCTTCGTCGATACAGCATAAGGCATCCATGCCCTAGCAGGCGGATGCTTTACTTCCAATGGAACCCAATGTTGGCATTAGACAGCAACACTAGCACGGGTGGCACCGCGCGAAGGTCGGGGAAGAGCGGGCGCGGCCGGCTCAGCGGGCTCAGTGGGCTCAGTGAGATCAGCGGGATCAGTGGGCCCAGCGAGATCAGCGGGATCAGCGAGGTCGGCGGGCTCAGCGAGGCCAGCGGCACCAGCGGGACGAGCGGGACGAGCGAGACCAGTGGGCTCAGTAGGAAGAGGCTCCTCATCAGCAAGAGGCTCTCCATCAGCAAGAGGCTCTTCATCGGCAACAGGCTCTTCATCAGCAAGAGGCTCTGCAGCGGAAAGAGGATCTTTAGCAGGAAGACGTGACTTAGTAGGAGGAGCAGCTTCGGTGGGAAGAGTCTCTTCAGTGGAAAGAGGATCTTCAAGCGAATCCTCGGCGGAAAGATCATCTACAGCAGGAAGACCTGACTCAGCAGGGGGAGCAATTGTGGCAGGACGACCAGCTTTAGCAGGAGGAGCAGCCTCGGTGGGAATAGTCTCTTCAGTGGAAAGAGGATCTTCAGCGGTAAGACCAGCATCAACAGGAGGAGCAGCCTTACCCAAAGAAGCAGATTCAGTGGGAGCTGCAACCTCAGCGGGTGCAATAGCCTCAGGGGCAGCGACGGACTTTGTGGGAGGAATTGCGAGGCCAAGGGCGCTGGACGCGAAGAGAGCAACGAGAAGAGACTGAGAGAACTGCATATTGGCTTGTTGTTGGTGGGTTGAAGAGTGAGTTTCTTGTAAAGAGTGTGATGTATTGTTGTAAAAGAGTGTAAAGACTGTAGTAGTAAAGAGTGTAATGATTGACTGCTGTGTGGTGTTCCTTTGAAGCAGGAATACAGGCTCCTTTTATATGCGTACTGCCCACATCTTCTATTCCTAGATGAATACAGAAAGACACTGTTTTACGGAAGTCATCATTGCGGAGTATAGCAAAGTGCGATCAAATTATTTTCGGTCTGCAAATCTCGGGCCTTAGAGAGAGAAAGATCAGATCGGAGTGTTTGGGAGACTCCTCTACAGAGAGGAGATCGGCTCGGAGGTCGTGCGATCGGCTCGGAGGTCTACACGATCGGCTCGGAGAGAACCTTTATACGATTATTCCCACGACACGTGTACCCTAACGGTCTACTTTACAATATACTCGTTCTAATAAAAGTGGTTCCATGGAGTTGGTTTTGTCCACATTTGAACTCCATAAAAGTACCCACAACTACTTAACTATATCGCTGATCTCCACGCAAACTTGCAAACAACTTTTCCAATTTTACACAGTGCAAAGATTTAGAGAGGCTTGAAAGCGATAGAATACATAGGCTATTATCGCACGGTACATAGAGTTTTATGGAAGATCGTCTTTCACTATTATGTTGACCATCATCAACATTCATGCTCTCCTACAACAAGCTATAGCTTCTACCATAGGAAATAAGCACCCTTCAGTGCATTTGTTTATATGCCTCATACATATACGCAATCCATCCCTTCCCGCCCTCCTTTTCCCTGCCCATCCTGAATAAACACTTGCAATTCAATGCCGTACATACAACAACCAAGCAACCCACCCCTCCAACCCTGGCAACAACTACGCACACTTACACCTCAAACCCGCAATATCCAAAGCATTCTTCATGTCCTCCGCCTGCTTAGGATCGCCCCTATAAGGCGCCTTGTCCTTAGCGTCTGGCTTGAAGGCCAGCTTGCCGCCGGAGCACTGCATGAATTCGTCGACGCTTTTTGTGATCTGTGCGTCTCCGCCCTCGAACTTGACGAACGTAGGGAAGGTTCGTCCGCCCGTGCAGTTCGGTGTGCCGGGAGCAGCGTGGGGCCTTCGGCGGAGAAGAGGACGGGTGGTTGGGGTAGATGGCGTAAGGGTTGGGGCAGCGAGGCTGCTGGCTGTGAAGAGGGTGGCGAGGATGAGGTGGGAGAGTTGCATTTTGATATGTTGGTGATGGTGGTGTAGTGAATTGATGGAAAGTGCAACTCGAAGTAGAATCGAGGCAAATGATTGTAGAGACTTTTGCTGAACCGTGTTCGTATTATTGTAAAGAGTGTAATTAGTATAAGGGAAAACTATAATAACGATCGTAGTAAACGATGTGTAGTGAATCGTGGTGTAGTGATTCACTTCTTTTCGTCCAGGAGGAAAAGTCATATATATGAGTATTACTACTCCTTCATGTTCGGATGATCGTAGACGACGATGTTCTCCTTTAAGATCTACGGTATCACGGTATAATAAATCGTCAGATTTTCAGATATCATGCCTTCCATAGGGGAGATCGGCTCGGAGGTTGTGAGGTTGGCTGGGACGGAAGACGATACAATCCGTTGCGGATCTACACGTATATGCGATAGATGTAGATGCACAGACTAGTCACACGACTTGCCTATATATCTCTCGCCATCACCTATAATCCCTATATACACCTCTTCCCCGAATCCCCCATCTCCCCTTCCTCTCTCCTCCCCACTCTCCTCCTCATAAACACCCTATCCCCCCCCCCAAAAAAGAAAGGAAAGAAAAATCAAAACGCCGTATCCCAAAAATGCGCAAATCCAAACCCATGTCCAGAGAAAGAAAAACAAAAGAAAAGAAACGCCAAAAACCTCAGAACCTCGGCGTTTAAACACATAAGGCTCGAAAAGTAAGAGAGAAAAAAAAACAACAAAGGGTGAAGTATATATGGTATCAACGGAGATCATGTACGCATGCATGTATGTATGTAAAATCGAAGAGGGCGGTTACGTCCACGTAGAGGTGCAGAGCTTGGTGGTGCCGGTGCACTTGACGTCCACGCACCCAGGGGTCGTGTGGTTGTTGCAGCCGTTGGGGGTGTCGGTGCAGTTCCAGCCGTGGCCTTCGGTGAGGGTGGTCGTGTAGCTTTTAGGAGGGAGGAGGTGTTAGCTGTTTGTTTCTCCTATCTGATGTCTTTGGAGGTACGGGGCAGGGAAAGATGAGATTGATGGATGCTCTTGGGGATAAAACTTACTAGGGCTGGTTCTCCCCTGGGATGTAAGTAACCACCGTCTCGTTGGGCTGACGGAACCACCAAGAGACGGCTTCGTCGAGAAAAGGGCCTCCGTCATTGGGGATGTAGCTGAGGTCGCTGCGGCAAAGTTTGTGAAAATCTCGGTCGGAACCGTAGCCGGTAACGTTGCAGATCTGTTTGTTGTTCTCGTCGTATACGGACCACCCGCCTTGCGTTTGCAATTGCGTGCTATCATTGTACACAGCCATCGAGCCCTTTATTTCGAAGCATTTGGACTCGGCTGAGACGAGAGGGGTTGCCATGGCGGCGGCGATCGCGAGGGTGATGAACTTGGCGGAAAACATTTTGGACGTGCGTGAGTGAACGAATGTGGAAAAATAGAATGTCGATGGGAAATCTAAAACGAATGTGAAAGGTTATTGCTGGTTATAAATGAAAGTGGTGCTCATGAGCATACAAAGAAAGAGCGACTTGTTGAGTGTGGATGTACGAAAAGAAGAGCGCAGCAAGTGTGAGTATGTCGATCTTTAAGTATCTGATAGACATCTATGATGTCCCCCGTACAGTATCTCAGCGCATGAGGCTGGGAACGGTGTATGGTTTCATATAGTCCGATCACTCTGGGGTTTGGCCGCAATCGCGGTTGGATTGGTGTTGCGGGGATTAATCATCCAAGTCCAAAGTGACCTTGGGTACCGCTTTGCCCCAGTCGATTGCCAAAACGCATGAGCTACCTTCATCAAGTTTTGTTAGTAATTACTTCTACCTGGAGGAAAGAAATGCTCACGAATAATTAGACATGACTTAGCGCCGATGTGGAACACCTCCGATCCAACCATCTTCACGATGATCTACCGGGTATCGTAGAACGGCATGAACTTCTGTCTGTTGGGGGTTCTGTTTGGAGATCATACTCTAAAGCAACGGCATTCAGTCACTTGCACATCGTGCTCATGCCTGTCATGATATCTTTGCCAATCCATACCGGACCCTCAATAATTAGCCCGTGGTGCAACGAGGAATTGATTTTCAGCAAAAGTAGAACCAAATGCCTCAAGCTTTTATCTTGTTTCGGTGCCTGATTAATTAGCGAGAAGGACGCAAATCCTCACGGTAAGTGGTATCGGAGAATATGAAAGCGTCTGTTTTATTTGATGCTCGAAATAGACATATATTCGTTCATTGAATAGTTGATACAAAGAATAGGACAGGAAGTTTGATGGCTCATAACGTGATGAATTATGCGGCGCGTTGTAATCGAACTGAAGATGTGGCTGCTCAGATCTAGCTGAAAGCGTAATATTTTAACATGAATTGTGCTTGCGAGTGGGACAGGGAAAGAACTTCTCAAACTCATGAAGATCTAGTAATTTCAATACTATCAACTAGTGAAAACGAACATCTCAATCCAAGTGAGCGTTGGGGAGGGGTATATTGCGATAAGAGATTCGATGCTGAATCGGAGATGACCAACGATGAAAGGAAGAAAAAAAAATTGGGCAGTCGTACAATGCATACGACTTCCCAGAGATATGCGTAGGATATATGCAATGGTAAGATTAAGCAGGGACGTTAATGATGAGGTTGCGCTGTCCTGGGTCATCGGGATAGCAACCAAAGACGAATCGATACAAATCGCGCATCCAGGAGAATTGGTCGCTGCGCGATAACTGCTGAACGGCTCTCCCAATTTCGCCCGAGGTCAATCTTCGCAATGGTTGGTTATGAAGCGGTCTCAGGGTGGGGTCTGAGAGCACGAGCTTTCGATAATTGTCGAACAGTTGAGTCTGCCAAGCGGCGTCACCAAAACTATTCGAGGGCAGGGCGCTGACGAAATCAGGCAGGGGGGTCGATCGATTGAAACCAGTATTGATAGCTGCTTTGACCAGCAATCCTTTCAAGCGAATGATCGTTGCGTCCTCCCGCCCAGCCGTTGCTGTGGAGGAAGTGTGCACGGAGGCGTCGGAATAGGTTGAGAGACTGGAAGCTGCAGATGACCATCGATCATGGGTCCTGGTTTGACCGGCTTCAGGGCCCAGTATTAAGATGTTTGGCACTTGTGGTTCCGGGTCGGCAGGCGAAAATTCCTCACGGTCGTCGAAGATGGTAGTGGGTGTTTCGGGATGCAAAGGCATGATTTCCTGTCGCCGCAGACCGTTCGATATCACGGAGTGATAAGAGCCGCTCATCGTAGAGGTACGCCCAGAGCGCTCAGAATGAGAGACTTGGGAGTGTGACACAGATGCGGGGCCGGCGTTGAATGAGAATTGAGCGGGACGAGGGGTACCGCGCTCAGGTCGTACTTGCGTCCAGCCCTCTCGGAACAGATCGCAGAGTTCCCAGCACGCTTGGATGGCGGATCCCAGCAGTTCCTCGTCTGCGGGTCTACCGTCACGGCTATTCTGGCGAATGCTGAAGAGCATTTCGGCTAGCGACCAGCATGCGTGGAGCAAAGCATCCGTGTCTTCAGGAAGGGAGGTTCTTTGCTTCATGAGACGATGGCATAGGGTGAGGTAGAAGTCCAGAGTGCGTTCGCGAAATGCTTCAGGCAAGGTCCGGTCATGCGCATTATACAAATGGTTGTTCAACTCAAAACTGACCCGCAGAACCGAATCAGAAGCATCGTCGCCCCGGTGTCGAACGTCGAAAAGTGCTTGACAGAAGTCCCGGCAAAGCTCCAGTGTTGGTTTAATCTGTGTAGCGTGGTGTTCGTCCCTGCTCTCATAGAGCTTCTGACACAAGCGCCAGCATGTCCGCCATGCATGTTCCTGCTCGTCTGCTTTGGTTCCGGAGTAATGGAACATTCGTTGTCGATGATTTTGACTGAGTTTTGCCAGTGTGTTGCAGAGAGTCCAGCATTCGTCCAAGGCCGTCTTGAGGGAAGCAACCTCCCTTTCGGTTTCGTTGATGCCGTGCAGGGCCTCGCCCATTGTCTGAGCCAAAGCAAACTCATCCCCCTGCAGTGAGGGGGTTGGCATACTGCTGCCGTCCTGCCCATTGGAAAGTGACGTAGCATCTGAATGAATTACGTCTTCCGCTTCTGCAATGTCTAATAAAGCATAAGTCTTGGAGTATCGGGAAGTGGGATTGAGGGCAACTCCTACCTGCGAGACTGACGCTAGCCCTGCTTCGTCTCCTCTCATCGTCGTGATCTAGACGTGTCTGTGCTCGTGGGGTACTTCGATCTATCGTTCCGGAGCTTGGAACGGTGGTGTCGATGGGATGCGTGTATGAACCCTTCGCTTGGTTAGTCATGCCGAAGTGTGAAGGTAGGCGTGAGCTAAACAAACCTTTTCATCAAGGCCCATGTGTGCTTCTGGTGTTTGTGGTGATACTACGGCTGTCTGGTCCGAGGAGGTTTCGCGGGAAGAGGCTGCTGAGGTGCTGACTCGATTCTGTCAAGGGAGTCAGCGTCTATGTGGTGCAACCATGGGTTCAGCCTGATACTCACAAACTGTTTGAAGTTCATGGGCGCATGGATGACCGACTGCGGCGCATCGTCGGAGTCTGCGCGCGCGCGTATAGGGAGCATCGTATCCAGCTTATAGGGCTACGAATGGTAAATTTTTGAATTAATTGGAATAGATTCGAGTGTTCCAAGCGCATACCTTTGCCATGCTGTCCTGGCTCTCTGGACTGGTAATCTCTTCTGTCTCGAGAGACCGGATATCACTCAATTCACCCTCGCTCGCATGATCTATCTCCTGCGCGTCGTCTTCGATCTATCATAGTATCCCATTAGCACGATTCATGGGTGTATATATGTAACGCGGAATGTACCTCGGTTCCATTTGTGCCATTGCTGTCGACGGGAGAAGGGTCGACGGTGGAAGGGTAAGGGCTCGGGGGTGGTGCCAGGTGGTCGGACGTGTTGGAGTTCCTTCGAGAATGCATCAGTATTGATTGAGATGTGGAGATGGAGTGACTGTGTAGTCAATATATGACAAGGGCGAGGCCATACCTATTTGAGTTGGAGAAGACCTGACTGAAAGGTGCTGGAGAGCTGGGCGAGTCGGTATATGGGCTGAAAGACGACTTCAGACCCGCAGTTGGAGAGGGCATGAGCTGCGTGGCAGTTGCCATGCCTCTGTACGATACGATTCAAGCAAGACAGCTTTGGTCGAACACCACAGACGATGCTGCGCCAGCACTGCGCCGCGGCGTGTTTGAAGGTCAAAGATTGTCTTGTTTAGAAACAATGCTCGAGCCGCGTGCCTATGAGCCAGGCGCCAGAAGAGGTGGAGGTGGAGGTGTTGGCGACTCCCGAGTTCGCGATGGTAACAGTCGGCGCAAGGCTGATTGATCTCCTCCCCAAACACGACGAATCAAGACTGGGCGCCGAGCGGGTAGGATGTTGGACAGAGGCGCCAGGGAGGGGGGAGTGTGTGAGGCGGGTGGCCGTGTCGAGTTAGAGAAACAGCGGGCGGAGGGGGCGATGGCGATGGCGGCGGCGTAAGTATATGAGATGGGAGGGGGAAGGTCGCAGATCGGGTCGGGGGGTATTATATTGTATGTCGCAGGAGGAGGAGGAAGAAGAAGAAGAACAAGAAAGAAGAGAAAGAGAGGATAAGATGATAAGAGGACGAGAGGAGGACGGATGAGTCGAGATGGTGGGTTAAAGGGTAAGGATGGATGGAGGTTGACAGGACAAGGCGGACCCTCTCGCGTGGAGTTGTCCCTATGTGACTGCCTATGTAGGTATGTATGCACCCAATGCAGTAGTAATAACAACAATAATATGAACGAGTAGGGATGTAATGTATGTCACAGTATGTACGTGTGTGAATGCACGCGCAACTAGCCAGCAGGTGCAGCGTTTGAGTGGATATTTCCTTTTCTGTGCACCACACTACTATGTTGAAATGTTTCGTGTAGGATAATGATAGAATACGTGAACAGTAGACGGCGAGGAAGGATGAGGTGGTGGAGGAGGAGGAAAGGAGGGAGAGAGGGGGGAATGGTGGTGATGGGGATGGGGAAGTGTCTGTGTGCTACCAAAACGAACATGTACCTATACTCGTTAGGGAAGTAGATATCTACAGTCTACAAAGTAACTATACATACTCAGTATCTATTATAGTTCCTAGCTACACCTAACCACTTCCACTAGTTAACCTTTCAGCATAACTACTCCTACGAGTAATAATTATGAGTACATATGCAAATGTTGCGAGTACATGATTCTTGCATGTGCCTAACGGGCAGGCATCACCACCACCACCTACTTCTCCGCTAACTTGGGAGGGAGGCCTCATCCAGCAACTACCAGGGTGTCTCGCTCTGATGGCTCCCCGTCTCCTACAAGCAGTTCGTTCGCTCAGTCACTACCTACTACTCGTAACTAGTACTGCATCAGTGCATCAGTGCATCAGTGCATCAGTGCATATCCATCCTAGTCTATTCTCTGATGCGTGGCCTGCTGAGACCTAATACTGAAAGTTTTATCCCACACCATTTGGGCATATGCATCTCGGTACATAGTACGTAGACGATCAATTGATAGATATACTACTGTACTCCGTACAATTGATCTATTAGGTGTCTAATGTGTACAGGCAGGTAGATGTACGGCCTAACACTGTACATGATCTACAGAGTACATGTTAGTAGCTATGTAGTCTGGTCTGTGTATGTACACTTAGATACCTACATAGGTACATAGTACTGTGTAGGTACCTAGACGATAGAGGGACAAGGGGTTGTAGGTAGGATGGGAATGGAAGGAAGGAACGACAGGGGTGATTGCCCCCCCTAGAGTTTCTAAGCGCCGGTGGTTGTTCAAGACTTCCAACCACAAATCATCGTCCACCACTTCCACTTCCACCTCCACTACTACCACCACCACAACCTCCACATCCTCACATTATTCATTCCATCTCGTCGCCCAATTCTCTTTTCTTTCATCTTCTGTGCTCCATTTCCCGTCCGCGCAACCTCTCGGTGGCCCTACCTAGAATCCTAAGAATGCCCCATGGTTCCATCACACTGGCTCCATTGTTCCATTGTCGGGATTTCAGCAACAGCCACCACCACCATTTTGGCACTTACCACCACTATCACACACAATCACAACGGCCAACTCGGTTGTGGTTAATGATCAGCCGTTGCTGACCTTCTCAGTCTTCCATTTTACGTACCATTCCCACCATTCCACCCTCCAAGCTGCCATGGTGACCTACCGGCTGCTCCAGAGCATCCCCGGCAGCTGGTCAGATACCCCCTTCGCCTGTCCCGTATCCCACCTCCTCGGCGACGCTCCCGCTCACACCTCTCATGTCGCTCGGGATAGGTCAATTGCGCACTTCCAGCTACTGTAGGTACTCATAGCGTCGCCATGCTACCTCCACATGCCAGCCGATCAAGGATTGGCCAAGGGTTTACAGAATTGCTCGACGAACGGTGCACTGTCTACCTTTTGGCCTAACCCGCTCCTCATTCTATCCTGACTCTAACCTCGTCCTACTCGTTGTAATTTCCTCTGTCTCGTCGCTGGCTCTTCTGCCCATCTGGACAACAGGCTGCCACCACACTAATGCATGTTCATCATTGCTGCTTGATAATTCAGTAGGATCCCAAGACGCTGTCATTCAAGTCCTCCACTGTTATCACAGTAGTCTTGCGGCGTCGAATCCTAACATTCATCCGTCTGACTTATTTTGATATCGCTAAGCTCTCCACCAGCATTGACCCGCCATCGACGTGGCGGCCTCGCGGCAAATTGATAGCGTGCAAATGTGACAGCCCGCTGGGACACTGCTTTTCCGCTTTACCACGGCCTGTCCTTGCGGTCTTGCTTCTGCGATCCTGCAGCATGATGATCGCTATAGGCCGATACCTCTCAAGCCCTACTGCCTCGCCTGCTGGTGCCGTGTACTCGCCAGCCTGATTCGGGGGCCTGAACTTTTTAGCGGCATTATACCCCACGATGTTTAAGGTCGTATGGCATACCAACTCGATGATAGAAAAATCCAGGTTGTTGTGCTGTGTCTGGATTTACACCAAAGCTGTTGTCATCAACCTTGACTATAGCACATGTTCCATTCTTGTAAATCTCGAAACCTGTGCCTCATCCGCGCATTGCATATTACCCGCGTCCATGCGGCGTTGCTAATTGAGGACCTCTTGATAATAATAACAAGCGCCAAAGGGGCACGCCATCCACATGATTGGATTCTCCTGCTGGCCGCATCGAAGAATTCCCAGTACCAAAGGTGGGCTGCATGCGAGGCTCTAGAGCTCGGGGCTTGTTCCCGGTCGGAGAAGCACACCGCTACGATTCGGCCGCAAAAGCGAGGTTGTTAGTCCACGATGTTTGCTGGTCAGGTTTCTCGTCTCTGGCACGACAACGCTCCCCCGTCTCGGCGACTTTTGACACCTCATCCCACTACTGCAGACCAACATAATTTCTCCACTTCCAGTAGGATCAGGTGCATGCGGTATTTAACGTACATTTAATTTCGTGCTAATTTGCCAACAAACACGGGCGAAAGGCCGCAAATAAGATCAACATTTCCCCTTCAGGCACTGGGCATTAGCATGGGCGGCAAGAGCTGCCATGGATGTGGTGCAATCTTGCATGTCTTCGAAGAGAGTTTTACAATCCAACACCAACTCAGCAAAAGTGTCCAGACATGCAAAGCTAAACATTCAACAGATTTTGGTCGAAATACGCCCGGCAGCTTAGAGCACAGCCCACTCGATTCTCCATGCAAAGCTTCTTAGACATACTTTGAAGACTTTCGCATATCTTTAGCATTTCTTTAGTCGATGCGAGGAGGTCATTCGCGCCTGTCTAGTTCGAAACTCTATACTGCTTCAGGCTGGGTTCTTCGATAGTCAGGGCGATGCAGGTGCGTCGCCAAATGCACATGAATATCCTCGTCGAGTAGTTGTACTTGATGCCAGGCCCGACCTCCAGCGTGCAATCATTAGCACCGGATACAAATCTGTGCTATCATCACTAACGTCAGTGCATCTCAATTCGAGACTACGAACATATGGTGTAGAATGGAGGAATATCTCAATCCGGCCGCACTCGCAGCTTTCGATCCCGTACCAACAGACTCATCAGCACGCTAGGATGTAACAATGCCATGCAAGCACATATGGGAGATATAATTGAGATTTCAACCGTACCATCTTCTACGCCTCGAAACCTTTACCGCCAGATGCGCCTCATACGCCTATACGATTTGGGGCACGGCACCACCATCCCAGCCCAACCCCACGTTCGAAGGATGATCTTGACTGATCATGCCAAACCAACTCGCCCAACGGTAAGATCATAGTCGGTGGAGAGTGGCGTCGACTCAGATGGAAACAAACCAACAGCGCCGCAAAGTACCGACTCATCCGACCTTTCGTGAACATTCCTACCGTGCCGCAGCATTGTTCGGTTATCGTCGATCTTGTTCTTCGCCGCAATGCATACTATTGAACGACGACAACGGCCTCGCCGCAAGGATTGCTCCGGCAAAAGCTGCCCTGTCGTCGTCATGAGGCTAGCATACGGCATAACAAAGAAAAAGCGAAGAGCTAGATTGTGGTAGACTGAGACATGGCTTCGGCACGGATTCTCGCTGAGATGCGGTAAGATGCCATGGCTTACCTTTTGCTAGGAAAAGGCGATTCGAAGAAGAGTAAGTAAGACGTTCATCAAAATGATTTCTGATTTCCAATCTCGTGGCACAGTCCCACCGTTCTCGAGAGGTCTACCTTGGAGAAGACCTTTCCATGAGATCCTCCTCGCCCGCTCTACTGACTGCCATTTTCGTCAAGCTCACCTCATCTATCAGTGAAGAAAATTTCCCAAAGAGTACCATCACCCCGTCGTCCTCCATGCAAGCTGCCTGTCGACTTGCCCTCTGTCCCTCTCCCTAAGACAATCATTTTCTCCCACGGTTTCTTCACCGTCTATTGTTGTACGAGTGACAATATACGTACATACTGTCGCGTATACACCCCTTTGTAGTAGTAGCATCACGGGCACGACCCGCAATCGGTGGATAAATAGGACAGATAGATATTTGCCACTGTCGATGGGCCTCTAGAGGTAGGTAGATGATGCCTCGATCTCTTTCGGCACCCGTAATCGATCTATCTACACCCTGCCTGGTGGCATACATACATACATGCTTCTTCTTACTAACCCAAAAACATCACAATAGGATATAGGGGTCAACTTGATAAATCATAATACCATTTCAGGTGGAGTGACGGATATTGGTGCCCGGTACCAATCCGCCCACACGGTGTGATGTCTGCAGCTAAGAATGCTACAATATGTCTATATATATGCCCATGTCTCTATCATGAGCAATTGAACAAAATACCACAGCATGTAAGTTGTATTAAAGAAAAAAAGCAAAAGATTAATCGACGTCTCTTACGCTGCATTTATATCACAATATTAATTGCAAGTTGGAAGAACACATTGAAAAAAGGTTTGAGAATATTTATTGTTGTCCTTATTGACAGTAGTACTCCATTAAAACACCAGAGCTTAGCAAAACAATCGCTCTCGAAAAAAATCCAATTGTCGAGAGGGACTTCCAATCGATCCAATAAAAGCCCCGAATATAAACATGCCTGGGGTATGATGATCCGTAACCCAATTTCGTAAACTCGTATCATTCCCATATGGTGACGCTCGAAAGTCATAAACATGCATCCTTCAACTCCTTCAAAATGCTTCCGAGACGCCTTCGCTTCATGATGATGGAAAGACAGAGTTTCCGCAAAACCCAGATATGATGACTCGATTTTCCGAGAGTAATGTGGATGGTGCCATGATGGACCGCGTCACATGCTCAAACGAGATGATTATACTTACCAACTTACCGTTGCGCGTAGAGTCGGATAATTGGCTCCATTGCGCAAGCCGTGATATTGTTATTGTTGGTTATTCGTTGCTCCGCACCAGTGACACGACTGGATCATCGTGACTGTGCAGAACAAAGATGGGGGATATGCTTGAAAGCATCCTGCCCCTTTTGTTGAGAGAAGCTTAGCGGATCGACATCTGCTTGACGGCACTGGGCTTGGTGGCCACAGAGCCAGCAGCTGCGATGGATGGCTGTCCAGGCTTCTTCTCGAAGATCTTCCAGAACTTGAGAGACTCATCAGCGGCAGCGGTAGCAAGCATCTGACCGTCGGGGCTCAAGCAGCTGTGGAGAACACGAGACTCGTGAGCAGGGACCTCCATGTTCTTGACACCAGTTGGGTAGCTCCAGATGCTGAGGCTGTTGTCGGGGAATCCACCGCTGCTGACGATCTCCTTGTAGTGGGTGCTCCAGCGGAGGCTGGTAACCTGGGAGTCGGTGGGGATGTGGTTGATGCGGGAGCCGGTAGTAGTGTTCCAGAAGTAGATCTGGCGGTCGTTGGAGCCACCACCAGTTGCGAGGAGGTTGGATTGCCAGGGGCACCAGGCGACGGCCTTGACGGCAGCGCGGTGGTTGGTCTTGGTGAACTTGGGAGCAGAGAGGGAGCGGGCATCCCAAATGTTAACAAGGTTGTCGTTTCCTCCGGTTGCCAATTGGGCGCCGTCGGCGCGCCACTCAAGACCGCAAACCTCACCAGTGTGAGAGACAAGCTCAGCAGTCTTGTGCTGGGCGATGCGAACGTCATGGTTGAAGATGAGACCAGAACGGGCGCCAGTGGAGAGAATGTGCTTGTTCCAGCCCATGACACCGACACGAGTCTCGTGTCCGTACATGCTTCGGAGCTTGGTGCCCTCCTCGACGTCCCAGATCTGGACCTCGCCGCTGCCGAGGCCGACACCAACGTAGGCACCGTCACCGGACCACTTGACGGAGGAGATGTAGGTGTCACTTGGGCACTCGAGGAGAGAGGAGACTGAGCCAGACTCAGCAGACCAGACGTAAACGGAGCGCTCGAGTCCGATGGCGACTTGGTTGCCAGATGACCAGTCGAGGAGGTTAAGATAGTAGTCGTCCACAAGACCGGGGGCATCAAGGACACGCTCGGGTGCGGATGGAATGCGACGGCGGTTCTGTGCGTTAAGACTGGCAGCAGGCTTGAGGGGACGGTTGTATTGTGATCGGAGGTCAATAGGCTTAGATGATTCGGGGGCAGCAGGCTTGAAGGCGAGAATGCGGGTGTTCAGATTAACGCCGCATGCTGAAGCCAACGACGACTGGTAGGCGACTGTGTCAGGGCCAGGCTTGGTTTGGGACTTGCCATCCTCTTCGTCGTCATCAAGGTTGAGGCCTTCCAGAGAAAGTGTGACATCCTCCTCTGAACCACGGCCTCCGACATCGTATGCGCTAGCAGCGTTGGCAAGTACACTGGAACCCTCAGTTGGGGCTGAGCTAGACTTGGGACGCTGGTTAAGATCGAGTTTGCCAGTGCCAACTTTGCAAATGGCATCGCTTGCAGTACGGTTGGGAATAAATCGGTCGGCGGCATTGTAGGCAATTCGGGTCTTAGTGGGGCGGGCACGGAAGGAAACATCCTTCTTTGACTTGGCAGGTGTCTTTGTTGTTGTTGAAGTGGCGGCGGTAACAGATCCAGTGAGCGTCCAGTCTGAGACACCGAGTTCTAGTCGTCGCGGTGTGCTAGTACGAGCAATGTTCGACTTTGGTGATTCACGGTTGGTCTTGGAGACAGAACGCTGAAGACGGGACAGGAAGTTTCCACCATGGATGGACTCATGTGCACCAGGCACATCGGGAGTCTGAGTACGAGGGGTACGAGGAGAAGGAGTCAATGGCATCCGACCGCCAGCGGTACGGGTGGAGAAGACTGATGAGCGGCTCTTGACCGGGGTCAAGACTGCAGGGCTGGCCATGACTGCTTAATACTTCTAGTAGTATGTTAGTATATGCCCTTGAAGAGATATGGAGAGCCAAGAAGACTCAAGAGGGATGGCGTACATATGTTTTTTTTGGGTATGCTGCAATGGTTTTAAGTATTAGTATTATACAATGCTGTAATCGATGCTTGGAAGTATTGATTTGAAGTGCAGATTGCGAACGCTTTTTGAGATTTGAGAGACAGAGAGAGTTGTAGGATGGAGGATAGAATCGTCGAAGAACGATAGAGAGGTAGAGAGGTAGAGGAGTAAGGTGTAGATGATGAGAATATGCATATGGAAGGCAGACATGGTGAGGTTAAATATCGTTTGTTTATTGGCTGGGTCGGCCTGGCAACGCTGTATGGTAGGAGCGGCGGTGGTCCATGACATCACGTGAATCACGTGTTGGCGCACGGCCACTCGGAGATTTCCTGCTTTGTCTCTGCCGCCCGATTCTGCCGACTGCCGGCCTTTCACCGCCCGGTTTTGTTTCATGGGGGCAAGCACAGCACAAGTCGAGAACAAGACACAAGTCAGCTCCAGAGTGAGACAAACACTGTTCACCACCGAATCCTACAATCGATTCTCGCTTTCCACGATCCTCATGACGGCTTTATAGTGCTCGATGCCGTTTCATTGAACAAAATGGAGCAATCAAGCTACACCCCATCCACCCTTTTCCCTCCCAACCCCTCTACCGTGGTCTCTCCCAGCACTTCGCACACACGATCCTCCCCAACTGGCAGCAGTGGAGATAGTAACAATACATTTCTCATGACTGCTAGCCCGGTGCGCAATAGGAAGTCAGGCTCTGAAGGGTACAAACCGAAGATCATCACGACAGTCGGTGCCAAGCCAGCATGCTTGGTTAACGCATCGGTTACATATGTTGGGAACGACCAAATATATGCATTTGGTGGATTTGATCAGTATACAGACGAAGGTACGTTTTCAAGTATTCGCCTGTTTTCTTGTTCTTAACCAACTTTTCTTTGAAGTCTACAACCACGTCCTCCGCCTGAACCTCACGACCCGACAATGGAACTTGGTGGACAACTATGGCGATATTCCAGGTGTTCGAATGGGGCATACTGCGAATCTGTGGGACGGTGATAAGCTGCTGGTCTTCGGCGGCGAGAACGAGCATCGGCAGCATCTTTGCGACATCATTGTCTTTGACCTCAAAACGGCTTACTGGACCCAGCCTGAGCTCCAAGGTCCGGCACCTCGAGGAAGAGCCCGCCATTCGGCTGTCATACATGATGGAAAATTATACATCAGTGGAGGCCAAACTGGCCACGATAGTGTACTGGATGATATCTGTTACCTCGATCTCAAGACCTGGACTTGGTCTCGCTCATGGAGATTTGTACCCCGCTACGACCACGCTTCCTGGATATGGAATGGAAGGCTTTGGATATTTGGCGGTATTAATGACGACATGGAGAAGAGTAACGAGATCTGGTGGCTAGACCTCCGAGGAAGCCCTGGATTCGATTCAGCCATGGCTTATGGAACTGGAGACAGACAAATGGTATCAAAGTACCGTGGCTTCCCTGGTTCCATTGCCGCTCAAGCCCCAACCGGAAGCACTGGGTACACAGCCAACTCCGGCGTACAATCTTATTCAAGTCAAGGGGCGTCAGGTCGATCCCCCTACGTCTTGCCTGGATCTATTTCATCACTCAAATTCCATTCAAGCCCAAATCTACCTTCGCAGGCGGCTGGCATGCATTTCCACATCTTTTCATCAGGATGTATGCTCGATTTTGTTACGCCAATGGAAGTGACTTGCGAAACGAGTCTTTCGAGCCTAGAGCTCGATTCGCTCCGCTGGCAGAAACTTGCAGATGGGAAAGAGATTTTTAGTCCTACTTACCGCTGGCACTATTGCACAATTAACGCAGAGGGCACAAATGCCTGGCTACTTGGCAGCCCCGTTGAGCCGACCGCGGATGGGAACGGTGTCACGGGAAGCGAGTATCTGAGCGATGTTCTAGCCATTGATCTCCGCAAATACGGTATCCTAGGCAACGAGCTGGCGAGCACCTATCGCGCCAAAGTGCCATCATCAGATGCAAATTTCTCATCCCCTCTCACAGGTATTGGAGCCGATCTCTCCACTACCTTCGATATATCACCCGAGAGCGGTGGCGATGCCGACTTCATCATCACCGCAGATCCCGATGATGTGGATTATGATGCATCGCCTGTAAATGAGGCGGGGTCCTCAACCACCGTTGCTTCTACATCCCGACCGATTTATGTTCACCGTCTTATCTTACAAGCCCGCTGGCCTCACTTCAAGCGGATGTGGTCCGCTCAAATGGCCGAGTTCCACTCCAAGAAGATGCACATTCCTGAGCCATACTCCGCAGTTCGCGCTTTTCTGTACTATCTCTATACCGATAGTATTGACTCAAGCTCACAGCACGGACCCACACTTGTTGATGTTGCCGGTATGCTGGTCATGTCAAATGTTTATGACATGCCCCGCCTTCGACTACTTTGCGTTCATCGACTTGGAAAAGAGCTCGATATCGAGCATGCTGCCATAATATGGGAACGCGCGGGCACAGCGACTGAGGAGTGGCTCAAGCGTCGTGCGGCAACCTTTTGCCTTCAGAATTGGGGTCGTATCGTACGCACAGCAGGTTTCAAAAGCCTCAGCCATCAGGCGATTATCGATCTCTGCTCGGAATCTGACACTGAATCTCGAGTTCTAAACGGTGACGAGCTTGATGAATTGGGCATTCTGGGCCGGTCTTACGGTATTTCAAATGGAAATCGTAAGCGAAGTCTTGGAAGTGCCAATACTATTACGGGCACAGACGATGAGCCTGATGATGAGGTTGAGGATGATGGAATGGATGTCAATTAGACAACCTCACGCAGTGGGTAGTGTTTCCAAACTCTTTGATCCATTTCCGCAAGAATTCTTGCTTGCATTTTGACATGGCGTTTTTCTGGGACCAGCGAAATTTGTCACTCGCGCTCATAAAAACAACAAGCACGACTTATGACTCTCCTTGGCCTCCAACTTTGTTTTTCGCTGCCATTTTCGCTTTTTGGATCGGCGAAGGCACGTTTGTCACTTCCATGTTTAGCAAAGGCATTTTGGGGCGTTCTTTAGCCATGATGGCATCTTAATATATTTTAAGACGTTATGAGTCAGGTCGAAATGATAATGAATAGAACGAATTGATTAATGGCATTCTATGAGTAGTAATTACCGAACATGGGCTCGCGAACATAAATTCATTCACTGTCTCTATTATCTTGAAAGTGATAGATTCCCCTCTATTTAAAGTGGTGCCAAGAATATTGACACGTGCCAGCGCGAAGGCGCCTTTCTCAGCATAGCCGTGACGCGTTTTCGACCGACATACCATTTCGCAACTTGCTCTCGCTTTAACAACTTGGTTCACTTGCAATCTCATTTGGGCTCTGAGTGACTTGCACGCATTTGTTGGTCATTGGTGATAACAAATAACTGGAGCACGGGTTGCCGCATTATGTCGCGACATACGATATCCCCCGACGAGTACTTGGAGCTCGGCCGGAACTACTACAAGCAGAAGAACTATGAGAAAGCAATTGAAGCTTTCACACATGGCATTGAAGCCAGCGAAACGCCGCTAATCACTCTTCTCGACTACCGTGCGGCAAGCTACATCAAGAACGAAAACAGCAATGCAGCACTGAAGGATGCACGTGATATGATTCGAATGCATAAGAAAGACATCAGGGTTAGTTTATCGAAGACTCAAGGACATTACTCTGACAGTACTGCGAAGGGTTATTTGCGAACCGCTAGTCTGCTTGAGAAAACGGAGAAATTCGATACTGCGTTGAACATTTACGCTTATGGCAAGAAAAATGTGCCGACTACAGACAAGAACTACAAGGTGAAACCCATCTGCCCGCTGATTGATAGATTTGTTCTAAGAATGCCAAAGCTCCTGCAGCAACTGCATGACAAGTTGACTAGGAAGATATCTCCACCAACCTCAGTAGATCCCTTCACGATACTACCACCTGAGCTCATCGACATGGTACTCGACTACCTTGGTTTTCGGAATATGGTCCGTTGCCTTCCGGTCAGCAAGGGCTGGAAAACGTATATATGCGGGCGGCCAAGTCTGTGGACCAACTTGGATCTCTCGCTCGCCCGCAAAGACGTTAGCCGTGCTTTCGTTCGCGACGCAGTGAAACGTTCTCGGGGTGCCATTACCCACGCTACCTTCCACCGTTTCTACCACACGGACATGCTGAAAAGGATACCGCCAGCATGTAAGCAGCTGGGACATCTAGAGTTCCTCAGCGGTAGATCCATGTCCGATACATTCATCGAGATGGCCAAAGGTGCTCCAAACCTGAAGAAACTGGTTGTTCATGTTGAAGTCACGCTGGACACAATCACGCAAGTCCTGCGCCATCGACCGACCTTGGAACATGTGGAATTCCTAAACCTGGGACACTCCACAGTTCCAGCAAACTGGACCGGTCCTTTTCCGGATCTGAAATCAATATCTCTCCACCCAGGAGACCAAGCAACCCGCTTCGCGCTCCTCAACCTGCCCGCCTTCCTTGCCAAAGCTCCATCACTACGAACACTATCCCTCACCAACTGGGCTGGTCCCATCGATCGTAGATTCGATCCATCCACTGCCACTCTAACCCATCTCAACCTCACCAACCTGGGACTCGAATCCATCCCTCCCCTGCCACCAACCCTCACCCACCTCACCCTGACACCAAGACGCCGAATCTGCTTCTCCAACACCCGCCCATACACGCTGAACGCTCAGTCATGGCTAAACATAACGCTCGCCAGCCTCCCCAACCTCACACACCTCTCGCTCTCGCGCATCATTCTCGACGGCATCGATTTCTTCTCCCTCTTCCTCGACATGTACGAACCCGAAGACGACGATAACAACGGGATGGCACCGCAGCTCACCTCGATACCGGACACAGCGCCGCTCCAACACCTATCACTCCGCGAAATCGAGTACCCAGAGCCGTACACACTCTTCGGCCCGACGGGATATCTCTCGCAGTCGAAGAGGATACTGACGCCTTCTTTGGAATCACTGTACGTTTCCCTTCTTATCCTTACTTCTCCCCCAAGTATATACAACAATGAAACTAACTAATCAACAGCAAAATCACCAACACCCCCATCACAGACAACGACATCGACGACCTCCTCCTCTCCGCCCCCTACCCCAACCTCCACACCGTCGACCTCTCCGTCACCCACATAACAGGCGCGAGCGTGAAAACGCTGGTCGACAACTTGCCTGCCCTCCGGGACATCGTTCTGAACGACTGTCCCAACATCGTGGATCGCGAGGCGGTGGACTATGCGTTGGGGAGGGGGATCGGGGTTATGAGGGTCAGTCGCGTGGGTGCGGGGTCGGGGAGGAAGCTGGCTTTGGGGTCGAGGAGTGTGAGGCATGGCTAGGTAGAAGGAGATGTGATAGCTGTTCTTTTGTATTCGACAAGGGAATGGAAGGAGGTGGATTGTATCATATCATATCGTATTGCAATGCAATGTTTCCGAAGAATGCTGTTTTCTAGCCATATAGTAGGTAGATAGTTGATTACAACCCATACCCCCTCAACCACCTCAACTCCCTACTCTGATGCTCCAGCGCCCTCCTCATCTCAGCCCCATACTCCCTCTCCCTCTCCCTGAGCCGCACCTCCTCCTCGCGCAGCCCCGCCTCCGCCGCCGCCTCCGCCGCACCCTCAGCATCAAACGCCTCGCTGCCGAACCCAACCGTACCCAACCTCCCGTCGCCCGTCCAGACGACCAGGTTGTCCTCGCCGAGCGGGACGTTCGCCGTGCGCTCGTGATGCAGAGACGGGTTGACGGTCGGCAGGATCTTCTGCACGATCTCGCCCCATCCGCTTTCCATCTCCGGACGGCCGCCGCCGCCGCTACCGCCGCTGCGGGCCTGCTCGTCGCCGTTGATGTTGAATTCGCGGACGGGCGTCGACCCGTCGCGCTCGACCCACTTTAGGTTTCCATCGCCGTCGGAGAAGACGAGGCGGGTGCCGTGGGCGGCGACGGACAGGAGCTTGGAGCTCGAACATGTTTGCCGGTTTTGGTAGTGGCATTCGCCTCTGATGTCGCTCTTGGGCGTCGGGGAGTCAGAGGAGGAGGAGGGGGAGGAGTTGATGGAGCGAGCGGGTGAGCTGGAGAGGCTGTATTGTTCGAGGGCGCCTTTGCCTTTGTATTCGCCGGCGGTTATGAGGGTGTAGCCTGGGGTTGTCTTCGCGGCGTGCAGAAGGGTGGGCTTGTATTGGGCGACGTAATTGTGGCGGAGGTTTCTGGGGATGAAGGGGTGGGGAATCGCGGTGAGACAGGATAGTCGGGCTCCCGAGTGGACGGTGCCGCGGAGTCGTGGGAAGTACCGGCGGTCGAAGTTCAGCATGCTGGTGAAGCGCCCTCCTACCCATATATCGCCATTGCCGTCCCATTCTCGGGCCGTGGGGAGGTGAAGAATGGAGAGGGCGCCGGGCTGGGACAGCGAGACGTGTCCGCCGAAATCGCCTGTTTGGATGCCAGGAGAAGCGGCGCCGCCGATGAGTTCTGTACGGGCGGTAGTTTGTGTGGAAGGCGGTTTGCGGGTATCGTGAAGATGAAGAGTCCAATTTGTTCCCACCGTGAGAGGAGTCGGATGACGACTCTCTGACAGCGCCGTGATTGGGAAAGGATACGGCGTCTTGGAGATGACTTGCAACGTCCGTAGATCGACTTCGTTCAGCGTGTTCTGCACCGCGAAGAATCCCTTCTTCTGTCTACTATCGATGCTCACGCATTCCACTGCCCCCGTCTCTGTCATGATCGCCTGGCTTTGTCGAATCCGTGTATCGAAATCAAGATCTGGACCCTTTCCAGGGAGAAGCCCGACCGCACTCCGCGCGATGATACCGCCCCTCTTCTTCGAGCTGCCCGAGGCGTCCCAAACGCTGATACTGCCATCCTCCAACGGCGCGATCAACATGTCTGCAAGGCCTCCATCATCGTACAGTATCCCAGCTCCCGTAGCCTCATGATGTAACCCGTCATCGTGATGGCCGTGCCGTGCGCTCTGGAACCAACTTATCTTATGCGGCGCATGTCTCTGTATGAAGTCCTGATACCAGTCCACCTTTTCATCTGAATATGATGGGTCCCACATCGCCAGCAACGCCGCCTTTTTCTTGCCCTGATTCCTATGCAGTTGCAATTCTTCGCTCGAGACGAGAGGATCGCGTTCGTTAGTCCAGGATCCACCATAGGTATCTACAGCTCTGAGAAGCTCCACGATCGCGGGATCGGCGTGGTCTGGAAATATCTGGAGCCGTTTGCGCCGGCGCTCTGAAGTAGAATGTTCGTGGCATATTCGTTTCCAGAGATTGCTGTCGCGGGAGAGACGAAGGAATCTGTGGGATACGAATTGGACGTTCACTAATTCCGAGGGTTCGAGTACTGAACAATTTATATTATTAGTATGAAAGTCGCGTGCTTCCTGCTTGGATGTATTTATGCAGAGGTGCATGGGTTTCACATACAAGATACAATGGAGAGCAGTATCTCGTCTGGAAGGGAATCCATGGTGACTATGGGGCGATTGTAAACACGAAGTGTGGGGATTGCAGGCTTGAGCGATGGGCAAGTTATATAGAGAGCATTGAAGAGAGACGCGGGGGTGCGCATGTTATCTCCGCAGTGACTTCTCCAGTTTACTAAGGGAGTTGAAGGGCTGCCATGCCAAGATCACCGAAGCTTACCCCGCCTCAGAGAGTGTGTATGTGTATGTTACACGAACAATTATATGGGACGATGAGAGAAGAGATGATGATGGAACTGAGCTCGAGTTTTGGTGGGATGCTGGAAGGCGCAAAGGGCGCTGACGGCATCCATCGGCGAATGACTCGCCGGCGCCGCCTTTCCGTGTACGCCAGTCATCACGAATGCGGGTACAACTACATTTGCTCTCGACCGCATTACTATTGCCAGTTATACAGAGGAAACCGACATAAGCACACAACATAATTGATACACAACTTGGCAAACCTGACACTGTGGAGTGGGTGCACATATAAAATGCCTTCTACTGCATAGTAAACCCATTATTACAATTCAGTAAGGTCCTTTATGAAGTGGCCGTTGCGCAACGCATGTACAAAAAAACCTTTGCCTTAATTTACAGCACGACTTTGTAATGAACTCAATGAGTGAGCCGAACACCTGGATTTCAATTACACTTCCGGTATTAGATGGCTGCTGCCCAAGGCAAGCGACAATTCGGGTGTATCTTATAAAACCTCAAACCATCAACTCCAATGCTCTCAAACGTCTCGGCTTGAGAGAGAAATCACGGGTAGGTGGCAAGTATTCGCGATCTATAATCTCGACCGACGGCTTACTTCCTTCCACTACCTGTGGCGTTCATTTGTACTCAACCAATCCATCCTATCCTAAACATCCCCGCTCAAGAGGAACTCAATAGCTCCCTGCACGTTGCCACCGCTTCTCCGCAATGCCGAAACATTCCTATCGAATTCGAAGAAGCCCATCTCATTAAGTTGTCGTAGCTGTATCTCATAAACCTCCTCTGGCGGTCTGCTGTCTTGAGGTGGTGGTGTGCCAAAACCGCCACCTGGGCCAAACAGGGCTGCGAAAGGGTTAGGTGCTTGGCTGCCAGCGCCAGCCGCTCCACCAGTTGCTCTAGGTGAAGGGTTAGAGCCTGGAGCAGCACCGAAAGGATTGAATGCGGGCTGGCTGTTTCCTCCGTTCATTTGACCAAACATGTTCATTGCGGCTCGCATGGCTTCCGGATCCTGCATCAACTGCGCCGTCATTTCAGCGATCGGATTTGGCTGGCCACCAGAAGGAGGTGCTCCGAACAGGTTTCCGAACGGGTTGGGAGGAGGCGATGTTGCGTTATCTCGAGTGCCTTCCGCACCCTGTGTTGTGCCCGTAGCAGCGCCAGTGGTACCAGAGTTGTTTTGGTTCTGTTGTTGGGGCGCAAAAGCACCAGGTCCGAAGAGGTTTGCGAATGGATTTGCGCCAGCTCCACCGGCACCGCCAGCACCTCCTGCAGCTCCGAAGAGACCTGCTAAGGGGTCTTGAGCTGGGTTTTGCTGGTTCGGTGTGGCGGTACTGTTCCCTGTGTTTGTTGCTCCAGCTTGTGGGGTGTTGTCTGTAGCTCCTGGAGCAGTGAAGCGCTGTCCACCACCACCTCCCATCGCTTGTTGCATGCGTAGTTGCATTCTCATCATTTCAGGGTTGAACATCATCCTTCGCATCTCGGGGTTGCGGATCATCTCGGCCATCATTGGATTGTTGCGAATCTGTCCCTAGTCAGCCAAGCTGCGGTACTACCGATCATGCGACCTTACCATCGGATTCTGTGCCATCATCTCGATCACGGCAGGGTTATTCATGGCTTCATTCATTTGCGAGAGGAACATTGGGTTGTCCATCATCTGCAGAAGCTGGTCCGGGTCGGGAGGAGGACCGAGCTAGATATCATGGTTAGCTTGGCCGTGCGATGTAACAGGAACGGAGAAATCCACTTACACCACCATCGGGACCGAAGGAATCAGCGCCGGGTAGGCCGTGGAACCCAGCATAACGTGCTCCGGTCAAGCCTGCTAATGTGCTGTTGCCTGTGCCGGCGGCGATGTTTGTTGGAACTTGTGGTGCAGGAGTACCACTTGCGCTGGCGCTTCCGGTGCCTTGATTTGCGGGATTCTGGCGTGCGTTGCTGGCTGCTCCCTTGACTAGGTGGACTGTGTGGCCGTCCTTGATCTTGACGCCTGAAAGAGTGTCATGATCCTTCAACACGCGGCCGGAGTATATCAGACGTTGCCGCTCTGCGGGGATGTCTGCGAATTCGGAAGTGGAGAGCTTCGTCTTCAGATCGGCGACGGTAGAGTTAGCGGGAACGGTCACGACAAACTTCTGGTCGTTGGCAGACTTGATATTGAAGGTAAGTTGGGTGTCATCGGTGGACGCGGCGGCGGCGTCGTCGGCCATGATGTAGATAGGAGGGGTGGTGACAGTGGCGGTAGGATGAGTTGCGGTGTGCTATGTGGCGTCAGGACCTTCTGTATGAAGTAGATAAAATGTAGAAATGCGCACGTTGCGGGTGATTTCCGAGTGAGGGCGAGAGGGTTGTAGAAGACGAGAGGTATAGGTGGTGGTGAATGTACAAGGGACGAGAGAGGTAGTGTAAGTAGTTAGCAAGCAAGAGCCTAGCAAGGCAAGGCAAGCAAGTGGTTGGCTGGGCTGGCTGGCGATGGTCGCAGAACCTCAGAGAAAGCACGGAGGTTCCACTTTGACGTCGTCCGTTCTCTCCTCCGCCTACAAGGGTAAAGGGTACCTACCTAATGGCATTCGATCTAAGCTACATATGGTAATTGTTGTAAAGCCACAATGTGGCTGTGCTGCTCTACCTCCTCCACACTCTCATTCATACAGAGAGTTTCTCCGCTCTCTTCCTCTATCGCTATGGCTACTTACTACTTCATTTTAGTACCCTATGGTATCAAAATAAGACCATAAGCAGCTCCGAACATGGCCAATTAATAGACGAGTAGGTGTGCGACTTGATTGATAATTACCTAGTGATTGCTGGGAGGTAACTATGGGATGTATACCTCCTGCGTGCGGAGAATGGACCGAGGTTGTTTGGAGAGTCAGTGTCGATTATGGCGAACTAGCTATCTTTCCCCCGGATTTCACATCCCAACCATGACGATAATTCCGATCCTCTCCATCTCTTCAAATACTGCTCTGTCTCCCTTTCAATTGACACATCCTGTTCATACCCATCCTTCTCCGCGAATCTCCAAACCACCATAACAACGCGTTCCTTACCTTTCTACGTTACTTTCAGCTACCATCTAGAATTCATACACAAGATGAGGGGAATTCAAATCAAAGAATACGTCAAGGTAAGACCTCGGCCTCTTCATATCCTCTCCTGTTGATTCCATATTGATCGCATCAAAGGGCCCGGAAGATCTCAAAGTCATTGATCTTCCTACCCCCACACCCAAAGATGACGAGTATCTGATCGACATCCACGCATCCGCTACGAACTTCTTCGACCTCCTCCAAATCCGCGGCAAATACCAGCACCAGCCCGCCTTCCCCTGGGTCGCCGGTTCAGAGTTCTCCGGAGTTGTGGTCCAAGCACCCAAATCCCTCCCAGGAGGACAGGCTCCCAAGTACAAAGTCGGTGACAAGGTGTTCGGTGCAGGACAAGGCGGATATGCTACACAGATTGCCATCAATGAAGATAGAATCAGGCGCATGCCGTCTGGATGGAGCTTTGATGACGCTGCTGGTCTATTTGTTACTGGCCCGACAAGTTACGCTGGGCTAGTCGTCCGAGCGGGAATCAAGAAGGGTATGTTACTACATTCCCAGAATAAATCGGGACGGCTACTGATAAGTTCGTAAAGGTGATTGGGTTCTTGTCCATGCTGCAGCAGGCGGTGTTGGCCTCGCCGCCGTCCAGATTGCGAAAGCATATGGCGCGACCGTCATCGCGACCGCGGGGACACAGCACAAGCAAGATGTCGCGCGTAAGTTCGGCGCAGACTACGCTATCGATTACCGCAAAAGCGACTGGCCGGAACAGGTCAAGAAGCTGACACCTAAGGGCCGCGGTGTCGATATTGTATACGACCCAGTAGGCCTTATTGCACAGTCGATGAAGTGCACGGCCTGGAATGGGCGATTGTTGGTAATTGGGTTTGCCGCCGGTGACATTGAAAAGATGGCCACCAACAGAATCCTTCTCAAGAACGTGAGTGTAGTCGGTCTACATTGGGGAGCCTACTCTATCAATGAGCCCGAGATGATTGAGAAGGTTTGGGAGGGTTTGTTTGAGCTGATGGAGTCTGGTAAATACAAGGGAACCACCTTCAACGACGAGGAGTATGTTGGTCTTGAGAGCGTGCCAGCAGCTTTGAAGGCGCTGGGTGGACGCAATAGCTGGGGCAAGGTGGTTGTAAAGGTTCCTCAAACCGGCCAGAGCAAGATTTAAGAAGGCTATGAATGCTAAGCTCTTTGGTGGAAGACCAGCCAGTAGACAATTCGCACATATCCATTTACTTCAGTTTTGGTCCGTAAAGAATACCTCACGATGTACGAAGTAACCATTATTCTCAGCAAGTGAAGCTTGCAAAAGCGATGATTAATACTGGGCCTTCTTGACCACAACTGAAAACCTATAACACGATACAGATACACTTAATTGCACATTCCAATATATAGGCGCAAGACTGGTCATATATCTTTTCAAACAAGGAACATGACAAAGCCAGAATCTATCATTCAAACTCCAGACGGTCAGACGAACCAAGATGGGACTAGCGTCTGGAGCGGACTAATTCTTGGCGGCGTTCTTTGAAATGTACAGTCGCGACCAACAACGAGCTCGACAGCTTCGTCTCTCCTCCACCTCCCCACTCCCTTCATCTAACTCCGTCAACTACGTGTTGTTGACGTTCCCTCCATCTGCGCAGAGGGTATCTCGAACAAAAGCACTCGCAGTGCTCCCATTTTCTCGACCGCCCCCCCTCTGTCGCTGCATCGCGCCTCTACCCTCGGTGAAGTCGACTTCCGCCACTCCTTACCGACTTGGGATTCGACCTTGTCGCGCGTCGACATTTGATACACGAATTTGGAATACGCCGAACAAATTCCATTCACTCATCCTTCTGCTAGGCACCGTCAGTGAAGACTTCGCAAGACCGCATTGCAGGCCTCTCACTGAAGGGGGCGCCGCCTATCGCAAATATGGCCGACTACGATTACAACGACAACATGGCGGAGGAGGATGACTACTATGAGGACGACGATACCATGATCACGGCAGAGGACTGCTGGACTGTAATCAACTCTTTCTTTGAGTCGAAAGGTCTAGTGTCCCAGCAGCTCGATTCATACGATGAGTTCACCCGCAACACGATCCAGGATATCGTGAGAGAAAACGGCTCAGTCATTCTCGATCAACAAGGTCCTTTCGGCGACCACGAGTATGAGGATAATCCGATCTTGAAGCGACGGTACGAGATCAAGTTCGGTCGAGTGTTTCTGGCGCGCCCAACCCACACCGAAGGAGATGGCACCACACAACAACTATATCCACACGAAGCACGATTGCGAAATCTCACATACTCGGGAGCTATGATGGCACACATCGATAACAGTATCAAGATTGCAAGAGAGGCTTCCGCTACAGAGGAAGGAGACGAGGATTTGGATGGTGGGCCCGGCATGGCCACGAGGATCCGCTGGGATCGAGAAGATGTTCAAGATCTCGGTGAGAGCGAAGGAAAGCCAAAGGTGTTCATAGGAAAACTACCTGTCATGCTTCGGTCCGAGCTTTGCCATTTGCGCAATCAGACGGATGAGGCCCTCTTCGGTCTCAATGAATGTCCATACGACATGGGAGGATACTTCGTTATCAACGGTAGTGAAAAGGTTCTGATTGCACAGGAACGTAGTGCAGCCAACATTGTGCAGGTCTTCCGCAAAAAGCAAGGACCGATTCCTTGGACTGCTGAGATCAGAAGTGCCGTGGAGAAGGGAACACGACTTATTTCATCGTTCAACATCAAGTGGGCCGACAACTCTCTCATTCAGAAGCGTACGCCAGGACCTTTCGCCTATGCCATCCTTCCTTACATCAAAACGGATGTACCTATGGCACTCGTCTTCCGTGCACTGGGCGTCGTTTCCGATGAAGACATCTTGAATCATATTGTTTATGATCGCAGCGATACGCAAATGCTTGAACTTCTCAAGCCAAGCATTGAGGAGGGTATGATGATTCAAGACCGTGAGAACGCTTTGGATTGGATTGCTCGCCGTGGAAACAATACGGGTACTAGAGACAGGCGTCTCAAATTTGCCAGAGACGTCATGCAGCGAGAGTTCTTGCCGCATATTTCCCAGAGAGAAGGACAGGACACTAGGAAAGCCTTCTTCTTCGGCTACATGCTTCACCGCCTGCTTCAGTGTGTTCTTGGCCGTCGAGACGAAGACGACCGTGACCACTTTGGCAAGAAGCGATTGGATCTCGCAGGCCCGCTGATTGCCAATCTTTTCCGAATCCTGTTCCTGAAGCTCACCAAGGACGTTTTCAGGTATCTTCAGAGATGTGTTGAGAGCAACCAAGACTTCAACGTTCAGATGGCCGTGAAGGCGAGCGTCATCACCAACGGATTGAAGTACTCCCTCGCCACTGGTAACTGGGGTGACCAGAAGAAGGCGGCTTCAGCAAAGGCTGGAGTATCTCAGGTGTTGAACAGGTACACATATGCCTCAACTCTGTCCCATCTTCGTCGCACGAATACCCCAATCGGACGTGATGGAAAGCTTGCCAAACCGCGCCAGCTACACAATACCCATTGGGGTTTGGTGTGTCCTGCTGAGACTCCTGAAGGACAGGCTTGTGGTTTGGTCAAGAATCTTTCCCTGATGTGCTACGTCAGTGTTGGGTCCGAGAGTACTCCTATCACTGACTTCATGAGTCAACGAAACATGGATCTTCTCGAAGAGTACGATCCAGTGGTTAACCCATCAGCGACCAAGGTCTTTGTCAACGGTGTATGGGTGGGTGTTCACTCACAGCCATCGCAACTCGTATCTGTGGTGCAGGAACTTCGACGCAACGGAACTTTGTCCTACGAGATGAGTTTGGTCCGAGACATTCGAGATCGAGAGTTCAAGATCTTCACAGACGCAGGCCGTGTCATGCGACCATTGTATATTGTTGAAACGGACTATCGCAAACCCAATCGTGGATCCCTGGTACTCAACAAGGGTCACATTCAAAAGCTCATTGATGACACCATGATCGATACTTCTGGCTACAATGACGAAGACGCACAAGCCATGAAATTTGGTTGGAAGGGTCTCCTGCACGGTGGTGTAGTAGAGTACCTGGATGCAGAGGAAGAGGAGACTTCTATGATCATCATGACACCTGAGGATCTTAGCGAGCATCGCGATCTCATGCAAGGTATTCCTGCGCCCGATGCACCTTCAGAAGATCGTCACAGGCGAATCAAGCAAAAGCCCAATCCTTCCGTGAGGACATACACTCATTGCGAGATCCATCCAAGTATGATTCTCGGTATCTGCGCCAGTATCATTCCTTTCCCAGATCACAACCAGTCTCCTCGTAACACTTACCAATCCGCTATGGGTAAGCAAGCTATGGGTGTCGCTCTTACAAATTATGCTTTGCGAATGGAAACTATGATGAATGTTCTGTACTACCCCCAGAAGCCGTTGGCAACTACGAGAGCAATGGAGTACCTCAAGTTCCGTGAGCTCCCCGCCGGTCAAAACGCTATCGTGGCCATCTCTGTCTACTCCGGCTACAACCAAGAAGATTCCGTCATCATGAACCAGAGCAGTATCGACAGAGGACTCTTCCGAAGTCTCTTCTACCGAGCATACACGGAGCAGGAGAAACGTATCGGTGTTAATGTTCTGGAACAATTCGAAAAGCCCACTCGAGGTGACACTCTAAGGATGAAGGGCGGAACTTATGACAAGTTGGATGATGATGGTGTCGTTTCTCCTGGTGTTCGTGTTTCTGGTGATGATATCATTATCGGAAAGACTGCTCCCATTGCCACCGATGCCAAAGAACTCGGTCAGAAGACATCGCTCCATACCAAGCGCGATGTGTCCACACCCCTGCGTAGTACCGAGAACGGTATTGTGGATCAGGTCTTGTTCACCACCAACACCGAAGGTCTCAGGTTCGTCAAGGTTCGTACCAGAACCACCAAGGTTCCACAAATCGGCGATAAATTTGCTTCGCGTCACGGTCAAAAGGGTACTATTGGTATCACATATCGGCACGAAGACATGCCCTTCACCAGGGAGGGACTGACCCCAGATCTCATCATCAACCCGCACGCCATTCCATCTCGTATGACTATTGCCCATTTAGTCGAGTGTCTACTCTCCAAGGTTGGATCTCTGAAGGGTGCTGAAGGTGACGCAACCCCCTTTACCGATGTTACCGTTGATTCCGTCTCCAAATTGCTTGAGCAGCATGGTTACCAACAACGCGGTTTTGAGGTCATGTACAACGGGCACACCGGCAAGAAGCTTCGGGCACAAGTCTTCCTTGGTCCGACATATTATCAGCGTCTCCGTCATATGGTGGACGACAAGATCCACGCACGTGCTCGCGGCCCGTTGCAAATCCTCACCCGACAACCTGTTGAAGGTCGTGCTAGGGATGGTGGTCTCCGTTTCGGAGAGATGGAACGTGATTGTATGATTGCTCATGGTGCAGCGGCTTTCTTGAAAGAGAGATTGTTCGAGGTGTCAGATGCGTACATGGTTCACGTCTGCGAGATCTGTGGTTTGATGAGCCCAATTGCGTAAGTTCTTTACCACCCCATTTTATGTGTATACCTTCCTAATCATATATGCACAGCCAACTGAAGAAGGGCAATTACGAATGCCGTCCGTGTCACAACAAGACCAAGATCGCCCAGATCCAGATTCCATACGCTGCCAAACTTCTCTTCCAAGAATTGCTCAGTATGAACATTGCCACTCGCATGTTCACCACCCGAACTGGCATCAGTGTGAGAGATTAGTAATTTCTTCGGCAATGGATTAGGATTCTTGCTCTTGCATCACGTATTGCAAACGGGCCAAAACAATCTCGCAAAAACAACCACCACCTTCCCAATTACCCTTTCAGAATATGCATTGCCACGGCGTTTGTTCATTTCCGGTAAAGATTCGAAGCTTTCGAAATTGATGAAGCATGCAGGGGGGGACTTTTTTTCTCAAACAGTAATCATTTTCCCTCGACTTTCTTCTTTCCTGCGTTAAAGTTCCCATCATCATTCGCGAATCGTGGGTTCAAGTTTGATTAAGTCAGTATTTGGGAAAAACGAGAAGACACACATGCACCACCTCTACTCCAAAAAAAGTAACCATCTTTGGTACATATTTATAGCACCACCATGAATTGGCTTTTGAACTTCCCCTCGATGGGAAAGGGCTCGTCTGTAGAATAGTGAAAGTAAAGCAAAGCGAGGAACAGAAAAATATAATGCGCAAAATATCATCACTTGTCGCCTTGTGCAGTGACGTGAATAATGAAGATGTTCTAGCATCTGCTTCGTCATAAAGTCCCTCCCTTTCCACATCATCTTCGCAAATCGTGCAGAGGTGCCTGGGATGCGATTGCCACAATGGGTGCGTGCCATGCTGTAATCAAGCACCAATAATTCCTCTTCGTTCTTCCCCGTCCTCATCTCCCTCTCCCTCGTAGAAATCGTATTCGATCTCATGTATAGCATAGCATATACATACGTTTGGACTCGAGACTTGCGTGTACTATACACAAGTATATTTTTCTTTAATTCCCAAACAAAACAAAACACAGAAGTATCGCCATCACCATATAATCACTCTCCGCAATTTGGGACGGACTCGACCAGTGCGGTATGATGAGATAAGCAATCCTTCATTAAGCTGTCGTTCATGCTGGGGAGAGAGGTGTTTGTTGGATCGTCACAGAGTTATTTGTATGCTCACTACAGTTCACATCAAAACACAACACATCAACTCACCAACTGTGCACACGTACACCAAAAAGGAACCACGCAGGCAGGGGAAGTTTGAAGAGTAATTAAATCATAGGTATCATTCATTGATTGTTCCATAAACCACCCCACAAGAGGATCCAGATACCCTACTCCTACTTTGGTCCAAAATGACGAAGAAAGCAAAGGAAAGGAGTACATCGATATATGGTACACATTAACATTCTGGCTGCCTGACTGGCATGGCACTTGCACACACCGTGTGAAGCAAGTTGCTGGACTAAATTAACCCTAGGTGGTGGAAGGTGACTTATCGGGATCCATTTCCCGATGCCCCCACACCGCGAAATAGAAAACAGAGTATATGATTGACGCCATTGTGATTCCGAGGGACGTACATGATGTAGAATGGAATGAGAATTAAAGGTTGGCGTGTAATGATGTTGTGAATAGAGAGAGGAGGGAGAGCGCAGCATGGCTTAATCGCGCCGCCGTCGCTCCGAGCCTCGATCGTCCCGGCTGTACCTATCTCTACTACGCTCGCGGCGACGGCTGTCGTGACTCCGACTATCGTAGCGGCCGTCGTTCTCGCGGTCGCGCCGGTGGTCGCGCCGGGGGCTGCGACTCCGGTCTCGTCGCCATTTGTCGTCGTGGTATGAGGTTTCTCTGCGGTCTCGCCGCCGGTCGCGGTCGTCGTCCCGTCGGCGGTCGGATCTGTACGAGCCGCTGCCGTTTCGGGGTCTATCCCGGCTCTCCTTAGCGGAGTCTCGGTGGTCTCGGTGGTCTCGGGAGGTGGAGGTAGAAGTAGGGGGTTTGGTGGCAGTGTCGGCGTCGACGATGAGTTTGTCGACGGCTGAGTCGGGGACGTAGCCCCGCTGGGAGTCGTCGCGGTACTGCCTCTTCTTTTCGAGATTCGAAATGCCGCCGAAGCCGCCCGCTCTGCTCCTCCGCTTGCTGTTGGTCGCGTCCCGCCAGTCGTCGGCGATCTTCGAGACGCTCTGTGAGAAGTCGACGTGGATTCGGTGGTCGTCGATCAGAACGCCGTCCATTTTGAAGTACGCCTGCTCGCAGTCCTTCTGGTTCTCGTACTCGATGAATGCGTACTGTAAGCTGTCCCCCGTCTTCTTGTCCCGTATGATCTCGCAACTCAAAATCTTGCCGAACCGAGAGAAGATGAGTTCCATGTCTTCGTCTTGGGTGACGGGGTTGAGTTTGCAGACAAAAAGGACGTTTTCTGGTGGCGCGACTTCGGCGAAGGGGAGATCTCCGACCATTTCTAGGGTAAGGGCTTGGGCGCGCGCCTCTCGCTCTCTGCGGACACGCTCCAGCTTCTCCGGGTCGTTCTCCTCTTCGAGATTCTCATCGTACGCAACGCGGACCGTTGCGCGCTGGGCTGCTGATGGTAAAGGGCTCTCTGGCGGCTCTACTAAGCCGGAGGGATCATCGTATGGGTCGTCCAGGACCACAGTGTGCAGGATGCGGATATCCTTGAGCGGTTGACCTTTCTCATCAACATATGCTGTGTTGATCTTCTCCAATGCGTCGAACCCTTCTACAACGGTACCAAATATTGCAGCTTTCCCATCCAAGTAGTCGATGTTGTTCCCCAGTGTGATTATGAACTGGCTTCCAGCGAATCGCTCATCTGGATCGTCCGGCGCCAGTGCCGTAGCCATGCTGACGGTTCCCATGTCGGTATGCTTCAATTTGGGTTGGAACTCCGGCTTAAAAGTTCGCTTTGACGGGTCGGTAGGGTCCAGTAAGCCCCATATTGAACTGCCTCCATCGCTTTCTTTCGATTCGGGCCCTATGGGATCGCCGGTTTGGCAGGAGAAGTTCGGTTGGACGCTATGGACGGGCGCGAAGTTGAAGTACTTGATTTTGCATAGTTTCAGGAAGCTATTGATAACAGACTGTCAGTATCTGTCTCGTGCTCAGCTTGCTTCACCTGATGGTGGGTTGTAATAGAATGTTCGGATGGTAACAGAATGGATGTTTAAGAGTGAGAAAAAGAAAGCTCAGGACGACTTACTTTTCGCAACATTTCGGCGCGTCATCGACGAGGAGATCAATCGTTATATCGCCCAGCGAGGTCTCGATGAGAACGGACATGACAGAATTCGATGGCCAGAAGGCTGAATGTATGCTTTGCGACAACGCGGACTTGAACCTGCAAGCTTGAGGTCATTGAAGCTTTGACCATCAATTCGCTGTCGTTGTCTTTGACTGCTGACTAACAAAAGCTTGGTGGGGATGTGCCGAGTCGGGTCCATCCTATATCACAACTACATGTTGGCTGCACAGCAATGCGAGTAGCATCAAGATGTTTGTCGCTCCCTGCAGAATCATTACTCTCCCTTTGCTCGATTTGTCCTTGGAACGGTTTCAGTAGAACGGTATTTGTGTCAAGCAGATGTGTCCTCGGATGCTCATCACCTCTCTGAGTTTCTCAGCGTCCAAACATTCAATATTCCCCCCTTTCACTAATTCAATCAAAGAATTAGCAAGAGTTCGAACATTTCGCTTGAAAGGGAAATCCATTCGAGTTCGTTGTGCGCGGTGACACGATAGAACTTCTTGAAGAGCAGGGATAAGCACTTGTCCTCGGTCAACTATGTAGCTGTGCTGGGTCCAGCTACCCTTTGTGACACCTTTGCCGCCCACCATAGGCATTTCAACATGAGGCACTGTATCAATGTATCAACGTTGCGTCTTGCCAAAGAGGGAATCCTGCGTTGATTGCCGTTGGCATGCTTATCTTGTCGTTCCCAGCTCGCCGACCTAGCAGAACTATGGTTGCACCAGTGCACATTTGACCGCAGTCTTGACAGACATTTTCTCCAACTGCGAAAGCTCAGCGATTAAAGCGAAAGTTACCTTAATGGACTTGTTACATGTACGATAGATGGGCCATGCATCATGGTCGACCAAGAACTTCGGTCGTGGCCTGAACTAGCTGGCCGTGCATCGTAACGCCGTATTGTGATTGCGAAGAGTTTGCAATTCCCACCCACCAACCCATTCTCCAATGTTGTAATTGACCGTAAAAGGACCTGAGAGCTACTCGTTCTCTTGTTTTTCCCTCTAGCGTAACGCGGCTGTGCCTGACAGAACGGTCTATTGATGTTGCCATCTCGCTGCATTGCCACGCCTCTGCTTTCCAAAATGGCCTTCTCTGATAGCAGGCAACGAGAAGGCAATATTCCAAGCCCCCGGAATCATGCTAGCTTATGCAGGTGCGAGAAGAAAAAGTTCCATCTTGGGCCATTGGTTATTTGTTTGCTACTCGACTACAGCTGGGCACAGACGCCCCCTTGCCTGATTGGTGGAGTGCAACGAGATCGCAGTCCATACGCCCGCCCTTTGCATTTACTTGGTGCATTGATCTCCATCACTTGCAGACACTCTAATTCTGGATTGTGTTGGAGGGGTCGCGATGTTTGTGCTGTGAGCTGTTTTCTTGATGGCACAAGGCTGTCTGCAGACTCGCTCACTTTCAAATCAGCGATGATACTAGCAGTGTAGCCTCTTGATATCGCCGATTACGAGAAGGGTGTGAACATGGTCTTTTTTACACCGCATTACCAACTAAATGATCTCAGCTAGTTGAAGTGGAGCAATGCTACACACTGGGAGGACCTATGTTCTTGATCATCATACGATCGAGATCCCTGATTGCCTCTTGCATCTGTTACTGCATCATAGAGGAGCATCACAAACGGACTACGGTGAATGACAATTTGGAATTACAACCACTGGGGGACCAAATCACTACAGATCGCATGCCTGGGGCACCAGCTTGTGTTCCGCAATGACAAGGGGGACAAGCCAGGCCCGAGTAGCAAACGTTACAGCAGGGTCATGGCCGGTCGCGTCAAAAGTCGACCGTAGAAGCGAGCTGTCAAGCCGAATACCTGGTATGAACACAAGTGCCGTTACGATTGTTCGTGTCTTCTCACACTACTTTAAGAAAATGAGTACTTGTTTCAGTACATTCACCAGTGTGATATGTTGAGCCCTATATTACCTTCTGGAAGCTGATCTATACTCCACTGAATTGTGTCTTGATTCTAACTATTGACACTCAGTCTTGATAGCTCAGGTCCCGAAATACTACATCTTTGGAAGCCTGGGGCCGAGATTATCGCTACTCATTTGAGTCGAACTTTCATGATCGAATAGATGGACCACTCTCCATGCAACATGTCCAAATATCCCGGCTCCCCGGGTGCACAGTATATCCTTACGTGTAATCTATGTAACCTCCAAGCAGTGAATGCATAGAAGCGACCTGGGAAGCAAATCTCGGATGATGGATGACACAAGGTCAATCAAGACCTGTCACGTTCAACAGATTCATGATGCAGATTATTCAATTTCTTGATATGTTCATTATGGCGTGCCCAATCCAGTGTAAATTAACTTGCGTCTCTACGTGTAATGTGGCACACAGATTTGCTTCCGCTGAATATGGGGGTTAGCAAGCCATCGTTTGTTAGGAGTCCACCCGGAGGCCAATGTGCCACAAAAGACTTAGGTACCCTGCAGCGATCCGTCTCAGGGTATCCTTTCAATGGTAGGTTATCCAGAAACCGAATACCTTACTAAGGTCCCCCGCCACCTTTGGTGCTATGTGACGAACAGTCTTTAAGAGCCTACGGAGGTACAATCTTGTCACGTCAAAAAGCAATCTACTACCACTATACCATTGATGCAACACCGATTCTCTACTACTTCTCTTGATCCTTAAATTGATTCTGATTCCGTACTCGTTCATCCGTATCCTCTTCCGTACAAAAGGCACTTCTTATCGCAGTTTGGCAAACAAATATCAACGAAGACAGCACACATAATCTTTGGTAGGTGCATCTTCGGTGGGTTTACCTCAACTCTGATGGCTTTATACTCTTTTTGCTATTTCAAGACGCCTCAGATTTGATCGTGAGCTCAATATCGACTTTAACAGCATTCATGTACACTGTAATCTAGAGCTGACTGTCGTAGCTATGGAACTCGAAGCATACCGCCGTTACCCTCACCAGGCATCCTACGACTATCCTGTAGAATGTCCTGGTGCCAGTCATGCATCACAAGGTGGTAACGTAGGCCGGCAAGATCCGCGATTATATCCCATGGGGGCTCCAGGGCAGGGCCCTCGAGGCAGAGGAGTGACCCGGGAGGAAGAAACTCCGCCAGCGTCGAGACGTCGAATATCGGTAGCAGTAAGTTGACATTCCCTGTCGCCCTGGACTAGACGAAGAAGTCAGCCAATGATGGTACCTGTATGGCTAACATACAGAACAGTGCGGCAGATGTAGACGACGAAAGATACGCTGCAGCGGTGATCCAGGAGACGGATCAGGTTGTTTCAACTGCAGATCAGCTGGTGTTGACCCAGCTTACTGTCTATTCCACCGTGTGAGTGCTAGCACCCTTTGTAGTGTTTTAATCTAATAGAACTTCTAGGTCGGCTCGACGGAGGCTTTAGACGCTCTTGAGAAACACTGTGAGAAGAACTGCATGCATGCGTCGACATTCCCAAATAACCCGTACTTGAACTTGACTCCAATGGTACCGACTTGTGTCTCAATGCCCATCCACTCTCGCCCCATCAGTCAGCCTCACTATCCTCAGATCGTTACGAGCCAGCCGTTTCAACCAACCTGGACGATCCCATATTCTGAAGATACCTCACCAATAGAAGCATACAACCAGGACACCGCAGGTATCTTCATGCCCAGTACTCAAATGATATCAAATGTCTACGACCAGGGATATCGCTGGCACCAGGACAATCATAGAGCTGCCCAGAATCTGCGGTGCCTCGAACATGATAGTGGTTCATCATCTATGTCCGATGGAATGACCCAGATTTCTGCCCCTCCTGTGCTTATAGCGGCTCCAGTGGATCCACTTTCTCCATTATCGCCGCTGAATATGACCTCAATAGAGTCCGCACTCCCTCTGACTTTGCCCAAACGACCACATCCCCCTCAGAATCAGATGCAGATTCTCGACACTTCGGCTCCCCAGCGACGCTTACCAATACCCCAACCAAGTTCTACCCCGGCCTCAAGAAACATTGTCGATCAGATGCAAGATCAACGGCTCCGTGCATCATCGATTTCAACCAATGATGCGACAACAAAGACTAGCCTATACCGCAAACTGCCACTGTGGCCTGCAGTAGGGACACAATCAGATGTGAAAGTCACACTATCCCAGAATTCTCAATCGCTCAGTGAAGAAGTTTTAATGCCAACTACCGTTCCGGTCTCTGTTCCAATTGCCGAGGAAACAACTGTGGCAGTCGCGCCTGATGTAAAACCCACCATCCAAGACTCATCTACAACCTTGTCTCAGGCTCCAACGAGTGGTGTCAGCTTCACCACAGCTCCGCTCCTGGAAATGTTGCCGGTTTCGATGCCATCAACTACATATTCCAACTTCAGAAATTGCCCTTCCACCACAGGCCCGACTTCTGACTTAAGCACCAGCTTTGGACGAAACTCATCGGACAACGCCCCATATAGTCTGGGGGCTTCTGGGAAACGACACTCTACCGGAACTTTGTCAAGCGAAACTGGAATGTCTCGTTACATTCCACTCAACGCAATAGGACCATATCATCCCTCTGAATATCGCAAGCGCAATGCAACTAAAAATCGATCGTCAATGTCAAAAGTCAACCCGGCACATTGAAGTACCCACCGCATATATTCATCTCGCTGAGGCCCGGTTTGAAAGCTCTCCCGCTCCCCATCTCTTGATGCGGACTCAAGAACGACGCAAATTCATCATCTTACGCATTACGGTCGAAGTCAACATTCAGTATTGTTTTGAACCGCCCTGAATAGATATCGATATTTCATTCGCTTAGCCCAGTCCGCGAACTTGAACATCTACTAAAGCTTATCGAACAAAGACGTCGTGCATCGGCTCTTGTATGTCTCACTCGGACTAATTTTCTTGGGCCTGTCCGTTGTTTCTTTTTCTAGTTCTTTCATCGATAACATTCAGAGAGTAGTATCAAGTCTTTCACTATTCTTAGGGTTCTTTTCTCCAACTTTCCGTGGCCATTCGATTTTGTTTTCAACCTTTACACTCATGTTATCATAGATCTATTGTTTCCGTGGGTCATGGCTCTTATAGTTGTAGCGTTCTCTTTCAGTTTCTTTACCTTGGCTTGCTGCACTATACTTGGTATCCCCGTCTGTGAGAAGTGCCTCACCTTTGGCGGACGATAGATGAGTGATGTGGATTATGTCCACATCTTTTTCCTTTTACGATCTATGTTTGAAAATAATTATAGGCTCAATAACGAATGGATTCAAGATAAAAGATCATACATCGACTTCCTATGTCGCCAGAAGAAGCTTTCCTTTAGTATCCCTTCAGTGGAAGCGAGCTCGAGCTGTCCTTTCCTCATCCAAGTCCATATGCATTGCATATCTGACCGGTGTAGACCCTACATACCAGTTCCCGGTTTCTAACCACGCTTCATACGCCTTTTTCCCACCCCGTTGCTTCGTGACACAATTCCCTTTTCAACGTCCAAGCTACGATTACGAACCCTTACCAGCGGATTTTCGCGCAAAGCGCCCCACGCGATGCAGAGCATCAACTGACCGGTCTCCGCTCAAGCCCCCACGGAGATACCTCTTTGGCCCCCGTTTTTCTATGTAAAAACAGATCAGAACAGGGAAAAGAAATCAATTTTCCTGCACCCAAAGTTCAATCCAGCATATGCCGCATGGGAATGCATGCGCCTGAAACACACCGATCAAACAAATTGATGTCTTCGGTCGCACAGGGAACCGCTATTCGGTTGTACACTCATGGAAAGCGAGCTGTCGTAGCGGCAGCACCCGCTGCAGATCCCTGCACATGAACGGTACGGTAGTATTGGAGGGACTAGCTTGGGTACTCACCATGAAAGATATTGGCACAAGCAGCGGCAGTGCCCGTTTGGGTATTCGATAAGTGGGTGGCAGCGTTGTGATGGTGGGCATCTGGGGAGATTGTGGAACAGTAGCACAGAGGGACGCGGAGTGATCTAACTCGTCATAGAGGCGGAGAACAGCGGTCTGGGGAAGAGTCGCAAACATGGATTACAGAATTCATACCATCAGCTGGGCAGTTTCTGTAACTACCAAAAATTAAAACTCCATAATAACAAATCGTAAGTTGCTAAATACAAGTAAATGCGATAGAACGCCAAATGCAACTACAAGAAACGATCCCCAGTTCGCCTGTACTTTTTAAAATGCCACCCTTTTGCCCACGTCGGACGGAATGTAACAGTCGATAAACGACTCATAATAGGTGAATACCGAAAGATGTAAGAACTTTGAAAGGCGAAAGCAAGCCACCGTTTCGATACACCGGAGCGAGAAATTTTCAATCCTAACATTTTCTGCCCTGCGGCAAACGACTCTAGTCATCTCATCATCGCCACGCATGATTCATTCTCATCACGAAGGTAACTACAAGTATATCATGATTCGTCATCATAATCCACCTCCTCCTCATGGACGACATGAACTCGTACCACTACAACTTACAACCCTATGCTCCGTAAGGAGTACTCTGAAATTTATAATCTCCCATCAACATTGAGAGCGTAGTCTGCAGTTATTACCTCGTTCAAGTGGCTTCTCGTCCTTACGCTACTTCCTATGCTCTCGGGCTTTCCTATTGCTTGTCTTGCAAGCAGGTTCCTCCTTGGATCCACTTTAGGTAGAACATGAGAGGCAGGAACATGTTGGAAACCCCCAGCATGACCATAGCCGTAGCCATATTGGACAGGTCGCTTGCCCATGGCAATTGTATTGACATGCCCAGGCGGGTGAACAGCGAGCGCAGGACGAGCATGGATTCTCTGCGGTCGTGCGACATGCAAGGAAGGCACAAAGTATCCGTCATCGAAATCGGACTTTTCAGATTTGGCGTACATGACGGATGAGTCAGGCGTGGTTGGGCCCCAGTCATCGCCATATATTGAGGACGGAGAAGAGGCACCGGCAGGCAGCTGATTCAACTGATCGATGTAGATCGAAGAGAAAGACGAGGTTGTGGAAAGGTGTCGCGCTGCCGATGGTCTAGGGTGTTGCATCTTGTGTAGCTGTGGATCAATAATGTTGCTGGACGCAGTGTCTGTAAGGATATGTTGGCTTCGCCTCCCTAGAGATAACATGCGCCCAGGGTGCTTGGGCGGAGGAACGCGCTTCTCAATACCCAGCATGTCATAGCATGCCTTTCCAATCCAAAGCATTTGCTCATGCTCGCGAAGATAACGCTCACCGCCGAATGACTTTTGAACAATGTTACGTGCCATCATGCCAAGTTTGCGGCGATGCTCAGTTTTATCGTACATACGTTGAGTAATGATCTCGACATCTTTCGGTGTTGGCTTGTGAGGAAGGACAGGAGCTGGATGATTAGGGTCGTCATCCGCATACTGGGCCCATTCGTCCAGCATGGCAAGTAGGTTAATCTGCGCACGGGCAAGGCCGTAGGCATCGTTTGGTGCAACCACTTCGCTGTAACGTTTTCCATCATCTGGGTCAGTGAGCACACGGAGTGAAGCACCGACATCCGTACACACTACAGGAGCGCCCGTGAGCGCTGCTTCGCCGAGGGCAAGAGGTAACCCTTCAGATACCGAAGAGTTGAGGAACAGCCATGTATTGGAGAGGACCATGCCTGGGTCAGCTGCACCTCTTAGAGCGACACTTTGACCAAGACCTTTGCAGGCCAAGATCTCCTGGCACTCAGAAGAGTACACAGGTGACTTATTCAAAGCGCCGTAGATGTCGAGTTTGTAGTCCTTGAAGCCCCATTCGTTGGATATGATATCGGCCGCTAGTAAGGCTGTCTTGATATCCTTCGCGAACCATACATGAGAAAGCATTGTGACCGTTGGTGTTTTTGTCTTGATCTCTGTGACTGGGGAGAACTTTTGCATATCTGTAATGCCGTTGACAATCGGGTCAACTTTGCGGCGGAAGACATTGCGGTGGGTAACTTGACCCTTCGCGCTTCCAATCTCAACCTCCCATCCTGGGTTGAAGAAGTCTGCCCGGCGGTTAGTTTTTATTCTGTAGCATACTATTGTATTTCTTACCTGCACAAGGAAGGATTTGATCTGCGTGGTGCAGAATCAAACAGGATGTAAGCTTCATCAAGCCAAGCAATGAGTTTCGAATGAATGGGGGTAGGGTGCACATGGCGGAAGAGAGATAGAGGTTAGTCTCTCGCCACGAAATGGCATGATCCCAGATCTGAAGGGTGCAGTTGCGCTTGATCTTGCATACAATACCATATGAGGCTGAAACGCTGTGATGTGAAGCCTGAAATACGCTAGGGATCTTTTCTGGGATTGGAATAGAGAAGATGAAAAGATCTGTCGGCTTGGGTCAGAAATAATCATATGAATAATGCAGGACACTCACATCTGAACCATAATTCCAGAGCTGTATCAAAATGCCCAAGAGTAGGAAGTTCTGTCTTGAACCACTCGGAGGGGGGCTGTGCGTTGGGCATATCATCAGCAAGCCAAAGCTTCCTCCATGTATCCTTGACAATATCGCTAGTCCAGACTTCTTTCCAATGCCGAGAATCCTGGAAGTAGCTGTTTAGGTTAACCAAAGCTCGAGTCGCCTGTTTTACGTCCGCTGCAGTCATTGTGATGGCACGAGCGCCGCGAACGAGAGCTGTCAGAGTAGGGATGAAATTTATTCTGATATCGTCAAGCGTGGCTTCTCGAACGAGGTGGTCGACCTCGCTATCAAGCTTGTTGGTGAACATGCCATGACAAGGATGCATAAAGTCAAGACCCCACAAGGGAATGATCTTTAATGATTCAACATTTTCTTCTGTTTGGTGCTTGGGAAGGCCAAAGTCGTTGGCGGATTCTACTACCATGTGCCATTTGATAGTTCGTAAATTGTTGATGAGATCGCGTCGGCATGCAGACACTCCGCCACCTTCATTGGGCCATGTTCCGGTATCAACAGCAATGACGTGAAGTGACGAATCGGTGTCGCGTGCTAAAGATTTTGTCCTGGTAAAAATGACCGCGTCTCCACCCTGTCCAAAGCTGAACAGATCACTCATGCGAACGGCAAGGGGCGTCCAAGCACTAATGTCACTTGTCAGATCAGAGCTTGCCATAACCGCATCGGCATGTAATGCCAAGTAGTCTTCGGCTTTAAGAAGACTTCCTCGGTCTCTGCGACGCCAATATCGATTTAGAAGAGCTTCTTTGCGAAGGAGTTCTTCATCGACCCAGCGGATTACGACACCGTCGAGATCGTTACGCTTCTTCCACGCTTTCCAAAGTTGCGAGCGAGCTCTCGAGGTTGAAATCGCCTGACGCCTCACATTTGTTCGAAAGAGGCGGGCGAAAAAACCTGATGTAGCAGTCTTGAATTCGAGAAGAGGATTCTCATCTGTGAAAGTACATCGGGTTGGTTTCTTCAATACTCCCAGCCAATCATAACGAATCATGTCGGGAGTGTTGACCGCCTCACCGTTGAGTTTCGTAGTAATTGTAGGGTGGAATTTATGATCATACAGCCAGGAGCATTCATAGACATCAGCCCCCTGCACGAAGGTGGCTTCATGGACTCGAGGAGTAGGGATCCATCGTTCCATCTTCTCGGCATGGCGGATAGGTGGTGCGCACCAACTAACGTTGGCTGACATGTGCGGAAGAACGAACTCAGCCCGGAGAAGCTCGTCATCATATTTGGCGTTCTTTCTGTAGTGGTACTTGAAGCGGACCAGATTACCATGTTGAAGGTAGCTGCCGGACTCGATATGTCCTTTGAAGTTGTATTGCACCTTTGCCCCTGCATCATTTCCACTAACGCAGTGTCTAGACACAGGGATCTTTCCGTTCTGGACTTTGGATATTCTTGTAATCCGCTGCGTCCTTTTTGCTGGGTAGTCGTAAACGAATTCATTTACAACATCTATACCTTTGTACTCAGTTCTTGACACGACGCGCATGTCTTTTGAATAAGCCGTTATCTTCGTATGACCCCATTGAGGCTCAGTCTTATGGATGCCCTGATAGAAAACTAGCTTGAAGCCATTGTTATCAGCTGGGTGGACGAATGCGGTTTCTGTTTCGCCGTAGCTGCGGATTATGAGCCGGTCTTTCTTCTGTGCGATGAGACTTCCCTGAACAGTCTTGGATAAGGAAGCGATGTCCGGGCGTCGGTGGTAGAGAAAGAAGGGCAAAGCTATTGACATTGTCCACCGCGAGTAGATCCAGATGCCAGTGAGTAAAAACATCACCGGCTTCGCAATAAAGCGTGGAATGTTACCAATCGCACCATTAAGTTCTCGCTGGTATTCCGAGTCCGCCATCGCGGCAAGAACGAAAAACTTGATCCATGTTCCCAAGGTATGGTAAACATAGGCTACTGGTATCCTAATATAGTTGGTAAAGACGTTGAAGATCGAAATCGCAGAGCGGTTAAGCACGGGGTGGTGTGAGTGCTGTATGTCTGCCGTAATTTGACGATATTCTTTCTCGCTTGTTGATGGATTCTCGCGGTTATTGAAGAAATTGTACTTATGTACGATGAGAAACGCGCCTAGATCGTAACGAGCGATCCTGGAAAGAATTGTGCAGGCCTCTTCCGCAGGCACGTTCGAATTGATCCATGACATCTCCGTGTTGGAATACGGACCTCGAGCTCCTAGACATCTACGGAGGAATAATTTCCTAGTGTCCAGAGGCAGTTGATCCCACTCAAAATCGCAATCGTACCCAAGACATAAGTGTTGGAGTAACTCCTTTCGGCAGGCTGTCTCAAATATCAGTGCTTTGGGATCAGTAGCGCCGAAGGGCATCGACCGCTTGGTACATTCTGACACAACGTAGTGCTCGTCACTGATTGGCTTGCACATGAGTATCGATTCGGTTACATCAGCTTGGAGTTTTGGCATTCCAAACATTGTTTGAGAGCATGTGTGAATCAGTGTCTCGGCTATTGCCTGACAATTGCTGCTGACATTCATCTGGGCTGAGGTGGCACCCTTGGAATCCGAAGCCATGTAGAGGTTTAAATGGCCGTCTTCGTAATGCGAGATTGCCCTGAGATCGGTCTGCGCATTGACTACGGATTGCATTGGGACGATGAAAACTTTGACGATGCCATTCTGCCATCCGAGAACGATTCTTTGAACCAGATAGGGCATTGCAGGAAAGGCTTGAAGTGCCAATCGTGACAGGGTGTCGTGGGTGCATGATAGTAAGATAGCAGTGATCTGATCACCGGGGTGGCCGAAAGGAGAGACCCTGAAGCGGTTTTCCTTGGGCCCGGAACGGAGCTTATCTACAAAGGCTGCTAATTCGCTCTGGCTGAAGGCCTCGTCCGTTCCAGCACCATTGTATGCATGGTATTTCTCGTTTGTGGACCAATGAATCTTGTATTGGGATGGAAGACCTCTGATGTTGATAGTGTCAGTTGATTCAAATCCCTTCTTATGTCGCCTGAACTGTGATAGTATCTCTGAGATTGATAATCTGATATCAAACGCTTCTGGAAGACCAAGTTTGGCTGTATGGAACGATAAGAATGCAGCCGTCCACGTTGAAACTGCCAAAGCAATGACATTGTCGTATTCAAAACGTGGGCGCACCCTCTTCAGAATAACTCCAAGAACGAAACCAACGACGACAGCCGATAGAAGTGGCATAAGCGCGTGAGGGCCTGAAAATATCTTGTTGTACTGATAGAGGAGTAAGCCAGTGTAGGCACCGACATAGGCCAGGAACATGATCATGGCATCTGACGAGCCATTGAAAATCCAGATCAATGCAGCGCTGAGTGAAAGGGCCCAGACATGAACGCCAATGAAATGCCCCATGGTCTTCCAATAAAGAAGCCGGCGGAACTTCTTATCATTCGACTTTGCTTTTCTGATGTGGGCTATTGATTCAATGGAAACGGGGGCGGACTGCTCCGAGAGGGTATGTAGATGTTGCGCCTTGTAATCTAGGAGGACGGCTCCAATGAGGTAGTATGCCAATCCGAAACCAACTGACAATCTGAAGGTCTGATTCAGTGCGGCAGATAGACCTACTAGATGCCCGCCGTGTAACAGATCAAGCCATCGATCCATCAATGCAACAAGAAAGTATAGGATGCCACAGCCTATCTCATCACCTGCATTGCGCCAGTGGATGAATGAATTATGCAGCTTGATTCCTTTCTGAGATTGTTGCATACTTTCCAAGGCAACCTGGGTCTCTAGATTCCATGTCGAGCTATAGGGTATCGGTCGTTTGGTTTCTGTCAGGCGGCTGTACCAATCCAAGAGGAAGATAGTAGAGTCCCAGCAGCCTGCAAGTTCTTTCACAAATGCATCTTTGGTGGATTTCTGCCAAAAGTTGCGGTTCTTTTCTTTCATCACAGCCTCATGAAGTACCTTACGGCAGAGGGCTAGTATTGCAGGCTCGCTAAGCCCGTAGAACAGCTCAGAATCGGCAGAAGACATTTCGGAAAGTGATACTGAAATTCTTGCTGCTTGGGAGTTGCGTTTTGCTGCGAAGTGTTTAGTATTTGTTACTAGGTTGTAGTTTAGAAACTTACATCCATGGCCATCGGTCTTTCCATGCGCTTGGATATACCAGTCTTTGATGTCTTTGTCGTTCAAGGTCTTGATATTGTGATACCAGGTAACCCATCGCATCCCAACGTGCCGGGTACCTAGTATGAGGAAGGTGACAAAGAGGTACAGTACACACGGATACACGATGATGTCGTAGTCAGGGATCCAAGTCGTAATCAAGGGAGAGATTACTAGCGTCGGGATAAGTAGAATGATAGCTTTCCTCCCATTGAGAAACGCGGATCCTGGAACCTGGTAGGTAGAGAGGACTGCAAGCACCGACAGGTATGATGTTAAGCCAAGAAGATAAAAAAAGAAAATAGCTCCGGATTGTACGTTTACCACAGCAGAGATGACGATGAAACCGACAAAGCTCGCTGCGGCAGTGAAAGCAAGACCTCCGATTAGACGAGTCAGGACAAACATGTTAGCCGCAGAAAACGCCATCGATATAAGGTAATAGGTGCCTCCAATGGAGATCCAGGTCCCAATGGCGCTTGAGAGCAACAGAGATGCCATCAATGCCAAAGTGGCGTACTTCTGTTGTTCATATGTCATGAAAGCACTGAGATAGAGACCATGACCAGTCGATGTGAGGAGCATGATATCTGCAGAATATTAGCAGGACCGAGGAAATACCAGAAGAATCCCCCTTACCAACAAGAGCCGGAATAGCGAACACACTAAGAAATGTAAAGCGGCGAAAACCTGGCATAGAGGCTTGTTTTTGGTCGGGATCAATGTCTGTTTGGGCAGCGGCGTATGCCGATGCAAATGAAGGAGCGTTGAAAATCCACATCGGAGGTTGGTGTTCCTCTTTATTATAGTGATCACGATGTCTCTTGGAGAGTAGAATACCAATGTCACTTGGTGTAATGTCGAAATAAGCCTCGCAACGGGATCCCAAGGCAAATAACTCTGCAAATGCCGCACTTTGGTCACTATACTGATTGAAAAGTGGGTTGCGGTCCGACACCTCGATATATACCTCTTCGAAAGCGGCCTTTCTGGCAGCGCAGAAAATGCAAAACAGAACAAAATCTGTGACTGAGTCAATTTTGTCCCGACTCGTCAGTTTTTCCAGTGCAGCAGTCATGACGTCGAGGTTTTCATGGTCGCGATACCATAGAAGACTTCCGAAGTTGTAATCAATATGTCGGAAAAGTTGAACTGCGTCTTGCTTGTCGAGGCATGGAAGATCACAAAGGCGGTACCATTTGAGTCGCGCATGCACAAGAGCCTCATCAGTGACTGCCCCACTAATATAGTCCATGTTCGCCAGTTTCTTTAGCTGACGATAAGTTGGGACGTCAATTAGGAGTTCCTCGCAGTGCGACTGAATCGATGAGAGAAGTGGGCAGCCATCGTCCCACTCACAATACTGTAAATGCTGAAGCTGTAGCAAAAGATCAGAACAGGATAGTAAGTTCAGATCCTGGTCCATCCTGGTGGGCAGTCTTTCTAAAGACTCTGCATCAGCGTGGAATTGGGCCAATCCGTACTCGGCTAGAAAACACTGATACCGAGAAAAGCTCGACTTGCTCAGATAAGTGTGCAGAAGAGCAGACGGGACATCCTGGACAGACTTTGATAGATAGATCACTAAAGATGACGTTCGTGGTTCTATTTCCCAAATGGCCCAAAATTGGCCACCGGTAGGAGTATGAAATCCCGAATCGAGGCCAGTATATACTTGCAACTGGTATATGTCGTCAATCTCATCATTGCAGCGGGAAAGAGCATCTGCAAACCTAAAGATGGCGTCCTTTGAAGATGGAATAATGTTAAGCATTCGGCTTTCCGAAAGTGCGAATGTTCTGAGAACTTTCGACGTTGCATGAAGCTGCTTAGAAGACATTTTACTCAACAGATTTAGATTGCGTAGACGCCGTTGCGACGTCAATACGTGATCAAAGTCCGCTTGGGAGGCATTGAGACCAATGGGGAAGCATCCTAGCGGTCCATAGAAGCTTCCGCTAAATGAGCATGACAAAGGATTTGCCGCTCGCTTGTCGATACAGGAACTCCAGTCCAGCCCGGGAGAAAGGGGAGACATTGGTGAAGATGTGATGATAACCCCATTTTCATCAATTTCTGGGTAATGAACGGTAAGTGTAGATGCACTCGAGCTTTCATTGCCATCTGAGTCGGCGTCAGAACCGTCCAGGCCAGCAAGGGTGCTACCCAGTTGTGGAAACATCTCATGAAGCGGCAGATAATCATCAATGATGCTTGAGAATTCTGGCGAGAGCTACACTGAGATCAGTTGCTGTATTCTTGCGATCGACTAAAGCACTCACTAATCTCGTAGATCTGAACCTCTCGTGTATGGCCATTACTTTCCTGTTCTTGAGCCATTGGAATGCTGCTAGAGGCTCCTCACAGGACCGGACATGCGATAGATCGGTTAATGCACCCTCTCTGGCAACAAATGGTATCGCACCGTGGTAGCTACACCACATGTGCGCTCTCCGGGCGACGGCATGGGACAATTCGGCATCGCCATCCACAGTATCCCACATCATTACCATGAAAGGCCTCATGCACGACTCCGACACAAAGGCCTTTGTAGTGCTTTTCATACTGTCCATGGCAAAGAAGTCTCGACGTTCTCCGTTTGGGAGTATAGTACCATTCCTCACGACGATACCAGCGAACAGTTTGAGATTCAACTTTTCCACCTTGTTTAAGAAATCGGGAGGACCAATTTCTAGGAAAACGTCGAGGCCGTGGGCAGCAAGAAGCTTCGCCAAACCATTCAAAAGAGGTACGGAAAGGCGTTCGCACCAGCCCGCCACCAAAACCCCAGTGAAATATCGTCGTTGGTCATCTCGTCTTAGGAATTTTCGAACTACCTCAGAAACGAGATACACTGCTGGAAGCATGTCGACTTCACATTGGCCGGCTCTGAAGTTCAGAACACGAAGAAGGTCGAGCCTCGCGATCAAGTGTGGCCCCAAGTCGTTGCCATAGTCGTTGATGGCGTCCATGACTCCGGGCTTTCCATAGTCTAATACCACAGCTTCCCATTGTGTCAAAACATCTAGCTCTTCCTTTGTAGTTGGTGTGCTCAGGGGGCCTAGATACACCCCGAATGAGGTTGGTTTTGCAGGCAGAGGGTGTCTTGGGCGAATTGGTGAAGCAGTTTGTCTCAAGATATGGATCTGTTCTTGGATTGCATACGGCAATGCAGGAACCCCTTTATCAACCTGTCAAGTCTTGTGAGCTCCGAAAACTATAAAATTTTCATAAGTGCAAATTTATTCTTACTCGAAAAAGCTGTCGAATGGCAGTATAAGATGTCTTTAAGAAGGCGAAGATTCCAATTAATCCACTAGCAATAATGATAGCAAGAAGAGTCCACTCCCACCACTCCTTGAGGAGATGTTCCGAGTTGAACGCCGTGATACCAAGAACGTTCGCCATGGTTCGATCGACTCGCAACCACTCAACAGTGGGGTTTTCTTGAAGGTCGAACTTGTTGAGTAACCTCGGGAAGCCCCGAGGGCAGGTGCACAAACGTGGGGAAACGTTGTTATAATAGAACGATTATGGGGTAATTCACTAGATGAAAGATGGAGGATGCAGACACAGAGCAAGGACACAGTGTTTCATGATGAATGCATGTGATGTCGGCCACCAAAACCATGGGACATAGTGGAGAGGCGAACCAGGAAAATGTTCGCTATTATAAGGCTCGACGCACTACCAAAGTAAAATGCCGGTACATGGGCGCTATGAATCAGCTCGGGCGGGCGCAAATGAAGTGAATAGCCTGTGAGCAAGGCCTCATGTATGCCAGTGCTGATCACTTCTACGTGTTAGCTGGCAGATGGCATGACCACCAGCAAAAAATGCGCCATCGCCCAGTGGTCAGTAGCAGCAAAGCGAAACGAGGGCATACTTCGAGAAGCTTTACGGAGAGACATAGGCGAGCTCAAAGAGGCAGGGAGATGCAGTCTGTCCCAGCGGGCGCCTGGCAGATTTCGAAGCCTTTTGGCCGGGAGTTGTTGTGCCGCTGCTAGAAACAGCGTTATGTGTTGCTATGAGAAACAAGTACGAAGTTCAATCTATCCCTGGCAATGGTCTGGGGTAAGAGGAACCACGGTAGAACAGGGGCTATGTGCCGTTCTAATATATGATCTACCTATAGTCCATGTTGTACTCCGTCAGTGGAGGACAAGGTGCACGGGCGGGGAATGGTGGGGAAATGGGGACCGGACAATGGCCGACGCCGGTGGGTTCAAGAGGGGAGCAGCAGACGAGGTGGCGGAAGATCGAAGCGGAGGAATAGTTGGAGAGGGAGGGTAGCAGACACTGCGTAGGAAACTTGAGGCTGAATCGGCTACGAAATCCGTTCCCTAAAGTAGATACATGCAAATCGTTGTACAGATTGTCATGAGCATGGGCTGTTGTGAATGTAGGTCCGTGCGTGTTGCCGTTTTAACGCCTTTAGCCTAACCTCGATCTTCCCCATCCCGAGTTAATATCAACCTTCATCAATCCCGGCATCACTTACACCAACATTCTCTACTCTCCTAGTCAATTCATGCACTTTGTGCATATCAATGTCCGGGAATTGTAATTGCTTCCTGTATGTCGAAATGTACGAGCTTGCGTAAGAGCATGCTGGACGCCCGCTTTTGGTTACGGGACGCGTCGCTCTAATATCGTCGATGAGCCCTGTCTAAAGTCTCTGCAGTCTCAATGGAACCTCGGACTGTATACGCCTTCAGTCCGTGTTCTAAAGTAGCTGAATGTGACTTTGTCAGGCACTTCCAGTGTGGTGCTCGGGCTGACGATGCCGCATCCATCATGGTCCAGGTCTATACATTCACTTGAACCAAGAGCAAGCTGCGTATGCTTCACTGTGTTCTATCTTTAAAGACAAGATCACATTTTTGAACAAGCTCAATGCTACTGTGCCAACACGTGGCGGGTGTATTCTTTCTTGTGGGTACCCCATCGGAATGGATGCCCGCCAAGTTACCTTGCCAATCGCTATATTTCCTGCTATCACTTGAGGGATACTGTTAATGTCACACGTAGCTTCAGGTGGTTGCAATGGAAAGGGGTACACTCATGGAGTCAGCGTTGTCTTGCAATCCAAAGCCGCGTCATAGTTTGACGTCCTCCTTGAACTAGACCAGCCACATTGGTTCTGAGAATGGTAATGTGTATTCTAGGGGAGAAAAAAATCGATAGTTGAGCATCGGTTATCGTATATGCTGCGTCTGGACCAATACTTCGTTCTTCGCCCAATAGCTATCCTGGTACTTCTGCCGAGAGTCTGCTTTATTAAGCCTTCTAGTTCCCCAAAATTTTGTGACAAGCACCTCGTCGACATTCTTTTCAGTCATCGCAATGGCACCTTCCTTATGGTTGTCAATGCAGTCTTGCGCAGTTACTGCCCTCTTTTTGTTCTCGCAAGGAATATCTGCGTACGTTGGAAGTGCCACCGTCTCGAGCACAATCCTCATCATAGCTCGTGACCAGACGTCTGCCCAAAATGGAGCTGCTTCCGGCCTACAAGGCTACGGAATCCCTTATGAGGTCCTTGCAGTTCCTCAGGAAGGCATTGCGAACCTGCCAATCCTCAATTCTTCCGCAACCCACGGAAACTATGGTGGGATAGTAGTTGTCAGTGAAGTGGGGTACAATTACGGTGATCAATTCTACAGTGCTCTCACAAGGAGACAATGGAACCAGCTTTGGGATTATCAATCACAATTCGGTGCACGAATGGTGCGATTAGATGTCTTCCCGACCGCCGACTTTGGTGTTGCAAGCAATGGCGCTGGCAACGTAAGAGATGAGCCGGTAATCTTCACTGATACCAGCGCATTCTCGACAGCAGGGTTGAAGATGTGAGTTGCCACATTTCTCTTGTTCACGTTGATTAATTCGCAAAATTTGCCCCTGCGGCAAAACTTTGCCGAGTTCCATGTGGATAGTATCTATATAGGACGCGTGACTAATCCATTTACCAGGAACGCCAACATCAGTATCGCGAACATCTTCCATAACCCAGCGAAGATTACGAACGCTACGATTGCTAAAGAGATTGCCAAATTCGGCACTGCAGGAACCGCTGCGGTTATTAACAACCTCGGGTCCCGACAGCAGATGGTATGGTTTATGCCATTTGCACTTGATTGGTCGGGCGCTAGCAACTACATTCAGCATTCATGGATCAATTGGGTGACAAGAGGCCTTTACGTTGGCTTCAAGAGAATATACTTTAGCACGCAAGTCGACGACATGTTCCTGGAAACTCCTCTGTACAGGCCTCAGGGTCAATCATACCGTTGCAAACCAGATGACTTGTCTATGCATGTTGACTGGCAATTGGATCTTAACAAAAGGATGCCGACTGGGTCTGAGTACTTTGTTGAGATCGGACATAACGGAAACGGCGATATCGAAGCTGCAACTGATACCACCCAGGGTGCAAGATCCTGCACTCCTGCTTCTGGCATTGAGTATCCAGACCAAGCGGATGGAAGCCCAGAATACACAAAGCCGCCAGGGACTGGCACGGATATTTGGCCTGCTACCCCCGAGAAATATACTTGGAGTCTGGAATGTGCGGAACTTGATGATCTTCAGAATTGGTTCGCCGATACTGATAACCGCGATTCATTCGCGCATATCTCCCACACCTTTAGTCACGCGGATCTAACTAATGCTACTTACAAAGACGCAGCGAAAGAGATTCAATTCAACAAAGCTTGGTTGAAGCAAGTCGGTTTCGAAGCTGCGAAGCGATTCAGTCCTAAAGGAATTATCCCCCCGGCTATCACAGGCCTTCACAACGCCGATGTTATCCAGGCATGGATGGAGAATGGCATTGTAAATGTTGTTGGTGACAATACTCGCCCTACGCTGAGGAACACCCAGAATACCTTTTGGCCTTTGAAAACTACTGTTGCCGGTAATGGTTATGATGGACTCAATGTCATGCCTCGATGGGCAACAGTCATTTACTACAATTGCGATCTGCCAGCATGCACCCTCCAAGAATGGATTGACACTTCTGGAGGCAAGGGAACATTCAATGATCTCATGAATGATGCAAAGAATACAGCCATCAGGAATCTGATGGGTCTTCACTGGGACGCGTAAGTCTGTTCTCTAGTGATTATAGCTAAATACTAATCGACTTAGATATATGTTTCATCAAGCTAACATGCGAGTTAATGATATTCCGAACACAATTATCAATGGGAAGAAAGGCCAATATTCTTTGCTCATGACCTGGGTAGAGATAATTGCACAAGAGATGATGAGGCTGTAAGTGCTCACCTGTGTCTTCCCTCACAGTAGTAATACTAACCTATGACAGCACAACATGGCCCTTCAAGACCCTCAAGCACGATGATCTCACCCAGGCCTTCCTCAATCGACAGACAAGAGATCTTTGCCGACCCAGTATGACTTGGCAAACATCTGCCAATGGAGCAAATATCGAAAGCGTCAACGTGTACACTGCGGGTGGCAACAAATGTGGCACTACCATTCCCATCACCGTACCTGGTGCTGTCTCTTCAACTACTGGTGCCACCAAGGAACAACTGGGTAGCGATCCACTCACACTCTGGGTCACTATGAGCGGCGCATCCCGCAACTACAAGTTCTCAAAGGCTATTGCGCTCTAAGTTTATTCCATGGAACTAGTTTCTCGTTATTTTTGGAGTGTTAATTCCGTCCAGAGGGCTGCGGCCGAAGAGATAATCTGCGACCAAAATTGTCTTATGAACAAAAATTGCATTGACTCTCAATTTTTAAATCCCTGTCGCCTGCAAATCGTCCCAAGATCATGGATATTTCCTCATAGCATAGACAAGACCATAGCACTCGCTCTGGGCCCATCGAAGTTCTTGATCATTCAAGGGAAGGTGGCATGATCTCTCCGGAAGAGCCCTCGATTTTCTTCATGGTCTTGGACTTCTTCAAGGGTACGAATGTACATATGTATTCATCGCTCACTTTAATTACGCATTGGAAGATACCAATTCGGTAGTTGCTTCAGCATTTGTAACTTTCTTCCGATGCAATTCTTGTTGACATCTTGCATATCTTGACCCAGGAGTAGAATGTGCGGTCCCAATAGTTCAAGGATGTACATGCCATTTCGAGAGGATTTTTGCATCACTGCGATGCATACAAAAGGGGCAATGTCTTCAAATCTTACATTCTTCCTATTTCGGACGGTTTCTCGTGTACAACATGCATCGTTGTCGTCCATCGGACTCGTCCAGAATTGGCAGCAACATGTCTCACTTCTGTCGGATCCATGCGATTTCTTGGTGATACATAACAATGCCCCGCTCACGCATGCCTGATTCTGCATGCAGAGCAATGGCAAGTATTCGTTCCCGTTTTGGACTGAACGTGCGTGGCCAACGTTCTGGCCTTCCTTCTCACGATCGAAGCAATTCACTGCATGATCTAAGGGGGGTTTAGCGTAGCCAAGGCTTTCCCCCCTGATCCGCTCCTTCGGCCCGGCCCCATCCAACGCCGCCTCAGATCGCATCACCCACCACCAACGCTCAACGCGCTATTGTACGCAGATTGATCCGATACGATCTGCGAGTAAGTTATCTCCCACTGCTCACAACGCCCACGCTAATACAACACGAGGAGCTTAATTGAACAACTCGTTTTCTCAATTATCAGCCTCACCTGGGCCACATGGAACACGAAGTTGGCTCGCTAGCTTTTTCGCGCAGAATTAGACTTCGGCTGGCCTTGCGTGCGCAGGATAGTGAGGGGGCCAGACCACGCCTGGGTCGCCCCCAAAAGGATAAAGTGAAAAGTCATACCTACATGCATGTCACCTGACGCACAGCCACCCTATATACTCTGGAAGAAAAGGGAAGACGGGGACTTTTGGCTATTGAGCGATCAGACATTCGCCGGCGGCATTCTCCCAGTGGTCCAATCAGAACGCCTATGAGACTGTCCATTCCGTCTTCCGCAAGCTGTTTGAGGAAGTATCTCATGTAGCTCAATCTAGTTGCTGACGGCCACGCTTCCGTCTTTGCCATTGTCCCTGACATCTCGCAATCCAGGCGGTGGTGCTGTTGTTGTGAGGACAACGGGCGCGCCAGCAAATTTCTTTTCTCATTGCATACTCTTTCTCTCAAGGTCATTGATCCCTCTACAATTACAACGTTGCTACGCCTCGCGCTACATCCTGCATTATAGCATCGAAAATACGCCACATTTCCACATATACTTTCAATGGCGCAGCAACCATTTCTCAGGAACACCTAAGCCTCATCAAATCTATCCCTGCATTGTTTCATTCTGTACCATCTCCCCCAATAGAGCATCTCCAGGCGCCAATCTGCTTTTCGTCCAGTTATTCCATATTAAACTGGAGAGGCGGCTGCACTTCCCAAACGACCGCTTTCCGCCATCTATACCGTCAATCTCATCTGCTCTGTTTCTGAAAAGAGCCATATGCATAGCCAGGAAGACATCAGATTCGTCACAATTCCCCTGAAGCATTCGGCCCTTCTGTGAGCTGTATCAAAGTGCTGCTGCGCCCCCAGAAAATTCATTTGTGAATTGAACTCAAGAGAGAGACCATTCATCCATAAAGAGGATATATTCCCACCAAGAGCCTTGTCACTTGGACAATACCAAGCTTGCCCAGCATCCATATACCCAAAACGGGGTTCGCAAAATTAAATATTATCGCTTTCGGCCATTGAGCATCGTGCTTCAAAGCGAAATTTGCAAAAACAGTGCGATCAGCCCAGCCTGAGGATACCGAAAAGGGAAATCGTTACTGTTTCGAGGCTTCCTTCCGCATCCGCCGATCGATCTGCGGAGGTACAGTGGAGATACTTCATAATTATTTCTCCTCGGTTTTCTCTTGGTTGTAAGCTTGGATTACGTCGGCTGAAAAAGGTTGTGAGGGGATATCACATCATTCTTGAGCACAACGTTCCCCACCCCTGATCAGAAAGCCAGTTGGAGGGGGAAACATTTATATACAAAAGCCATGGCCGACTCTCAGGATTCTAAACTTGCCGTTGGACCCAATCCTTCTCCTAATCGACACTCCAGGAAGAAATGGTTGATCATACTCGCTGCCGCATTCTTGGTCATTGCGATTGGACTGGGGGTAGGTTTGGGTGTTGGTCTGACCAGGAATGGTGGTAGTGATGATGGTGATAACGACTCCGGACCTACGCCTACATCGTCTCCGCTTCCAACACCAACATCGCGATTGGCTTGGAGGCCAAAGGTCAATGATACCTGGCAGATCATGCTTCTGCATCCACCATCCCTTAATGCTGATGCTGCTTCTGTAACTCCGGACGTGGACATCTTCGATATCGATCTTTTCGACACAACCAAAGAGACCATCCATACGCTACACAAGCTGGGGAAGAAAGTGATATGCTATTTTAGTGGAGGGAGCTATGAGCCATATCGACCGGATAGCGCCGAATTCGAGAAGAACGACATTGGTGCAGACCTTCAGGGCTGGCCAGGAGAGAAATGGATCAAGTTGGGCAGCGAAAATGTGAGGAGAATCATGAAGGGTAGGGTGGAGTTGGCCCACCACAAAGGATGTGACGGCGTAGACCCCGACAATGTTGACGGCTTCGTAAGTTCAATTTGTTTCTGCAAGTTCCTTGAACGATCTGTGTGGTCCAGACGAGGAAGTATGATAAGACAATGATTGCAGCTTGCCGGTATTGCCGATAGCATGCTATTGATGGATTTTGGAAGTGAAACCATGGGAGTTGGAGTGGAACAAAGTCGACTAAAGTCTGTACTGACACACTGAACAGCAAAATGAGAATGGGCTCTCCCTGACAGCGGACGATTCTATCTCGTTCATGTCCTACCTGTCCAACATCACTTCGCCTCTAAACCTTACCCTAGGCCTCAAGAACGCCGGCGACATCATTAAGAACGTTCTCCCGATCGTACATTTCTCAGTAAACGAACAATGCGTGGAACACTCTGAGTGTTCGACCTTCGCAGCCTTCATTCAAGATGACAAACCCGTTTTCCATATCGAGTATCCGGACGGGGCAGGAAAGGAAGGACTGAGGGCGAACACGGTAAACAAATATTGCTCAAGAGAAGGAGATGCGCGAGGAAGTGATCAGTTCAGCACAGTGCTCAAGACCATGGACTTGAACGGTTGGGTGGAGACCTGTGATGGCACGGTGATGACTACGACTATGAACGAAACAAGTCCGAACCATTAAATTCATCCTACAAAAGTCTATTCCACCGAAAGTAAATTTTCCAACCGAGTTTGACCAGGCAGTATGATGGATCTGATGCCTCCGGCGGGTGTTTACAGATGAACCCGGAATCGGAGCGATCGAAAGGCAACGGTTGCCGCTCTTCGGAAACAGAGCACGGTAGAAAGATGACGCAGCCTCATCTAACAAGAAAAAACCCGAAAGAATTCCTTCCAATGGACCATTCCCGCAAATGTCGCGATATTCACCTCTCACGGACGCATGCTACCCACACGTGTTTCTTTCATGCCGAGCGGCATACAAGCGGCAGCAACACTGCAAAGTTACGGAAACTGTGGGGTGCAGGTTTGTGGGGTGCATACTTGAATGCTTCAAGCAGTACCTTGGGTAGGCTTCGTCAGCTCAATCAAAGAGAATTTTCTTCTCCAAGTCAAATCGCATGGTTCCCTGGTCAAGGTACTTGGGAGCAAGAAAGTAGGAAAACCCCTCACCCGCGATTGCTTGCCGAAAGTTGGGGATTGCAATGGGGATGGAGCCAGACAGTAGCTGCCACTTCCTGCATCGTGTGAATTTTTTCCCATTCAATTTATCAGCGGTGATTTATGCGCCTTACATATTTCATCTTGCGTTCTTTTGAAGTGATCGTGATATTGTCGCCGCTTTGCCGAAGCCCAACTTCCGCGCACCCGCAGTATTTGTGCTAGATTAGTAAAGATCTACTTAGGTTGTAATCCGAATTTTTCGCTATACTTGGGATGTGATATTGGTTGGGTCTGGATACAACCGGTCAAGCGAATCTGGGGTAATGCACTACCGAAAGCCAACTGTTGAGATACATTTTGATGGTAGGCTGACATAGGTGGCGCGGTCGGTGGGGCCCGACCTGGAAGGTAGTGAGGCTCCTTCCTGGCGATCTGTGGTATTTCGTAAAGGAGTGGGCGATACGCTGTTTTGTCAGACATCCCGCTGCCCGCTCAGTCGCAATCCTAGCGCCAGGGGAGCCAAATCAAGCCAAGCTTTCGCCAACGGATGAATGCGGACCAAATGTTCTGAGATCTGAATGCCCTGAGATCTGATACAGGGGGGTGGTTTTCGACTGTGTTGCACTGCTATACCGACAAAAACATTGAGTGCGCTCATGTTCGGCTCCGAACCAGAGTGCAAATGGACAGGGACTACGCGTCCTCGATGTAAAAGCTTCGAATATTTACACAAAGGTCAATTTGAAAAAGCTGTATCGATATCTATGTGACAGGGTTTTCCTGCTTGCCGAATTTGAGACGGAATTGGGTTATGTTTGACTGTGGTCCGACTCGGTCTGGTCATCTGACACTCTTGCGATGAAGTAGCGGTGCTGGTGCGTATGATGGGGCGTCGAGGTTGCTCTGCACTGTCGGTTGCTCTCTGCATGCAGCAACGAGCATATACTCCCATGAAAATTGATACGCAGAAGGGAAACGAAGTCTGGAACCTGGAACGATGCTAAGTCATCCCCATCATTTACCCTATTCTCCGAACTCTCGAACGCCTGGAGGTTGCGGCGATCGCACCGGGTACGGACTTTCGCGTCTTCGTGTTCATGCCAGAATTGACATTCCATGGTGGGACTTTCGGCCGCTAGCCCAGTCTTTGGAAATTTCCTGCAATGCAAAAGTGTTCTGAATCGAGTGAGCATGACAACCAGGAACAGCTGGATACTGATCAGGGGTGTCGAACAAGGACATTGCCCAGAATTTGCGCTCAGGGCACGCTCACTGCCAAGGCGAAGGTGGAGGATCACGATGAAGCTACTTGAGAGAATGACTGGAGGCCCGGTTCGCTCTACACATTACATGGTTGAGGCCCAAGGTGGCGCGACCAGTCGCCGTACTGGAAGTCTACTATTCCAGTAAGTCGATGCCTTTTGATGCCTCAAGCTCCCATAATGCTCGCCACCTGCATGTACAATCTCCGCAGCTCGTATTTGAGGATTCGATGAAAGTGATAGTTCAAGGAGCCTCACGTCGTACGATAGAAGAAATGAAAACGAAGTCGGGATCTGAGAGTGTGGGGGTGGCAGCACGCCAAAGCCCTGAAGAAGAAGAAGATAGCCTGCGGAAAACAACAAACTGGATAAGGGACATTTCAAAATCCCCTGCCTGCCGCGGAAGTCGATGTAGCCGCTGCTTGACAACAGAGCTTGAGTCCCTAGTGTTCCTTATAGCCTCTAAGTGCTCCACTGACAGATTAGTATGTTACAAAACTCTTTAAAGTGGCTAGATGTGTCTCTCTGATGGAAGATTCAGATGTTGTAACCCAGAAGACTACCCGCATACGGCTTTCGAAAGGGGTGCCCTATGCGATGACCTTGAGCTGGCATCGAACAAGAGGAGTTCTTGCAGATTTTGGAGCTGAAAATAGATTCCCAAGAGCAGCTTCGTGCCGTTACCCGTATAGACAATAGGGCTTGCATGTTCTCGAACTCCTATACTGAGTTTGAGCTTCCCCTTGGCTAAGCTTAGGATCCAGTGCGAAGTGCAGGAGAGAACACGGTGAAATCTGCAACAGTGATGCTGTGCCACCGAACGAATGCCAGAAAGGATGACGGAGCATGTGGGGTTCCTTTACGGCGGATTCCAACTGCGAAATCGACAGTACCAGGGCGTCCCAGGAACGGGTAAGTGCGTGTGTTTTGATTGAATCGCTAGTCCTGTTTACATAGATGATCAGCCTCGTTCCTTGGATGCATATGTATGTACGGGACAATTACTCCCGGCCAGCTAGGCGAATCTCGATGTAAATGTTACGGAACTACCCTCAGATCCTCCATTGTGGAGCCGCAAATCTCAAGTGCCACATCAATCCAAGCAGGAACAGTATTGATCTCAACCAATGTATCATCGCGGGGTCAGGGGAGAATCAACGTACCCTATGCTAGAGTAGAATATGGAGAACAAGGCCCGCGGAAGACCATTGTAGCCGGATATCTGCAGGAAGATGAGCAGGTAGGGTTGAAATAGAGTGATCACGCGAATTTAGCGCGACCAACTAGGATTAGTACAGGGATTGTTTGCCCTGTATGGTAAAAGCGGCGATTATGCCAGTCGAATCCATTCAGGGTTGAAGGGAACGACAGTGTTTGTTCGCAGAGAGGGACCTAGTGTGATTGCCGATCTTTTCCTCGTTTCAGCCCACCACTTATGTTCCTGAGGATGGCAACATTTTGATTCTTCCGGCGGGGTGACGGACCGCATATTTGGTCAGACAACACCTCGATACACAACAACAATAATACTACAATGGGTGATCAGCCTTCATTATACGTCGCGAATTCAAGAAAATGACTTGCTTAGTGTCTTTCCTTCTCAATGATCAGCATCTTGTTCAGTCTGATTGACAGGAACATGACGTTTACCTGCGTTGTTGAAGATGCACACCGTCTTTCCAGAAGTTGCATCTCGGCCGGGAATCATGACTGTGTCCCACAGATCAGGAACCTGTCCGGGATCCCTGAAAGGAAATTCTCGTCAATCAATAAAACCCGCATCGTGATTGCGTAGGTGATACCCACAGTCTCGGAATATGATGGCGGTAGCAGGATGACCCTCTAATGGGTAATGGTTTAGCAGCACTCTTCGTATCAACGATTGGATTGAATGAATCAGTAACGATCAAAGTCCATCATGGCTGAGCGTCTTGTGAAAAGTACTTTTCCCTCCTAATACTGGCGCATGCTGTGATGAAAGATAACGCGACATTGCAGCAGAGGGACAGAGCTGGATCGTTGCTGTTAGAGTATCTCATGATCACATGACTGAGAGTCCTTCGTCAGTAAGCTTACTTTACCATATATGCTGGTGTAAGCATGAGATCTATTATGAAGTCAATGAACCCTGAGATTTTAGGTATCTAAGATGATGGCGATTGAGACAAAGCACCTGGATTGTGGACTGCGATGCACCATCAGCCTTGACACTTACAACTGCCGATAGCTGGTACCCCAATCTTGAGACATCAAATCAGAGTCGAAGATACACCACGGTCGACCACCAGTATGGGTGCCTATATATCGGGGACCCACTGCCTTCGGGCTGTGCTCGAAGCCACACCTGTCGCCCAATGCCGAGATTGGTGTGGTTTTTCTTCTCTATGCAGCGAAACCTCCCTTGAGCCGTGATCGTAGTAGTGAGCAAAAGTTGCGAAAGTACGCAGGTGCGGAACGTCCTTGGTAGAAGTTGGGCTAGAGAAGATCTCATTTTAGTCCGAAGAAGCGCCACCGTCACCTTTCTCGTCTCGAATTGCGACTTTGTTGACTGTTCTGTCGTCTACTATTCCACGTGGTAGAAGCATGTCCGATAGTACGGCCAACACCGAATGCACTCAATGACTGAATGGCTTGCGTATGGCTCATTTCCGGCAGAGCGCGTTCACCCGGTTCAGTCTACGGGTTAACGATTGCCGTGAACTGCATGCGCGGTAGCATGATGCCCTGTTGTGGATTTGCCAGTACCTGGTCGAGTCTCCGGGAATGGGAATCGTCTTGCTCTGAGGCGAGTTCGCACGCATCTGCAGGAGAAAACAGTAGAGAAGTACAATCACCGATACACCCTTGGCTTTCAATAGTCCGTGGCAGCATAGATCGCCTGCTTGAATTGGACATTTCCAGAGAGAGATAGCTAGAGTGTGCATGCGCCTGTGTGTCTGATGTGAGTTCTGACAGGCCTGGAAGGGTCGAGATCTGTGGAGGCAATTGGCTAGAGTGCGCTGCAGAAGCATCCCTAGCTGAGAATTTTCGAACGGCAACAATCGCGGCGGCGAGATAGTATGTCGACTGGAGCAAATCGGTCAGCTTGCATTCTCGTAAAATCAAACGAAAGCCTTTCGAGGCAGCGACATTGCGCCTCGTAGGAGCACTTAGGAAACATGATGGCATACATATTGGGGCAGGGATTATAACCGATGTTGGAGAGTATATTTGAAAGTGCTAGACCAGAGCACCAACGTTTGACCAAAATAAATCGGGATGAAGCCGCCGGAGCATGCCAAGGGCGGCCTAGAATAAACGATATTGGGCGACAGCTGGTAAAACTTTTGCACCACATTTGTTCTGCCTAATTGGGTCAGAGTAAGCTGTCAAAAGCTTCAACATATATAAGATATTTTCCTCATTCTTTCCTGACGCGGCACTCAGCTGGTCACGCTCTTTCCTGTCAAAATCATTAGCTTTATCCGTCATGGAGGGAATTACCAACTCAGGCACTGCCTCACCCTCGTTGTCAATGTTTTCACTGGCAGATTCGAATTCCGCCGAAACAGTCAGCACACCAGACACTCAGCGGTCACTCCTGTTCGATGATGATGTGGTAGCAGACCCCCTTGATATCGCCGGCGGCGCTCCTTTCATCATGGTCATCGGCGGGTTGGGTTACATTGGCTCCCACACCGTTCTGGAGCTGCTCAAGGAGAACTACAATGTTCTTGTCATTGATGATCTTAGCAATTCTTATGAAAGCGTGCTGCAACGTATCAAAGCATTGGCTTTGGAACACTTCACAACCATCGGGAAAAGCATGCCTTCGTTGCATTTCCGGCAACTTGACTACCGGAGTCCTTGCATGCGGTCGGTACTTGCCAGCTATTCGACATATTCGGTTGGCAATAAGATGCACAAACTCTCCGAGGAAGGTACTGGCGCGCTTTCTGCACGCTTCCCATTTTCAGCTCTTCAGCGGACCGACTCAGGTATAGACCTGGAACCGGAGGATGCTCCCAACGCCGTTGTCCAACGCACATCTCGGATCTCAGGTGTGATACACTTCGCTGCATACAAGTCTGTGGAAGAGAGCATCCGTATGCCATTGAAGTACTACAGCAATAATGTGTGCGGTATGGTCGACTTCTTGGGCCTCCTGGAGGAGTTCGGGATTAAGAACTTCGTCTTCTCCTCCTCCGCAACCGTTTACGGTGAAGGTGCCAACTGCGGGCTTCCTCTTCGTGAAGAACTTTGCGTGCATCACCCGGAAACGTTCCACGACGACGATGGATCAGAAAGGCACGCATCTCCCGGGGTCATGGGCCTGACTTCCCCGTATGGTCGATCAAAGTTTATGTGTGAATCCATTCTGGCGGACATTGCGCGTTCAGACCCCTCTTGGTCAATAACAGCGCTGAGATACTTCAATCCGGTAAGTCCGTTCCTTGTCTCGGGCTATGCATGAACTGAACGGGGAAAATAGGTTGGCTGCCATGAATCTGGAATTCTTGGCGAAGATCCTCGACAAAAGCCCAGCAATCTCATTCCAGTAGTCGCCACAGTTCTTACAGGCACTAAGCCAGTCCTGGATATCTTTGGTACTGATTGGAGTACCCCCGATGGCACAGCTGTTCGAGACTTCATCCACGTTGTAGATCTAGCCCAAGGTCACATTGCTGCTTTGGCAGCATCGGCATCCGGTCGAATCCAGGCTCCATTCAGAGCTTACAACCTGGGTATGTTGAATATTCCTAGACTCCCAACATATCTACTCTCCGACACGAAAACTGACATTATCAAGGTACCGGACGAGGCCATACAGTTCGGGAGGTCGTACAGAGTTTAGAAACTGCTTCGGAAAGGAAGATCCCAGTCCGGGAAACTGATCGCAGGGCCGGTGATGTAGGTTTCTGTGTAGCTGAGGTCCGGAGAGCAGAGACAGAGCTGCAGTGGAGAGCACGGAAAACACTCGCCGATTGTTCGGTGGATGTGTGGAACTTCACCAAGGCTAGATGCAATCCACAGACTTCTGATGAGATGATCTGCTAGTGCCAGCCAATACGGTGGAGAATTGGCGTGGGCAGTCTGGTTAGACTCGCTGTTTCAACTCGGTTCCGCAATGGTTACACGGGCGTTGGCGTCGTCGTATGTGTGTTGATATACCATTTTACCTATTGCATATCTTGATCTGGCTTCCATGGAAGCTTTGTGGTTAGCGTAGTACCATGTAGCATCCACAGTTTAATAAACCTTTCTAACATTGTTGTCTTCGTCCATGAATATTCATGTGTTCTCATTCGTAGCGGGTGTAACCAGACGACGCGCCCTGTTGATAGTTGAACAATTTCCCAGCAGCTATATATGCCTTCTTGTGGCCCTTTGAGTTCCTGCTCATGCCCTTCCCTTATTGCCCAGGCTCTTTCTCTTGAGATGGAAGCTCACGAGGTCAGAGGGTCCGGGTTTGTATCCAATCAGCTCCTCGACTTCGATGAAGTCCAACTGGTTGCAGCAAATCTATCTTGCTTGATTCCCTTTATCCGTGCTCTTCGGTTCTTGGCGAAGTCAAGTTTGTGCCAAAAGTACACTTGAAAGACAGCAATGACCAAAAATGCCGCAGAAAAGCAATGTGTCTTCCAACAGTCGAATGAAACTGAGATTCTGACAAGCATTGGCAGTTTTCCAGCCTGTCTTGCCTCCGAATGAGTGTAAATGCAATGACGTAAAGTGTCTACGGCGTGACGGCGATGTGCTGCGGAGTGGTTTGCCTAAGAAACGCGAATGAGTATACTTGAATTTGTTGTAAAATGGATGAAATGTGAGGAATTGCCTTCTTTTTGAGGTTTTTGAGGTAGACCAAGGGGAGTGGCAATGTCAGTGGGCACTATCGGACCCCCGCTACAAGAATTTGGGAGTGTGGTTGCCCACGTATTGTATTCGTCAGCTTCTAGGAGTAGCAGATAAGGACAATAGATGGAGTCGGGATATATGTTCCAGATAGTACACCTACTAGAGTCTATTAGATATGCCCCCACGTACTGTAGATATGCTACTTGGTGGGAATATATCGAGCCAATGTGCGATGTTTCCAGCAAAATGGTGCTTGGACCTTAATATTTGGACTTTGGTATCCAATATTGTATATATGTGGGCCTATGTTCTAGAATAATCAGAACCGATTATACTAATCGCTTCGAATGCAACTTTTGAAGGCATCAGTCTGACAGAGGGAAAGACCTTTCCATATGTATGTATGACGTGCAAGAAAGACGGCTGCAGTACGGAGTACCTTGCAAAAAACATGAGTAGCACAGGTCCGTTATGTTCTTATGGCCTCGAAGTAGTACTAAAACCCGATGAATTGATATAGCGACCGATTTGCAGGCCGGATGGCCACCATCAATTGCGAATTAATCAGTTCATCCTCAGTATGTCTGGGAAGCATACGTGTAGGACGTTATCGTGGGTCCACAGCAAATATATCACCACTCGGCTATTAACATCGACCAGTTTCTTAGGTTCCCACTCCGTAGTTCGTACTTCGAACATGCAAAGTGGGTGTATGAGTCGCACGAGGGGTCATCAAATGTGCGAGTGTTGAAAGCAGGACGATGCAAGGGCAGATATGTTGATGTTTTGAGTTACGATGCTAGTCCAGAGTCGGATTAGCGTCTCCCATCCGCCCTTTCACGCTGGCTGGCAAGTCCGCCCGTTGACCGGCATCCCGCAACTTCTCCCAAGAATCACGAGATTCGCAAGCAAGAGAACCATCAGAGACTTTGAATCGCATCTGCACATATTTCATTGCTGCTGTATTCATGGCGTCGTATGCGGCTACAGCACCGCAGGCTCACGTCTCGGCTGCCGTGGACGCCGGCTTCTGGGGTCAAGACCTGTCAGATTCCAGCAATCTTGCCCTGCACCTCTCGCCCGGCAGCAGCTCTACAACTCTGGAGAGTGTACATAGCAACTCTACACCCCCAGCGCAGACTCCCAAGTCGGATAGCAATGCGCAAAACGGGCGCGCTGCGCAACCAGCGCGAACTTCTGTTGCTGTTGCTTGCGTCCCGTGTCGAAGCCGCCATCTCAAATGCGACGGTGGTGTGCGCTGTTCTCGATGTCGATCAGAGGGGGCAGAGTGTACCTACATCAAGTCCCGCCGGGGCTGGAAAGGAAAGAGAAAGAACAAAACTGGCGAGAATTCCACGGCAGCGCCAATTCCAGGTCCGTTTTGATTTGATCCGTCGTCTCCGTTTTGTGTTGCTTCAGGCGGGATCTCACAGTCTAACCACGTCGATAGGGCAACTAAACACCAATCTGTCACCAACCAGCATTGGACCAGTCAGTGCTGTTCAACTGTCATCGCCAGAATATCCATATGTCGACCGCGTGCGCGTAGACTCTTTGGACAGTTCCCCCAGTACTGTTGGTGTCGTCACGTTATCGCCGCCAAGTACTCAGTACAATCTGGATGGAACCCAACGGCTTGACCAGTCAAAGAACTTGCCTCAAGATGCTATCTCCTCCTTCTATTATTATTTCTTCAACGCACATCCTTTCTGTTTGCCTCGCCATAGGCTGCTGCAAGTCTTTAAGGAGCGACGGGCGCCACTGCTCGAATTTGCTGTTCACTATGTTGGTTCGTCTTTCGTGCCAGCACTCCCTACACAGAGCTACCGCGAGGCTCTAGATAGGATGATCATGGGCCACAATTACCCCAAGGATGGGTACTCTGTGCAAGCATTGCTGCTGTTTGCCATTTGTTTGCACGCCAACAACGATGTGCCACGATCTGCACAAGTGTTCAGCATAGCCCATGCTCTAACATTAGAGCTTGGTATGCAACGGGCAGATTTCTCCATCATTCATGGTTGCCAAGATCCGGTGCTCGAAGAAAGCTGGAGGAGAACTTGGTGGTCCATGTTCACTGCCAACGGGATGCTGACTGCCGTGAACCCTGGCGTTCAATTCCGACTGAAGGATATCGCGACAGATGTGCCATTGCCGTGCACTACACACCAATACGTAACGGGCCAGATTCCATATCCCCAGACGCTTCAAGATTATGACGATAGTGGATTTGCCGCCGAGCAGTTGGTATTTTCCTCGTTCACCTATCTTATCGATGCTATACGGATTCTGGGCAAGGTTTTTGAAGTCGCGCGCTTGGATGGCAGCTTTCAATATCATGCCGTCGATGTTGTGGATACGTACCTCTCCAACTGGCGTCTCAATCTCCCAGTATCTATGACTGAGATCGTAAATACCCATGGAGAAGTGGATGAGGTTCTATTCCAGGCCCACATGGTGAATAACGGTAGCACTATCATGCTCCACCGCCCGCGTTCCAATCTTGGCTTCAACCCAGTTGCCCCCGTAAATTTATGCGTCCAGCCAGGCCAGATCTTACTGCCCACTCAGACCCGCGAGATTCATACAGCAAAGTGCCTTACCGCTGCTGAAAACATATCTTCCCTCATCAAACTTCCAGCGTCATTGATTCACCACACACCTTTCTTCACGTGTGTGGTAGTTATGGCATCAGTAGTCCATCTCTCCTATTGGTCTTTCTTAGTTCCAGATGGTCAGGACGACATTATCAAGCAAAGCATCCGACTGGACGTGGGCACACTACAACAGTACAGTAACACATGGCCGATAGCGCACATAGTCCTTGGCCAAGTTCGGGGTGTGGCGCATACACTCTGGAACAGCAAGAAGGCCATGAGCATTCATCTCTGGAACAATATCGCCCAAGACGAGATCATTAGGAGTGCAATTGAGGAGGGAAGCATGGTCCCAGTCGAAACCTACAGTCAATTGATTGCACCGTAAGTCACCATGCCTTTCGTTATGGATCGCCCTACTAATTCTATCAATTCCCAGAATGCTAAAATCGTAATTGACCACAATGTCCATGATATTTGAGCAAATTCAGGCCAGTGCCAAACACAAAATACAACACCCAGATCGGGGGGGTTGCTCCATTAACGACCAAAAAAAGACGACCCAGGACGACCACAAACGTCTGCAGACGTTTAGAGCCACTCACGAATCTCTTATTCATGTTTCTTCTTTCCTTCGCTTTATGCTGTACATCATTCCAGTCCCCTCTAATCGCCTCTTTGGGTTACCAACCGTCCTACATTCGAATCTTCTTTCGCTGTCGATTCTATCTACCACGCAAACCTCCTGGAGTAGGGCCTCTTGTTCTCTCCGCCTTGGCACCAAAAGCAGCTATCACGACCTTTTCGCTTCATAGTAACGGTATACAAGCTTGGCCGCGCTTGAACCTTTCTTCATCAGCCTTCTGCAGCGTCACTTGCGTCTTCCGATCAGACATTCATCTAATTTACCGAAATGTCGACCACCCACGATCTCTCCGGCGTACAACACGACAAATCCACTGTCACTGTCACCCATTCATCGGACTGTCTCGCCTTTCTATTAATCTATCTTTCTATCTATACCAACTTGGACCTTTCGTTCGATAAGCTTTCCACAATATCCCACAATCGTCCGTTTCTATTTTGAACCTAATTCTTCCGCATTCCATTCGCTGTCTGTCAACGGAAATCATGTATCTTCTTTTCTGTCTCCCGGCTGTCCAGACATATATTTACCATCTACGCTTTTACATAATTAATCACTCGAAGTAGTAAACACCCCGTATAGATATATATTTACAAAAAAAAATGACGAAACTTATTATACTTATATCCATCGTTCCAAAGCACAGACTACACATGGTGATTATGAACTGAGCTGACCTCGACATGCCGTAATAGACAGCGATGGTGGGGCACGTAGGTATGGAGAGGACGAGAAAAGTGACGTCAAAACGGGTGATTGGTCCGGAAAGGGCTTCGCGTGGTACCAGAGTAGCGAAGGGGACAGCGAAGAGGGCGATGGGGGATAAAAAGTTTTTTTCTGGCAGCATGATTCGTCGGTGTCGCTCGGGACGTGCCGTCGTCTTTGCTGGCCGTCTGGCTTGTTAGTAGGACAGCCACTGGTAGCTAATTCCTACGGCGACTTTTTCGGTGGGTGGATGTATAAATGTTAGGTATGTATGTACGGCCATCGCCGCCGGTTACCACAAAATGCACGAGGGAACGTAAATCTGCAGAAAGGAACTGGTCACACGAGACTGGAGAGCAGTCTCGAGATGAGCCGTCTAAGCTATTTCGGTTTGGAGACGCCGGCTAGCCCAGCAATCTCCCTCTTTATAAGAAGCACCGTTTAACATCCCAACCATGCGGCTTCTCCTCCACTTTGGAATCCCCAACCATATTTGTTGCTAGTAATGTCCAAGACTCCCTTTCGCATGAAGAGCCCATCTCATCTGCATATTCCGCCCAGGTATCCCAAATTTCCTCCTCATGTCATGTCCGTGAAAAGCTCTCATATTAGCAGAGAGTCATTGTCTCGTGTCGTTTTATCTACAAGTCGGCGTCGTCCTCGTCGGGGAGAGGCATCTGGGCAGCGTCTGCCATCTCCTTCTGGTACTGCTCGAGAACAGCCTGGTCGACCTGGACCTCTGGGGGAGCCAAGGCAGGCGCGGCAACGAATTCCTGGACGATGCAATGTCAGTAACGTGTCTCCGTCAATACAGTAGTTCGCCGTAGTGAAACTTACCAAAGTCTGGTTGCCAACGAGCTTTCGGGCAAGCCAGAGGAAGGGCTTCTCGAAGTTGTAGTTGGACTTGGCGGAGATGTCGTAGTACTGGAGGTTCTTCTTGCGGTGGAAAGTGATGGACTTGGCCTTGACCTTTCGCTCCTTGACGTCGACCTTGTTTCCAGTGAGGACGATGGGGATGTTCTCGCAAACACGGACCAAGTCACCTATTTCATGTGGTAAGTGATGCGCCAGAGTCAACGGGATAACAATTTGAGTGAAACCTACGGTGCCAGTTGGGAACGTTCTTGTATGTGATACGCGAGGTAACGTCAAACATGATTATACCGCACTGTCCGTTGATGTAGTATCCATCACGAAGACCGCCGAACTTCTCCTGGCCAGCGGTGTCCCAAACGTCGAACTGGATCTGACCAAGGTTCTAGATTTTATTAGCATTAGAAAAACCTCGAACGGAGGCAATAGGCTGTCACGTACGGTGGTGAATCCGAGAGGGTGGACCTCAACACCGAGGGTTGCGATGTACTTCTTCTCGAACTCGCCAGTAAGATGGCGCTTCACGAATGTGGTCTATGATAGATGAAAGTTAGCGCATGTTTGGCCATCAAAGCTGATGCGGTTGCTGTGTTTATCGGTCGTCAAATCTTGATTCCAGGCGTTTGCCGGCCCTTCCAAATCGCGAAAGAGAAAAAATAAACCGGTAAATATTTCCTACCTTTCCAGTTCCACCGTCACCGACAAGGACGAGCTTGAAGGTGGGCGTATCGTTGGCAGCTGCTTCAGTCATGGTTGTGTATTCGCTGTAGCGGGGTGACGGAGTGTGGTGTGGAGTGTGCGCGATCGCTGTAGACCTAACAATTAGCTCAATCCAGAGAAGGGAGAGGGGCGCTTTAAAAGACTATTGCGACTCTTACCTTTTGCGGGCGCAGTTGTTGTGTAAAGAGAGGGTGGTGGATTGAAGTTTGAGTGATACCGTGGGGCAAAAGAGGGTGATGTTGGCGATGTTTTATGACCTGGTTGGTGCCGGCGGTGAGGATCTTGCAGGCCCGTGCGGCGTGGCTTGGCGGTTTTTTTCACAGGCACAGGCAGCAAAGCTAGCAGGCAGGAAGTCTGCAGCGTAGGCAAAGAGGCACACAATAATAGGTAAACATGATCACTCTATCACTCCATTACTATATTGAAAGCACTTCCACACCATCTTCCATTCATAGGTGCTTTTACAATCTCTTAACGCCGGGGATATCATGCTATTGCCAACGCGAAAAAGGTATGGTCCATTCCATGCATGCCACGCAGCAATCGCCGCCGCTGGCCCATCAGCAGCCTCAGCTAGATAGATAGAAGAGAAGATGAGGGAAACTTTACAAAGGAAGCAGATGACAGCCCAGCAAGCCTCTGCCGCCCCAATTCCGTCTTGGAGTGAGCTGCATCTCAACCGACTCCGACGGCCCACCTGTCGCGCTTTGTCGTAGCGCTTTTACAGTAATTGGCAGCTGTGACGTCGTTAGCTCAGATACCTATGAAAATGCCAGCCTAACGAGCGCATGTCTTGCAGCAAAAATCCTCTCACGAGGATTTCGTGCAGGGTACGGGTACATGCAAGCCAGCAGTGCGTTATGGGGACAACTCACTCCTTCATTTTGCGACACAGCTTCCGCAACTCTGCTGAGCTTCTCGTGATTCGTCCAGTCCACCCAGCCAAACTTTGTTATGCTGTCTCCCACTTTCAGACCTGCAGACTCTGCCGGACTGCCAGCCACGATGCTGTTGACCTTCGCGAATGGCGCCTCCAAAGCACTCGATGCAGGTCCGCTCGCTAGACTTCGGCCTGCGGTGGTGTTATTGTTTTCGGCTTGTTGTTGCTGAAGGCGAGCGTGGTGTGCGTGAAGCCCCTTCTCGATGTGGTCCATAAGCTCCTTATAATCATTTCGCAGTCTTATTATGCGTGCTCTCGTTGTCCGGACTATATAATCCCGTCAGTCGAGGCAAGAATCATGAAGAGGCCACACCAACTCTGCGGAACATCGATATCACTGCGAGGGAATCCATCGAGGGTAGTGAGGCCGGTAGTCATTTTCACGCCGTGCTGACCAAAGAATGTCAGTACAGAAACACACAGAGAAAGTCTGCGAGGCCTGTTCATACCGAATCGAGTACCTGCCCCAGCGCTTTGAGTTCGGCTTCTACTCTGTCCTTCTCTGCTATGAGCTCCTGGAGCGACAGCTGTGCCTTGGGTACGCCATTCGAATGGCCTGAAGTGGTCGGGCCCGAGGACACGGTCGGTGCATGGATGTCGTCCATATGTAATCCCATCGGTCGCAAGAGTAGTCGATGGATAATGCGCAAGGTGGTAAAGAGGTGGGACGAACAGAATAGCTCAGCTGCTTCGTGATATCACTAATACATTAATTCGTCCAAAGCTCTACACAGTAGGTATGAGGTGGGGGCGAGCGGCGGGGGAGGAGACTTGATTGGGCCGTGCACCGTCCCATACCATCCATCCATCTTAAGTATAACCATCGCATCGCGACTTCACGCTCCATTAGAACATAAACCTACATTCTTACCCGCTACCTTCTCCCTTTGAAACATCCATACCTCTCGCAGGCAATTGAAAAATCCCGACTCTGACCTAGACTGACTTGAAACAATCTTCCATACAAAACTCTCAAGATGCTTATCAGGCGTTCCGTGGTCGCAGTCAGTTTATGTGACATGCCGGAGTTTGTGAGCTAATCATAGGGAGTAAGCCAACGCAGGAGGGGGCGAGGTGTCACGCCTCGTAAGGCTGGGCCTCATCCCAAGATGGCCTCATCTCTCTCTTCTTTCTCTTCAGTCGATAGTTTACGGCCCCGCCCGTTCATGACATTGATGGCTCTGATGTTTCGAGTTCCTAATATGGCGTCTTGCGCCCACGCCCGTTCCATTACCCTGCGTTGGGGCATACCTTACCCTTACCTACTAGCAATTCCGAAAGTCATCCATCATCCGCGCTCTGCACCTACTGAATGCACTTGCTGCACTTTCTCTCTTCCTCTCTGCGCTTTCCAACCTCTTCTCGAACGACTTGACGATCTGGCGGTGTTTGTCTGCCTCTATCGTCCATCGACTCACCCTTCCCTCCATGACCCACTTGTCTCTCCTTAAGCCACTCTTCAAGTGGCCTTGAAAGTAATAATCTATATCTTTCATGCCGATTCGAACTTCCATCATCTCCAGCAACTGGTCAATGCGATAATATTCAGGATCGATCAACCCGGCGACTATGGCTTCTGTGCTTTCGGTTCACTCGCAAAGCCCCTTCAAGCGTTCCTTCAGTGACAATGTTTATGTCCACACGATATCTCCCTTAACCACAAGCTCCTTCGATTCTCTGCAAGACATCACTCCCAACAATGCTTCGACGTGCTCTCTCTTCTCCGTCGCCACCATTGAGTCCTTGCAGCATGGAATATGGCTCCAAGGCAAAGAGAGCCTGCCCCCTTTTGCCCCTACCTCACAGCTCGACATAAGTCTTGACAAGGAGATTTTTGTTACGGACAGTAGATCATTAGATCACTTTCCTCTGAAACGTACAGGTGCCATCAGTCGAAAACGACCTTCTTTCTCGCGGACAGAGCTACCTTCAGAGCCCCACTTGAAGAAGAGGAGGGACAGCAAGCAGATCACGATAGTCCCCGTCCATGAAGACTTGAGCACGCCAAGTTCCGAGAATATTGACCAATGTGGAGGAGACACTGAACTTCTCGACCTGTACGAAGCTATTCACGTCCCGTTACCCGAAGATCATACCCATAACATCTACGAAAGCGAGCCGGAATCTGACACCCAAGATTCGGACGACGAGACCCCAGCTGTCGAAGCCACACAGTCGCTGTCGTTTCGACGATGGATGAGCACATTGAGACGCCGAAAGGTCGGCCACCAGGATGAGCCCATAACCACAAAGCCGCGTTTGTCCATTGATGTCGCCTGCAATAATGAAGCCCCGCCCAAGCGCAAACGTTCAGACTCTGTGTCGTCGTCTCTGAATTATGTTACGGCTATGAAAACTGCTTCAATTACGATAGCAAGTGCAAGTATAGCACCACGCTCAGACTGCGGCTTTCATACTAAATTTCGACTGGGGAACCGGGAAAGCGGTGCATCGGAAGCAAGGCGATCAATCGACAACAGTCCGGTGACACTTGGACCCATCATTGACGAAGGTGCCTGGCTTCGTTCGATCCAACGACGCAAGATTGTTGAGGAGATCATTTCCTCTGAGGAAAGTTATATAGGAGATTTGAAGGTCCTGATCAATGTATGTGTTCGAACTCTTGAAATCTTGCAGACATTTCACTGACATCATTATGAAGGATTACTTCATGATACTCACCTCTGTCCCCACCTTATCAAATCACCAACGAGCATCCATTCAACACAATATCTCTCAGATTCTTCAACTGCATCAAGAACTTCTTGCAGATCTTCATAGGGTTGTGCCCAACGCGGAATACACCCAAAGCGCGCAACAAGATCCATATCCAGTCACTAGAGCTAAACATATTCGATTCCACAGTGCTGATTTGACTACCCGTTTCACGGAGCATAAAATCACACGGAAATTGCGTCATTCTTTGGACATTGGGAGGTCTCCCGATCACAGACCTCGTGCCCTTGCGACCGACACCAAGACTGCGGGTGAGATTGCAAAAATATTCAACAAACATGTGAGTTTAGAGAACTGTCATTTACGCTTCTGTCCTAACAATTCCATCAGATGAGACGATTCTTTACATACGAAGAGTACGGTGCACACTGGACGACCATGTCTCAAGATCTAACCTCCACGTGTAAAGGACTTCAAGGGTGGTTCGAATACGAGCGGGGTGTTGAAGCATTATCGAAACTGGTATCGTCAGTGAACAACAGAGAAGTGAGCAGCAAGAAGGCATTGTCATTCTCAGACCTCCTTATCAAGGTAAGACCTCTTGCCTTACGCCGGTCAATTTGACAAATCTAATTTATGTCCCTCAGCCCATCCAGAGAGTCTGCAAATATCCACTCCTGTTTGGCGACCTTTGCCGACACACTCCCGTCTACGACGACCCTGAGGCCCATGCTGAACTGGAGAAGACTCTGTTTCGATTTCAAGAGACGATTAGAGAAGTCAACAAAGCGAAAGACGATCCGAAGGCTCGAAAGCTAATTGAAATTTCTTGGCTACTTCAAGATCGGCTACTCTTTCGCGACCAGGTGAGCATAATTGATTTTGCTCTGTCATTGTACGTACTAATCCCTGCGCTGCAGACACTTTCTCGGGCTGTTGTTTTCAGATTGCTCGGCCATGTCTTAGCCTGCGGAGTACTCCATGTAACGTACCAGTCGCCAGAGCGCACCAAGGGTGCTTATATGCTTTGCTGTTTGTACAAGTCCTGCCTCGTCCTCGCAACTACGAGTCGTCTTTTCACACCCTACGATGTCGTTGCTACCATCACGCTTGCCAACGCAACAATTGAAGAGCCCGATAATGGCAGAGGTAATCCTCTATAGCAACTTGGTGTAATGGTTTACTGACTTGAGATCAGGTCTACAATGTTACACTGCACCACACACGTGGAAGCTCACATTTGAACATGGTCATAGATTACATGAGATCATCCTAAGTGCATGTTCAGGACCGGAAGAAGAAGCGTGGAAATCTCAACTACGTGAACGAATCGCAAGCGAGACTACCGATCTGACGGAGGGCCACTCCACTACGCAAGATATGTTTTCATCTTTATCGCTTGATATCAAATCTATCGGGCCAGTATTTGGCCATGCAGATAATCTAGTGCGGCGAATGTCGGTTCATCGAGCGGCCACACTGGGCGCAAAGATGAATGTGACGCAGGTTGTGATCAAGAACACCCACATACAAAAGGCAATTCAGCCTACGCCATCATTCCCACCTACTCAGGTATCCCGTTCGCAGTCACACATGTCTGCAAGCCATGTTCCCATCCTAGCTCCAAGGCGTGCCGAGAGAATACGCCTTGAGTCAGCACTAGAAGACGTCTGGACAAAAGATGTGGTACCATTCCCAGGGATGGGAAGTCGGAGGGAGAATCAAATTCGAGCTTCGGCAAACTCAGTCATGCGAAAATTGAGCATGGTCAGTATAGCGAGCAATTTCTCACGCCGGTCACCAAGCTTTTCGAGCTTGAGCATGTCGCGCTCGGATGAGTCCTTTGGGAGCAGGGCATCAAAGAGATCGCAGGGAAACCTAAGAGCACGATCGGCGGCAGAGCGACGTCCTGCGCCGGTAGTGGTAGACTTCCACAATGCTCCGGCGGCGTTCCTACCTACAGACTTCGGACTTGGGGACATGGGTACTTCGAGTCGGCAGCGGCGCCTGGGAAATCGTGCCGCAAGCTTCCAACAATCGACAGAGACGAGTATGTCTGCGAGACCCAAACACATGCGACGTTTCTCTGCACAGATTATCACGCTCCCGCGCACAGATCCCAGTTCCCGCATAGACGTCCGGGTTTCGACTGCTCCGAATACCTCGAGCTCGGCAACGGCGCAACCTACAAAGACACGGGTGAACTTTGGTAGCCTTCAGGAGAATGAAAAGGTTGCCGCCAGTGAAGCACGACAGCAGGAGGCTACTCCCAAGAAGTCGTCCAGTATAACATCTCATAAGAGATATCTGAAGACAAAAAGCAAGATGTTCAAGTTTTGGCTGTAGAGCTAGAAGTCCCAGAGGGGGGCTAGGGTGTTTTGATTGCAACAATCAGCATTTGGGTCACTGTGTGGTTTGGATGGGTATTAGGATCAACGATTAGACATTCTTGGAGCCTCCACGTGCACATCAAGCATATGGAATAGGGGGCTGGACTGGCATTAGGGAATTACTATGAAGGCGTCTAGGTATCCGATACGGATCGGGCAACATGGGCTCGGGCATGGGCATGGTACGGGTTAGGGAGGCATATCTGGTTTACGAACATGATACGACAAGACCAAGCATTCAAAACATAGCGATAGACAAAATGGACGATTAGAAGTAGTCCAACGGCAATTGCAGATCTTTGGGCTTGATGCTGCAAGGCACACCCGCATGCCAGGCACAAGCTTTTGACAATCCTCCCAGTTTGGTATGTGTAGCTTGTGCGACTAGTTACTCGTTCTCCAGCGGGTGAGGGGGCCATGTTTGTTTGCGTCTATTTAGAGGGTGACGTCATTGGATCTTGTCCATGCTCCAGACTCCTCCACAACAACGGAACGAAACAACAATACGGAGTAGTTAATACTCGTAACGATGGAGATGAATGGAAGATTATGGGGACGATAGCGTCATATGTCACGTCTCCAGTCCAGTCTTCCGTGCTCCGTAGATTGATCGGAAAAGTTGGCAATCAGTTCATGTGGTTGGTTGTGACGCGATACAAGCTTTGATACCTCATATGTCCCTTTCGACTAGCTACCTAATCCAAGTAAGAGTAGGTAAGTATGAGGGCTCGATTCAATCAATCGATCAATCAATTCATAATAGTAATAATGATGGTCAATCCGTCGTCAGTCGTCAGTCCACGGTCCACAGTCCCGCAATTGGGAGGTGGGTGGCCGGGCTTGGCAATGACGTATGTTCATTCATGTCACCACCGTAGCCCCTCCACCTCGCAACCAGCTACTGCTCACACGAGCTACAAAAGCTTCACTCTGCCTCCCCCTCTTTCTTTCCTTCTTCCACTTTTCTATTCCTCAATCTTAACCACCACATCTTCCACATTCCCCAATCTACCAGCTCAAAGGTCTCAATTGAGTACCCACACTTTCACCAGCACTACCACAACAAACACCAACCACACCCACTTCATCAATCAAAATGGCTCGCGGAGAAGGAGGTCAGACCAAGGTCCACTTCAAGGGTAACGAGGATGACTTCATCATCCTCGTCGACAGCGCTCAGGCCGTCAAGGACTGGAAAGCCGACTCATCCATCCCCCTTGCACAGGTTGTGAGCGGATGGAAGATCTTCGTCACCCACAAGTGAGTTTTAGCTCCTCTACTGCGGGGAGAACCAGCCGTGTTTTAAGATACCATGATTACTGACAATGTTCAACTTTTAGGCAAGGCAACCAGGGTATCCTCGACGGCGCTAGCAACGGAGCTCTCGATTCTGAGTTCGGCACACACAAGGAGGAGGAAGTTGTCAAGATCATCTTGGAGAAGGGCACCGTACAGGAGAGCGAGGTATGTCAATCTTGTGGTTAGCACAAAATAATTCTTCTTACTAATAATGTCATCACAGAACAAGGAGCGCCAGGGTGATACCAACATCGCCAACGGCCCTGCGATCGCACACTAGAAACGTTGTCCCCGGTCAGGGCATCACCCTTTACCATCAGCTGAAGGCGTGGATGCCCCTAACTTTGGACATTGCCCAACTCTCTAGAATATTACCGTCACGAGTTACGACAATTTGCATAAGCGGATAAAATCCGTACTCAACACATCTCGGGCATGTGGACGCCGCCTGAGACATGGCCGCTACTTTCTGCCAGTATTCGTAAGTGTACCTCTGCTGGGATGCGAGGTCAACGAATCTTTATAGGGATGATATCCACATAATTCACCAAATAAAAATGTTAATTATGATCGATTTCGTTCAGCCTTTTCATCAATGTGATCGTAGATTTATCCCAACAAACCTAATTCCACTTCATGGTCTCCTCCAGCCTCGCTAATTCTCCTTTATATGGCTCCATCGTGACCAACGCGCGCAACCCCAGACTTGGTTCAAAGGGGCATTATTTTTGTGCCTCAAAGACACTACACATAACTTGCCGAAGACCCGCGATCTGTTTAAGTCCTGTCTTGATTGAATTGAATTTCGTACATGAATTCACGTGACGACTTTGTCAACCCTTCAAGGCTGCCGATCGCTACTGATGGGCCTGAGGATCAAAACTCTCTAGTTTCCCTTGTTTGTACCTACCCTTGCGCACAATACTTGTAACATGCAAGTACCAGAGTCATGGGGACCATCACCATCCAACCAGAATCCACCCAGAACATTCAGTAGCCAATTACCAGGCAACATAAGCGGCGTTCAGATATGTACTGCAACTAAGCACACCGGTGAGAATGAAGGGTCCAAGCCAAGGCAACACTCCGTAGGGTAACAGTTTCATACGGGTATTTACATGTTTCTTACTACTTGCAACCTTGAAAGTACGGCACGACCAGACATGACAACCACCTCAACCTATCAGTATCCAGTCCAATCTTGATCTGCATTCTCGATGTGGTGCAGATTACATTTTACCTGGACGGAAATTGGGAGCGCTTTGATGCATGCTGTTGCCTGGTTCCACCAAAATTCACAGCCCTCATAGGAGGGGATAAGCAACCTCATGATCTAATGCTCAACGGATGAGTTACTTTCCCCTTGTACTCATCTGCAGGAGAAGCTTAGTGGAGACTCCCAGCAACATGAGGCCGCCAACACGTGAAAGTAGAAGCACCTATATAAAGACATTTAGTCCTCCACCACATCGACCTCCAAGCTGGTGTCATCTGTGCCTCTTTCATACATACCGTAGTGCTCCTTCCAGCCATTCAAATCATCAACGCAGACTTCCCGTACATCTACTCTGCCTACAATCAACACCATTCATATCCCATCCTCAACAACTTTGCCATCATGCCAGCAGCTCGAGATATCTTCGCTGCCACCGCTGAAGCTGCTCAAGAAGCCATCCGCCTCTACAAACAGCACTATAGCGGACAGATTCTCGACACACGCAGCGTCCTCCTCGACATCCTCCGCGACAACTTCCCAACCTACCATGTCACGGAGGTCGACCAATCCACTGCCTCCCTCCTCGAGTTCGCATCTGCTGGCAAAGCAACCGCGAACTTGGACTCCTCCTCCGAAAACTTCGCCGCGGCTCGCCAATGGAAACCCGTCGGCGAGCGCGTGGAGAAGAAATTGCATCCAGGAAAACTGACTGACGACTTCCGCTTCGCGAGGTTCCAATACATATGGGAAGGCAAAGAGTACCTCGTGTATCACGGGGCGTGGAAGGAACTCTACCTGGGTTCCGAGCATGTGTTCTACATCCTGTACCCGCGTTCCAGCGAGGCAGAGAATGTCCAAGATGGACACTGCAAGGAGAGTGACGACTTGATCCTGGCTTGCGGAAAATGGACGAGCCAGTTGCACAACGAGATCTGGGTGTTTGACGACGGACGCTGGGTCAAGAGCAAAGAGCTCTGGAACTCGGTCCACGGCAGCTCGTGGGAGGACGTCATTCTCGACCCGGAGATGAAGAAGAACATCATCGACGACGTCCAGGGCTTCTTCAACAACCAGCAACTCTACCGCCAATTCGCTGTCCCCTGGCGCCGAGGCCTGATCCTCCACGGCGTGCCCGGCAACGGCAAAACCGTCTCCATCAAAGCGCTCATGAGCTCCCTCTACGACCGCCCGGACAGCATCCCCGCCCTGTACATCAAGTCGCTCAGCAGTAAATGCAACACGGAGCAATTCGCCATCCGCCGCATCTTTTCGCGCGCCCGGGCCTCCGCACCCTGCCTCCTCATCTTCGAGGACCTCGACTCCCTCGTCACGGACAGCATCCGCTCGTACTTCCTCAACGAGGTCGACGGCCTGGAATCCAACGACGGCATCCTGATGATCGGATCCACCAACCACCTCGACCGCCTCGACCCGGCCATCGCGAAGCGGCCCTCCCGCTTCGACCGCAAGTACCACTTCAAGCTGCCCGGCGAGCCCGAGCGCAGCCTCTACGCCGAGTACTGGCGGCAGAAGCTGCTCAAGAACGGCACGGTCGAGTTCCCCGCCGACCTGTGCGGCGTCATCGCGAAGATGACTGAGGGCTTCAGCTTCGCGTACATGAAGGAGCTGTTCGTCATGGCGCTGCTGAGCCTTGCGCGGGGCTACAAGGCTGAGGACTTCGCTGTCGAGGGTGGCGACGCCGTGGATGCCGCCGAGGCTGTCCGCGCGGCAGAGGAGAAGACGCCAGCGGAGCCGGAGACGGCCCAGAAGAACGAGGAGGCCATAGAGACGTGCTGTTGCAACGAGAAGTGCAACAAGTGCGGAAAGCCTGTCGGTTCAGCGGAAGACAAAGCCACCGCAACACCTGCGAAGAAGGAGAAGCTCAAGAATCCGAAAATTAACATCGATGATGTAGAGGTCCCTGCTCATCTGCAGGATAACGTCCTGTTGAAGGTGCTCGAGCATCACATCCGCGTCTTGCACACCGAGATGGACAACACGGAGCAGGATTCGTGGCCTAGTGGCAAGGCTAAGGTTGCGGGTGCGAAGAAGGGGGGTATGAGGCACGTTGAAGCTGTTGCTGTGAGGAACTGAGTTAGGCTATCAGAGGCATGGAGGTGTTCGTATGGGGTTTGGTGGGTGGTGATGGGCTGGTGGTGAGGTCAAAATGCATGAATGAACGGCTCATGCATGACGTGGACGATGCGGCTTAAAATCTTAACGATGGACTTTTCCTTCCTCTCTTCAACGGTGATGATGTATCTCTTATCGGTTTAGATTATTCATGGCATGGATCTTGATCCATAGTTATGGACAGAAAATTAACTGAGACACTCATTTGGTAGTGGTGGTTTTCTATCCGCACCATATTACCTCCACTTTGGCTTTCTCTTTTTTCCCTGGCGGCGTGATATCGTAGTTCTTCCACTCATCTTTACTCCAAAGCAGATAGGAAGCTCACCGATTTGTCCTCCATTATTTCAAGCCCCTCCATTACCCCCAACAAAATGCAGACTACAACCAACCTCACACAACCCCATCAAGCCCTCTAATTACCTCCCCCCATACGACATACTCTACAACCCATCTAATCGGGGCAAAAACGAAACTCAAAACGCACATGAACTCCGAGTAAATTGTCAACAAAACTCACACATCCTGGTGGTGGCTCCTCTGCCGCTTCGCCAGCTCGGCCGCACTCACACTCGACGTATATAGCAACCTGCCCGCAACCGCACTCCTAATCGTGCCCACGACGACAACGATCCATAGCAAAATAGTCGTAACCGCTATGATCTACCCACTCCCATTAGCACCAACCTCAACCCTCATAAAAACGCAACGAAAAACGGAACAAAACATACCGTCCCCAGCACCCTAAAAAACGCAGACCCCAACTCCGTCCCAATGGCAATCGTGTCGAGCGCCAGCATGCCGAGAGGGAACGTGAAGCTCCACCACCCCATGTTGAAGGGGAAGTGGCGCTGGTGCGCGATGGAGGCGACGGCGTACGCGAGCCAGACGAGCGAGTGGGCCCAGAGGATCACGGCCGTGATGCAGCCGAACGTGTGGAGCGTTTCGCCCGCGGAGGCGTACTTCAGCGTGGTCGGGTTGCGGGGGATCGTTTGTGCGGCTACGGATCCGAGGCGGAGGAGTCTGGGAACGGGGGAATGGATTAGATTGGATGGGATGAGGAAGGGGAAGGGAGGACTTACGAGAAGCTGGCGAGGCAGAGGGGGGATACGGGGAGGAAGACGCTGACGATGACTTCTCGTGGAGGGAGATGGTGCAGCGTGAGGCGTTGGTAGTAGATTGCGAGGACGGTCATCACTAGGGGTAGTCCGACGCCTAGGAGTGCGTAGCTCGCGATCATGGTCCAGAGTGCATGCTCTGGGTTCGGGAGGGCACCGGCGACGAGACTGCCTGTCGAGGCGGACGAAAGAGTGCTAGAGAGTGGGAGGAGTTGGACGGCGTTTACGGTGTGTAGTGCTGAACGTTCGCCGTGGGTCATCCTATGGATCAATTAGTGAAGCTGAACTTGATGAATGTTGATAGAGAGGGTTGATATCTTACGTGATGTATGGGACGAGGAAAGTAACGAAGAGCGCGACAATGGAGTCAATGATCCATAGAACCCAGGCGAGAGTGGCAACCCAAGTTCCCCATGCCGGAACGCAGACATACAAAAGCATGTTGATTAACGTCGTGAAGCCGATGGGTAGTGCACCCAGGAAGAGAGAATGATGCCGGTCTCGACTCATTATCGTCCAGATACGCGGCCACATCCAGTATCGAATGACGGATAGGATCAAGGCCACGCAGAACAAGACGGCATTGAGGACAAAGACTACGATGGACAGATAGTACAGCCAACTTCCATTATAAGGCAGGCGATTCAAAAGGGTTGCTACGACCCCTGTGCCCATGGTCACGCAAAACCATCTGGGAATGTCAAGTTAGCAACAACCGAACCAATTCGTCTGGAGAGACTGCATTTTGAAGTCTGATATTCTAGCTTACGATGGACTGAAATGGCGGATTATCTCCTTGTACTTTGGTCTCTTCTTCTCCCTCGTCGTCTCTAACTGCGAGCGCGGGGTATCGGTACCCTCCTCCCATATCTCCGTCAAGGCCGGGTCGTTAGACCGCAGAAGTTGCAGCGTCTGAGGCCTTACGTTCGCATGGGACCCGTCGGTGGTTGATGTGCTCGAACATTCCCCGTGACTCATATTACCATCTTCAAACGAGTGTTTATTAGGTGGAGATTCGAGGCGGAATTCATTGCACCTCTAGCAATTTGCCGGGAGTAGTTAAATGGATTGGAACTTAGTTCGGGGGGATTCAAGTCGATCGACGGGCGTTAGTAAGTAGTGTGACGTGTAAGCGAATACTAACGCTGCATGGCTCCCGACTGTGCCGACTTGTACCTCTCCATACACATGAGCAATAAAGTAATTATACAGATTATCACTTGGTATTGGTCCTGATCCTGGTCCTAATCCTAGTGCATAGAGCTAAAGCAGTTTGAATATACAATTGCAACTACATTTCATACTCAAGAAGAGAATGAGTCGACTAGGTCCTATAGTTCTCCTCTCTGCGTTGAAGATAGACTTATTACACCAAGAAGAACGTATGCTTTGACATGATGATCCTACACTATCTCATGATAGTGCCCTTGTACACTCCTCAATCGTGGCAAACGAGCAATTGACCAAGGTATTTGGCAATGTTGAACTAGTCTCAAAACTCGCATGTCGCAGTCTGTAACTTGAAAAAGCTTTTGGATGGCCTTCATCTTTGAACATCGAATCAATGGCTTCTCCTAGTAAAGTGTTAGAGATTGGAGATCGCATAACGTATCGTACCCTTGGTATGTATGAACACTCACGTGTTGACCCTATGTTACGACCAGAAAACGCATCCCATGAATGTGTAGTCGGCCATGCAAAGCAACGGAGCTACAGTAATTCACTCGTAGACTATCTACGCAGCGACCCTTTTAGAGTGAGCCTTCCGCTCCAATGCGACCATCTTGTCTCCTTCCTTTTCTCTTTTAGCAATTCTCGAAGCTTCTGATCACCTCTACACTTCTCAGTCACACCCTCAGCCCTCGGATTAGCACCGTGGATCAGAAAAGGTGCAATATCATCGGCAGTGAAGTTGTGGTCTGCAAGTACACCTTCCCAGATCGAACGTCGGCCTTTTTCAGCTCTCATGTTAGGATTGGCACCAAATTCCAGAAGTACTTTCACAAGACTCGAGCTTGGCTGTGAGTGGTTGATTGCAGGTAGATCCCTCATTTCGTCAAATGCTCGATAAGCGAAAACGGCCGTGTGCAGGAGCTCAGAAGTTATCGCGACGTCCACTGGGCCAGATTTTGTTTGCTCGGTAAGGGCTGAGCGGACGTATTCTACCAACTGGCACTTCACAGCGAACGCTAGAAAGGGTCTTGCGAATCGTGGGACGAGTTTCAACCGTTCATTTGTATGAATCCAGTGTGCTGCTAAATTGTGACGTCCCCCATACAATTGTGTCAGACTTAGATGCCCGGAACAAGGTATGGTAGATACCACAGAGGCGATAGAGTCGATCTCATTAAGAAGACGAGGCTGCCATGATAAGCCTTGAGGGTCGCTTCTACTTGCATATTCCGTCGCATTTGTTACTGCATCCCAAAATACTGACAGGTACATGCTTTCTGGAGCCATTGTTTTGAGCTTCATTATGTATGCGTTACACAATCGGAGATTCGGATTAAATGCACTTCCTGCGGCGTCTTGCATTCTTCTCACGATTTCCGGCTGGTCTAAGAAGTCTCGGACGGTTCGGTGTAGAAAAGTCACATAAACTTGTTGCAACTCGTAAGGTCCCTTCTGGTAATGAGCCTCTAGTAAGCCTCGACAATTCGCAGTCAAACGCCGTCGCATAAATTCGCAACGAAAATGAATTTGAGATTTGGTGAGGGGGGCGTATGGCGCTCTCATGGCGAATTCAGGGTCCTCCTCGTCGGCGAATGACAGTGGAAGGAGTTTCAAGGGTCCGATGGACGTTTGGATGATCCTGAATAGTTGAGATGCGCGTCGGAAATGTTCAGGCGGAAGGGTATCAATGACCTTCAGAAAAAGACTCTCAAGGTCACGGGGAAGCGCATCGAGCCTCCTCTGGAGATCAGAAAGCCGCTCACCTTCAGTGAGACCATCCAATAGCGACCTGGTGACAAGATATACCCAAAGGAAAACCCCAGACGCTTTAGCGGTGATATTATCGATCAGTTGCTTCGACGTGTCAGGATCGCACTCCTGCAGAACTTTGTAGCCTGGATTAGCATGCATTCTCGTGGTGACGTAGACTTTGATATCGTCAGAGGTCAAATCCTCGAGTTGCAAATGCGGCTTGTTTCTAAAGGCATCTTCAAAAGCTATCCAAGGACGACTTGCTGCGCAAACCTTGATGCGGGATGTGTTGCTATCCGACGAGACCATCTTGTTGATGAACTCAACAAGGTCAGCCGGCTGTCCGTTGAATTCGTCCATGCCATCTATGAAGACGGCTAGTTTGGCCCTTTCCGTCGCCCTTTTAACCATCGTCTCGAATCCACGCAATAGCTCTTCCCATGTCCAGGGTTCCAGATTCCAAATATGGTGACCGAACATGATGCTCGCCTCCACTCGATGGGGAAAGACAGCAGGTATCAATTCAGGCATTTGCTCCAGAACTTGGGCAAGTATTGTCTTGACCAATCCTTCCAGAGACATTTGGATGTTTGCATCTGAATTCCAGAAGAAGAACGATGCCTTCAGAAGTTTATCGTCTTTTGCCCAATCTTCTAGTGCTGATTTGGTTTTCTGATGATCGTAAATGAACTTCATTAGTGTCGATTTACCTGCTCCTGATCCAGCAAAATGCAATTAGTACAGTTCGATCATCCTAACCCCCATGCCGAGCTACCACTCCAAGATTTCTTGAGAGAAAGAAGACTAACCGGCTTTGCCAGTGATCCAGTAAAGAGGATCATTACTTTCTATCCATTCGGGAAAGTTGGCCCATCGAACTTGCTCAGTAGGAGTCTTGAAGATCCATTCAAATGTCTCTTGGTAGGCAAGCGGGATCTGCTCATAACGATGCTTGACCTCTCGAAAGCTTAATGAATGAATCAGCCTCTTGTTGATGGACGTCGCTTCGTCCTGTCGAAGTACCCCTTGCATGTGGATCAGTTGGTCGCTAGTAGTGCGTGACCTGTCGTTTGGATCCAACATGTAGCTCCTCTTGATTGCATCGAGAACATCGTTCTGGAACTCTTGACTCTTATCAAGCTCCAGCAAAACCTGATGGCAAAGATGCTTGGTTTCAGCCAGAGTCGTTGAGGTCTGTTCGTAATTTGAGCTGATTTGCTCCCTATTGCAGTGAGTGACGCATGCACTTCAATCAACAAGAGATCATCTCTTACCTCATGGCAACCAATATAAGCATGGATATCTGCTGTCTGTAGCTGTCAAGAGTACGCTGTAGATTGTCGACCTCGTCTTGGTTCCACATGGTCCGTAAGGCTGCCCGGAAGCTTGGCCATGTAGAGTCCCTGCTGCTACTCCGGACCCGATCCAAGATGCCAATAAGCTTTTCAGCGACATCATTACATTTCCTGCATAGGTCCGCGATTTCCTGATCTTGTGAGGAGAAGGGCACCAGGTTGGGGTCGTTGACGGCTTGACGGAGGGTGCCATTCAGCTCTTGGAGATTCTGCGTGATCCCGCGCAAATCGGAGTTTCTGTTAGAGTCTCCGGAGCTCGACTTCGATATCTCCCAGGTGCTGGTCACAATGTTTCCTGCAAAATCAAGAAATTGAACAACGGCAGTCGCGATGCTGAGCGCAGAAAGAGGTTCCATGGTCCATCCACGTTATCATTGTCGTTTGAGACGCAACGAGGCTGAGAAGACACAATGTGAAGGAGGAACATGAGTCTCGGTAACCATATCTATGCAAGCAGCGTCCGGTCTGATTCGCGCGTTAAGGATCACTGCACGCCACTTGTGGGGGCCGAGACGGACGCCTGTCAACATGATCGGGTGCATGAGTTGTAGGCAATCGACCAAGTATCAGAAACTAGACATCAACTCATGCTCGACATAGATTGCGCCTGGTATCTCAACATTGGAAATATTATAGGCTTGGATCGAAGTTTATGAGATTGCCTTGGTTGTGCGCGCGATCAGTTCGTGCGATGTTGTTGATTGAAGATAATGTTTGCCTAAGGCTGAGCTTTTAGCTGGTAAGAAATCGACAGCAATCATCAGGAATAAGAGGAGCAGTACGGAGTACCATGTTTATGGAAGGAACTTCATTCATGATGCGATCGATAGGATGCGACGCTCCATATATCTGGGAAGCAACGAAGGATTTGGATGGGGTTGTTCGGTAATTGTATTGTGTCCGATGAGGCTGTCGCTTCCATGTTCACACTACCATTACCCAGCACATTCAGATCCTGCTAATCCCAGCACCGATTCCTGTGGAGGGTAATCAGTACATTAGCAAGCAAACGTCTATCTGTACGGAGTACTTTAGTTTGTACTTAGTATCGGCGAGTCTGACAAGATGTGAGAGGCTGGTTCGACGTCCACGGGGCTCAAACAGTCCACGCCGCTTTTGAGCATGTCATTATCAAATGCCCCTTGCAATGATATCTTGAGTTGATCCAATGGCGGGAAGAGTAACGACACCGAAAGAGTATTAATTTCGACAATTAAGAGACGCTTGGACGTTACGTTTGAGTGGACAAACGGCGCATTCGCTTGGAAAAAGTAGCAATGATCGAATTGTTGGCATTCCTTTCTAGAGAGAATCGGGAAAATGACAATGTTCATCGAGAAAAGTAGGTTTTGCTCTCCTGGATCATCGAGAAGAACATCGGATTTCCATGGTTTGGCGAAGTTCTACTTTTATCTCCCTCAATAACCACCTAGGTATGTATGTAAATAAACAACATTTGGCTTCATTTCATTTAGACAAGTTTTTCTCGCGTTTTTGCAAAGGGTTCGTGTCGCCCCCCAAATCTGTGATTCTCGTATCTACATGTTTGCCAAACCTCAAGAAAAGGATCTACATGATGCGACACAATACACGCTCAGAACGATCACAAGATCGTTTCACCTACCGAATGGGCTTTTAGACCAATACAGTAGCGTTACCATGTACTTCCTTGCCACACGTCCCAACACGCAAACAAACAACAGCATACCTACAAGTACCACCATGTTGCGTATGTTCCTTTGCCGCACGAGGTCGTATCGTTCATGCACCCAGTAGCCGACGTTCCCCTGGTTGACTTTCCCCTCCCGAGACACGATCACTCAAGTAACTACACTGCCTAAGCAATTATAAGTTAAGACACGCTTGCTGGCTTGTCTGATCGTCTCCAGAGGGCAAAGGACATGTGCGCAGGGGTTAACCGGCCTTCCCTTACCATGTCGCGGAGCTTGTCGCTTTTGGTCTCCATCTGCTTGTTCCCCATGTACGTCACTGTGACCCGCGATGGTTAATATCAGAGTTACACCCTTGCCCCGTCCAGCCCATTGAGGGACCAAATAGTGCGATACAAGACCGTGTTTCCACGGGTTTTCTCCTGAATCTAGTAAAACAATCGAAATAGATAGGTCATCGAGCGAAAGGAGAAGGTCTCCCCATCAAACACGCTTGTGACCCCCATATTATACGGATCTGAAATGGTAGACCTCGTACTTCGTACTCGCGACACGATAGGTTCAATGACTGAACATCACTACAATCCTAGCCGGACCACTCTTGGATCCAGAATACAGGATTTGTGCCAGGGATTGACTGATTGGTAACGGCAGCTAATTACTGCTTTTCTGTTCGGGCGGCGGCAGCGGTGGAGGCGTGCGAATTAACCTTGCGCGCATGGCGGTCTACCCTGCTCTTCTGTTCGTCTTCTTCCTCTTCTGACATTACGTCGACCTGCTTGTCTGCTCTTGTTTTGCGTGAACCTCTCACTGGACCTTCTCTTCTTCTCTCCTTCACCTTCACTACTCATCCTGACCCCCGCCCATATCAGTAGTAATTGCAAGGTTGGGTGAAAAGCACTATTCACTTCGGTCTACCGAGTTATAAACCACTCGGGTAAAGGTACGATAGCTACACCATCACACCTACACGCACGACAACGACAACGACGACAACTACTACCAACGTCGCGAAAAGGCCCTTCGAAGGGCTCGATCTTCAATATGGCAAAGTCGCGACTTCTGTCTGTCGCATTGATTTTGCAAGTCGCACAAGTTGCTCTTACACAGAAATGCTGTAAGCTCTTTCCTCTCTCCTACGACCATCTATACCCATAACTATACGAACCCTCACTATACTCGATCGCATATGATATCCGACCTTGAGTCAACGAGTTGCACCCTCAACCTCATACATCTTCGTACGCTGTCCCATCAGATACAAACGTAGACTAACAGAATCACCTCAAACAGACTACCCCAACGGCAAAGAAGCCGACGCAGCAGAGAAGCCATGCTCCAAAGAAGAGGGTTCCGCCTGCTGCCCAGATAAATGGCAGTGCCTGGACAATGGCATGTGCTACTATCCCGCCGACAAAATCTACGGCCGCTACAGCTGCACCGACAAGGACTGGAATAGCGACGGATGCCCTTCGAACCTGTGCACTTACGGTATGAATAAGACGCCCTCATATTCATTGTTTTCCCAGATCGTGTCATGAGTGTTGAGTGCATTCTAGTCGGGAATGTCTTTACGTGAAGATCAAATGGCTGACGAAGGGGATGTGTGTAGACAAAAAAGCATTTGGCGCAGAGAGTTTAACACAATGCTCCAATCACGACAACCAGTGGTGCTGCAACGCCGACAACATCCACGTCAAATGCTGTCAGGAATCCCCAGAGCCGCGCCCGTTCTTCGATCTCGGTGAGGGAAAAGCGTACGCGACCGTGGGATCGAACCAAGCCAACCAACAACCCATCCTCGCAACCATCACAGGACTGGCCACTGGCTCCGGAGGCAGCTCGCCCTCTTCCTCTCCATCCTCGGGGACAAGTGGAAGTCAGGCAACAAGTGCATCTCAATCTGTGACCAAAGACGCAACATCCGCAGCCGCAACCTCGCCCATGACATCGCTCGAGACGCACGTATCGACCGGCAGCGCGGGAGTGGTAACACTGGTCGTCACAACCGTTCTCCCGCCTTCACAAACCGCATCCCCAGCCTCCTCCGGCTCGTCCTCAGGTGGATCCTCAAAGACAGGTCTCATCGCCGGCCTCGCAGTCGGTATTCCCCTCGGCCTCGCACTGATCGGCATTCTGATCTGGCTGTTCCGCAAGCGCTCACAGCAGAAGAAGAACGCCGCGTCCTCGTCGTACCCAGAAAGCCCAAACCCTTACACAAACGGAAGCACGACGCCGGACTTCGCGGGCGGAGCCAAATTGCACAAGAACAATCACAACAGGCTGAGCGGCGACACAGAGAAAGGTACCGGGGCCGCGTTCAAGATGAACCACCACGGTGCTGGGGGCGCCTCCGCAGTCGACAACAACACCGCAGGACTTTCCGAGCTCCCAGGTCAGACAGTGGGACCAGGACGGCCTGTTAGCACGATAGTAGGCAAGGCAGAACTGGACTCGGGAGCGGGCTTTGCGCCGGGATCTGTGGCCCACGCACCGCATCTCGTGGGCGTCGGTGGCGGTAACGGGGCTGTTCCATCGACCCAGCAGCAACAGCAACAGCAGTACGATCAGGCCTCGACTCCGATGATGAGTTCGTGGGGAAGCGCGCCGCCTGGATACACGCCTCGCCAGAATTCCAGTGCGTGGGCTCCAGCGCCCCAGGGCGTTGCAGAGGTAGACGGCACGTCTGCTGCTGTTCCATCGTCTTCCAGGCCCGTGAGCGAGGAGGTCAACACCACGCAGACGCAGACACAGGGTGGGAGGTACATACCCTACCGACCGCCTCCAGGCCACGGACAGACACAGCAGCCGGCGGGGGGTCTTGCGAACGTTCCCGAGGTGGCGGAGATGAGTGCCGTGAGGACGCCTCCTTAGTGAGTGAATTGGATTCGATTTCCTGGGTGAATCCACAATGTGGACGGACGAGACTCCTCGTGGGTTCCGGCCGGTTTCCTCATTTCAATTCTCACTTCAATTCCACTTCCTTTTCCAATCGGCGTGTGGCGTGGCGTGGCGTGTATGTGTACGGACCTTTGCTTTTCTTTTCTATCACTTTTTTTCTGCTTCCCCTTCTTTTCCATCTTCCAGCAGCGAGCGGATGACATGGATGAATCTACCGGATCCCTAGGAGTACACTCGAAAGGCGGAATTCTACTGAAACCCCCCCCTTTCACATTCCCATTCCCCATTTTCACTCATCTTCACGAAAGTCAACGAACACAACACACACTCTTGTACAAAAAGATCAACTCGTCTCGACGGAAAGACGTCGACGAATATGAAGATGAAAGATGCAGACGTACACAGACAGTAGGCAGCCCCCCCTTTTCCAGCAGCTTGCCGTCAGATATCAAACAAAGTACATAATATGACATAACATGATGAATAATAAAAAGAAAATGTAATACTGAAATCCTAAACTGAAATCTTGAATCAAGGAGCTTTGGGAAGGCTACGGTCGAACACTCTCTCTGTGCTATCAATCGGTCATTTGATACAATCGAAGAGTAGTAGCTAAAGACAAACCAAGGCAATGGAGGGAGGCCGTGCTACTTAACGATTAGTTGTATCGATGTCACTTCACTTCAGTAGGTACCTACTGTGTAGGTAGGTGATGAACCCCCTAAAAAGGAGAAAAAGTACAAGATTCAAGAGGTCATGCATGGGATCAAAGTGAACTGTTTCGGATGTTTAGGCCTACCTGACACAAACATAGATGCGTGGACTTAGAGAGAGAGAGAGAGAGAGAGAGAGAGTTCCCACCCCCAGCAGCCAGCCACGACTGCTAATTGCGAGACGGTTGCCGCAACATGGATCTCCATCCGTCAGATGCCGTTTGTGATGTGTTATCTCACACGTCAAGTCATGCAATGCATATGTTCACCCGAGAGAAGATACATGTGAAGAGAGCAAGATAGTTTGAATTTGAGCGAGAAATTGTTTGTTGATCTTTGGTTGGTTGTGTGTGTGTCGTCGTGCGAGAGAAAAAAAACATCTCCTTCTCGATCTTCAGTTTAACTTCGGGTTCTTCCAAGTCACATCAAAAAAAAATCAATCCCAAACACATATAGTATGAATAAGACAAACAGCAATACTCGAGGTCGTCGTTTCTCCCAGTAGATTGAGAGATGGTAAAAAGAGGAAATAGAGGGGGAAAAGAACTATCAAAGCCGAAGACGAACCGATTAATAATGAGATAACGCCAATTGTTACCCAATAACAGAGTCGGGATGAATAACCAACAGTAACCACGAAGACTACAAAGTGTGTAATAAGATCGCCCTTTCCGCCTCCATGCTCCGATGTGAATGAACCTAAGGGAAAAGCGAGAGGTTGAAATAACGGGTATATGACGGATTTTGTGCAGCAAAGGATCCCTCCTCTTCCCCCTTGCCACCTACTTTAACACCGAGACAAATAAGGAAGTGACATCTACATGGAGATATCTGACAAGGGATGAAAGTAACGCATGGGAAACATCACCCACGAGCAGGTATCAACCCTGAAAACCAAGGTGTGATGTTGTTCCAGAAATCATCACCGGTTTCGACATTGATTAATGTGTAGCGAGTTTAGATGTCGCCACTTGCTTCGACTCCATCCGGGAAGTTGAAGTCGTTGCCTAACGAGCCAAAACCAGCCGGATCGTCGCCGACGTGGAGGAATGAGTCGAAGTCAAAGTTACCAAGATCATTCTCAAATCCATCCATACCGAGATCGAAAGACTAGAACAGGTTAGTGATACATTCAGCGGCATTCTTGTCGTGATTTCACATACCTCCTCAGTGAGGCTGCCGAATGGAGCAGCGTTGTTGTCCATCTGCTGGGGCTGTTGCGGTGCAGCGGCGGGTTGCTGAGGTTGTGCAGGGGGTTGACCATTTGGTTGACCATTTGGACCAAATGACTTGGGGTGCATGGGTGTAATGGGCGTCGATGGCGTAGGTGTTGGCGGAGGTTCTTCACCTGACGCTGCGGGCGTTGCACCTGTGTTTGCCCCTTTCGCCTTTGAGGGCTTCTACAATTAACATTAACGACGCACAACCTTGAAAGGAAATCGCTCAACGTTACCTTGTTGTCCTTGGTGCCCTTCTTTTTGGGTGCCGCTTTGTTAGACTGAGAAGGTGTAGGGGGTGCTTGTGCGGGCTGTTGTGGCGATGGCTCGGTCCGGGTTTGCTCAGCAGGTGCTGGGGCAGGAGGCGGTGGCATTGGGTTTGCGTTGCCTCTCTGTTGCTGCTGTTGCTGTTGCTGTTGTTGTTGCTGCTGCTGCTGTTGCTGCTGCTGTTGTTGCTGTTGCTGTTGAGGGTTGTTCATCGGCCCAGCCATTTGCTGGGCTTGACCCGGCATCATCTGGGGGCCACCTCGCCACGCACCGTTCGGCATGCCGCCGTTCCGCATCGCTTCCAGATGCTGCGGGTTCATCTGCTGAGGGTTAAAGCCACCCGGATGCGAGCTTGGAGGCCTCTGCATCATGGGGCCGCCAGGCACCTGAGGGTAGTTACCCATTCCAAACTGTGGAGGTATACCTGGCGGCATCTGGCTTGGATCAAAGTTCATGTTGGGGGCAGGTGAATTACGCTGTGGTTGCATCGTGCCGTCTGGCATCGGGGAACCAGGAAGGCCTTGTGGACCAAGCTTAGGGGTATCCCGCTTCATGTCGTTAGGGTTCGGAGACGGGCCAGCTCTGCTCCCTTGAGGTGACATGGCAGGAGCAAATCCGGGGGCGCCGCCAACACCGGCCTGGTTGTGGGGACCAGTGATGCTGTCTTGTTCCTGGCGCGCCATCAGCAGCCGCTTCTTGTTCTGCTGTTCGAGAAGCATGAGTTGCATCTGGTAATCCTGCAAGGCATGATTGCCCTGGGGCTGACCAGGGGCGCCACCAGGCATCCCGCCAGCACGCTGCGGGTTGCCGGCGAACATGTCGTGTTGGTCATCAAGGCTTTGTGCTGCCATTGGTGAACCTTGTACGCCAGCAGCATTCATCCCCTGAGCCATAGCATGGTTATTCAGTGCTATTCTCTGTTGGTGGGCCAGGCTTTGGGCATATACCTCTATAGACTTTTGTTGGACATTTTGTCCCTGTGGTGCAAAACCATCAAACTGATTTCCAGCCATGTTTCCTGGGTTCATTCCTCCTAGTGTCATAATGTCAGCAAGTTTAGGTACAGCACGGTGCTCTGCGGGGACAGGGCAGTATGCATCGAGTGCATATCAGTCCAGACCCGCAGGCTTGGAGAAGATAGGAAATGTACCTTCAACACGAGCTCGTTTGTTGGGAGACGGCGCGTTTTCGTTCGACCCTGGCGATTGTGGGCGCTGTCCATTCATATCTATGGAGCCGTCTCGTTGCATGTTTGCAGCCGATATCATCGCCTGCTTGTTCATTTGCATGTTCGCCATGGGATTTACTCCATTACTAGAGTCGAGAAGCACGGGTCAGTGGTTGTACAGGACAGAAAGGAAAACTCGAACGTACGGTCGGTTCTGCAAAGCCGCTCGCTTGAGGTCGTTGGGGCCCCCTCCGTTCTGCTGTTGTTGTTGCATGCGGATCATATTCGAATACTGATGAGCATTCATGTTGCCAGCCATCAGCATGCGCTGATTCCTCTGGTCGTTGGTCATCTGGGCAAGATTCTACATGCTACCTGTCAGTGTCTTACATAACATCCATGCTTTGGATCAATGACTAACCCGTGTGTGCAGTGCATATTGGGTGCTCTTTCCATCAGCGGCCGACTTGTTGCGAGTCGCGTTCCAGATGTCCCAGAATTGATTCCACCAGTCGCCTAGAAATGAGTTGTCGGCGATTTGGTTGGGGGGAAGGTCTGGCAATGGAAGATCCTTATCGTCCATGCCATCGACACCATTCACGTTGCGGCCACTAGGGCTAGGCTTTCCATCATTCTTAAGGTTCATGTTCAAGCCGGACTCAATCATGGTCTTCGCTAATACCTGCTGATTGTTCCGTATGAAGTAGTCGTATATATAGGTGTTGAGCGTTCGCAGAGGGTCTCCTTTCCTCGGGTCGACGTCTGCGCGAGGACCACCAGGGCGCTGGAGGTTTCCCATGACGGGAGTGCCATTGACTGGGCCTCCCATGTTCGCGTTCATGGCCATGGCAGCCATCTGCTGCTGTTGGGGGTTCTGCATGGCGGAGGTGTGGGGATGTGCGGAAGGATTGCGACGTGAAGCGCAATGGCGTTGGTGCAGGACGCGACGGGGGCGCTGGAAACAGCGAGAGGCGTCGTGATGCGCACCTGGGTGCTTGGAGATGTGGTGAGACTATAGCAGCATGGACACGCCGTGGCGACGACGGGTTTCGGTGATCGGGTGCAGATGGCGAGTTACCGGATGATTTGGTGGATGGACTGGTGATCGGCAACAGAGCGACGGCGAGCTCGGAGGAACGCCCGACGGGAGGAGAGGATGGAAAGCACACAGATTTGAAGAAAGTGGATGGCGCGAGGGTTGAAGGATGTGATGGTATATAGTGGGGATGAGTGACTGTGAGCTGAAGGATGGAGAGTAAGCTCTTGTGGAGAGTCGCAAGGGTCTAGCGACGAGAGAGAGTAGAGAGTAGAGGGAGAGTGAGGAGGGTTGGGGGGTGCAGATGGCGTGTGGTGGTGGTGGTTAGTGGATAGTAGTAGGGTAGAATGAGACGAGATGAGAGTAACTGTAATAGTGGGAGAGACTGGTAGTGAGGAAAAGGCGAGGCGGAGGTGCAGGGCAGGGCAGGCGCAACGCAGGAAATGGAAGGAGGCCGGCGCGGTTCAACGCAAACAGCACAACCTAACTAACTGCACCAGGACCACGACCTCGAAGACAGCAATACCGCTGAAATCGTCGCAAAGATGAAGGGAATTGCAGCAAGCCGAGATGGGCAGTGCGTGAGTGAGGGGAGGGGAGAGAATTTAAAGAGAGAGAGAGAGAGAGTAGAGAGGAGGTAGAAGAAGTAAAGTAGAAAAGGGAAGGGGAAGGGAAGGAAAGGCGGATTTGGCTTCTGGAAGTTGGAGAGAGCGAGGGTGAGGGAGAGAGTCGACCAATTCTGCCTGTCCCTACCGCCATCCGCTAGACCACATCTATTCATCACGTGTTCATTGCTCGACCATTTCCATCCATCATCCTTCTTCTCTCGGGCACAGAAGAAGGTATTCATTCAATTCTGCATATGGGAGAATCGAATAAACAAAGTTTCCCTTCCATCTGATCAGTTGTTGCGATATGTATCATTTCCCCTTCACGTTGTGGGCAGATATCGAGTTGGTCGAGTCAGCTGATCACTGGCACGTAATTGGGTTAGGTCAGGTAGTCTCCGCCCCTCAACTGCATCCATGCGGCATACGGTTTAATAAACTGCCTACCTAGTTACTCCTAGTTGGTAGTTACAAGTACCGACCAACCTCACCGGTATCTCTTCACCACGTATTTTGTAATTGACAAAACCAATGACCACCTTGCACTCTGCCTTCCACCTTAGACCAGGACTACCAAACGGCGTCAAGAGTTGCACAATCGATCTTGCCCCAAATTAGACCTGCAAATTCATTCCAGCGCATGACACGTGGAAAGGCTCACTTGTAGTCGGGGTGGATGGTGGGTGGGTGGCATGGTGGCATGTTTCTCCCCCTCAATCGAAGCAGCTAGCCATTCATATTGGAATGCACGCTTCCTACCCTATTCTTAGGTGCATCTTGTTGTCGAAGGCCTCCCTTGGCGTGATGAGTTTCGTCTCAAAAGTGCAAATACCCTCCGCCTCCTCGATTTGCACTTTCTGATTGTGTGCAAAAAGGACTCCACCAGCCCCCCCAACGACTTATGCTCAAATAACTTGCTAGTAACGCCAATATCTAAAAAGCAAGTCATGTAAACAGAAAAGTTCCTAACGGGAATTGCACCTTCAGGTACATCTGACGCCGACCCATGCATGGTTGCTCCGCAATTGTGCAGACATATCAACTCAAACCCCGTTGGTTTAACATCTCTCTCGCGCAATGCTCATAAATCACTCATCGTCAGGAGGCATCTCATCATCGATGTAACGAATCAAAGATATCCTCATCTCAGTGGTGTCGTTGCCTCGCAGAATGTCACTGATGAAGTGGACCTCCACTTGCATATGTACCTGTGCAAACCATCATTAGCCCTTGTCTTTCTCCATTATTTGCACTTTGGCTCTGCATGAGCGGAGAATCTCGTACCATCTCAAGGGCTCCCCGTAGAACGCCGACCAGTATGTTGGAAAACCATAGCTCGTCCTGGGCGCGACCGTCGTCCGGCAACTCTACAAAGTCCGCCAGCGGGTTCTCGTCGAATATCAGGGAGAATTGCTTGCTATCGCTCGACCAGTTCGTGATCGTGGGTGTGATGTTGAGGAATATCTTGAAGCCGACCTGGACATAACTCGTCAGCTAAAGTCCCTTCCTGACCAATGTCCATGTGTTCAAGTCACCTTTGAGATCATCTCTGCCACCTCGCGGAAGTTCGAGCATGCCGGCACGCTCGTCTTTGCCAGGAAATCCTCAATCATCCGCATCCCGATGTTGTAGCCCATTCTATCCAATTGCTTATTCACCTCGGGGTAATCGTACTCGAAGTCTTTGCACAATTGGGCGACGATGGTGCCATAGGTCAAAGTGACAAGCTCAGCGCTGACCTTGTCCACACGCGTCCTCGTTGCTGTCAGAGGTTGTATACAAATCGTTCGCTTCGTAAACTTACTTCCAGATCCTAGTAAACATTAGCAGAGTGTCATGTGGGGTCGGAGAGCGGTGTCAAGCTCACTCCTCGCCCAACCGGGCAGCTTTTGTGGACGCCATTCTTTCAAAAGATGCGCCGGACGAGCTTCGCTGCTTCTGAGAACTGCAGGATGCGGAGGAAGGGTCGTTGTTGGGTGGTAAAGCTCACAGTCGTCGTCAATATAAAGTTGTAATGCGAGGCGCCGGCGATACAGCTGCTGCTCGCTGTGAAATGCGCGGGATGATCCTAGCCCAAAGCGGATTTAGCGTAGACCTTGGCACCTTTCCGCTCGAGAAAGTTCAAGGACAGCTCGATGGGCGCGTCTTCCGGCAAACTTTTGGAATTCTCGACAAATACAATCGCTCGCCAGACCGAAACCCCTTTCCGAAGTCACAGAACCACTCAATATGTCTGGGGAGAAGCGGCCCGCCGCCAATTCGTTCGGCTCGACGCAGCTTGTTAAACGCGCAAAATCAGATGCGGGCGCAGGCAGTTCCGCGGTAGCTGTGGTGAATGGATCAGCGCAGAATGGCGCGCTCATACAGGCTGTATGTTACTCTTCGAGTTCAGTCGTGCTCTTTCAAGCCTCTGGACACTTGCGGTACTCCAGCCGGAGATATCATGTTGCTCACAAGCGTACTAGGTGCCGCGAACGAGTTCACTCCAATCACCTGTGATGGAGTTGGCAGGTGAGTGATGCGCCCCACGACATGTTGCTGCATGCGGCTAATGATTCCAAGGTCACTCTGGAGAGGTATTCGCTGCTCGTTTCGATCCGACCGGCCAGTTCATTGCTTCTGGATCCATGGACCGTTCCATATTACTCTGGAGGACTTCAGGCGCATGCGAGAACTACGGTATCCTTACCGGTCACAAACAAGCAGTACTGGACCTGCACTGGTCAAGAGATACAGAGATTCTTTACTCTGCATCGGCGGATATGACTTTGGCCAGTTGGGATCTGGAGAGCGGACAAAGAATAAGGACACATCCAGGACATGAAGAGGTAATCAATTGCATGGATGTGAGCAAGCGCGGAGAGGAGATATTGGTCAGTGGATCAGACGACGGTTACATTGGGGTATGTCACTATTGCACGCCATTCGAGGACTGCAAACTGACTTCGAGTAGCTGTGGGACCCCCGAACGAAGGCCGCAGTGAGCTTCATCCAGACAGATTTCCCCGTCACAGCCATCTCCCTCTCTGAAGCCGGGAATGAGTTGTTCACGGGCGGCATCGATAACGACATCAAGGTCTGGGACTTGCGCAAACAGCAAGTGACCTATCGATTGCTTGGACATACCGACACCATCACCTCATTACAACTTTCACCAGACAACCAGACTCTGCTATCGAATGCACATGATTCTACTGTTCGTACGTGGGATGTTCGACCATTTGCGCCAGCGGATCGACGCATTAGGACATTCGATGGTGCACCGACAGGACAGGAGCGGAATCTTTTGAAGGCTAGCTGGGATGTGAAGGGTGAAAGGATTGCAGCTGGCAGTGGTGACCAGAGCATTGCGATCTGGGATTCTCGATCGGGCAAGCTTTTGAACAAGCTCCCTGGTCACAAAGGCGCGGTCAACGACGTGCGATTCTCTCCACAGGAAGAACCCATATGTAAGTTTTCACGCCATCTCCGCATCCCCCACCATCCTTCTGCTTCTCAGCACATGACACATGTGGGTCCGACACAACCAGGAGCTTGCAGAATGGTTTGCTCGCTCGTGTATCGTCTTCAATATAAGCGATTACACTCGGTGTGATGTCGAGACACAGTGTTGCGACGGATGCTAAATCAAGTGTTTCATACCCTCTGGATTTGAAATAAGACTTCCAAGGAACTTTACCGAACTCTACTAACCTTGACAATCAGTGGCCTCGGCATCCTCGGACCGAACGATCATGCTCGGAGAGTTGACAAAGTGAGCGATAGTCGAATATTGGAGTTTTGTATATATTCGATGAGAAGAACGGCGCACGGAGACCTTCTCAGGTATTACGAAGAAACGTCCAGGTTCGCACAAGGACGGGTCCCCCCGCATTGTACACCGGCCGGAGGCACACGGCGGTGCGACGTAGATGACATTAGACGGGACAGCAGGATCGGCGAAACAACTGACGAGAACGCGTAAGACGCGTTCATGTAATAACATTTTGATGTATCTATCTGCTGCGGTGCTACCATGTTGTCAGGCAAAGCCACCTGACAAACAGAGACCGAAATGAAAGAATTTGAGATACGCTCGCTACCAAAGGTTGCGCGCTTCATAGCATTGACATTTATTTGAGCTGCTGCGAGGAGTAGTTTGCCTTGCATATGTGGTTGTTTTTATTTTTATTTCTATCCTGTCTTATCCATGCTTGGCTTCAATCTAACTCTGATGGCTATTATTGTGAGCGCCCTTATGGATCGAGGTCCATTCTACTCTCCGTACACAGCATGTATGTACCTAATGTGAATGTACGAGGTACTCCCTATACAGCCTGTGGTCAAGGATGGATGGGATGTAACTGAACTGATTGGTCCATGGCCTCCCGGAAGTCTGACCAATGGGCGCGTCGCCAGCGCGTCTCCTTCGAACAACCTCATACACATCTGCACCTCCTTCGACTCTCCTAAGCTGCCGTCATCCACAAACTTTGACCCTCCCAGCTGCTGCTTACCACCATCTTTCCCCTTTCTGCCCTACATACGCAGGTGAACGTTTTCAAACGAACCCCTTGAGATCCACGCGGCCGTGACCGCACTGATTAAGTCCGTGTTTTGCGGAGAGCAGCCCTGGAGCGACCGTGTTTCACGATTTGGCTATCTTGGTCCTGATACACCATGGGTGTCAGACAGCACCCTGGCCCTCAATGCGATATGTTTTCTCTCGACCTCTCCATCTCCTCCCACTTTGTCCTTGCAGCGCCTTTCGTGTGACTGACTTTGGCCCTTTCCTCCTCCCAAGCCACCCCTTCCCTTCGTACTCCCCATGTTCCCATTCCCTTAAGTCCTATTCATTGGAAGCTGTGCTGTTGACCACCAGTTTCGACTTTCTTAACCCACTCTCTTTCGTTTGGTCGCGAGCTCTGGAAAGCCTCCACGAGCAATCACTATAGCTTCTCTTCTACTTACCTCTTTCGTACCAACTAATACTCCATCGATCTCTCTCTAGAGCATCGCTATAGGCTCTCCGGCCCCCATTTCTTCGATTCGTACGTTCCTTTCGACATGCACGGTACTTCGTGACATCGAGCGGGCTCCAGTCATCCTAAGCTTTCCTATTGACCTACTACACTTCTCCCCTGCTTGCAGTTCGCCTTCAAAACGACCTTCAGGGCCGCCGCATGGACCGGCTGTTCTTTACATCCATTCGCCAGTAATATCTTCTCAGGGAAAGGGAACATAGTGGACGACGTGTCAGGGCAAGGAGGGAAAACAAACAACTAATATAAGGCGGACGTACTACTCTCAGGAACTGGAATTAGAACTCTAGGAATAGCCCCCATATTCTTAGAATCAACCACAATGAGGGAACTTCGCCGTGTCTCGGGCCTCATATTCGGCAGGTCACCAAGACCAGAGGATCCAGAGAACCCCCAAATTCTACAAGATGCGCCCACCCCGGCCTCACAATCGTCGTCACGATTCGGCGCGTTACAGAACAACGTCCGGTCAATGGTCAATGGCTCATCGATCTATTCGGAATCGCCTGTACCATCGAACAACAACACACCAAAGATCCCATTCCTAGGATTCCTGGGTCGACGGTCACCAGCGCCTCCAGCACCGATCGTTATACCAGACAATGAACCTCCTCGCGGCTCTCATGATTCTCGGTCGCCATTGCGACCCCAGCACACAGCCGGGTCGTACATGCGTACAATTGCGCCGTTTCCAAGAACTCCGCAAGAGCCTCAGCCAGCGTTTCAACCCCAGGACCATGTACACCGGCATCCGGCCGACGTGCCTCTTCGCCATCCAGCCGACGTCCAGCTTGGACACGTAGAAGGCGTAGACCCAGAGACGGCCATGCTCCAGAATGAAATCCACAACCACAGGCGCCGACGCCGGCGCCGCCATCATCGACGACCAAAGCCGAATTCGCACCAGCGTTCAGGACGACCGACTCACTGGGTGCGACGAGCGCAACGGGATCGTCGAGCTTTCTGCTGTGGCTTCATTACCACGCAGGCAGCGAGGGCGAAAGCATTGTCCTGCATCCTCTCAGGGACGTTTCTCCTGATCGTCCTAGCAATCTGTACGTCCCTCCAGCCTCCCAATCTACCAATCTTTCCAGTATAACAATCACTAACACACAAACCACAGACCTCGCTCTAGCCCTGACAAACCGCTCTCTGGGCCAGGAAATCCACATCCTCTTCATCATGGTCGTGCTCGCAACGACCATCTTCTTCTGCCACTCACTAATCCGCATGATCATGCTCATCCTGCGACCCCCGCCAGAAGCCCCCAGCATCCCCTCCATGATGGGCGGCGAAGAAGGCTTCCGGCCCATTCGCCCCATCCGCGTCCACCTAGCCCGCGACGAGGAATACACCGACCACGACCCCAACACCACCAACCGCGACAACACGCCGTCCGACGACGCAAACGCCGACACAGACGACAACTCCGACAACGACCTCGAGAAAGAGAAACCCCTCCAACCACCACCCCCCGCCTACGGCCTCTGGCGAAGCAGCGTCCGCGTCGACCCCAACCTCCTCCACTGGCGCCGTGTTGAGACGCCCCCCGCAAGCGCAACGCACCCCCCTCCCTCCTCCTCCATCGCCATGTTCCCCAACCGCGCATCGCAGATCCCGCCTCTCTCCCTCCCCACGAGCCCCCTCTACCCAGTGGCCAGCTCCCAACAACCCAGCCCCACATCTCCCTCCCATCACCAACGACATGGAAGTCGCGGACAGCGACGGCAGGACCCCCGCCCCCCAAGCTACGCTTCAGAAGACGGCGTCAGCTACGTCGTCGAAGCCGCGCCGCGCTCCACGGCACCGGCATCCTCGGGCGTCAGCGACATCCATCCCGCGTGGCGACCGGGAGGCTACGCGATCAGCGAGATACGCCCCAATGAATTCCCAGCCGCTGTCGGCGTCGCTGCGGGAAGGGGGGGCCGAATATGATGATCAAATCAACCCATCATCAAAAGCAAAAATAAAACAAAATAAAATCAATAAACAAACGAGCAAAGGAAAGGAGAAGGGGGAAACATGCATACCCAAGCGTTCGGGGGAGAGATGTTGTGTGGTGGGTTGTCTGTCTTGTATAGTAGTAGTGAAAGTTTTATATATTTTAGCGAAACCGGGAACGGAACGGAACATATCACTATGTGTTAACTTTTGTATCATCAACATCATTACCACCATCGTCATTACTGCCATTACTGTTGCTATGTGTTGTGCTTATGTCGTTTTTCATTTCGTTTATACCTGAATTATTGATGGACATGAATGAACGTGGATGTGAAATAGGATAATTAGGTACTGATATTTCATCTGTCAGTCTGGGAAGGAAAATTGATATTAAATAATTCTTGCCTGCTTCATAACGACTTGAAACGAAAAGCCTCGAACGATTCAAAACATCATATAAATCAGGGAGAGAGAGAGAGAGAGAGATTCGTTTTTACATTAATTCATTACTGGCATTATGATATATAATTCCCCCCATGGCACCAATATACTCCTCTTCATTGACGAGCGGATCATAAATCGTCTAGAAGGGTTCCGGCTACGTCGATGGGACGCTCGACGACGCCTCGCCATGGGCCAGTGAAGGCTTACCATCGGTCTAACAACGCCATTGCTTGATAACGCCCAAAATTCCGAACAGTAAAAGTTGTACACTACGCTTATGCTCCCCATACGCCCTTGTCTCAAGGTACATGCTCGAATGAAACAACTCGAAAAACATACATCATGCTTTGCCATGCAATCCGCCGGCAATGTTTTCTCTCAAGGAGAGCCCTTCCGTTGAAATCGGAGTCAATGGACACATAATTCTGATCAACGACTAGGGCGAGGACCCAAGCCAAAGAGATATTTCAGATCGCCAATGCTCAACCGAGAAATGCTTTTGCTGGCATTCTCATCCAGAGCTGCGGTGATAAGCTCACGTTTCCCGTCCTGGAGAGTGATAATGCGATCCTCGACGGTCTCCGGAACCAATAGACGATGCACATTGACTTCCCGCTTCTGTGGCATTCGATGTGCTCGATCAACTGCTTGATCTTCGACGAAAGGGTTCCAGAATGGGTCGAGAATGATGACCTGAGAAGCCTTGTTCAAGTTCAAGCCCGCATTGCCGGCTTTGAGCGAGACCAACATGATGGTTTGATCAGATTCGTCCATAAATGCGTTGACAGCATCGGCTCGATCATCCATCTGGTCAAGAGTTAGCAATCGTGTGGAATAGTTTATGAGGATCTACTCACCTTCATACTGCCATCGTAACGTTGGTATTTGAATCCACGGTCCTGAAGGGGAACCTCTACAAGGTCAAGCAATGTAGTAAATTGACTAAAGATGAGCGTCTTCTCCGAGGGGTCATTGTTCCTAATTTCGGTAAGAAGCTCTACGGTCCTGTCGATCTTTGATGAGGATTTGAATGTTTTGCGAAGACGCTTGAGATACTTCTTCTTTGCAGCTTGATTTCGGAGAGATTCTTGCTTAAGCTGGGCAAGCGTCTTCTTGAGCTTTGGAAGATTGTCGTCGTCATCTTCAGCTTTTGCCTTGCCCTTGCTCTTTTTTTTCTTGCCTCGACCACCCTTGGTTCTCCTCTTCTTAGAAGATTCCCCTTTAACTTTGACAGGGGCTTCGTAGTCGTCATCTGCACCATCTGGGACAACGAAATCGTCCAAGTCACTGCCCGCATCCTCATCCTCCTCGGCCTCAGAATCACTCTCAGTATCAGAATCGTCATCAGACTCATCGTCAGACTCAGCATCAGCCACAGCCACTTCTTCGTTTTCGTCCTTTGCTTCGCCAAAGAGGTGGAGCTTCTCTGGACTGAAAACCTTGCAGAAATGATGATAGTCAGTGATCCTCTCGGAACTGAGTGGGCCTCTGCAGTGCGGACACTTCGCATTGTTGGTCTCCACGCCTTCCCTGATGGCCTGGGATGGATCGATAAGCTTCTGGAAACACTCTCCGCAGCAAGTATGTCCACAGGGTAGAAACACTGTGGGATTCGGGATAGCTTCGTAGCAAATGGGGCATTCGAAATTTTCCATAACCTTCAATCGATTGACCACATCTCCATGAAGCTGCTTTGCACGACTGAGAAGATCCTCCTCAGGGATACCCTCGGTCGATACCTGGACCCCGAGATCCTTGATCAAATGCGGATGACAGCATGCCTGACGGAGTCGTAATAGCAGCACCAGAATGTTAGCGTAATTATTGGTAACCGTTCCTTTGGCCAGGTATTTGTTGAACTTGAGTTGGGAGTTGGTCTCGATCGCTGAGTAGAGTTCCCGCTCATCTTCGTCAAATTCAACATCGTCTTTGTGGACATGTTTTGGTGGGATCTTGCAGATCTCTTCGCCGTCAATTTTAGTGTCCTTTGCGCGACGAAGCATGAAGCTTTTCAGTAAGACCTGTACACGCTTAATCCCCATTTCGCGTTCGTTGGCATTTTTTATGGGCTTGGAGATGTGCGAACGGAAACGAGCATCATCGTTGTAGGGTTTGATTTGGAGAAAACGAATCAGGGGATATAACTCGTCGATGGAGTTCATCATTGGTGTACCGGTCATACAAAGGCGATATGTAGCTCTCAACTCATTTGATGCCTTTGAAACGATTGTGCTCTTGTTCTTGATACATTGGGCTTCGTCAAGTATGACACGATGCCATTTGCTTGTTGGCCCTATGATGTGACACGAATTTCTCGCTATGTCGGCACGCGATTCTTTGCGTTTATACTCCCACGTCAATGTGCCGTACGTGGTCAGCACAACATCAAACTGGCGCAATTTGTCGAACTTGGCCTTCTTCCCAGCCCCATGGTAGATGTACACGGAGAGGCGTGAATGAGCATGGACATGTCGTTCGATCTCTTTCTGCCACTGCCTCATCAGAGCAACTGGCGCAACGATGAGTGTGGTCTTGCAGGCTGGGTCATCCGATGGTCGGGAAACAATAAGAGATATTGCTTGCACCGTCTTGCCCAAGCCCATGTCGTCAGCAAGTATTCCGCCCTTGTTACTGCTCGTTTCGTTCTTCTTCAGCCATGTCAATCCGAGTTTCTGATGCTCCATAAGCTGTGAGCACATTGCTCGTGGTGTCTCCTCCCTGAGCTCCTTGGCTACCTCCTCGTCGGGTTGGAGGCCTTCTATCAACTTGTTCAATGCTTCCGAGCCTGCTCCTTCGTCCAGCATACTGTCCTGGTCACAGCCGAAACTTTGGTACGGTGATAGATTCGGTCGAAAACCCCCTAGGTGACCATGACGAGTAAGGGTATTGTGAACCGGCCAGCCCCCAGGACCGATTGAGCTACCATGCATCCTCATACCAGGCGTCATGCCAGGTGCCATGCTTACGCCAGGTGCCATACCCATGCCAGGTGCCATTGCAGAACCGTATGACGGAAAATTCAGAAGTGGGGGGCCCGGACGCGTGAGGAATTCGGCCAGAGCGTTGTTATCCATGAAGTCCTGGTTGAATGCTTGGCTTGGGCGAGTATCCATACCCCTGAAAGCGTTGTCCAGCTCGGCGAATGGATCGTATGACTGATTCTGTGGTGGGTTTACGTTAAAAAAGCTTCGGAGAGGACCGTCATCGCCGGTTAGATCGATAACGTCTGAAGGATCTGGCTGTCGCTGCGATACCACGGAGGATTGCGTGGGAGCTGGATGCGTGCGATATACCAGGCTTGGTGAGAAGGGCGGGTTGTTTGGCGGGGCTAGGCTGTAGCCAGTCTCATCCTGCAGACGCTTATTGTGGAAACCCTCAGTACCGTCAATCGAAGCGTAACTCCTCTTCCGTGAAGATGACCCTGAGCTCCCGGAGCCTTCTGGTGTTGTGGTGGAAGGTGGCGAGACTGCGAAATCTAACCATCCCACATCCATGGTGCTCGATGGACCAGCTGTAGTTCCTGGCTGGTTGAAAACAGCGTTGAGCATATTTTGAAGCTCGACAATGTTTTTCTTATGATGAGCTTTCTCATCTTGATATGTTGGAGCGTTTTCGTCAAGATCACCAAGGAGGAACCGAAGAAAGGAGATCTCGCCTTCGATGGTCGTTTCCGATGCGGCAGGGCCTAGCTGCGGTTGGTAGAAGGACATGGTGAATTTACCTAGCCATCGGCCGTTTCAAGAAAAGGAAGAAAAGCCTGGAAAATGGAAAGATTTGAAGGTCAGTACTCCGTAAGTTGGTGTATAAACGCAGGGACTCTGGGTGGGTAGAAGCGGATATTTGATGGTGGTACAGAGAAGCAAAGATGAGAGCTCGGTGAGAAAAAAACCGAGAGAAAGAGAGAGGGGGAGGGAAGTAGATAAATGAAGCGGGGAAGTGAAAGTGAGTGGTGAAAGGCAGACGTGATGAAAACGCCAGGCTCTAAAATGGCAGATAGGTCCTTGAGTTGAGGTGGTAGAAGTAGTCGTGGTAATGGTAGTTAGTGGTAGTGGTGGTGTATCGCGAAATGCCTCAACCGGTTCGTTGAATCCGGAAGGCGCAATCTTCACGCGTGCTTTCCCACTTATCATATATCAACCACACAGTCGGTGCGTCTCCGAAGATACGTCAACACTCCGGCACAATAAGCCTCAGCTTCAACTGTGGAAAATTACGGAGTATGCGTTGAAGAAATAGATAAGTAGAACCCCGGGTGGCGCTGTAACGAGAGGAGGAGGCTCTGGGGGTGCCGGTTAATCAATCATTCATTGGCACCGAATTGGGGTCCTGTCCGTGGTACGAAGTATTGGAGGAGCAACCGCAACCATAGAATTGTAGGGCTTGCAGGATAGAACAGATACGACAGCTCAGCCTTTCGTGTCGTCAAATGAAGAGAGCGAGGACGAAGATTGTTCCGGTGAGAGCTTTTCACAAGGCTCCAGAACACACCGTAGGCGTCCAGGCAACAAATGAGAGACAAAACCGTGGCTACGGAGTAATGAGTGGTGACTGACTATACGGTACGAGGTAGGTAACACACACGCACGCACACACCCATCCACCCAACAAGGCGAAAAAGAGGCAGACACACAATTTGGAGCTGTTAATCCGGTTTGGAGATGACAGGGACAATCTTGATATCGACAGGGCTGAACGTTGGACCGTTTGGGCGCGTTGCAGGTTGGGCGCGCGAGTACGTACCTAGGTAGTTGTGGTCACTAGCAAACTATCCGATCTTGGCCAACCACGCTTTCACGTGCAGGGACAGAGCAATATCAAACCACTCACGTTCCATTCACTACCTAGATAATCAAATGGCTTCACACAACTATGCTGAAATGAATATCAAGAAGAGCTATTACTCCGTACTATATTCCAGTGTAATATAGCATGCTACTAGTCTTGGTACATGTACGGAGTACTCAGTATAGATAACTCTGATAGAACAGTCTCCATTCTAGTTTATTTTTTATATATAGAGAACAAAAGCCCTTGCGGGACCCGTTCCATCTTGAACTTTCAGGTTTTCCTTTTTTTTAAATCTTCGGGTAAGGGGTCAGGGGGAGGGAGTTGGTCCAGTTTCCCAAAACTACATATACGTCTCCCCAGGCCGAAGCCAGGGCCAGGTCCGAAAGAGGAGAGCACAGAGAGGAGAAGTAAGAGACCGTGCAAAGACACGAAAACACCACACCATCTTGAACAAGAACAATGGACAGCGAGCAGACATTAAGAAAGGAAAAAACACCATCCTAGAATCATAGACTCATAAGATATGCCAAGCTACATAGCAGCAAGAGCCGGTGCCATATGGAAAAAAGGCATCGCGAATTGGTGAGATGATCAAGGTTAAGATGTTGACAGGTTGAGAATTTCGGAGTCTAATGAACCATATTCCTTAGCACCCTTCACCCTCCATGGCCGCGGGAACCATCGATCAGGCGTCATGGATTAACCCGTCCCAAATGCACCGACCCGTAAACCCCATTCATTTTTTTGGTCACCAAAGAGAACGCTGGAAAATTAAGCCTTGGTCTCTTCGGCGGGGGCAGCAGCGGGTGCCTCTTCGGCCTTGGGGGCCTCTGTGGCGGGCTCAGCAGCGGCAGCGGGCTCGTTGGAGGTCTCGGCCTCGGAGGAAGTCCAGAGAGTCTGTGTTGTGAGTTAGTCAAACTGTTGTATATGTCCATTTCTCATTCAACTTACAAGGTTGTCCCTGAGGAGCTGCATGATGAGAGTGGAGTCCTTGTAGCTCTCCTCAGAGAGGGTGTCCAACTCTAAAACGTTCGTTAGTAAATTTACCCGGGTTGTTCCTATCGGATATTTCTACATACCGGCAATGGCATCGTCAAAAGCCTGCTTGGCCAACTGGCAAGCCTGGTCTGGGGAGTTCAAGATCTCGTAGTAGAAGACCGAGAAGTTCAGGGCAAGACCGAGGCGGATGGGGTGGGTAGGGGCCAAACTTGTGGTGGCAACCTCAGTGGCAGCCTTGTAGGCCTCGAGAGACTTGTCGGCGGAGGTCTTGCGCTTGTCGCCAATGGCGAACTCAGCCAAGTAACGGTGGTAGTCACCCTTCCTGTCGAGGATTTGAGTGGTTAGCCCACGATCTTTGAACCGAACAAATCCAGGGGAGTGTGGGATGAAACTTACATCTTGTGGTAGAACACCTTGGACTCGCCGCTCTCAGCAGAAGGGATCAAATGTCCGTCCAAGCACTCGAGGATGTCTTCGCAGATCTTGGCAAGCTCTGCCTCGATCTTCTGGCGGTACTCCTTGATGAGGCCAACCTGGGTCTCATTGCCCTTGGACTCCTCCTTCTGCTCAATGGATGTGACGATCCTCCAGGACGCGCGGCGAGCACCGATGACGTTCTTGTAGGCAACGGAAAGGAGATTTCGCTCCTCGACGGAAAGCTCCTGGTCGGCAGAGGCAACGGCCTTCATGTTCTCGACCATTTCTATGCGGCCGATTAGCTGAAGCCCGAATCACCTGGAGCAGTTGCTAGCGCGCTTACCCTCGTAACGTTCGGCCTGCTCGGCCAACTTGGCCAGGTAAACTGAGTCTTCGTAACCCATTGTGATGTGGAAATCTGATGAGAGAGCGTGTTAGTAAGATAAGAAACGTGAAGCGCGCGAAGAGTATGGAACGCAAGCTCTGTTGGTGTGTTGTGCGGGGCGCTGCGCACGCCAATGGAGCGGTCGCGGGCAGGTGTAGTGGGCAGTTCTGCAACCCCAATGTTCTCGGTCGGATCTTATGGCCCCAGACGACTCTTTCCAACGGTAGAGTCGAATAGATTATCGCGGGGGATCGAAGAAGACGCAATGTTGACCAGGCGAGCGAGCGAGCGGGTTTTGAGGGGGTGGGATAGGGAATGACGAAACCCCAATAGGGAGAGCGACTTGTCGAGTAGTGGTGGGGACTTACTTCAGGAAACGGGAAGTTGAATAGAGTGAAAAGAGATGTGCTAGTTAAGCAACTTAGCGAAGTCGGATTGTTTGGTGGTTGATGGTGGGATTTGTGTATTGGGGGGGATGATGGGAGAGGGAGAGGAAGAGAGTTGAGAGTGTGTTGAATGCGGTGGGAAGAGAGAAGCCCATCTGTGAAGGTGGGAGTGGGAGTGGGCGGCTTGGCACGGTCCACGGCTCCTGCCTTTGCCTCACTGGCTCTGCCTCTCTCCCTCTTGTCTCCCTCTAGACCTCTCTGGACTCTGGACTCTCCAGGACTCTACGCTCTCATTCACTCAGGCATCTTATGCTTTTGCTACCCTGTCTTTCTCGGGGTGGCCTTGTTACTAAAAATTCAGGCATTAATCTACGGATTACCTGGAATACTTATAGGTAACCTGGTTCGTTCAATGTTTGAGCTGCGTCTCTCCTCTCCTCAGCCAGGCAATACTATTATAGCTCGATTATTGGAAGATCTACCCCGTCGCCCGTTGGTACTAGCAAGTATCTTAGGTGCTTTTCTCCTCTCGGTCAGCGTGCGGGAATGCAAACATGAAAAGGAAAAGTACTTCAAAGATGGGCCACATGATCTGATAAATTCGTTAGGGGACCTTCTCCATTGTCACTTTCCTTACAATCATTGTTCAAAGGGTCTTTGTTTGGCTCAACCTCTTTAAACAGGTACTTAAGGTAGGTACCTCTTATGTGATAACCCCTCATTATTAGTGTAGTTACTTGGTGGCTCTCGCACTTTGGTAGGCGTGCAATGTACCTAGGGGAGCTGCTATCAAGGTCAACAACAAAACCAGCATCGCCTGACTGGGCATGAACTGATAACAATTGAATAAATCAAAATGAATCAAACCACATCAATTCTTCACTCCTACCATTACCACTACTTACTGCACGAGAAAGAGCAGTACCAATCTCGGTCGGGTGAACAGTCCTTTTCCGACACACATATACCATCACATGACCCTCCGGTTATGACGTGTGGCCTGTGCGATCACCTCACCTGCAAACCGTCGAAAGCAGTATAAACCTATAAGCCCAGCTTTTGCTCCACCTCACAGTAGTCTCGGTCACATTAAGCTTCCCTCCTCATTCCATTACCTCCCCCCTCCCCCAACCATCATCCCAATTGCACACCAAACCACCATGTATCGCACATCCATCATCAAGGCTGCCCGCCCATTGGCCTCCAAGCGCCTCCTCTCCACCACTGCCCGCGTCATGACCGGCGGAGACACTGGCTCCGGTGCTTCGCGGGCGGGCGGAATCCGCTCTGGGTGAGTTCTCTTTCTTTTTCCCTCGGCCACGCCAATCCCATGGGTTCATTTGGCTGCTTATTCCTTTATGCTCTGCTGCAGCTGCTAACACACCATCGACAGTGACGCCTTCACCAAGCGCGAAGCTGCCAACGAGGAGATGTACATCAGGCAGGAAGAGCGCGCCAAGTACGTTTCTTCTCCCTCCAAAGCAATCCCCACCACCATCTTCGCCTTGCCGAGGATCTTGAGGGGGTTGCAATAAACGATCGAGTGTAAGGATACTGACGATAATGTCTGCAGGCTTTTGGCAATCAAGGAGAAGCTCAAGCAGCAGAGGCAGCACATCGATGAGCTCGAGAAGCACATGTACGTCAGACCACCGCCGAACGGCCGAGCTCGGCCATGCAAAAAAAAGTTACATCAAAAAGCTGACAACACTCTCTTATTACAGTGACGATGTCACCAAGGAGCGATCCGGCGGCGAGCACAACTAAATGCCAACCTCCCCCTCCCCCCACCTTAATAAACGTACGAAATGAAAGCGTAGCCCCGTTGGAACGGTGGACCCCGTGATTTGCGTTTGCATCGACTTGTATCAGACAGCTTTTTTGTACACCATCTCGGGAAAAAAAAACATCCAAATCTCTACCCATGAAATAGGCATTCAGCAGCTAGAGAGAATATAAAGATCTAGCTCAAGGAACATGACAAGCAGTCCCAAATTTGCTCCACACATGCTAATGAAAATGATGCATTTCGAACCGACGTCCGATGCTTCTTTGTGTTGATTTGATGAACTACGGTATCCCACATTTTATCCAGCCTTCCCATGCTATTGTACAGAAATCAAAATATACCTTGCCAAATCTTCCTCATCGAAAGAGCTAGCCAACATCCCTCGCTCATTCATTAACCTTCGAATATTACGTTGGGACTCCTGGGTCGATTGTGCACACGCACTAGACAGCTGACGCCTTACGAGACACCACCAAACCGATCGCCTCTGCCGCCCCGGAAGCTCCTCATGAAGTCGTCCGAGGGATTCGTGCCCAGGCCATTCCAACCGTTGGCACCAGCACGCTGAGACTCCTTCTGTGCCCTTGTGATCTTCTCCTGCAATTGAGTGGCTCCAGCATCGATGAGTTGGAGCTGGGAAAGCTGTGAGTTGAGAACGCGGACGACCTTTGTAAGCTGTATATATGTTAGCACTCTACGTTACACGCCGCCTATAGACTAATCGACTTACTGGGTCATCAGGCTTGCCGGTCTTGCTCAGAGTCTGTGAAGTGGTGTTGATCTCGCTGATCATCTCGGTGAGATCCTTGTTCAGCTCATTGAGCTTGTCTTGCAATTTCTCAGCCAGCTTGTAGGTCCTCTCTCGCTCCTGGTCAGGTCCTCGCAGGCCATCAGATCGGCCCTGGCCGCCTACACCATGCATCTTCAACAGATTATCGACTTCCTTCTCATATCGATCGAGGTAGGTATCCAGCTCTTGTTGGTTCTCCTCCATCATCCTCAGTTGCCTCTCCACCTCCTGAGAATCGTGATCTGCCTGCCATGTCTTGTTGAAAAGCTTCTTCACCTTATCGGCATTGTCAACCAAGGCTCGATCCCAAACAGAGATCTGCTCAGCCTGGGATTGGAACTCCTTTTGATACTTGGAAAGATCGGCGGCCCATCGCGTGATGATCTCGTCCATAGACTTGTTCTTCAGGCGCGACTGGGTGGAGGGTGTCGGTCCTGTGGTTGAAGCACCCAGTCCACTCTTTGCTGCATCGCCTCCGAGTGCACTTGCAGCGGGCGCAGTAGTACTGGGTTTGCCTGCAGCAGTTGCTGAGGAAGCGGCTGGTTGTGTCGAGGCTGTCGCCGCCGGCTTTGAGAAGAGCGAGGTACCGCTAGTCGCACCAGAGGCCGCAGGTGCAGGTGCAGCACTGCTTCCTCCGGCGCCTCCTAGACCTCCTAGGGAGGGGAATGGAGAAGACCCAGACGTGGCAGTCGTAGTTGCACCGGCAGTCGTGGTAGTGGCGGCAGGAGACGCGGCAGATGATGCACCGGGTTTCATGAAACTGAAGCCACCGCCAGTCGATCCAGCAGTTGCTGGCGCCGCAGATGACGCAGCTCCCGTAGATGCTGCAGTCGCTCCTGCAGGCTGTGATGAAGCTGGTGTTCCTCCAAGAGACAATGTTAGCGGCTTGCTTGCTGGGGTTGCTGATGGCGTTGAGCCAAACAAAGAAGGCGTAGCGGCCGCTTGTGACGAGGGTGCTGCAGGTGTAGCAGCACCAGATCCGAGACTTGGGAAACTGAAACCCGAGCTTGCTGGCGCCTGTGAGGTGAGAGCTGTGCTCTTGTTCGCATCCGCGGGTGTCGTCTTGTTTCCACCTAGATTTGAGAACATTCCACCACCAGGCGTACTACCCAGAGGCTTAGCAGCTGGGGTGTTGCTTGCTGCGGCATTGCCGAATAGACTGGATGCCGGGGCAGCTGGGGTAGTGGTTGCTGTTTTGTTGCCAAATAGACTAGAAGCCGGGGCAGCTGGGGTGGTGCTTCCTGGTGTACTGCCGAATAGAGCGGAAGCCGGGGCAGCTGAGGTAGTTGCTGGCTTCGATGCAAAGAGATTCGAAGCCGGTTGGCTGCCTGCGCCAGGCGCAGCATTCTGTCCTCCAAATAAGCTTGTTCCGGGTGGATTACCAGCGGGTGTAGTCGAATTGAAAGGTAGAGCAGTTTTGTTTGGTGCTGGTGTAGCGGCTACAGAATTTAGTCTTTCATCGCAACACTGGAGGGTATAGAGAATTTACCTGCACCTCCAAAGCTGAAGGATGGTGGAGCTGAGCCGGTGGGTGTTCCACCTAGACCTGATCCTCCTCCAAATATGTTAGGCTTTGGAGCATTCCCGGCAGCGCTCGCGCCTGCATTGTTGTTGTTCAGTGTGAAAGGGCTGGACGATGGTGCACCGCCAGGTTGGGCTGAGCCGAAAATGCTGGGTTTATTGGCAGCCGGTGTAGTCGAAGACGATGCTGCTGCTCCGCCAAAGAGATTTGATCCACCGGTAGACCCAGCACTGCCAAAGAGAGATGTTGTGCCGGCAGCACTAGAGGTCGCATTGGCGGTGGTGTTGCTTGCACTCCCAAATGGCGATGATCCGGACGTATTGACTGCGCCAAATAGAGGCTTATTATTCGTACCGCTACTACTGTTAGTACCGAAGTTGAAAGCCATGGTGACAATTGAGCGCGTGGTCTTCGATGTTGTGTTGGTTGCTCGTCGCAAATGTATCGGAAGCAGAGGAATTATTGTGCCCTAGGCAGGCAGGGGAAGTTGACGGGGCCGTGCGCCAAAGGAGAGTCAGCAACTATACTGTGTACAGAAGACTCCGGTGCAGTCGTGAATGAAGGTAGGTCGACGAAGGGCAAGGCCAATTTGTAGAACGGTGTTCCTCAAGTAGCTTTCACAATCACAACGCGCGCGTTGTTGCAGCAGCTTTAGCTCGAATTGCCAAGCAAGCAATCTCACGCTAAGTACGGTGAATACTTCCTCCTTGCTCCGCGACTCTGGAACAGCCCAGACCCCTCAGCTCCTGGTTAACGACAGCGCTTCACTTCTATCTACATTCTACCACGAATTCTCTTTCCTACGCCTTTCAAACGCCTTGCAAATAGTCATTCTATACCCTTTTCAGTGTTTTTGATTATAATTTGAGCACATATCCGAGTTTCAGTCACCTACATAACCAATATCATTCATCGGCCGACGCCATGGCCGGCGAACTTGCTCCGCCCCGGAAGAGCGTCGAGCTCCAAGACTCTGGTACTAAGGACATCGGTTTGGCCCACAAGCACTCTATCAGCTAGATCACCGTGATTGACAACTCTCCAGAATCATCCGGCGGCGAGGAGCACTTCTCGGACGCATCTGAAGGTCGCAACGCACCAGCGTCCCCGATTCCGACCACTCGTGTCGAGAGAGTGGATGACGAGCCTGCACACGGCGAAGTTCCCGGCACCGAAGCTTACAACAAGCGCATCCAGGACGCTGTCCCCGACGAAGTTGAGGTAGTTCCAGAGGGCTCTCGAAGTCGAAGCACCTCGAGGGTCAGTGTCAGCGACCGCCCACTGACACCTGGTGGCACCCCAATACCAAAGACAGTCGTTGAGAAGATCGACCCGTCGTCACCTTCCTACGGCGATGTACCAGGTACACATGCACATCAATTACGGCTGGCAGATGCCGAGCCCGACGTTATTGTGAAAGCGCCCGAGCCTCCTCAGCGCAACTCATCAGGTACGTAAGGGCGGTCTCTTAGTGCTCCCCTACGTACCATTGACGGGACAAGGGTCACCAACTGCCTCGCTTGATAGGTCTTCCTTAAATCGCGAACCCGAAGGCGAAGACGACCTCGACGAGTCGCACGGCTCTGCACCTGAGCTCCAAAGTCAACCACAGATATCTACCGGCGCAGAGGCGGAGGCGGCGGAGGGCGGCGACGACGACGGAGACGGAGATGGAGACGATGACGGGTTTGGAGATGATTTCGGAGACGATTTCGATGATTTCGAGGAAGGCGGAGAGGGTGACGATTTTGGGGATTTTGACGATGGGTTTCAGGGCGAGGAACAACCACCAGAGCCATCATTTGTTAAACCCCCAGAACCAACTCCTACCCCAGCCCCTCCCCTAGGTCCTGTAAGTCGACATTCATACAAATCCAACGCAAGCACAGCTCGCATTACTGCAACAAGCAAGACAACCGTTCCAAGCGTGCACCTCCCATGTGAACAGAGCGTAGACTGACGTGTGCCAATCATGCAAAATAAACAGCCCGTTCTGGACTTCGAAAACCTCACAACACTAGACGATGTGATCCGGGCATCGCAACCATACCTGGACGGAATGTACCCTTCGATGACGGAAATCCCCAGCATATCAACAACCGCATCGTCGGACGCCACGCGATCGATATTCCTATCCGAGCGCAGCCATTCACTATGGTCGCAACTAGTAGCCCCACCGCCGCTCCAACCACCCGACTGGGTTCGCTCACGGATCCGCCGGCTGTTCCTGGTCTCTCTCGGCGTGCCAGTCGACCTCGACGAAATCCTGCCCGCCTCCAAGCAAAAGAAACTCATCCTCCCCTCCATCCACATCGCCGGCGAGAAATCGCCGAGACCCTCCACGGAGGGCCGGAACAGCAGCGGCGGCGCGGCGCTCAACCGCGTGAAGAAGGAAAACGCATCCTCCGCGTCGATAGACTCGTCGGCGTCGAAATCGGAACGACGGCGCAAGGGCCCGCCGCCCCCGCCGCAACTCGACATCTCGTCGACGACCATGCTGTGCGCGACGACGGACGCCGCGCTGGGCAACTTCACGGACGAGGAGCTGCGCGCGCACGTCAAGAGGCTGCAGGAGCTGACGGAGCGGGCCAACGAGGTGTTTGAGTACTGGCAGAAGAGGATGGAGAGCGCGCTGGGGGATAAGGAGGCGTTTGAGAGCGTGATTGAGAATCTGGTTGCGCATGCGAAGAAGATACGGTGATTGGAAAAGGAGTTATGAGTATATAGATAGAAGAGAGGAACAAAATCAAAATATATAATTATACCATTACTACTATACGAAGAAGAAGTATGTTGGTCATGAACCCGTTTTCAGAATCACGTAGGTTCGAACATATACATCTACACCTCTACGTAACTGCATCTCCTTGAAAGCATTCCCATACATGGAGCACAATCACCCATTCCAAGCATTGTATCAATATAAGCCCTATAACAATCCCCCCACCCAGCACAAACATAAATAATTCCCAGTCCAGCCAACCCTGCCCAAACCTTTCCTCGCGACAACAGCAACTAGGATGACCCCAGGGCGTTTGAGGACCCGGCGGTCGGAAATTAGTATTCTATTTTATTTGGTTTGTTTTCTTCGCAACGTGCTTTTCTTAAATTTGTTCAGGGGTGAACGCTGGAGACGATATTTGACAGCGACGTTTGGGTCCGCGGTGTTGGGTCGGGGGGCGTGTGTGACGTCGTTTGTGTTCTCGCTGCTCGTCTTTTGGTGTCTTTTTTCCCGCTGTGTATGAATGTGAGATGGGGATTAGATCGTCATGCAACTACGGTTTCCTGACAAGTCCTTTCATTTTTTTCTAATGCATGGATGTGAGAGTTTGGGGATAAAGGAGTGGTGGATCATTGATATCTATGTCGATCTGACGGTAATTTGGGTGTACATACTCCGTTGCCTATGTGCACTTGTAATAGATGTATTCAAGTATGTATGTTTGCATTTAGTCCTATATTAATTTTTATAGACAGTAGCGATGTTATATAAACAAGAGAAATGAGTGTATGGCATTAAACATGAGGAAAATGCGTCGTTGGTGACTTTTATCGTGATATAAAGTAGCTCTATCAGTGACATATTTTGAGGTCCTTCGTACTTCGATATTCATAGGAGCACACACCCAGCAAACCCCCATCCCAAAACGTAGCACAAAACACCACTCCACCCGTCCTCCCCGACCCGTCCGTCGCACAGTTTCACATCCCCCATATCATGTAACTATCACCTGTGGAAGGTCGAACTCGCAACACGGTGTATACGGCCGGGCCTCACGTGGCCGATCCCCGCCGCTGGGTTATACCGGCGGCGTGTGATTGGTCGGTGTGGGAACAAGGTGCTGAGGAGAGAGGAATACCTGAACCGTGGGGGAGTTGTTGTAAGTACTCCGTATTACTGTGTTACTTGATCGTGATGTTTATTCTTCTATTCTTCTGCCCCGAGTATATTTATCTACATCCAAGTATCTACCTAAGTAGGTTATGTATTTCCAACATGCCGACAGCGGCGTCGGCGACAGACGGTGGCGACGACGGCCGGTCGGATGTAGCATGAGGGGAGGGGGAACCAGAAATTCGCCTCCCCCTTAACCCAAACCCAAAGCAAGAGGAGGAGAGAGGCAGCACGCGGGCCGGTGCCAGCCCAGCATTGCTCTACTTGGCCCTAGTCCCAGGCACGCGCCCGCCCGGTCCCAGCGACAAGCCACAGCAGCCAGACATAGACAAAGGGAAAATGAAAATGAACAAGATATTGAAATCGTGAAGGCGCACATGTCAAGAAATCTATGATGGATATGTGTGTGTTTCTGTGTACGGCGGGGAGTGAAGTGACATCTTCGAATGGTTGTAGCAGCAGCGAATCAGTGTCCATCTAAATTTCCACAGAGGCGCTCGGCTGTAGATTTCATCTCGTTTGACCGTTTCGCTGTGGTGTCGTGGGACGCGAATGAGATGATGCGTGTTACGACTGACGAGAATTACGTCGGTGGCTTGTTTCCATTATTTGACTTTCTTCAGAATGAGAGAGGGGGGATATTGGTGTTAAGTTAAAGGGGAAGTACGGAGCAGTGAGTACGGAGTACCTGTTTGGGAATGACATCAGGCGGGGAGAGACAGGCGCAGAGACCGTTGTGGTGATCAAAGGGGGAGAGGGAGTAGACGCGGCTTGGTAATGGCTTTTCGTCTTCTCGTTGTTTTCGATTGATTGATCGATCGGTGCTGTAGATGAGTGCATGTGCTGTATACTGTGTAGTGTTGTATCACAATGAGCGTTCAACGTTGCTCGTCTTGTAGGGCTACTGATAGGTGGGGCAAGGGGAAGAAATGAAGAATTGTTGTTAGGGTTCGGTGCAGAGATGTTCCTCGGCTTGTAGAAGTGCAATAATTAGTGAGAGGATATAAAATAATATAAAAGGAGTAGATGCCGAGTATGTTATAGAAATAGCATCGTGGATGGACGGTGCTGGGACGGTGTCGTGTTGGTATGGCGGCGGTTGTAGTCGTAGTGGGGAAGTTGAAGTTACAAGATGGACAAGAAAGGACAAGACAAGCCAGGACGGGAAAAGGCAGGAAAAGACAGATGGGAATTGGGGATGGGAGACCAGGGTCTACCCATGATCAGAGAAGGCAGGGGGCATTTGTAAGGTTGTTCAAATAGTGTGGCGATGGTGGCAATGATGGCGGAGACTTGTAGAATAATAGAGGCAAAGAGGGTGTTGGTATGTATCCGGCATGCCAGAGCGCTGGACAACGCAGCGCCGCCTGACTGGGAAAGAAAGGGTTTACAGTGATAATTGATGATTGCTGGTTAAGCCGCGGATGATCTACCTTTCTGTTTGCGGATAAACGTTGTTCGATATGTATACCGAGTACTGGAGAATGTGAGGCGGTCAATGAGATGGGACGATGGGTGAGCAGTTGCCAGTGAGCAGTTGCCAGTGAGCAGTTGCCAGTGAGTAGCGAGCAGTGAGCACTAAACCCGGCAATGATGGCATGGCAAAGTTGCCCACTCTGCCCACCCAGTGTCCCAGTGCCCCCCAGCGGTGCCAGCGTGCCAGCAGTAACCAGGCTGTACCAGCATTGCCAGTCCAGTGACAACCGACGCCACTCCCTCCACCACTCCATACCACTAGGTCATGACTAGCATTTGATTTAGAAGGTGTCTGTACTCGGCATAACAGAACAACAAGTACTTCTGATGTATGGATAGGTAGAATACGTGGTTGACTGACTGACTGAGTAATTCATAAGGGCAAAAGAAAGAAAAGGGAGAGTGTACGGTGTACTCTGGAGAGTAGTTGTGTATCGTTATTACTGAAAGCGAAAGAAAAGAGGTCAAGAGGTCAAAGAAGGGGTCCGGGTCCGCCTCTTGGGCTAAGACCAGTAAGACTAGAGGCTGCCACACCTGCCTGCCGCCGTTTCCCTAGTGCCTGTAGTGTGCCATAGCGACTGTAGCGTGCCTTCCTTGCTTTTCTTAAACCTCGTGTCTAGTTACTGTACTGTGCACTGCGCTTGTCTTGTCACCACTCACTTAATTAGTTATCGACTCCATATACGAATACGACCACTGATGAGACGAGACGGTGAACCCAGGGAATAGGTACAAGTAATATATCTTCAGGGTTATTCCCATCTCGACCAGCATAAACACATCACAACACAGATTCGCCTCTCGCTAAATCCAACAATTCCATATGATCCTGCCGAGGGAATAGACTCAGGATCTGGATTCAACATCGGTCGATGGGGTGAATGAGTACTCTGTTCTGGCCATCTGAACATTTGTTGTTACCCACGGAGTAATTGTAACCTAGGTATTGCCTGGATAGACACCTCTTTTCAGCATGATAGTAGTGCCAATCCTGCCCAGTTACTATGGGTTATAGAGTAGTGCTTTTTGTCAAGAGAAGGGAGGCAATACTGAATGACCGACGAGGCAACTGTGGCATTGGTGTACTCTGTAGTCAGTCAGTGTACTGTACGGAGTAGTTACTGTGTGTAGAGTGTACTGTAGAGTGTACACTGTAGGTAGTCACGTAGTGTAAAGTGTAGTTTAACTTTGGGTACCGCCTGCCCTTGTCAGAAACCACCTAGGTAGGTAGATAATGCCAGCCAGTAGAAAGAGGGCAGGAGCAGAATCGAAGTGAGGAGGGCACTTACCCTGTATTTCCCACCTGCACCTGCCATCCGAATCCAAATCCCTATAGCGCCCATCATATCCCATCCCATCCCATCCCCTCCGAGAGAAAGAGCGAGTCCGTCCACCCACACCCATCCCATCCCTCCTTCCTCACTAACCACCATTGACCACCTTGACCCTCACCACCACTAACCACTAACCACTACTTCCGCTAGTTACTGCTGCTATTACCACCGCCGCTTGGGCCACCATCGTCCTATTATCCTCTCTGCATTCACGCGGGGACTTGTTTCTACTCCCCTTCGATCTCAGTCATCTCGACTCTCTCCCACGCACATACTCTCCGTACATTCTCTCTCTCATACCCTCTTCCCCCCCCCTCATATTAGCATCACTCTTCACTCCTACATCTAATCTTTCGTCGTCGCATTCCGACACCATCACTCCCACTTCCCCCTTTCCGCTCTACCCTGCCAGCCATTCGTACAACTGCCACCGCCCGTCGAGGCTGTCAACCACCTCCCCCATGAGCATCTAGACAACCACCACCCAGCAACCCGCTTGCACACCACTGCGATGACCTCGGAAACACCCTACATCGAGGCCATAACGAGCGCCATCTCCAATCTCGCAAAGGCTCACGATCCCGCTCACGATGCATCCTTCACGGGCCAGGTCGCCGCCCACGCAAAATCCCAAACCATAACCCTCCCGGGCGCCGATTCCTCCCCCGAGAAGGCCGCCCTCGAGCGTGAACTCGCTTCTCTGACTGCGCGCATCCAGTATCTCGAAGCCAAGGCCAACATCGTCGACCACCACACCTTCCCAGTCACTCCAGGCGAACCTACAAATTCCCCATTCCTCTATGCCCCGGCCCCCAACGCCCGCAACGGCAACTCCCCACACCCACGACGGGGCTCTTCCAAGGACAAGGCCAGTTGGGTCACAAATTGGCTCGCCAGCGGCCGTGACTCAAATGGCGACGAAACCCCCACTGCTGCCCTCACCGAGGAGCAGCTCAACTACCTCCGGGATCATGTGAACAAGCAGGCTGACCAGATACGGAATCAGCGCGAGCACATCGACAACCTGAGTGCCGAGGTGAACAAGCAATTGAGCAGCCAAAACGTCGCCTTCAAGCATGGAATCGAGGACATTGGCGCCCTCAAGCGCGAGTTGGGTAAGCATCAACAGGCCAATCTTGCTTTCCAGAAGGCCCTCCGTGAGATAGGCAACATCGTCACTGCCGTCGCAATGGGAGATTTGAGCAAAAAGGTCTTGATCCACGCCAAGGAGATGGACCCAGAAATCATGAACTTCAAGCGCACCATCAACAAGATGGTGGATCAACTACAGGAATTCGCTAGTCAGGTCACGCATGTGGCCAAGGAAGTCGGCACGGAGGGCAGACTTGGAGGCCAAGCCAACCTACCTGGTGTTGATGGTATCTGGGCAGAACTGACGGACAGTGGTAAGTTGCTCTTTGTCCTCTCTGGAACAAGTAGCACACGCAGGTTCACAATCGCTAACGTACCTAGTCAACGTAATGGCCAACAACCTTACCGAACAAGTGCGAGAAATCGCCGTTGTCACAACTGCTGTCGCTCATGGCGACCTCAGCAGGAAGATTGAGCGACCCGCCCGTGGTGAGATCCTTCAGCTGCAACAGACCATCAATACCATGGTGGACCAGCTGCGATCTTTCGCCACACAGGTCACCAAGGTGGCCAGAGATGTCGGCACCGAGGGAAAACTCGGAGGCCAGGCCGAAATCGAGGGCCTGAAGGGCATGTGGAACGAACTGACCGTCAACGTCAACGCCATGGCGCAAAACCTTACCACGCAGGTCAGAGATATCGCTCAGGTCACGACGGCTGTCGCCCAGGGAAATTTGACACGCAAGGTCGAGGCAGAGTGCAAGGGCGAGATTTTGGAGCTCAAGAACACGATCAATCTCATGGTGGACCAACTCCAGCAGTTCGCGCATGAGGTGACGAAGATTGCCAGAGAGGTCGGATCGGAGGGTAGGCTCGGAGGACAGGCCACGGTGCACGGAGTCGAGGGCACATGGAAAGATTTGACCGAGAATGTGAACGGTATGGCCATGAATCTCACAACTCAGGTGCGAGAGATTGCAGAAGTCACAACCGCTGTCGCCAGGGGTGACCTTAGCCGCAAGGTCAAGGCCGAAGTCCAGGGAGAGATCTTGTCCTTGAAGATCACCATCAATACCATGGTGGACCGACTCAACACCTTTGCCCAGGAAGTCAGCAAGGTCGCCCGTGAGGTCGGCACAGATGGAATCCTCGGGGGACAGGCGCAAGTCGACAACGTGGAGGGCAAGTGGAAAGACCTAACCGACAATGTCAACACTATGGCTCAGAACCTCACCCTCCAGGTGCGAAGTATCTCAGAAGTCACGCAAGCCATTGCCAAGGGTGACATGAGCAGGCGTGTCCACGTCGATGCCGAGGGTGAGATCCGTCTACTGAAGGACACCATCAACGACATGGTTGACCGTTTGGATGACTGGTCTCTTGCCGTCAAGCGAGTCGCACGTGATGTCGGTGTGGACGGCAAGATGGGTGGACAGGCCGATGTGCAAGACATCGATGGTCGTTGGAAGGAGATCACTACCGACGTCAACACCATGGCCCAGAATCTTACATCCCAAGTGCGTGCCTTCGGCGACATCACAAACGCGGCCATGGAGGGCAAGTTCACGCAGATCACGGTGGAAGCCTCCGGCGAAATGGACGAGTTGAAGAGGAAGATCAACCAGATGGTTGCCAGTCTCCGGGAGAGTATTCAGAGGAACACTGCAGCCAGAGAGGCTGCCGAATTGGCTAACAAGACCAAGTCCGAGTTCTTGGCCAACATGTCTCACGAGATCCGAACGCCCATGAACGGTATCATTGGCATGACCCAACTCACGCTCGATACCGATCTCACGCAGCCTCAGCGCGAAATGTTGACCATTGTCCACAATTTGGCGGGTCAGCTCTTGACCATCATTGACGACATTCTCGACATTTCGAAGATCGAAGCCAACCGCATGGTCATGGAGGAGATTCCTTTCTCCCTGCGAGGAACTATTTTCAACGCCTTGAAGTCGCTGGCTTCCAGAGCCAACGAGCGGAAACTAAACCTTGCATATGAGGTCGACAGCTCCGTTCCCGATTATGTCGTAGGAGACTCGTTCAGACTGCGACAGATTATCCTCAACTTGGTTGGAAACGCCATCAAGTTCACTGAACTAGGAGAAGTCAGGGTGGCCATTTCCATGGGCAGGGAGCAGAGCGAGTCTGGTCCCGAACAGTACCTGTTCCAATTCGCCGTCTCTGACACAGGTATCGGCATCCACGGAGACAAGCTCAACTTGATTTTCGACACCTTCCAACAGGCCGATGGCTCTACAACCCGCAAGTTCGGTGGAACCGGTCTGGGATTGTCGATTTCCAAACGTCTCGTCACACTCATGGGAGGACGGATGTGGGTCGAATCCGACTACGGCAAGGGCAGCACTTTCTATTTCACTTGCCGGGTACGCCTCGGAAACCCAGACTTGACCGCTATCCAGCCTGCACTTGCGCCCTACAGCAAGCACACCGTGCTTTTCGTGGATCAAGGCCACACTGGCTTCTCTGAGCAAGTGGTGGAGCATCTCAAGGCACTCGATATCTCACCCATGGTCGTCAAAAATCTCGATGACGTGCCCATCGACCCCAAGCGCACTGCCGATATGCCATTTGACTGCGTGATTGTCGATAACGACAGGACTGCCAGGGAGCTCAGAGTCGCAGAGCGTTTCAAATACATCCCTCTTGTCATGCTCATTCCTAGAGTATCCATCAGCTTGAAGTCCGCCTTGGAGGATGGTATCTCGAGCTACATGACTACGCCATGCTTGCCAATCGATCTCGGCAACGCTTTGATCCCAGCCCTCGATGGGCGAGCCGCTCCTTCTGTCTCGGACCACTCCAAGTCGTTTAATATCCTTCTTGCAGAAGATAACGCAGTCAACCAGAAACTGGCCGTCAGGATCTTGGAGAAGTATCATCACACCGTTACCGTCGCGAATAACGGTCTCGAAGCATACGAGCAGATCCAGAAGAAGAGGTACGATGTCGTTCTCATGGATGTCCAAATGCCTGTCATGGTAAGTTCTATCTGACGCCAACTCCCGCCCAATTACTAACATCGAACTAGGGTGGATTCGAAGCTACCGCGAAGATCCGTGAATGGGAGCGCGACCAGTGCCTTCCCTCTACTCCTGTCATCGCATTGACGGCTCACGCCATGGTGGGTGATCGCGAGAAGTGTCTGGCGGCACAGATGGACGTAAGTGAATCCGACTCGATGTGCTACATGCTGGAACTAATGAATGCAGGACTATCTATCAAAACCCTTGAGGCAGAACCAGCTTATCCAGACCATCTTGCGTTGCGCAACCCTCGGTGGCACGCTCTACGAGCATGAGCAACGCCATTCCATGGAACACATGGCAAGTTCAGACATGAAGGGCAATCCATCTACGTCGACCCCAAAGACGACTCCTAGGAGGCCCCAACTTGAAGCTCGAGGTTTCACCGAGCGGGGCAATACAGCGGCCGCGAGCCCATCGCTCCTCTCGGCCGATCAACAAGATCCAGTGGATAGGGTAAGCACCATGCAAGATCTTAACAACATGAAACCTCACGCTAATCACGATCGTCATAGCTCCTGCTTCGCTCGCATAGTAGCTGAAGATCTCAATGTCCGGATGAAGGATAGACAATCCTCGGCGAGCTTTTCGGTTTCATTTGGAAGACGAACGCGAACACTCATATACGCACCTTTTTGCAGATACCCCATTGCTGAAAACCTAGTACTCACCATGAAGCGCATCATTTGAGACGGTTTTTGGATCGACCATTTACATACAAACACGCGACGGATTCATTTTCCCGTTTCGATACATTTCCTTTTGCTTCTGTTTTTGCTCTTGGCGTTGGGTCTGCCCTCCTTTGCTGCGCACGCGCCACATATTCTTTTCCATGTTGTGGCCATTGGAGGTGTGGCGGGATGGAATATGGAACCTGGATTTCTGGGATTGGGGGGGAAACGAGGGATCTATTCATATCTTTTTTTTATTTCATTGGTAACGGCCTGAATCTTGGAACGTGAGCTCCTAGTGTTTATTCCCAGGGGGAGGGGCGATGCAGATTCGAGGCCGACTTGGGAGGAAGTTGTTAGCTGCCGGGTGTGCAAAGGGGCGACAACGTCGCCGTTGTTGTCCCGCGTGGTTAGATGTTGTCTTTTTTAATTTCCTGTAATCACGCACGCACGCTCGCATCGAATGAATGCATGGCATTGAAACTGAACAAGATGAAGAAAGGCATATATTCTTGTTTATTCTCTCTCCGACTACCACGACCACCATGACCACCATGACTACTATGTACTGAGTGGAAAGAAACAAATGTTCTCAAATCATGCTTCACATGGTATGTGTAAGTCATGTCCTATGTTAATACGCCTACAACCCATCCTATCCCACTGACTTCCTACCAAAAGTGTACCTGTACACGAACATTCCGTCGTTGTTATATAGATCATCGAGTAGCTGGGTGCGTTTGATAGTCAGCAGTAAGAGAGCGAGCAAGACAGAGAAGAAGAAGAAGAAGAAGAAGAAGAAGAAGAAGAAGAAGAAGAAGAAGAAGAAGAAGAAGAAGAAGAAGAAGAAGAAGAAGAAGAAGAAGAA